GTCTGCTGAAGGTCGACGATATACTGCTCTTCCATGAGACGGCACCCGCGGAGGCGGACGAGGAGCTGCCGAAGCTGCGTCGCATGTACTTCGGTGGTTATCCGCGACGATTCAACAACTCGGAGATTGTGCCACAGAACTTTGATGGCTGCATCGATGATGTGATCATCTCTGGCATTGTGGTGGATCTCACGGAGTATGTGAATGGCACGGGCGTGGAGGAGGGCTGCCCGGAGCGGTTCTCTACTGTGCTGTCCTTTGCCCCCAACGAGTACGGATTCTTGCGCAGCAACAACATCTCTGCCCACAACGATCTGCATTTGAATCTGCGCTTCAAGACGCGCCAGCCAAAGGGCATTCTCTTCTATGCCACAAACAATGATCAGAGCTCGACCATTGGCCTCACGCTCGACGATGGCTATCTGAAGCTGAGGAGTCAGGGCGACGAACTGGTCATCGATCAGCGAATGCTCAACGATGGCGAAGATCATGTGGTCACAGTGCAGCATAATGCAGGCGAGCTGCGTCTCTCAGTGGACGATCAAGAGGTGGAACGGTATGCTATCTATCTCAGGTATCTCTCGTTTTACTTGTCCACTAATCTGTTGTTTAATTTCATACAGTTTGGGCTCCCCCGAGCCCCTATATATCGAGGCTGGGGATATATTCTTTGCGGGTCTACCGGACAACTATCAGACGCCGCGCGGTGCCCTCTCGACGCTCGCGTACTTTGTGGGATGCATCAGCGATGTGACCGTCAACGATGAGATCATTAATTTTGCCAACAGTGCGGAGAAGAAGAATGGCAACATCAATGGCTGTCCCCCGGATATACTAGGTAAGCGTTTGATTGTTGATTAAAGATCCCCCATACTCATTCTCTCTTTTTCCTTGGCAGCCTACGAACCGGATCTGCTGCCCAATTACTATCCCAGTGGCGCCAATGAGCTGGAACCGCCATCACCAGGCAGAATAACGACACACAAGCCACTGGCCACTGCAGCACCAACAACCACGACTACAACAACTACAACGACACCTGCCACAACCACTAGCACAACCACCAGCACCACAACCACAACGACGATGCGAACCACAGCAGCAGAACCAGCAGAAGTTTTCGGAGCCAACACTGTGCCACAGAAAACGCTGACCACACGACCCACACCAAAGATGAATCAGCCAAGCGACGAGCGCTGCAAACTGCCCGTAGATCCCAACTATGATGTGGATTTCGAGACGGCCGGCTATCGCTTCTACTCGCTGAGGGAACAGCGACTGGAGATCAGCTCGCTGCCGGTGAAACTGAGACGGCATCACGATGTGAGCATCTCGTTCCGCACAGAGCATCCGAATGGACTGCTTTTCTATGCGAGCAGCAAGCAGAAGGATGACTTTATCGCAGTGTATCTGCTGGATGGCCGAGTCACCTATCAGCTGAGAGTGGGCGCTGGCCTCACGGCGAACATCACCAGTGAGGAGGAGCTGAACGATGGCAAGTGGCACACGGTGGAGGTGGTGCGCACCTCTAAACGCGTCAGCCTGATCATCAATCACGTGGAGCAGGCGGGTTCGGTGGAGCTGAGCCAGGAGCTCAACGCACCTGTGCTCATCGTCGAAATGCCACTCTATGTGGGCGGCATCACAAAGTTTGTGGAATCGGAGCTGAAGAATCACACGTACTTTGGCGGCAACACATCGTACTTCAATGGCTGCCTGAAGGACATCAAGTTCGATGGCGTGGCCCTGGCGACGGAGCCCACAAGGTACTCGGTGGTGCCATGTTCCGACCAGGTGGAGCGTGGAGTCTTCTTCCACAGCAGCAGCTCCATTAACACAACGCCGCCGTATGTGAAGCTCTTTGAACGCTTCACCGTTGGCACCGAGATGGCCATCAGCTTTGATTTCCGTCCCCGCGAGCCGGACGGTCTGATCTTCTCGGTGCACGGCAAAAACTCCTATGCCATTCTCGAGCTGGCGAACAATACCCTCTACTTTACCGTCAAATCGGATGTGAAGAGCATTCTCATGACCAATTTCACGCTGCCCGCGAACGAAAGCTACTGCGATGGCAAGACGCGCCATGTCCAGGCCATCAAATCGAAGTTTGTCATCAACATTGCCGTGGACTTTGTCAGCTCCAATCCGGATGTGGGCAACGAGACCTCAGCCATGACCAAGACGAATCGTCCTCTGTTTATGGGCGGACACCATGCCTTCCAGAAGGCACCGGGCATCAAGACAAAGAAGACCTTTAAGGGCTGCATCAGCAATGTGGAAATCAACAGGAAAGCAATTCGAATTACGCCAAATATGATCACTGGCGATATTTGGCAGGGCTACTGTCCTATCGCCTAGAGAGAGAGATAGCGATGAGCGATGGAAGGACAGAAGGACCCTCGAAAGAGCTTAAAGGACAAACGATTTTGGATTTTATAAACTATGAAAATATGCCCAAGGAAAATAGAACGAAAGTTGACGAAACTTGCAAGCGAAGGACAACGAAAAACGAACAAATTACCAAAACGAACAATACCCAATCGACAGGCAAAATTAAAGTCTGGGGTTCCTGCATTTAAGGGGACCTCTAGCAAATCTGCCAGTCGTATAATCCATGTAGCAAATAAGCCTTTTCTTTGTGCCAATTTATATTTGTAATATCATTTTGTATTTTTTAAATTCTTTAAGAGAGAGATACTGTGAGATTGTGGAATGCATGCAGAGTCGAATGAATAGCTTACGCGTACTCATTCGCTTCGTTAGATTTTACACTTGTGTACCGCCATCTTTGCTATAGCCTCTCCCTCTCTCTTTTTTGCATTTGTATTTTGTCTTTGAAATCAAATAAATATTAAAATCATTAAATATTCAAATAGGACAGCGACTGGTGCGCTTTTTTAATTTCGCTCTCACAAAAAACACTTACTTGACTCGAGCAGCTTATAGTCGTCCAAACGGAGCGTCAAGGCATGGCATGCAATTTGTTTTAGCATTCCCAGAAATTCCCTTGTTTCCCTCTTCGCTGGCAGCAATGGGAACAGTGCAAAAAGTACGTATCCGTCCCGGAAGTAAATTAAAGTATTTAATTTGTTTTTTGATGGTAATGTTATACATACATATTTATTCAGATATAGTATATATAGTTTCTCAATTATCGAATCATAAAATGGAGTTTACAGTAGCAGAAATATTTAGAGAAAACTAGAAAAGGAATTTCTTTATTTCTGTTTTTACCCGAATATTTGCATCTTGTGTATAGAGGGGAGGGATCGGATCATATATGTCGTATATATTTGTATGTATATCATGTATATTTATGTGAACTATAATTTGTTTAGAAATGTTTGCGAATGGGATATGAAAGGCTTTAGGGAAATTTAATTTTTGTAATGCAATTGAATATTGGTAATAGATACGAAATCATACGAGTGATGCTGCTTTTTATGATCTGCCCAAATTATATAGTTTTCTTTGATTCTGAACTCCATTTTCTGTTTGAATTTAGTTGTCCTACTTTTTGACCTAACACATTTCGTAGTGAAAAATCATAGAACAAAATCCCATGATGCATATATTTTTGTTTTATTTTATAAATATATTATATTTATATGTATATATGTATGTGTGTGTGTGTGTGTATTCAGTGTGTGTGTGTGTAGAGTAGATTTATATATTTTTTTTTTTATTTTAGTTACTGCTTAAACGCTAATCACTAAGATCACCCGAGAGAGATACAAACGCACGCGAACGCGACCGGATTCCGCGATGAATCCGGTTTAAGGTACAACGAAATCACGATTTTTAGTTTCATTTAGTTTTGCAATTGGTTTATATTTATTTGTATTATTAATAGTTTTTAAGTATTTTTTTCATTATTATTTGGGACTCGGGGGCGAAAGTCCCTTATTTTTTAATAGCTTTTCTGTTTAGTTTTTAGTTTTGAGTTTAACGCGACGCGAACGAACGACCCGAAGTTACATTATTATCACACGTTCCCCCTTTGTTTTGTTTTTTTTTTTCTTTTTGTTTTTCTCCGACACGAAATAAAAAATAAACACAAACTTAAACGAAGTTTGCATTTAATTACATAATACTATTACTTAGATTTACTTGGTTTACTCATCATCTTCATAATCATTTATTTTCTTAATCTTCATTTTATTCTGACTGAGTTTTGGTTTTAGTTTCTCTATTCTCCTTTTTTGTTTTTGTTTTTCATTTGTTCCGCGACAATTTCAAAGACTTTTGTTTCCATTTAGTAGTACATTGTTTTTACACCCTAATCATCGTATTTAATTGTAAATAAAAAACATACAAATTTCTGTACATTAGAAATTATTATTGTGGGATAAAAGGATCTTACGCAAAAGACGAAAGCCTATACAAAAACGTAATGAAAGCAAAAGTTTTCGATGCAAATTATATGTATGATGATTAATTTAATTACACTTGTCCCTATACAACGAAAAAAAACTATATAATAATACTTTAAAAAGTGATCAGTCAATTGTTTTGTATTCAGTTATTCAGATCGCACAAAAACAACAAATTATTATACTCAACGAAATCCTAATCTCAATTTTTTTTTTTCTTTCTTCTCTCTTTAAAATAAACGAACATCTATAATTTTGTATATGAATATCATCCCGTAGTAATGTGTGTGTGTGGTGTTTGGTTTGTGTGTAATGTATAAGTAAATTGTTGTATCTGTAACAGTTGCATTATTTTATTATTGTAATCCTTGTATTATTTGATTTTTGTTTTTCCTTTTTGTTTTACCCGACGAAATACCACGTGACGATTGACGATTACCGATTTTACGAACGAACGGACGAGAGCGGCGAGATTACGCGAACGCGACGAACCCGAAACGCGACGAATTTTTGTTTGTTTGTTTTATTATTTATTATAATCCATGAAAGTGTTGGGTTTTAATTGTGAAATTCAAATCTTTAGTTGATTAATGCTGTTCTGTGGTGTTTTTTTGTTTTCTGAACGGATTTTTTTTTAACATCAGTCTTTATTTTGATTTGTAAGTGTTTTGGTATTCCATAATATTCATTTGCAATTTTTATTTATTATTTTTGATTTTTATTTCACAATTAGCCCAACGCTTTCAGTTTACGTTTATTGTTTAACGCGACACGAGTTTCGACGATCGATTTGATTTGATTTATTTATTATTTATATTCATGAATTACCGCATGGAGATAACACCCGTGTGTTTACCCATTCCATTATTAATTTCCCTATTTTTCTTGAGGCTGTGGCTGAGTGTACTGTTGGATTGTTTGGGTATGTCTCTATAGCACTCCAATCCGGTTAAGTACGCCCGGAACACATAATTTTTATCTATGGGTATACTTCTGCTTTTCTATTGATACTTGAGCTGAACAGACGGACTGGACAGGGCAGTACAGGACTGCCTAAAGAAGCTCTTGCCAGATCTAAGATCTGCAACTTTTTTTGTTTTTTCTTAGCTTGGATATATGTGTGCATGCTGGATATCTAGCTCAATCTCTATAAGATATATATATATATATCGATATAGTATATGTGGTATGTGTGGTTATGCGTATGGTTATGTGGATTTATGTGTTTTTTTTCTTCTTCTCTTTTTGCTGTTTTCAATTTCAATTAATTAACGTAATATTCGAACAGCATCGAATCGGATAACTTAGGGCTGTGTTAAAGATTAAGACGAAGCCATGAACGTTGCTACGACGACGCATGCTTGTACATAATTGTCTAGTTTTAGAACTCCTGTCTCCTGTGTCTGCACCACACCACTCCGCTCCGCTGTTGTGTTTGCTGCTTAGATGTTATACATGGTGACCAGGCGCTCGGCCAGTGTTGGCGGGAATTGTTCCACAAATCGACGCCAATTTTCTTCACCCACCTGTGTCTTGAAGCCATGGAGAATCTAAGGGGAATAAATCAAATCAATTAAATAAAATAAAATGAAATGGAATTATAGTTAATGCTCCCCTAACCTTTTGTATCATTTGATGCAAATCTTGCGGTGGATTCACCCACGAGGCAATGGCATCGCAAAAGAATATGAAGTCGGGCACCACGCCAGCTGGATTCACCGTGATCATATTACACATGCCACGAAAGGCCGAGTCCTTCTCATCATTGTCCCTGATGTGACGCAACGATGTGCACCTGTGTATTTCGTGTGGGAAGATCAAAAAGATTTAGTAAATTTAGATTGGCATTGGAGGACGCGTTGCGCAGACGAAAGTTCAAATATGTAAACGTTTGAAAATCCAGTCAATTTTGTGAGGCGAGAGAGAGTACAAATGATTGAATGAAGTGAAGTGTGTTAACGTGTGGGATTGGTTGATTGTTTGTTTCAGTGTTAAGCATATAATTTAAGGCAAGGTAAGGTAAGGTAGGGCGATAGATTATACTATATTGAGGAAAAAGAAAGCATAATCTAGTTGAATTGAATAAAACGTGTTACACACCACTGTCGTACAAATTCGGGCAAATAAGGAGCCACTTCAACTGGGCACACATAACCTAGACGACCGATTGTTATTGCTAAAATGAACAGAAAAAGTAAAAGAAGTTCAAAATCAGAAAATCATACATACATTTGTCAAAATAAATCAATAAATTACACAGATATATTTAGATTCGATTCGATTGATTGATTGGCACACTCAAATGGATATATAAATTATCGTATTTCTTAGTTATCTTATCTATGTATATCTATGCATGTGGTACGGGTATGTGAATGAATTTCGATTCGATTTTGTTCGTTTTGTTGCTGCTGCTGCTGCTGCTGAACAGGACATGCAACAATTAACAAAACAGAAACACAAAATAAAGACAGAAACAAGTGTTCAAATATTTCACATACACACATATGTACATCCAGAGATATATTAAATAAACATTATTGATATACATTTAATTATTTGTTAGACAACATTTTAATTAATTTTCGAGCCACTCATCGAACCACTTACCTGTGTTCTCCAGCAGTGTCTTGGGCGTATTCGGGCGATTGATTATAACAAACAGATCGGTGAGTACCAGATGTATGTACTGCTTGGTTTCCTCACCTGCAAATCGAAAGGATAAAATATTAATCTACGTTTTTTCGTGTGTGTTTCTAGAGGCGATCTCTTTGCTACTTTGTCGATAGCTCCCTGTCGAGCATCGATACATCCATTCGACATTTAAATACAAATCTTATAGCTTCATAGAATCCTTTAAAACTCACCCAATTTCATGCAAATCTCTCCAATGGCCCAAGTGGCATTATTGCACACCGAAATGAAATCGGGATTCAGATTTTGGCCCAAAATGGGAAAGAATTCGGCCATAAAGGGATGCACATGGGGGAAACAGGCCTTGGTCAGATCCCCTAGCAGTGCGAACGACGATTGGCGCACCTAAACACAAAGAAATTTCCAATTGAAATATAATGCAAGAGAAAGCGCCGCTTTATTGGACGCACCTCTGGGAGAACATCTTGCATGCACTGATAGAGCAAATGCATGATGTTGCTGTTCACCACCAGTGTCTCAATGTGACGATCCAGACCCTCGGCTAGGCCCGACAGCAGATCCAATGCCACAATCATGCGCTCCTTGTCCGGATGATCGAATGTCTGATTCTGTTTGCAAAGCTACAAGTACAGTGTAAAGTAAAATCTGTGATTAGGGTACGATAATAATCACACTTACCATTTCCTGGTTAATTGTCTGCTCAATCAGGGATATGCAGCGCCTGTAGACCGGATCGCAGTAGGGTAAAAAGCCGGATTGCAGGGCTGTGGCAATGCTCGAGAGGCATTCTAGCAGTGGGAACAGATCTTTGTCGTCGTCCTTCAGCAGATTCCACTTGTCGATCAGTGGCGGCATCAGAATGTCTATGTATTGCGACTTATTTAGATGATGGCCGACAGAATCAGCCAGAGTGCCAACGGCATCGTACAGAATCAGCAGATTCTTGTGCTGGTACTTGGAGAAGGCAAAGACGAGCGTCTTGAGGATGTACTCCAGATATGGCACCAGCTCCGTGCATGCCTCCTCCTCGAGGGTGGCAAAGGCTGAACAGGCGGCCTCCTGCACGCGCTTGTTCGAGTCGAGGATGCGCTTCAGCAGCTCCTCCATCAGGGGCTTTAAGTATTGATCATGCGGCTGATTGACCACCCAATTGGCGTACCGCGACAGTGTCCAGCAAGTAATGGATCGCACCAGGGCCTTCTTGTCGGACAGACAGCTGATAAGGTAGGGAATCAGTTCCGGCAAATGTTGAATCATTCCCTGCATACAGCCCTCGGCAATGGCGCCCAGGGCAAGGACACCGCTCTCCTTGACCACCCACTCCTGGTGAAAGAGCGTCTCCTTCAGGATGGGCAGCACAATGGGCAGACAATCCTCGCGGAAAACATTGGCCAGGACATCCAGAGCGGCCGCACTGCACTTGCGTAGATTCCACTCCGACAGCGAGCTGTCATCGTCGAGGCCATCATCGTAATCATCGTCATCATCCTCGCCGGCGGCTCCCGCCTGGCCGCCGCCCGCCTCCTGGCCACTCTTGATCGTGTGTGTGCGGGACTTGTGGAATCGCGGCCGTATATCCTCTTCCCGATCCGGCACCATATCATCCTCCTCCACATTGCCCTTTAGCAGGATAATATCAATCTCCGAGTACCTCATGCCGCGCACCAGAATGGGCGCTAACTGGGCCAGATAGGGTGCCAGCACATCCTTGCAGATACTCTGCTCGGCGAGCGACAGCCAAAACTCGGATGCCTCCAGGGCTACACCCTCGTCGGAGTCTTGGGTGCGCAGCAGCATGTACTACAACGGAGATGGGAAGACGTTAGAGAACGGAAAAGGATTGTAGGATTGTAGCGTCCAGGGAGCGGAGGGGGCGGGCACTCACCTCAATAATCTGAGACATGTGGGGCATCAATCGATCCATGCGCACCTCGAGCAGCATGACCAGTCCGTGGCAAACGTTCTTGCGCACCTCGTGATCCTCATCGGACGACAAGTGGAACAGATTCTCAATGAAACTGTCAATATTGATCATCAGCGCCTGGGAGCGATTGATGATGAACTGATTGATGCAAGCAATGGCATGGGAACGAATCTTGGGGCTGGAGTGCTTGAAGTACTGCAAGAACTTGGGAATCATCACGTTCAGCGGTCTGTTCAGGGCAGCCGAGTCCAGGATCTCGGCAGAATCTTCGCAGATCTTCTGCAGAGCACTAAATGCACCTTCGCACACATTAAAGTCCGGATTATCGAGCATCTCACAAAGCGACGGCAGCAGCTGGGGCCAGTTGTGAAGGCCTCCATTGCTGGCAATCGTCGTGATCAGTATGCCAACTGTGGCCCGTATTAGGGGCGAGGTATCGCCCACCGCCTGCAGGCATTCGTGTTTGATGTACTCAACGATCTCCGGCTGCAGATTACTGCCATGCATGCGGATGTTATTCTTTAGGATTAGGCCGCTTAGCGAGCGTGTTGGCTCGTCTTCTGTTTTGAGTTTCGTCAGCACATAGATGAGATAATTGTTGAAGTCTGGATACCGATTGAATTCCTCCAGTTTCTGCAACGCGAAATACACACATAAAATATATTTTGATCCCTTCCCCCTGTTTCTCTTACCATTTGTACGGCCATTTGGGTCGCTGTGTCCGGGGATTGAGATTCTTTCAAAATCCCAATGATCTGCTGCAGACCGTCTCCTTGTGGTTCCCACGTCATTGTGTAGCTGCTCTTCTAAAAATGCACAAACTTGAATTTTCAAATTCTAATTCGGCGGCAAGTTGAATGCCCTCTCGAAAGGGTAGGACAGACAGAGATACACTTTGTTCGAGGCCACTCTCCCCCACCCCTCCCCAACACATTCGCACACACACACACCCTCGCGCACACAGACACTGTGCAGACTCGCGCAGATGCACATGTATTTTGCAGTACATATGTGCATATTATATTTACATCATCTGCAAATTGCCCTAATCGCATTTATTTTAAGTATCTCGCCTGATGTTTGCCTCCCTGCGGTACTTTTTTACATGCGTGCGAGTGCGAGCGGAAGAAGAAATACTTTCGGGGGTCGCACAAGCCACACAAAAATTTCTTCCTAGAACACCACCGCCTACCCACCGCCATATTCTATCACACGGGCATTTTGATTTGGAAAAAACACTATATGGGACACTAGATCGTGCTATTTACTCACCTTTCCACTTTCTGTTGATAATTGGGATGTGCGTTAAAACTAATTCCCTCGAAAATTGCTTGAACTTTTTCCTAAATTTTCTCTTTTTTTCACTTTGCACTAGAGGTGTCAAACCACCGAGGGAACTATCGATAGTATCGATGTTTTGATGCTAGTCGCTTCTATTGATGGTGTTGCGAAAATCATGATAGTATCCAGCTACAGTGTTGCGCTTTTGATATGTTTGGATTGGCTGCTTTAAAATACGATACAATTTGTAAACATCTAATTTTTTTGTAATAATTATTATATGAGCCCCACTATAGTATCGATTGTTTTTTTTCAAACATTCAAAAACTATCGATGACTCAACTATCAATCGTTTGACTTTGCACTCAATGTCAGTGTGACCGCAGAATTTTCGATAAAATATACGCCCTTACTCTCAGAAATATACCGAAATATACCTTGTCATTTTCATAATATGCTGTAAATATACCTCAGAAAGCTAACATTATTATACATATGCAGTGCAGATCAATTATGTTATATTTTTTAATTTAATTTATTGTTTTTCATCGCATACTTGATGTATTTCGATGTCAGAGAGAGATCAATTTTAATTGTCACATTTGTTTCTTCCACTACGGTCATACTTAGTGCTGGCAGCGGTATCAGTCAAGGGGCTATCGAATAATCGAAGTGTCAACCCTAGTACCAATTTTGTTTGGGTTTGGGGCCAGACAGAAGAAATTGCTTTTAAACAAAGGACCCCAGAGCACGCTCTTCAGGACATTCATCCCGGGGTCAAACAAAGCCGCGTAGCTTACCAGACAGCCGAGTGAAAGTTTTTCAACTTGTCGCGTTTCAACATCCGTCGCGACCAGACGACATCATGAATAAGCGCAACCATGTGAGTGAAAGGAAGAGGAAAACACTCCAGACAAGACAGAAAATAAAATAAAATATTTTTGCTGAATATTTCTTGCAGATCCGCCTGCCGCCAGAGGTTAATCGGCTGCTTTATGTGCGCAACTTACCATACAAAATAACATCGGATGAAATGTATGATATTTTCGGCAAATTCGGTGCGATACGTCAGATACGCGTGTAAGTTTTTAGCTTGTGTCTTCTGTCTGCAAGCATCATTAATTGACCGCTCTGCTCTCTTTCTCTGTCCACAGGGGCAACACACCAGAGACGCGCGGCACAGCCTTTGTGGTGTACGAGGATATATTTGATGCGAAAAACGCCTGCGACCATTTATCCGGCTTCAATGTGTGCAATCGCTATCTGGTTGTTCTCTATTACCAGTCGAACAAGGCCTTCAAGCGTGTCGATATGGACAAGAAGCAGGAGGAGCTGAACAACATCAAGGCCAAGTACAATTTGAAGACGCCAGAGGCACCCTAGACGCAGACACAGGCGTGGCCAAATCGGTTCACATTTTCCACAGTTTAGAACACTTCTTGATATACCAAAATTTTGCTATCTACTTGTAGATTTATTTTGATCACACTTTTGTATCATTTTAATCTAATCTCATTATCATCCATCCATCCATCCATCACTCCATCTATCATATGAACTGGCGGGGACACCTCCGGATGGCTTTCCGGTTGTGTCCACACGGTTTGCAATCATTTGACGACATTCAACCACTCTCTCATAAAATAACAAGCAAGTGAAAGTAAAAAATACAAAAAAATCGCAAAAGCTTAAATCCTGAATTTTGCCAAAACTCAAACACCGGACACCGACACCTCTTAAAATTAGCTTATAACTGTAATAATGGGCTAAATATTAACCAACAATACTTTCTGCTCAGTCTGCAACCAAACAAGTCCTCTGGGAGGGCCTCCAACTTCAAGTTGAGGTGCTCTCCACCGCCTCTGCCGCTGCCTGATACTTTTCATAGGTATTCTGCTCCTTCTCCAGGGCCCGCTGCTTTTCCAAGTCCCTCAGCTCCTCCTTGGCTGCCTGGGCTATCTCCTGACGCAGTGCCTCTACCTTGCGCTTGCGTTCGCATCTCTGCAGCAGCTTCTGGCGCGCCTTGTCTGTGATTTCCTTGGGCGGTTTCGCTGGCCGGGGTGGCTTTTCGTCGTGCACCTTTTGGTGGCGTATGAGAGCCGCCTCCTGGCGGAAGTGGGTGCCGCAGGTCTTGCAGGCGTATGGCTTCTCGCCCGTGTGTATCCATTCGTGCTGCTTGAGCGACTGCGAGTTGGCGAAGCGACGCGAGCAGAAGCGGCACTCAAAGTCTTTGACCTTCTCGTGGATGCTCTTGTAGTGTCGCTTCATGTTGCCCAAGTTGTTGAATCCCTGATTGCAGCCCGGGCACAGATGCATGCCCTCTTTCTGGACGAACTTTGCCTGGGGCGGCGCACTGGAGGGCAACGACACGATGGGTATGGGGTTCACCACAGTGCCCGCTAATTGGGCCATATCAACGCGCTCCACGCGTCGCGGATCCCGTGGTATTGTGGCCACCGATTCGGCGCAGACTTTCATCAGATGATTGGCATCCACTTGGACCTGATCCTGGTCGGCGCTGGTCTCTCCCTGCCGCTGGCGATACGTCTCCAAGGCACGCTCCACGCTCTTCTCGTGTATCTTTAGGTGTTTTGTGAGGCTTTCGGTGTACAGGAACTTCTTGCCACAGACCTGAAATCAAAGAAAGTTCAGTTCAGTTGAAATTTTTTGGAAGATCTCCATCTCTCTCTCTCCCTCTCTGTTACCTTGCACTCGCACCGCTTCTCCCCCGTGTGTGTCATCTCATGGATTTTGCAGGCATGCGACTTGCCGAACGTCTTCCCGCAGTACTGACAGGCAAAGTTACGGACCTTCTCGTGAACGATCTTCACATGATTGTCCAGCGCTCGCTTTGTGTGCGTGGCATGGTCGCAGGTGGCGCACTTGAACTGCTTCTCCTGGGTGTGGGTCAGCATGTGCTTGCTCCATTCCTGTCGTGTCGTCTTGCCCACGCCACAGTACGGGCAGACGTAGTTCTTGATGCCCGCATGCCGCAGCAAATGGTTTTTGAGGGCACTGTTGATGTGGAATCCCTTGCCGCAGATGTTGCACGGATACGGCAGCTCCTCGCCCGTGTGCTTGTACATGTGCTTCTTGAGGGCCACCTGACAGCGGAAGACAATGCCACACTCCGTGCATGGCTGCTCCGCTCGCGGGGCGCTCACCCGCGTCTGGTTATGCACCTTCTTCAGGTGAATGGTGAGCAGCCGCAGGCGGGGAAAAAGCAGCTTGCAGCCCTCCACGCTGCATGGTATCTCATCGACTTTCCTGGTGTGCGCATAGTCCACATGCAGACGCAGTGCACCGGCTGTGGTGAAGCCCTTCTTGCAGGTCTCCTCTGTGCACTGGAAGGGCAGGAGGTCGTTGTGGTACTTCATGTGCTCGTCGAATTTCGATTGCTTCTTGAACTTTTGCTGGCAGATGGTGCAGGTGATGATACGGCGGAGGCGACGCTCCTCTGGCGGAATCCTTTTCCGCTTTGCTCGCTCCTTGGACGTCTCTTCGCCCAGCAAACGATGGGCCAATGGAAGTTCGTCATCGGTAGAGCCATCCTCCTCCTCGTCGTCATCGTTCTCCTCGGATGTGTAGTCAGTGAAAGCGCTCTTGTCCACCGTCACGAGCATCTTGAAGACCTCCTCCTCGTTCTCAATCATCTCCAGCTTGTGATTTAACAGCGGATCATAGCTGGAATCCGGCCCCACAATCACCTCCGCTGGCTGTTCGGCCAATTCTACTGTGACGATTCTGTTGGCTGCCACCATACCCTTGAATCGGTGCACAGAGTCCTGGCATAATTTTTGAAACTCCTGCAGGTCGTTCAATTTCCCAAAGCATACATTGCAGATGCTCCGGGGTAACCCATCCTGTTGGTCCACATCGAGGGAGGTGCACAGGGTTAGCTTTTTGGCCAGATCTGGCTCCAGAAACAGATCGTGGGCGGAACTCTGCTCCAGGTACGTAAGACAGAGGCGGCATATTGAGTGCACGGTATATGGCTCGCTTGCAACCATATCCATGCAGGGAAAACCCGAGCTGCGACAAAAATTTGCTGACAAAACAACAAAAATTTACGCGTTTTTAGAGATGTATAGCTTGAAGTAGTGTTGGCAGCCTTAGCTAACTGGAGCTAGCTTCTGTCTGTTTTTCAGCTGTAACTGTAATTTGAATGTGTGAATGTTATATGCATGTGTTGCAACAGTTTCATGACTTATGCACAGGAAACTAATTATTAAATTAAATTGTATTAAATTCATATTTTACCGACGAACTATTTTTCTGGCATGCGTGCCATCACTGACACCGAACCGAGTACCACCGAGTACATGTCTGAAAGTATCGATGCTTGTGTCTTGCACTTCTCTTATTGCCACTCGCCCATTTTTCGCTGACGACGAGTATACTATTTTTTCTGTGTCAATATTATTTTTATTGCTGGCTGGCTGGATAAAAGATAAACGCAATTGTTGAAAACGCTGCCGCAACACACAAACCGCAACATGGATATGGCCAGGACGTATTCGATACACACGCTGTGTCGCATTTGCCTGAACCACTTGCAAAACGATGCCGCATACGATTTGTATCTGGTGCCAGGCCTGTCGAAAAAACTGTGTCTGTGTACGTCCCTCTCCGTCGAGCAGAACGATGGCTTTCCCAAGAATTTGTGCAGCAATTGCTACACCAGGCTGAACGACCTGCACGATTTCCAGAAGCTGTGCGTCGACTCGGTCCAGAAGTTCCAGGACCTTGTCGCCAGTAACGTTTTCACCTGCCAGACGAACTTTGATGTGTTGGATCCCAGTTCAACGTCGCACGATCTGCCCGGAGAGGATGAGGATCACATCAACTTTGATCCCCTTTTGAACCACAAGATGGAGCTAATTGAGAACGAGGAGGATGTGTTCAAGATGCTGGAGCACTGTGACAAGGAGGCCGAGGAGTGTGAAAACGAGAGCGTCAAGCAGGATAAGCTGAAGGGTTCGCCCAGCAATGCACTGAAAATGTTCGATGACGACTCCTCCGTGGAGAGCGGCAATGACAACGACAGAGATCTGGACTTTGAGCCCAACAGCAGCGACGACGACATTCCTTTGGCCCAGCGCATGAGGGGATCCACCCAGTCCCAGTCCACCCGCACACCAGCCAAGTCCAAGCCCAAGCCCAAGAAGAAGAAAGTGGTGGACTACGACGACTTCAGCAGCTCCACCTCCGACTCGGACGACGACGATGATGACAACAGGGAGAAGCCCAAGCGGAAGAGGATTCCAGCCGATGAGCGGCACCTTCATCGCATCATAGACTGCCACATTTGTCATCAGAAGTTCAAGAAGGCCATCCGCTACGAGGAGCACATGAAGTACCACAATGATCTGCTCCCCTTCCAGTGCAAGGTGGAGAGCTGCCGGAAGGGATTCACCACAGCGAATGGTCTGCGCATCCATGTGGACCATGCCCACACCGAACTGTCCGAGGTGCACCACTGTCCCGCGGAGGGATGCGAGAAGACGTTCCCCCGCATCAGACTGCTCACGTTCCACATGAAAAAGGTGCACAACATAACAAAGTCGGCCGCTCCGCTGCGCGACTTCCCCTGCCCCGAGTGCGACACTGTCTTCCGCTGCCCCACGGCCCTCAAGAAGCACATGTACAAGCACACGGGCGAGGAGTTGCCCTATCCTTGCAACATCTGCGGCAAGCGGTTCGTGATCAACAGCGCCCTCAGGGATCATCTGATGCGACATGCGGGCATCAAGAATCACGTCTGCCCATACTGCGGCGTGGGCAAGACGACGCGCCAGGAGTGGAACGCCCACATTCTCACCCACACCAAGGAGAAGAAGTTCAAGTGCCGGCAGTGCGACCACGCCTCCCACAACAAGCAGGCCCTGTCGAACCACATCAAGGTGGTGCACGAGAAGCGGAAGGATTTCGCCTGCCAGTACTGTGGCAAGACGTTCGGCAAGTCGCATGCCTGCAAGGTGCATGAGCGCAGTCACACGGGAGAGAAGTGCTGCGAGTGCAAGATCTGCGGCAAGATCTTCCTCTGTGAGAAGAGCCTGACGAAGCATCTGAAGACGCACGAGAAGCGGGATCTGCCGCCGTCAGAGCCGCAACGGCAACAACAGCTTAACATTCCCATTCCGATACCGGGCCAAATGCAAGCCGATGGCCTGGGGAATCCCAATCCCAATACGAATATCAATCCCAATCAAAACGAGGACATGCTCAAGGCTTGCGCTAGCAGTGGCGGGCCCGCTGCACCGCTGCCCAAGCAGAAGAACTCCAGACGCGTCCAACGGGTGGATATTTCCCAGTTGGCTGGCACTGCTGTCAATCCCATACCATCGGTGTCGGTGCCCTCGTGGTCGCCGCAGGTGAACTTCACCAAGAAGGAGGGCCAGCACATCTGCCCCGGCTGTGGGCGAGGCTTCAACAACATTGGCAACATGAAGCTCCACTACAAGATCATCCACGAGAAGGTGAAGGACTTTGCCTGTCGCTTCTGTCCCAAGCGCTTCTCCAAGGCCCAGATACTGCGCCACCATGAGTGGATCCACACGGGCGAGAAGCCCTTCGAGTGCAAGATCTGCAACAAGCATTTCCGCCAGGAGACGGCCCTCAAGAAGCACATCAAGACGCACGAGAAGCCCGGCCGCCGTCATGTGCCGGAGAGGAGTGCACCCACAGTGCCCACCTTCATGAAACTGGATCCTGAGGCCGAGCCAAGGAACTACGATCTGTATCAGGATCCGGCTGCCGAGAGGGCGGCGGCCACCGCCGAGCTGCTCGCCCACCAGATGGAGGAGAACGAGGCCAAGCGGAAGGCGGACATCGAGCGCCAGAAGATCGCGGCGGCTGCCTGCGAGCAGCTAACGAAGCTGCAGAAGCAGCAGGAGATTATGAAGGCCACCACATCCTACGATGGCTACTACCAGCAGAAGGCCGAGGCCGATGGCACCAGTGTGGATGCCCTGAAGATCGATCATGTGTAGAGTGTCCTGTCCGGCTGGATGGATTCTTAATATATCGTAAGTTTTATATTGTATTAACTTTTACAGCGCAAACTGTTCCGGAACATTTGTCTTCTGCCCCCTCGAATTGCTCTCTTCTCTCTAGTTGAAACGGAATAGAAAAACTTCATTTATTCGAGAACATTTAATACAGAAAATTAACGATTTTTATATTACACACATACACATGGATGTATGTGTGCCTGAATTTGTGTATCTTTATGTTTATTTTATTATGTACTACATACATAGACAACAACAACAATCTCCTGTGCTTACTTAGAGTAAATGGATTAAATATTACCTACATTACAAACAAACCAATGCTCCACTTATTTCATGCACCATACAGTGGGATACATACACATCTCTCAGTGGATTGGCACACGTACAGTCCCACGGTCTAATACGCCCATCATACCCTTTCTGCATGTGTGTGTGTACATGCATGCATACATATGTGCATGGATAAGCAAAAACATATTCGGTGCAGTTCAATCGTTTTTGTCAAAGCTATATCGAATAGAAGCAGAAAATACCCCTGAAAATGGGGTGGTGGGTGGTTGCAATATGTATGCTGCTGTTGCAAACATTTGGGCGTAATCATAATACCCCCATTAAAAAAGGTATAATAAAAACGTCCATCCCTATGCATGTGTGTGGGAGCGTTCCTAGTGATGTGTACTTTCCAACGAGTATTCAGCAGTCGATACTCCTAAATGCAAACTAGTACATTTGAAAATGACCGCCAAACTCATTTAGCGCACAAAAAATATCGATATTATTCGCTCTCAAATTGTGGTGGTTTTTCGAAATTCGCTCTCTTTTTTTATGTGAAGAGAGCGTTTTCGTGGTGACTTTTCGTGGTGTGAGAAACATGTATCTTACGGGAACGCGTATGGAATGAAGATTAATTGTTGCGTCATTCCATACGCGATCCCGTAAGATACATTTGATTTGTATGGGAAAAAATGAACTCTATTATCTAAACAATCCCATTAAAAATAGTTCTGAAAACTAGCCAATCCTGAACAAAATTTATTGAGGAATTGGATAAAATTATTGTTTTAGGGCTGAGAGGTCCAACTATCTAGTAATATTAAACTGAATATCAAAATTGACGAATTTCATATCACAAAATATCACGGTATGGCAGCCCGCAGCAACTACGAATTGCACGAGTCTGGCAGCGCCACAAAACGACGACACATTCGTTTTATGTTGTTTTTGCTTGAACCTTAATATGTAAATAATCCAATAAAAAGGACTTCTAAAAACATGCCAATCTTGTAGAAAATTTATGTATCTATCCGATAAAATGATTTGTTTAGGGCTGAGAGTCTCAGCTAGCTAGTAATATTAAACGGAATATCAAAATCGAGGAATATCAACGTTGAATGTTTTGAAAAAACAATCGATACCATCGTAATAGCTCTAATAATTATTAAAAAACCATTGAAACCTTTTAGGAACTTGTCCATTGTAAAAATTAGATGCCACCTGTCGATTTGTTTAGAAATGTGTCTTCGTATTTTATAGCAGCCAATCCAAACATATCACGCAACGACTGTAGCTCTATACTATGAAAGTAGAGGCTAGCAGCAAAATATCGATACTATCGATAGTGCCCTCGACACCCTTTGACACCTTTATATGTAGATACTGTGTTAGATTTTTCTCAATATTATTTTCTTAATAGTGATTAAATAGCTTTAATATTCTTAATTCATTTTATTAGACCAGTCCAAAAAAACTATCATATCTATATTATCGAAGATATATATCGATATATTGATTAACATCCCTATGTATACTATATATATATATACAGCGATATATATATATACACACACGTATATATGTAGATACTGTGTTAGATTTTTCTCAGCGCAGAATTTTATTTGCATCAGCTATTGATTGCCAAAACTAAACGAATTGAATTGGAAAAATGAACGAGGGGAGTCAGTACTCCATACATACGGTATGCCGCACCTGTCTGAGCACCCTGCACAACACCATGGCATACGATCTCTTTTTGATTCCGGGCCTGGCCAAAAAACTGTGCGTGTGCACCTCGCTATCGGTGGAGCAGCAGGATGGTTTTCCGAAGAATCTGTGCATCTCGTGCTACTCGAAGCTGAACGAACTGCACGACTTCCAGAAGTTGTGCGTGGACTCGGTGCAGAAATTCCAGGATCTAGTGTCCAGCAACGCCTTTACGTGCCAGACGAACTTCGATGTTCTGGATCCGAGTGCTGCAGTCGCCGACCTGCCGGCCGAGGACGAGGACCACGTAAACTTTGATCCGCTTTTGAATTCCAAGATAGAGATTATTGAGAATGAGGAGGACGTGTTCAAGATGCTGGAGGATGTGGAAAAGGAGGTCGAGGAGGTAGAGAAAGATGAGCTGGGCTCTGCCGAAGAGTCCAACGACTCCTCCCTTGAGAGTTGCAACGACAACGAACAGGACGAGGACTTTCAGCTAAACAGCAGCGATGATGACGTGCCTCTGGCGCAGCGGGCCCGACGCGGAAATAGGCGTGGCAACAAAGCAAAGGCCAAACGACCCGCAAAAGATGATTCTGATGAATTCAGCTCCTTCTCCGATGACTCGGATTCCGACGGCGAGAGGGGAACCAGGGAGAAGGCCAAGCGCAAGAGGATTCCCGCAGCCGAGCGACACCTCCATCGCCTCATCGACTGCCACATTTGTCATCAGAAGTTCAAGAAGGCCATCCGCTACGAGGAGCACATGAAGCACCACAACGATCTCCTCCCCTTCCAGTGCAAGGTGGAGAGCTGCCGGAAGGGATTCACCACGGCCAACGGGCTGCGCGTCCATGTAGAGCATGCCCACACGGAGTCATCGGCCATGCATCCATGCACCTACGAGGGCTGCAACAAATCCTTTGCCCGGCCGGTGCTGCTCAACTTCCACATGAAGCGTGTGCACAAGGTGGACACGCCCCAGAGGGACTTCCCCTGCACGGAATGCGACAAGGTATTCCGCTGCCCCACGGCCCTCAAGAAGCACATGTACAAGCACACGGGCGAGGAGCTGCCGTTTGCTTGCGAGATCTGCGGCAAGCGCTTCCCCATCAACAGTGTGCTGAGGGATCACTTGCTGCGGCATGCAGGCATCAAGAACCACGTCTGCCCCTACTGCGGCGTGGGCAAGACGACGCGCCAGGAGTGGAACAAGCACATTCTCACCCACACCAAGGAGAAGAAGTACGAGTGCCGCCAGTGCGAGCACACCTCGCACAACAAGCAGGCCCTGGCCAACCACGTCAAGGTGGTGCACGAGAAGCGGAAGGATTTCGCTTGCCAGTACTGCGGCAAGACCTTTGGCAAGTCGCATGCCTGCAAGATCCACGAGAGAAGCCACACGGGAGAGAAGTGCTGCGAGTGCAAGATCTGCGGCAAGGTCTTCCTCTTCGACAAGGGCCTGACCAAGCATTTAAAGACGCACGAAAAGTCCGATCTGCCCAGGAACCAGACCGCGGCCAATCCATTGCTGGCTGAGGTCGCTGCGGCAACCTCTTCCTCAACGATTGCAAAGCCCAGCCCCCACCTGCGAGGGCGTGTGGAGAGAGTGGACATTGCCCAGTTGGCGGGCACTGTGGTGAATCCCATACCGTCTGTGAACCTACCGTCGTGGTCGCCGCAGGTGAACTTCACCAAGAAGGAGGGCCAGCACATGTGCCCGGACTGCGGCAAGGGATTCAACCATGTGAGCAACATGAAGCTCCACTACAAGGTGGTGCATCAGAAGGTGAAGGACTTCTGCTGCCGCTTCTGCCCCAAGCGGTTCGCCAAGAAGCAGTATCTGCGTCACCACGAGTACATACACACGGGTGAGAAGCCGTACGAGTGCAAGGTTTGCGGCAAGCACTTCCGCCAGGAGCAGGTGCTCAAGACCCACATGAAGGTCCACGACAAGCCGCCGAGGCCGCCAAGCAAGCCCAAGGAGCCGGTTATACACAGGGATACGGTCAAGCGGCAGCAGCCAAAGAACTTTGAGCAGTACCAGGATCCCGCTGCGGAGCGGGCTGCCGCCACTGCCGAGCTGTTGGCCTACCAGCTGGAGGAGAACGAGGCCAAGCGGAAGGCGGAGGTGGAGCTGCGAAAGATCCAGGAGGCGGCATTCGAGCAGTTGAACAAGCTGCAGAAGCAGACGAACACCTACGATGGCTTCTACGCCCAGAAGGCCGAGGCGGAGGGCACCACCGTCGATGCATTCAAATTGGATCATGTCTGAGGACAGCAATAAAACTCTATATGTTTATTAATATTAGTAATATACACGTATATTATGTGTGTTTCTACTACTATGAGCATAGTTTATATATAGTATTTTTAAATGTATCATTTATTCGATTCGCTATTATTTTAAAGCATTTTTTTAATTGTGTGTTCCCCCAACATTCGCTTCCATGAGATTTACTTTTGGGTCGTTATGAAAATGAAAATTAAGCAATGCATAAGATGAAGAAAGTTGAACTGACATCAACTTCTGGTTTTATAATCCATAGTTGTGATTTCAAATTAAAACGCCGAATTCGTTCCGCCTATCGCACAAAAGTACCGATAATATTTTTAAGCAGCTACAGCTACCCTGTGTATCGATGTCTAGTCTAAATTCGCGGGTAGATGATTTTTTGACGTGAAATAAAATAAAAATAGAGTCGATTTGCCCTGATTATATATAGTTAATATACATATAAAAAAAAATATACATGATTACATGTTAAAAACAAATATACCCATATAATTATTATAGCCAGTCGAACACAATATTACTTACAAATATATTATCAGCCATCAAATGCATATCGATATATTTATAAAATATAAATTTAGCATCTCTAAACTCCACTATATCCATAAACATGCACAAATTTCGCTAAATTCCGCTAAAACTAAAGTTTGCAAGATTTCTTCAACAGTTCGCAGAGCTCACGAGACTCTGTTCAAATAGAGTCAATGTTAGAGCCGTGTTAACCACCGAATTAAAGCATGAATGCTCCCATTGTTTTATGCGAAATTGCAAATGAAATTGAAGCAGAATGTGTCTGCGAACCATCACAATTCATGTATGCCAAAAAAGGTTGGCAACTAATGGACTGCTTTGCAGAGAACACTCATGCAGAGATACTCATAGAATGCATCAAAAAGTGTAAGTTGTGTTAGTGTAATTTAATGCAAAATGAATGATTCTCATTCACGCATTTGCAGGCGAAGCCCTGCGTCCCCGAAAGTTGGTCTTCAAAGCCATCAAAAAAGATGGCAAATGGATTTTGGTGCTGTTGCAGAAGGTATCTCACGCTAAAGTCTGTCCGCTTGACATGGAAATGGGTGCCACACTATTGCCGATTGTGTTCAAAAATTTTAGGCTGGAGACCAGCCTGGATTTTGTAGTGGCCGAGCAGGAGAAGATCTATCAACGGCCCCTCAAAACGTATGTGACAACGAAGCTATTCGACGCACTCTACGACCGACACCAGAAGGTGCGAGAGGGCAAGGACAAGCCGTTAAATCTACCAGACTGCTTCCAGTCGAGGTTGCGCAAATACCAAGAGCGCAGCGTCTGCTGGATGCTGAGTCGCGAGCAGGAGTTGAATGAATTTACTGGAAACTACTCCATCCTCCTGGCGGTGGATGGGCATACACGCGTGGTCAAGCATGACTACTGTCTCGAGTTCTATCCGTTTCAGGAGGAACTGCAAAAGATAGCTTTGCCTCCGGGTGGCATTCTGGCGGATGAAATGGGCTTGGGCAAGACGGTGGAGTTCCTGGCCATGCTGATGCTCAATCCCAGAGTTAAGGGCACATTCAACAACAAATACTGGCTAGAACTTCTTGAGAGCGTCGACGAAAACGTGCCTCGGAAGCAGCAGCGACTGCAGGACGATCTCTTTTGTATCTGCACCAAAAAAAAGGGCATACGGATCCAGTGCAGCAAATGCCGACTGTGGCAGCACGAGCGGTGCATGAGTCGCAGTGTCCAGCAGGATGCGAATGATCCCCCATATGTGTGTCCCAGCTGTTGGTCGGAACTGGGAGACATGGGAAACACGCACCTGGTCGAGTCCGGAACCACCATCATAGTCTCGCCCAATGCCATCAAGATGCAGTGGTTCAACGAGATGAAGAAGCACATTTCGCCAGCCTTAAAGGTCCTTCTGTATCCCGGTCTGCACTCTGGCACGTGGTACAGTCCCCTGGATCTGGCCAAGTACGATGTTGTGCTCACAGATTATCTCATCCTTCGCAATGAGATTTATCACACAGCGGACTACAAGTCCGATCGCCAGATGCGCCACCAACAGCGCTATATGCGTCCGAGCTGTCCGCTTCTAATGGTCAACTGGTGGCGTGTCTGCTTGGACGAGGCTCAGGTATGACAGAAGACCCCAGCACCTCTTTCCGAATGTTATAAATGTATTTTCTCTTTATTAGATGGTGGAAAGCAACACCTCACAGGCGGCGGAAATGGTGCGTATGCTGCCGGCCGTAAATCGTTGGGCCGTCACTGGAACCATTGACGATCTGCCGCCACTCTTGCAGTTCGTTGGCTTCAATGAGGCCTGCCAGCCACCGGCTGCCTGGCAGACTGTGGACAAGTCCTTCCAGCTGAATCACAATCCAAAGCCATTGCTGGATCTGCTGGAGCACAGCTTGTGGCGGACCTGCATGTCGAAGGTGAATCACGAACTGGGTATTCCGCCGCAAACGGAAGTTGTGCATCGCCTGGAGCTTAGCAATGTGGAGGCTCTGTATTATAGCGAGGAGCACGACAAGTGCCACGATCAGTTCCGCAAGGAAGTGGCCAAGAATACGCATCACAACGATGACAACAGCGCCCGGCTGGCGGCCATTTCTTCGCAGCTGCTGCGCAGCATCCTAAAACCATTTCTGCACATACGCAAGACCTGTTCCGTGCCCTTCGTGCACAACAACAACAATGTACACGCCTCGAACTTTCTGGATCCGCAGGATCTCCTAGACCATCTGATAACCAACAACGAGACCGAATGCAAGAAGGAGCTTCGCAGCTGGGCCTCCTCGTACAATGGGACGGCGGCCATATTCTTTATACGCAAACGTTACAGCATGGCCATTACGCAGTACAAGCTCCTGCTGAAACTAGCCGCGGACTACAACAAAGACAACATATCGTAAGACAGTAGCTGCAGCTTCTTAGTGTTAATAGATCCATATCATATAGCACAATGTTTTCTTTGTTACAGCGTGGACAGTGTACTCCAGATTCATGCTCTCTACAACATTCTGGAAGCCAACACTCTGGCTGCACCTCAGGACAAGATATCCGAAATCGAGGTGACCACCTATCAAGCACAGATGAAAGCGTTAGAGTGGAAGTATCTGGACGACACCTCCAAAGTTCTCCAATCGGCTGACAATGCCTACCAGTCGAAGATAACTGAATGTCACAACTTGAATGATCAGTTCAGTGACATAGTCGAATTTATGTCCACGGTGGTCCACCACGAGCCTTCCCTCCACGTTGCCATTTGGAACAAGGTGCGCGAGGAGTTCATCAGGCAGAATATCTCTGCTGATAAATTCGCACATGTCGACACCGTATGGGGCATCCTTTATGATCTTGAAATGTGGCATGGGCGTTTCGAAGATCTCAAGACAAATTTAATTGAGGAATTCGAGTATCTAAAGGATATCATTGGTCGTGCTGTTTCAACAGTCCAGGCGGGAGATGCCCTAGCGGCTGACATCACGAATTTCATTGGCCAAGTTTCCGATTGTCATCTCGCTGAGATTTTGGTGAGTGCTAAACTCGAAAAAGATATATTTTGCAGCTTAAAGTTGTAGCTTTCGTGTGACTTTTCCCCAGCAGGATGATGATGATAAAAAGAAACCGAAAAAGCCACGCACTTGTCGCCTGTGCAAGATACGTGAGACCCTTCATAAATTCGAATGTGAGCTGTTTGACAAAGAAAACGACGAAAACGAAGGGTTGGAGAAGCCCAGCACGATGATCGCTCTTATAAAAAGTACAGTGGGAATCCGCCTTAATCCAATTGGGCTTCACCTAATTATGTATCGGTTTCGTTTCAGTAATCTTAACATTCGTGCGCGGAAAACCAGAGTTCAGGGACTACCGTGACGAATGTAAAGTCCAATTGGATTTTCTCTCCAGCCTCCAGGGTCTGGCCAAAGCAATGGCCAAGTACTGGATCGAGGTGGAGTATATGGTGAAGTCATTCGATGAGCTGGAAATGTGCAAGATGCGCATTCAGCTAACCGCTGATCCCAAAGAACAGTCAAATTATCGCATCTTGAGGGGTGAGGTCGCTGAGCATTTGGAGGCGAATCTGAGCAATCTGGACATGTCACAGCTCAACTTTGCGCGGCTGTGTGGACGCCTCAAATATTTAAAGCATTTAAAGGAGGACAAGAGCGCCAAAGTCTGTCCCATTTGCCAGACCGATGAGGATTCCCGAGTAAATATAATCATAAATCACATAAATATCAGATTCAAATGTTCTATAGTCTCTGATAAATGCACTCTCTTGCAGTATGTGATGATGGTTTGCGGCCACTTCATTTGCAAACACTGTCTGGACGTCATGAAAAAGAAAATAACGTACGAGGGCCGCACCAAGTGTCCGACCTGTCGGCAGGTTTCGCCACAGTAAGATATGATTTCCCAATCTCATCATAAATATTTATCTGACTGTCGCTTTCCGTTTTAAAGGCTTTATCATTCCATTCGTCCTGGGGAGACCAAATCGATCGTTGGAAACTTTTCAACGAAAATTGCCTGCATGGTGGAATTGATACTCAAGATTTCGGCTGCGGGTAATAAGGAAAAGATACTCATCTTCTCCCAATGGCAGCCGATACTCGAGCACATTTCGACTGCCCTCAAATTGAATGGGATTGAGTATCGCAAGTGCAGTAACAAGGATCTCGAGGAGTTTAAGGTTGGTTGCGAGTGCTTAAAGTATGATTATCCATCCCACTCTCACGTGACTCTCCTTTAGAGCACTGAAAATAATGTTACCTGCCTGCTAATGCCTTTGTCGCGTGGCTCTAAGGGTCTTAATCTAATCGAGGCCACACATGTGTTTTTGGTGGAGCCAATCCTGAATCCTGGCGACGAACGGCAGGCCATTGGCCGTATACATCGCTTCGGCCAAACAAAGTGAGTTCTGCTTCTGTTCTAGTTCGTGTTCCATATTTAATCTTTTGTCTTGCCTGCTGTAGAGCCACGACAGTACACCGATTTGTAATGAATGGCACGATCGAGGAGAATATTTTGACGCTAATCACATCAGCGGATGACAGCGAAACCTTTGGCACTCACTGGGATCTGGGCAATATGACGCTGGACAGCTTAAAGAAGCTATTCGTACTGAAGTAGAATGGGTCCGTTATTGGTATTCTATTAATTATAAACATTTAAGAAACTAGATATTTAAACAGAATGTTTATATGACTACATTCCCCCACTTATTTTGTATAATGAATATACAAGTATTATTGCTGTTCGTAAAAAACATTTACATTAGTATTTGATTCCCCTTCCCAACCCCCAGAGCAACGTTTAACGTTTGGCTGCGCTCCGCTCCTCTTCCCGCTCACACATGATCCATTTTTAGGGTATCGAGGCTGGTGCCATCCGCGTGCGCTTTTTGCGCGTAGTAGCCATCGTAGGAGGTCTGCACCTTGTCGATCTCCTGCTGCTGCTGCAGTCTTTGTAGCTGCTCGTAGGCAGCCTCCTGGATCTTGCGCCGCTCCTCGTCTGCCCGCCGTTTCACCTCGTTCTCCTCGAACTGCTGGGCCTGCAGCTCGGCGGAAGCAGCTGCCCGCTCAGCGGCAGCCTCTTGGTACTCGTCGTAAGAGTGCAGATTCCTGTCGGTCGTCTCCAGTTTGTGCAGCGATGACAGCTGCTCCTTGGCCGCGTCGGCGATCTCCTTGCGCTTTGCCTCCGCCTTGCGTTTGGCCTCCCTTTTGCTGCGCTCCTGCTCCTCCAGTTCCTCGCGGGCCGCATAGAACTTCGAGGAAATGACAGGCGGGCGGTTCTCGTGGGTTCGCTGATGCCGCTTGAGGGCCGTCTCCTGGCGGAAATGGGTGCCGCAGGTCTTGCACTCAAACGGCTTCTCCCCCGTGTGGATCCATTCGTGGTGGCGCAGTGTCTGGGCCTTTGCAAACCGCTTCGGGCAGAAGCGGCAGGCAAAGTCCTTGACCTTTTCGTGGATGATCTTGTAGTGTCTCTTCATGTTGCCAATGTTGTTGAAGCCCTGCCCACAGCCCGGACAAATGTGCTTGCCCTCCTTCTTGGTGAAGTTCACTTCTTGCGGGGACCACGATGGCACCGACACCGAAGATATGGGATTGACAGCAGTGCCCGCCAACTGGGAAATGTCCACGCGTTGGACGCGACGCGGATCCTTGGGTATGGTGGCCACCGATTCAGCACAAACTTTGAGCAGCTCATCGGCGGCGTTCTGTGACATTACTGCCTCTCCAACTGCACTCGTTTCGGTTCCAACTGCGGCCGGCACTCCCATAACATCTTCGGTGTTCTCCACCGGATCCCCGGGTCCTGCCTCGCCCATCTCCACCTGCCTTTGGCGATAGGTCTCAATGGCGCGAAGTACCCGCTTCTCGTGCGTCTTCAAATGCTTCGTTAGACTCTTTGGATAGAGGAACTTCTTGCCACAGACCTGAAATTAATGAAAAAACTTTCAGTTGAGAGGATACTTTGGAGGATCTCCCTCTCTCTCTCTCTGTTACCTTACACTCGCAGCGCTTCTCTCCCGTGTGTGTCATCTCGTGGATCTTGCAGGCATGCGACTTGCCGAACGTCTTGCCACAGTACTGGCAGGCATAGTTCTTGATCTTTTCGTGGACGATCTTAATGTGGTTGGCCAGGCTCTGCTTATTGTGGGAGGCATGCTCGCATATATGGCACTTGAACTTCTTCTCCTGGGTGTGAGTCAGGATGTGGGTGTTCCACTCCTGGCGCGTCGTCTTGCCCACACCGCAGTAGGGACACACATAGTTCTTGATGCCCGCATGCCGCATCAGATGATCCTTGAGGGCGCTGTTGATCACGAACCGCTTGCCGCAGATGTTGCAGGGGAAGGGCAGCTCCTTGCCGTCGTGCTTGTACATGTGCTTCTTCAGGGCCATGGGACAGCGGAATATCTTCTCGCACTCCGTGCAGGGATAGTCGCGTGGCGGAGCCGCCGACTTTGCTATATTGTGCACCTTTTTCATGTGGAACGTGAGCAGGCGTATGCGCGGGAAACTCTTCCCACAGCCATCGACGCTGCACGTGTGGACCTCAGACAGTTCGGTGTGGGCATGGTCTATGTGGAGGCGTAGGCCGCCTGCCGTTGTAAAACCTGCAAGTTCAAATGTTACAGAATATTCCTTTTTAAGAGTGATTGCTGGAGAGGATTACCTTTCCTGCAGGTTTCCACCTTGCACTGGAAGGGCAGGAGATCGTTGTGATGCTTCATGTGCTCTTCGTAGCGGATGGCCTTCTTGAACTTCTGGTGGCAGATATGGCAATCGATTATGCGATGCAGGTGACGTTCGCTGGGTGGAATCCTCCTACGTTTGGACCTCGAGCTGTCGCCGTCCTCGTCAGCTTCCGATCCCGACAAGTACTCCTCCTCTTCCTTGACGTCTGTAGCGGTGGATTTCTTGGTACTGGCCTTGGACGATTGGCGTGGAGTCACTCGCAGACGCTGCGACAGGGGCACGTCGTCATCGCCATCACTGCTGTTGGGTTGAAAGTCCACGTCTTCATCGATGTCACTGCCGCCACTCTCAGTCGAAGAGTCGTCGGCAAATATCCCCATCAAATGATCGTCATCAGCGTCTTGCTTGACCTCCTTTTCCGCCTCCTCGGCCTCCTTGTCAACATGCTCCAGCATCTTGAACACGTCCTCCTCATTCTCAATCAGCTCCATCTTGTGGTCCAACAGGGGATCAAAGTTGATGCGATCCTCCTCCTCCCCCACCAGTTCCCCCTCGTGTCCGGTCACATTCAGAACATCAAAATTCTTAATCTGCGAGCCCGTGGCGACGACGCAGAAGACATTATTGGCCACCATGTCCTGGAACTTCTGCACCGACTCCACGCACAGCTTCTGGAACTCGTGCGTCTCGTTCAGCCGGCCGTAGCAGCTGGTGCACATTTTATTGGGATATCCATCCTGCTGATCCACAGACAGAGGAGTGCAGACGCACAGTTTTTTGGCCAGACCTGGGACCAGGAACAGATCGTAGGCGGCATCGTTCTGCAAGTGCTGCAGACAAATGCGGCACACCGCCTGTATGGAGTACTGAGCCCCCTCATCCATTATGCCACCGCTTCACCGTGTTGGCCAATATTTATATTTATATTTCAGAAAAAAAGCGTCAGAAGGGCTGCAATAGAGGTGTCAAACCACTATCGAGGGCACTATCGATAGTATCGATTTTTACTGCTAGCCTCTACTATCGACGGTTTTTCGACTGTTATGATAGTATAGAGCTACAGTCGTTGCGCTTTTGATATGTTTGGATTGGCTGCTATAAAATACGAAGACACATTTCTAAACAAATCGACAGGTGGCATCTAAAAGGTTTCAATGGTTTTTTTTATAATTATTTGAGCCCGATACCATTACGATAGTATCGATTGTTTTTTTTTTAACATTCAAAGTTGATATTCCTCGATTTTGATATGGTGGTTTCTTCGATGTTTTAAAAAATCGATGTTTCCACCATCGATGATTTTGCAGCTCTAGTCAGAAGGAGATTTTTCGAGTACCAGTGTGACCGCGGATTTATGGATAAGATATACAGTCAGACCCTCAGAAAAATACCTAAAATAAACCGTAAATATACCGAAGAATATGTTCTCAAATGGATCCATTTCCCCGATTTTGATTTTCGAGTTAGTAAAATACTAATTACTCGAGCCCTCAGCACTGATCATATAATTTTATACGATAAATACCATAAGATTCGCTTATTTTAGGTATTCATTTCTATTTGATTATTCATAAAATTGGATTTCATTAATGGTCTTTTGATGGAAAATATGCCAAATATGTCAAATATTTAAAATATTACATCGGAAATTATATGGGCAGGGTCAAGCACCAGGATATCCATATCTATATCGAAGCTGATCTGCCACAGACAATTCATGTGTTTTGACTCAAATTGTTTAGTTCAGAACCCTGTGTCAAACACACACAAAAATTAAGAAATCAATTTAAATTCTTTAAATTCATCAAAATTAATTCAGTTTCATGAACACCCATACTTATTCGATAGCATTCGATAACGCTGGTGCAGTCGATATTATTATATCGAATGTTTTGCACACAAAAGCAGAGAAGAAAATTTTAGCGTGGTTTTTTCGGACGAAAAACAATCTAAACTGCAGTAAATCGTGATAGAAAGTCAAACATACTCGTAATTGTGGCCGCAGCGATACCCCGCACAAATCGAAAGCAGCCAACAAGCCAAAAATCATCCTTGCGTTAAATTATAGTGTATGTGTGTAACCTGCTTAGCATAATTACAAAATTTACGCATTACTTTGTGCGAGTCGGCAGAGTTTTCGTTTTAATTGACTTACTGCCCTTTACTCTTGCCCCCCGAAGTGCTCAGTGTATGCTACGTTACAATAAATTCTTCGGGCAAAATATATCCAAGAGAGTAGTGAAGCTCGCAAAGCAAAACAAAAGCTAACAAGCTTCCGAAATAAAATTCTTGTTCCCCCCCGCCTGAAAGTGTCACCGCCAAGACGTTCGTGCGAAAAATGTTTTGGGACAAGGGTTATGCGCCCTCAGCGAATATAGAGGCGTTACTAGAGAAGGAGGTAAGTGTGTGTCGGCCGGCCACCTGCAGCGTCTCCATCTCCGTTTTCTACTCTACTCACCCCACGCACAGAATTCAAAGCTGGAGGAATTTCTAGATGAGGAGGACATACTGCAAGAGTGCAAAACGCAAAAGAAAACTCTCGTGAACTATTTTACACGTGCCGATGTGATCAGGCGTCTGGTTGAGCTAATCACAACTGAACCTTCTGATGATCTGCCCATGGTACAGCGTTTTCGCTACGCAAACATGTCCTGTGAGATACTCACACTGTAAGTAGTCAGTCCCATTTCCATCTCTCTCTCTCTGGCCCATTAATTACACGATTTTAATCATTACAAATAGCGGCCTACCGTCCCTTGATGAGAAGCTTCTGTCCGATGCGGACACAATCCAGCAGCTGTATTCATATCTGGAAAAGGAACCACCGTTAAATCCATTGCTGTCGTCGTTTTTTAGCAAAACGTTTAGCATGCTCTTTACCAAAAAGCCTGAACAAGATTGGTTTTCGTATCAACACATGTGCCTACAACTCCTGGAGTATATTAAATCGCAGAAGACCTTTTTGGATTTCATTTGCAAACACTTTGACACACCGGTCATACCTGATCTAATAATGCAAATGATGAAGGACATCGAGGGTGGTCAACTCAAGCGAAACCTATTCGAAGTGAGCAAATCCTCATAATTATTTTTAAATACTTAAATATATATATTTTTTGCTAGTGGCTAACTGAAGATAAAATTGTGGAGAGACTGATTGCAATATTGCGTAATCCTCAAGAAACCGATAAACATGCAAATGTTGCCGACTTTTTCTGTGATCTTATTAACCAAGGGCGCCTAATGCGTCAAACCGAGCAGGAGAACGATTCATTTGAGCCGGCCTTTGATGGCTCGAATCCCATATTGAAAACCATTGAATCTGCTGATACAATTGAAGCCTTGTTAAATGTGATTTTGGAACCAAACGCTCAAGAGAGCGCCATCTTATCAGGAATATCGGTTGTACTTACGCTTATCAAGCCAATTACATTCACGTAAGTCGCCGTGACCCTTGATCACTGATTCGTTTCTATCACCGCCTTCTTTCACAGAGATGAGCCCAATTCTGATCGTCAGCGTTTGCTGCAGAAGCGAGAACGAGAATTCCATCAGGAAGTGCAGGAGACTGTGATCACTGTGATGGCACCACGCCTACAAGAATTCGTTCATGTGCTCAAGAACCCGCCTGCGGTGAGTTTCTACACTGCAATTTAAATGAAAGCAAAGTTTTATATTCCATGTATTGCCTCGCAGAAATCCACAATTGAGACCACAGCGGCTGTGTTGACGCCCCCCTTTGGCAAGACACGTCTTCAAGTGTGTCGTGTGTTCACTGCCCTGCTGGAGACCAAACACGAGAGCATTCAACAGGCGTAAGCTGTGGAACTTGCACGCGTCCGTACTTCAATGATTACAGTCTCCATTATTTTTTTATTCCTTCAGGATCTGCGCAACGGAATACTTTAGTTTGCTGCTGGAGTATTTCAAACAGTATTGCTGGAACAACTTTTTGCACACCGAAACGGAAAAGGCCCTCCACATGGTGTTCTACAATGAGCTGTCCAACAACAATACGGCGTCTACGGAGGCCACCGACTTCTTCACCGCCGATTGCCTGATCAACGCCTTTCTGAAGGTCACCGAGGAGGAGTTTGACGTTGAGTTAAAGAATGCCTTGAACGACTATAAGCGGGAGGAGGGTGAGAACAATCCGGATCAGGATGGTGACATCGAAATCGAAGTGGCAGCTGCGCAGGAAGCGGCAGTCCAGGTCGATGATCAGACACCAGCCACCATCCAGGAAGCTAAGCAGGAGCAACCAGAAGAACCAGAACCGCAGAAAACTGTAGTGCCCGCCGATGAGGAAGCAGCGGCGTCAACCGTGCAGGAGAATCATGTGGAGAACAATTTGGGGGATGATGGAGGGGAGCTGCCGCTTGCAGCAGATCAGCCGGAGAGCGAACCAACGCTCAATGATCTGGACAAGACCAAGGAAGCGCCCAATGCCCTGCCCTCAGAGATGCAAACGCATGTAAGTTGCACATGAAGGTCTTGTCCAGTTCATGTTATAATTTTGGCGCTCCTTTCAGTTGATTGTAAACTGTCACTTGGTCTCCAAGTTGATTGACTTTTGGCAGCACAATGCGCAGGCGCAGTAAGTATTCACAGTGATCCGTTTGAGAAGCGTTTATCCCTAACGACATGATATTCCGACTCTAGATCTGTGGAAAAGGGACGTCGACTGGGCTACATGGGGCATCTCATCAAAATTCTTCGTCATATTACAAATTGTATATCTGAATCTGAACATATCGCTGCCTTGATGGTCACCAGCCTCAGGGACGAGGCCGAGCAGCAGCTCTGGCAGTCGCTCATCGATGCGGAAACTGGCGAATTCACGCTTGCAGCGAAGCAGCAGAACCAGATGTTGGCCAACTGCAATCCGCACGAAGATCACGATTACAATGCGGGCGGCTCGAAGGACTATCTGGGCGAGACCAACAGCTGGGACATTGGAACGCTGTCGTACAGCAATATGGGATACAGTGATCTGGACAACACGTTGCAGGACATTGTCTTTACCATGGACAATGATCAGAATCTATTTCAATTCGGTCGCAACATCGACGACGAGGATGATGACGAAGACGAGCAGGGCACCCATTCGGGCGCCGGCGATGGCCATGGCCACGGCATGTTCACAAAGAACTCGATCACGCTGAGCAATCTGGCCGATCCCTGGGACATGGATGTACAATTCTCGGACATTCCCGGTGCATCTGCACAGGTCAACACTGGCACCGAGAACTGGGGAACGGAATTCAATACGCATAACTTTGCCGACTTCGATGCGCACTTTAGCACCTTTGGCAGCGACCTGGGGATGCCCACATCACGGCCGCCCGTGGACGTGGATGAGGAATCGCAATCAGTGCCGGAGGTTCTGGCACCCACTCCGGCTTTGATCGGTGATGAGAAAGAATCACACGCGCACAATGATGACGATGATGATGAGCCCATGAGCCCCAAAACTGTCCCAGATAATGCTTCCAGCGACGATCAACAGGCTGAGTATGACAATAACGCCAATGTGGAGAAGGCCTCCAGCGATAAGCTAGCGAGCGAGGCGAGCGTGGTGGAGGCCACATCGATTGTTACGCGACTGCAGTCGGTGCTGTTGGATGGCGAGGATGATTACGAGGACGATGAGGGCATGTGGACCAAGCCCTTGGGTGGCGATCGCCAAACGGAGGAGCATACCACGCCCATTTCGAATGGACCCACCAGCAAAGTGAACGAATTGTAAGCAGCTGCAAGTCGATTGTATCCGAAATTCACATATTATCATCTCTTGTTTCTTGTTGCAGCAATCATGCCAATGACAACAGCAGCAGTAACAATGTGGATGCCCATGAGGACAGCAACATCACAACAGCGGAGCAACAGAAGCTGACGGCCGCCAGTGCCAACAAGACGAACAATGTTGAGATTGCAACACACACCACATAGATACGTTCACTCACCACACACCCAAATAAACACGCACTCATCATCAAATCTGCAATTTGTATAGCATAAAATGTGTCGACGACAATTTGTAAAAATGCCTTTGATTTGCTCTTTGGTCATTTCGTATACATACATACAAACATAATCATGCATATGCAACATATTTATATGAATATATACCACATACTACTACTTATACGTACATGCATAGACACGTCTATATATATATATATATATACCTATGTATATATATTATATACACAACAAAAACAGGCTGCAAAAGTACAAGAAACGATTTGTGCATTAGCAAAAGGCCGAAACCCGCCCAAAACAAAACCAAAATGGAAATGAAAATGGAAAAAAAGAAAAAAAAAACTGTTTTAAAAGTGAATGAAAACGTTTATTGTTGAATCCTTCTGCTCCTCGCTCGTATTGCCAATTATTTTTTTTAATTTGTAACTTCTTTCACGCTTCCTAATTAAGTGAATTGTATTTTGTTTGTACTTGTAATTGTACTTGTATTAGTCTGTCGTCTTAGTGCTTCTACTTTCAATACTCTCAATGTGTTAGGCAACGAATGAGCATTACTTAAAGTACCAAAATTCACCATGCAACAACTAATGTCGTATGAATAGTTTTGTATTTGTATTTCGTGGATAATCTATACATACATACATATAATATATATATATATTTACACACCAACACCTACACACAAATACACATCTGTATTGTTGAATATTCGTGGGTGAGAACTTGTGCGAGCGAATATTTTATTGAATGAAAACGAAACGAAGCACAAGCAATGCCAAAATACCAAAACATTCAATACACCATACGCTCACACTCACTCACACACACTCACACACATACACACACTCACCACATGCTGCAAGCACAAAAAAGTACGCATTATGTATTAATGAGGTATATGACTACATACATATATACTTATGTCTTTTGCCATTATGACTTTGTTTCTATACAAATCGGTATAACCAAAAAATATTCTTTGTCGAAAGTACAAAAATCACACTGAAAGAAACTACAAAATGAGATGAGAGAATAAGAAACAGAAGCAATAGAAATAACTGAAAAAACCAGAAAACAAAAGAAGCAAAGAAACAGCAAGCATTTGTCTGAATATGGAACAATGTACACCCCCGATATATACACACACACTACAACCTCTACAAGCAACCTCCTCCCTAGCACCTGCCTATAGATTCGATGTTTTATTCGCCTACCTTCCTCCACCCAGAAAACGAGAATTTCAAATGAAGACTTTCCAAGAAGACATTTTAAATTTACATTTACTTACTTTTGTGTATTGTTTTTATTTATATTTCTATTCAAGTTGTCGCTGGAAAATGTTTATGCGAATCAAAAACAAAATACAGAGAAGAAAAACTAAAAAAAAAACAAAAACAAATGAAAATGAAGAAATACAAATATGCCATCTTTCGCTTCCAAATAATTAAATCTTAATTATGTTTAAAAATAAAAACAAAAAACTACTTTAAAAGTAAAATTGATGTTTGTTTTACACGAGAAAAAACAAAAGAAAAACAAAGAAAAATCACAAAAAAAAAATGAATATTTCATCTAGAGAATGTAGATTAATTTTTAAGATAAGTGAAAAAAAGAGAGAAAAGCGGGCAGCATATCAGCAGGCAGAGACGTGTGAAACAATAACCGAATCCCAGCCCCACATTCCCCAAAAGAAAAGTAATTTTCGTTTGCCGATTGATTGATTGGAGAACCTGTTTGAAGTAGAGAAGTAAAAAAATACTAATGTAGAATATTTTTGCACAAATTTCCATTTGCTTGCTTTTTATTTTTGCATAAAACAATGAACAAGAAAAAACAAAATATAAGAAAATAATGAGAAAAAAAATGAAATGAAAACGTTTAAACTATCTCTGATGAAAAACTGTGATAATTAAATGAAGTTGCAGGGTATTTGATAAAGCAAACTTAATTTAAACAACGTGTAAGACATCAACTAATAGACACCACATAACACAGCCAGCATGTACACGAAAACAGACACTAAACAACACACACATACACATCAAGTAACAATTAAAGAAAGTTAATTATACAATTAAATTCGTTGGCATCACACAATCAACAGGCGAAGAGGCGAACAGGCGAAGAACAGTAATAAGAACCACAGCAACCGAACAGCAATACATATTGCAATGAAATCTAATTGAGAGAGAAAGAGAGGGAGAGAGTTTTAATGTGTAGTGTTTAGTACGAGTATCTATAGTGGATAGTCAGAGATTATGATGATGGCGGGATGGCTTTCTCAGCTTTTAGTTATTCTCCAGCTTCATGCGAACCAAAACTAAACTTAAAATTAAGTCTTAAACATACAAAAAATACTCATATCAAAACAGCCAATTGTAAACCGTGTAATTTGTAAATATAATTGACCCTAGTATTGTCTTCCCCGGCCCCCCCCCCCATTCCTGTAGTTACAACTAACTTAATATCTTGCATCCAATGATCGAATTCGAATCGGAATCCTTCTTTTGTGCATTTGCCTTACCATAGAACACAGAAACACAGCTATCCATAATCCTAGACATAGTTCCACCTAAATACTGTGTGTCTTTTAAATGTTAAGCAAACAATAACACAAGAACAACAAGCAGCAAAACTTAGTATATGCTTAATATTAACTATTAATAAAAAATGGAAACGGAAACAGAAACAGAAATGTGCAGACAATGTCTAGTGTGTGTGGCAGCTTTAAGCATTTTTGTTTGTCTAATTATAAACTTGAATAAGAATTACCAAACGTCCAAAGTTTTATGCAAAACGATAACTAAGAACAATTGTGAACAAGAAAGTCTTCAGAAATGTTTTGATCACCCCTGATGCAGAGCAGAGTTATACAGTTATACACAGTTATGCATGCAGGCCTACTTACGTACATACATACAATATATACAAATGTCGTTTATAATGATTGATTGATTGATTGATTTCTCATCGATTGTTTGAACTCCAGAGGATCGGTAACCCAAAACTCAAGTATTTTGTGACATGCACTAGGCATTACTCGAGGTTATCGGTAAAAAGAAGCAAGTAAGGTTGTAATTGTAATTTTTGTGGCGCAATTAATTTCAGTCGGAACTAAAGCTGCATAACGATACGATAATGATATATGTATGTATTTTCTAACTAAAGAACCGAACCAATGGTATTCGGTGTCGGTGTGTGTTCAGCAATTCAGTATTTCAATTAAGCCAATCCCAATGAGAACCCAATCCAAAACAATGCCCCCCTCCCCACCCTCCCCTCCACGCAACAATGCTACAATGGTTTCCAACTGCAAACCACATGAAAAAAGGAGAGGAGAATAGGACACAAGATTTAATAAATAAATAATTCTCTTAGCTCTTAATAAGAAAGAACCAGCGGGAACAACAACGAGGAAGTTAGATGATGATGCAACTGTAATACAACAAAGAAAATAAGAAACTTAAACATCATACATGCAATATATATATTTGAAAATAATTAAGACAACAAAAACAAAATAAACAACCATACAAAAGTTAAGCAAATTGTTAACATAATGGATAATGGAACGAATTAAATACTAACCACATTTAGCAAATAGTCGATGAAGGAAAGAAGAAAGGAAAAGAACCGAACCCAAGTGTGCTTCATGTATGAATTTATGTTTAGATATTTACAAGTCAAGCAAAACAAATGCGCGTATACATCATATACGATTACCATATTCCTAACTAAAATTATTACAAATTAAAACTGAAATGAAAACCAAAACCAAACGACAAGAAAAACTTACAGAATTTGCATATTACTCTTAAACGATTAACAAAAACTATTGGTGTCTATACATACATATATAGTATATATTATAATTGTAATGAACTATATATACATATATACCCTCTATATATGTACCATTAACTTTGTATGTATGTAAAACGAGTACAGACTTTTGAGAACTGCAAAACGTATCGTCAAATATCCAAAGGCAAGACATATTTGTCACAGCTACAACTTGCTAATAAAATGCAAAAACAATATTAAAAAATATATTACATATACATACATATATAATATTAAGTGCTCAAGGTGATAGCTGCACTCATACACACACACATACACCCATACAGTATAGAGACACACACACAGTCACAGATAGACACATGCATACGCGCTGATTTGCTTTTGGTCGAAACTAAGAAGAGATACTACTAAAACCCCAAGGGACAGACACTCTGGAATCTGAAATTTCTTGAGTAAGTGCCTTAAAACGAAAGTCAGAAGGAGTCGGAAGAGTGGAAGAGAGAGGGGCTTAAGGAATGACAAATGCATTACAAAAATACATAAATTAAACGACTTAACGTTCTTTTCGAGGCATTTGATATAGCGAAAGAGGAGAAAGGATGATGCGCGACCTTTTGTTCAAACTTTACTAAACTGTTAGCCCCCGTGCAAACAACCAAACTAAGAATGTAGTTCCAGAAATCAAGCAAACAGAATAGTTAACTTTATGCTCCGATCTAAACTATGAATATATAAGTATATTGTATAATTACCTTCGCATTTCTACACACACACAGAGAGACAGAGGGAAAGAGAGATGTGTAACAATGATTAAGCCAAGTATTTGTTAGTGTTTTATTTTAGGCCAGTCTACGTTTTGTTCAACGCACACACCCAAAACATACACACACCACACTATAAACGAAAGCCCACACATAGATACGAGTACACAAAAACCCAAAACAAAACAGAAACAAAAAAGACAAAAAAGAAAACACAGAGAGAGATAACAACCGCTTTAGCAGAGTTAAAGAGAATTTGTGATTGTTTTGCATGTACCCTAACATTAAACGAGTATACAAGAATTAATAAAAATTAACAAGCAAGATGCGTAAGAAGGGAGAGGCAGTAGGGAGAAGCGAGTAACCAGTACGAGTAATAGCATTAATTGTCTAACAATAAGATTTGTGCATTATACGATAGTAATTCACTTTGAATTCGTATTGAAGTTTATCAATAAAGGGATACAATTTGATTCATATTCGCGGAGATCTTTTAATTAGCCCCCCCGTATTACATTCCATATACATATGTATTTTTCTTGTTTTTTTCTTTAATTTATTTATTTATCACAGCTTTGCCCTAAAAAGTATGCTACAAAAAGAAGATCAACTCGACTTTGTGGTGGATGTGGCTGCTCTTGCACCACTCACTGTGGCCATGGTCAGTGTGGTGGTGCTGGTGGTGGCATGTACAATGGTGGAGCCACCATGTCGCGTCTCCATGTGCCGCTGCAGATCGCGGCGTCGGGCCAGGGACTTGTGACAGATCCGACACTGATAGCCCGCCTCCGATTCGCCTTCAATGTCCACATCACTGCTGGCACCCTCGCCAACTCCTCCCCCACCCGCTGAACTGGGCTGGGTCTGGAGATGCAGGCGCACGTGCTTGTTGAGGTTGCTCGGATCGCCGAAGGGTCGCAGGCAGAACTTGCACTTGAGCGGCTTGAAGCCGGTGTGGGTGCGGATGTGGATCTTCAGGCCATACTTGCGGGAGTACACCTTGCCGCAGTAGATGCACAAGTGTCCCTGCTTCGAGGCACCCATGTTGCTGACAATCGCCTCGATCTGCGCTGCCGCATTCATGGGATGCGCACCCAAGGGTGTGCCTGCCATCGAAATGGAGGGCAGGTAGGAGAGCGTGCCAGCGGCCGCCGCAGTGGCCGTGGCCAGTGGACCCAGTGTCTGCATGCCCGAAATCGGACGAAAGGCGGAGAAACGTGGAGGAATCTGCAGCGGAGGCGAGTGGGTGGGCGAGGCCGAGGATGTCGAGGAAGTCGCTGGCGTCGGGGACATATGAGTGGCAGTTCTTTGGTGACTGCGGGCCGCCGCCTTCAGCGCATAGTGCAGGCGCATCCAGAGTATGTCCATGGCACTGCGGCCACAGCCGAGAGCCAGATGGATCTTCAACGGATGCGGGGTTTCAAAGGTGAGATGGCACAGGTGGCACGTGTAGCGACTGTTTCCTGGAAAAGCGAACAGCAGAAGGTTCAAAATTAGCTGAAGATCGTAGAGGATCATCGAAGAGCGTTGTGCGATCCCCTACCTTGTATGTTTAGGGGCGTCAGGAAGGGTATGCCCATGAGCAGCACCAGCTCCTCCCCGAACCAGGCCACAATCTCATCCTCACGCGCCACATCACGCACCAGTCGCACCCGCACCTGTCCGCCCTGCAGCTCAAAGATCGCATTGAAGCTGTAGACATCTTCGGAGAGCTTGATCTGGCGCAACAAGGTGGCGGACATGATCAGTTCCCCGTTGGACAGCTGGCAGTGGGCTCGGGTGCCGTCGGTGGGTGTGGCCGTGGAGCTGAGTAGGGCCTGCGTGGGCACGGAACTCGAGCAGGTGTCCTTTGGGGTGTACTGCGAGGTGTAGACGCCAGGACGTGGATTGCTCCTGATCCGCTTGGACGGACTCTGAGTGCTTGTCGTGGGCGTCAGTGTGGTCACTGGCGATGTGGTGGTTGTGGTCGGCGATAGGCTGGCACTGGGCAGCATCTGCTCGATGCGAAAGATCATGCTGGCCGCGGAGCGCTTCTGTGCGGGTGCCGCCTCCTCCAGCTCTAGACTATCCAGATGAGCGGTCGTGTGCATCGTTTGAGTTCGAATTTGATTCTGCGTTCCAATTGGAAGCAGCGGTCGCTATTTATACCTCATCCGTACATTCGCATTCGCACATCCTGCTTCCCTTATTTGGATTTGTTACGGCCTTGCAGTGTCACAACACGGCTGGCGTCAAGTGCAAGAATTCCCAGCCCAGTCGAGTCCGTCATGGGCATGGGCATGGGCTCTGGCACCGGCACCGGCTCCTGACATAGCTACGCACTTTGCAGCCGCCTCACTCACACAGCCACACAGCCACTCATCCATCCACCCATTCACCCATCCACACATCACTCGTAGAAGCATCTCATCTCCCTTGCTCGCTCGCTCCGGGCATCCCCTTTTTCCAGGTCTTTGCCTGGTGGTGGCTTGGCATGGCATGGCAAGTGCAACATCATGTCCTGTCCTCCCAAATCACCAAAGCACTAAGCCAAGCTAAGCGGCCTGTAGCAAGTGTGCGTATTCCTATGCCAATCCTCCTGCCATGCTCTCCCCTCTCAGTCTTTGGTTGGTCCTTTATTTTTTGGCTTTTGGGCTGTGCGCCCAAAGGCCTCAAATGTTTTTAATTGAAATTAAACGATCGTTTGTTGTTATATTCCCCGGATGTTGTTGCTGTAATGCCACCATATACAAATCGCATTCGCTATACTCAATGTCCTTGCCAACCACCTTCCTCCGTCCCTCCCTCCCTTCATCATTATGATGCACACTACAGTGCTCTCCCCCTCCCCTACCCGGCACTCGCACCCTGCATTATCCTGAATTCCCCGCTAATGCCTTAATATATTGGCGTGTATCGTTTCACTATTTGCGGTTTGGGGTGGGTCGTGATTTCTACGCTGCGGATTTCTGCTGCTATAGTGGTGGGGATTGAGGGTAGGCTGGCGCCCAAATAAGTTAATTGTTAATTGAGGGAGAGAGATATTAAGGGATTCGATTCTGCGGTTATTTTTTTGGATTGTTTTAGTCTCTAGCTCTATTTTTTCTCTTGCCTGTACGCTTGGTCTGAATATTTGATAATCAATTTTTAAATGCAATTTCTTGACTTACTGTGGCCCCTTACCCTGCCGGGCCCAAGACTGATACCCCTCTGCAGCCTACTCCGCTCCTGTTCGCTGACAAATCTGCTACGAGGCTAATGTTTTCATTATTGCGACACAATCGCTGCGGCATGCCACCCCTTGGCGGGCGATCAACAGGATAAGGGCCAGCGATTGGCAAAAACATGTGTTGCCAGTCACACAGCCGCCGCTCTGGCTTGACGCTTCAGACTGGAGACTGGAGTGGGAGTGGGAGAGTGGGAGACTGAAAGAACAGCCCTTGAGCAAGGTGTACCAGGCCTGAACCAGAACCAGTCCAGAGGACCGGGCCAATTTCGGTTTGGTGTTTGCTTGTTCATAATAAGTAGGCCGCCGCCACATGGGTGGTGGGGGAGTTGGTTTTTCATTTGAAACATTTTAATTTGCAGTCGAATCCGAACCATTAATCGTTACTTCAGCGATAGACATAGCCCCCACCGTCGCCACCCGTCTCGTTGTTATCGCATCCGTGGCAGCCGCCACCGGCAGCCAGCAGGTCCAAGGCCTCCTGAATCTCAATGGGGATGGGTGGAGGCGTGGGCAGATGATCACCCATCGGTTGGAAGCCATTCTCGTCGGCAATGTAGGTCAGGGAGATGGCATCGCCCTCGGGACTGGTGTAGGAGAAGGAGCCCTCGGCCACCTGTGCCTCTTCCCCCTCCACGCCTGCATTCTTCAGGTAGCCCATCTCCTCGGCCATAATGCCATTGCCGGTCTCGTATTCATACTGTTGGGAGATACTGTTGGATTTTAGTTGGTTTTACGGGTGGGTTACGCTCCGCTTACCTTGTAAGACCCATCAGTGTTGACTTTGGACTCCAGTTTGATGATTGGTATAACTTCTCCGCCGCCGCCTCCTCCTCCTCCTCCTCCATTTCCATTTGATGGCGGTATATATCCATTGTTAGGGGCAGAAGGCGGTGGTCCATAGCTGGACTTAGGTGGTGCAGGCGGAGCTCCATAACTGGGCTTCGGGGCAGTTGGCGGAGGTCCATAACTGGGCTTAGGGGCAGTAGGTGGAGGTCCATAACTGGCCTTAGGCGGTGCTGGTGGCTTCTTTGGCGGTGGGCGAGGAGCAGGCGGAGGAGGCTTTGGCTTCGGCGGACCATAGCTATTACTGGGCGGAGGCGGCGGTGCTGCTGGCTTGGCGGGCAGATAGGTGGCCGGAGGACGAGCACTTGGATAGCCCGCAGGCTGGGCCCAAACGCAGCCCAAGGCGATGCACACAGCGAGTAACAACAGAGTGAACAGCTTCATCTTCAATGCGAACTGTGGCTGCTGGTCATCCACCCATGGGGTTTTTATACACCTCACACTAGTCTCTGGTGCTCTGGCGTTGACCGCGACCTGTTGCCCCCCCTCGAGTGGAGTCAGGCACGTGCCACGGCTTCCGTTTGTAATGGGAAAAATGCAATGAAATCGAAATGGCAAACTGAAAACTGGGCCAATGCAAGTGCACTGGCAGAAAAAGTGCCCCCAGCCGATTATGGCGCAGCACAGCACAGACAAATGCTAATAAATTGAGTGTGCAATCTCAATCGGGGCAAAACCCCTTTGGGCTAATCGCTAAAAACAACAAAACCCGCCCGGCCACAAGCCAAAAACTTTTAATTCAAAACCAATTTTCAACAGGATCAGGCAACACCTGCATGACCAACCCCGTCCAAAGCAGGGCAAAGCGGGGCGGGGCGGGGCAGGGTCCAAGTCCAACCCCCTCATGATCCTTTGCCTAATGCACTTTGCCTGTTGCCAAGGGGGTGCTAAGCCCTGGGACGATGTCGGCTTTAGTCAATCGTCTATTAACTTTTTGCCAGTTCTCGTTCTCTACTTCTGCAGCGGGCACAGTGGGCCGCACACTGGCAAGACAATGGCTGCATTTTCCTGGGCTGTGTTCTCTCTAATATTTGCATGCGTTTGCACCACTGTTTCGAGGGGCTGTGGCTGCTGTTGTGTGTGTTTATCATTTGGTAGCTCAGCTTGTGCCTGTCGTGGATGCCGCTAATATTGAACCCTCCCCCAGATACCATAGCATGGCTAATGGCAATGTCGTTTGCAGCTTGTCCTACTTGTAATGTGCTGGCGCACAGCTGACGCGCTCCCATGGACCGAACGCCCGACAACCGAGAGTTTGTGGATTTTGTGAACCTGTCCATACAGAGTAGAGGAGAGCAGAGCGTCAGGGCGTCAGGGCGTCAGCTGTGTAGCTTGTGGAACGTACCATGTAGTCACCAAGCAACCACCATCCAGGAGAACCAGGAGAGCTGCACCGGCTGCATAAACCAACAATAGTCGGTCCTTGGTCCTTGGTCCTCGGCGGTGGACGCTTCGATACGCACCCATTGCGCATATTCCACGCCCGCATTCGCATTCGTCGAGCATCCGAGCGATTCATAAGGCGAATTCTGACAGAGCGGAAACGATCTGATTGCAATTTTTTCATCATTTTCATTATTCGAGCTATGCCGAGGGTTGGGCCCGATTAAGTTCTTCTAAATAAACATTTAGATGAAGCCCGTTGATAAATTGGCCACTGGCCCTCGCTGACAGCCTCAATTTGATGCGCGGGAATCTCTGCAACTGTTGCGAGACTCAACAAAATGCTAAAATAATACAAGTAAGCCACATGGCCATGGGTTTTTCCTTCGAGTATCTTCTAACTCTCTAGCAGAGTATTTATCTCAGACTCCCATTGTGTGAGCTTTCTTTTTCTTGCTTAGAACAAAAGTTGAGCCATAAATAATGACGTAATCCCACTCTGACTTCGGGCTACGCAGAATGTTATTTGTTTTCATTATACATATGACTTATTTCGGCTGCTGTGCTCATCTCAGTGGCCGCTGCTCATCTTCAGTTGGAGTTAAGCCACAAAGCGAACGACAACGAACCACAAAAAGTTCTTAGCTAAAAATATTTCAAATAATCTATTCAGACCCCATAAAAGTGCAATGAAATTGGTTGGTATACAAGTAGATCCGTATAGAATCGTTTGCTAATGATTAACTCTTGATATTTCTGGTGTTTAGTTTATACAAATCTTGTGTGTGATTTTGCTGCCGGCTTTGGTCTGGTCAGCGGCTCTGGAGAAGGGTGAGCGTGAGGAGGCTCTACACTTCAAGTAAGTCCAATGGGATCTTCTTTTATGGATCAAAGCAAACTGTGTTCCTTTCTCCCTACAAGTTTTCACACTGAAAATGGTCATCAGAGGACCGAGGACATAACCTACACTGTCAGGCCGGAAACGGATCGGGATGCCAGGGAGCAGGGCACCCCTAAGCCCGTGGAGTATCGTGGCGGCTATAGCTTCATCTCAGCGGATGGCTACGAGTATCAGGTGCTCTACAAGGCCAATAAAAATGGCTTCCAGCCCTATGTGACGGCGCATAAGATCAAATCGGATAAGAAGATCTAAGCGCCAATATATTTCTTTTGTGTTGTGATAGGCGATAAATAAACCGAATTTTTAACAGTGTATTAAGCGTGGCCTCAAAGCTCTCTCTTTGCTCCGGTGCAAGTCATGGCTAAGCGAAGCTTTTGATCGTCGATCGTTGATCGTTAATCTTTGGTATACAGACGGAGATTGCTACATCAGCATATTAATGAGGGATACCCTAACCGTAGCTGCGGCTCCTGAGACTGTGGCAAACGGTTCGAAACAGTTTTCAGATCTATTTCAAGTTTACTTTCAAGAGTATTCAAATGCAAAAGGGGGGACTTTTATAATGTGATTTTGTAATATGATTTTCCTCTTTGATGTTAGGGCATTCATGTCTCGGTGTTTCCCCCCAGGCAAGACTTTCTTTTCGTGCGGTTGCTTGATTGGTTTTCCGTTTGATGGCATTTTAAATGTAATGCACATTTTCGAGAGTCGCTTGTGTGGGGAACTCTTTTCTGATTTATTATGCAAACCAAATTAGAGACAAGGGATTGGGCAACCATCTTGGGCTTACTCAGCAGTTCCCCCGTGGGTCCAAACATTTAAGTTGCTTACAGATGAGTCTCTTGGCTGTGGCCTCGACGAAGAAGCCTCATTTGACTGCCAGCCGCGTTGGTCGTCAGTTCGGTCTTCGGTGGATAACTTTTAACTTCCATTCCCATTCATACCCGTGAAGATGATGAATCTGTTTATGTTGGCTGGCACGGAGGAGGCTGGAAAGGGTCTCAATATCAACAGCAAGCTGATCCATGGATTGGTTCTGCTGCTGGCCTGCATTCTGCTGGGCGCCAACATCAACAGCGCCTCCTTTGCACCCGGCACTGTGCTGGACATCATGCTGGGCGAAACTACCGTGGAGCAGTTCAAATATATACCCCTCGCCGACGGCTATGAGTTTGGGTGAGTTTTCTTTGGGTTGCGTTCCCCTGTAGAGTAATAATCTGGAACTATTCTTCTTTGTTCAGTTATACCCTGCCCAATGGCGCCCATCGCGATGAGATTGGCAAGGTGCTCAGCGGCACTTCGGCTGCCAAGGATCTGGAGAACGCCAACAAACTGGCCCGCAACCATCGCCCCTCCCGCGAAAATGGCCTCAAGGTGCGCAAGCTCTCAGGCAAATCCCTCGCATCTCTGGCCGGTTAAGCACTCAATGCCCCTGCACATCATTCCACCATTATTACTTTTAATAGTTTTCCCCTCTTCGAATTAACTGCCATAGTGGCCAAAACAGTGTCAACTGCTTTAGGTTTATTTATTAGTATGTTTATGTGTAATCTGTGTAAAAACAAATAAATACGATTCATCACCCAAAAGTGGAAACTTGTTGGTTGCGCAATGCATTAATGTAAACAAAAGGCGAACAGATGCGAATGAAATGCTGTGATTATCAAAATTATGTGCTAATAATGAGCACATTTTGTTGGGGATTTTGGGTCGCTGCAGTCACGTGTTTAACCAATGCGCAAAATTTAAAACTACATAGAGTTTATCTAACATATATTCGATATTATTCGATATTAAAACAAACGCAACTTTACTTATATTTCAAACGCTGTTTCTTTTCTGATGGGCTTATATTCCAATTGGATTCTAAAAAAACATCCAAGGAAAATGAATGGTATATATTTTAATGAATATTGAATGAATTTCTACTTTTCTCTTATCATTTTATAACAAAATCTGCACCATTTCTACGGCGTTCAAAATTAATTTTGAATGAAAGCAGAACCCTTTATCTTACTGGAAATATTGGTAAAATTCCGGGCTGCTGCGGACACATTTACAATTATCTGAAAATATCACGGAATTTCACTGAGTTTTGTAGTTTATAATCAGCATTAATCTTATAGGAAATTACCAGCTAATAATTTAGTATTTGTGTATTTAGTATTTGTGCTTTTATTTTTTTTTAGTTGGCAGTTCCACTGCCTGAAAGTATGCCCAGATATCAGCACGACGGTTTAAGTTTTTTGCCTAAGTCTTTTGATTTGCTGCAAGAAAATGAATTAAAAACTGGTTTTGCCTTTAAAATGCTTCTAGCATCAATTAAATACACACAAAGCTGGTATTTTATGAACCAAAATGTAGTAATTAATGTTTCGCATGGAAATGTATTTTTGCTGCACATAAATTGAAATTTAATTGCACTTCACGGCAATCAATCGTATTGGTAGGGTGCGTTTTTGGGCCGAAAGTCAACACACACATGTGACCCAACAGAAGATGCAGCCCATGCCATACAAGCGACGCATAAAGAACGGAATAAATGATCAGAGGCAGCAATAAAATTAAATTATACGCACCATTCTTAATGTCAAGTGTCAGCAGAAGTACATTAAAAAAATATTTCTGTGTTTCTTTGTATCTGCTTTTTGCGGCATGCAAGTATTACGAAACGAAATGCCTTCGACTGATAATAAAGAAATTAAAAAACAACACTAATGTGACATTTACATACTCAAAGAAGTGCGGGGGTGAGCGCAGGGCAGGGCATTGGCGATATAGAAAGAGACGGGGGGGACAAGCTATTAAAACATTGCCATTAACGCTCAAGTGCTAATTTTGCAGACCCACTTGAAGAGGCTGCTGCGAGCTGCGAGCGAACCAAGCCGGCGGGTTGAACGTGAAAATCCGAATCCGAGTTCGAAATCCGAAGAAACCCGATTCCGTGGCCGAACTCGTGCCGATCTGGGCAAAAGCCGGGTCTGGTATCCACTCTGTGGCGTGGTGCGTGCCGTGCCGCCTGTGAGCGAGCGAGTTGGCAACAGCAGAAAAACGGCAGCTGAATGGGCAGTCGAGGCGGACAGTCGAGGCAGACAGAAAGACAGACGGACAGAGCAGAGAAGCAGCATCTGGCGCTGACCTTGAAGACGTAAATGTGAAGACGCATCCATATAAATATGTATTGTAGCTGTGTCTGTAGCTGTAGCTGTGTGGCTGTGTGGCTGTGTGTGTGTGCATGTGGCTGTGTCTGGGGCTGGGGCTGGTATCTTTGGTGTCTGTGTTTATTGAAAGCGACAGCGGGGCCCCAAAACAAGAGAATCTCTTGTTCCCAAAGTTGAAAAACCTGTCGATTGGCAGCCTGATTAGAACAGTTATGTAAATGAATGCATAAATTTATATATTAAGTTTAACGATAAGGAAGAAAACTATTCACGCTGTTCCTCTTCTGATACGACTATACATTCTCGTATGTGTATGTATGTGTACGAGCATCTGTGACAACGCCCCCGCACACACAACCACACACACACACAAACACCCCGAACATTTCGCTTCACACTCTGACCGATCGATCAAAGCCAGATCAATTATGCAAATCCAGCAGCAGCAGCAGCATGATAAATGCAGCTCGCTGCAGATGCCCTCCAAAAGTCACAGAAGAAGATCAGCTAAGAAATATTATGCAGTCACAAGAAATAATTGAAAACAGCTTCGATTTCAAGGGCCAAAACCGTGTTAATCGCAGCTTAAGCTGCAGTATGTACTTGAGGTTAAAGCTAGAACCATATGGATTGTTCGCTTTGAAGTCCACAGAACTTGGCCACGATGTTCACCTTCGTCTGTCTGTCTCCTAAAGTAAGGTTCGCTTCGAAGGAAACCAAAAACCTATAGGAAAAATGTCAAAATGCCAAATTCTGCAGCTGGCTGAAAATCGAAACAAGAAAATGTCTTTTTAAACGGCATTTGGCAGGAAATGCCAAACCAAATGTCCAAACCAACACCCTGCCAATGCTTAGGAATAAGATGAAGCTGTTGGCACAATTTCAGACATTGCCGTGTGCCCACGAGTGCCCACGGAGATGAGAGGAGGAGGAAAGGGAGGATGGGCATACACGGAGAACCACGGCGTGCCAGAGGCCGACAGATGACCAATACAAAAACTCGATTGACCGGCTTCTTCTTCGGCCTGTAGCGGTCAACGAAGGTGGCATAAATTGGCAAACAGAAACGGAGACAGAAAATAAAAAAAAAACAAAAAACCACAAAAGTCAGAGATTTAAATTGCATGCGAGCTGTAGTTGTAGGTTACTCGATGGATTTTCGTATTTTTCTTACTGTTTTTGGTGCTTGTTACCAAGCACATGGAGGCAGCAGCAGCAACAGCCGCACATCAATCGAAAGCTGTAAAGGCCGTTGCATATGCCAAAAGTCATGCTGGGGCTCCATCTTCATCAGCATAGCCTGTCCAGTCCATCTGCGACTGCCGTGCACTTTGGCCATCACACACAGTCATATATGTACCCAGGCACAGCCGCAGCCGCAGCCACAGCCCCATCTTCAGGCCCAGATTGGAGACAAGCGACAGAGTGGAGTGCTCGTGCTCGTGTCCGCGGCTTGAACTTGCTGCCCTGCAAATTGCATCGCTCGACAGTACTTGAACTTTGTGGCGGGTGGCGGTTGGCTGCTGTTGCAGTTCTGGCTTTGTCTCTGGCTTCCCAGCGTTCTAGCTTCCCATGGCATCTGCTGTACACAACCTTTTCCCCATGCCTCCTCATCTGACTAGCTGGCAAGCATGAACTTTTTCAAATTTTCTAAAGCAGCAGCCACTGTTGGCTGACTATAATACCTTTCAGCCGAGTACATCGATGCACAAAGCCGCTTTAAATGTTACTTGTCGCAGCGACTTTGGCGACTTTGGTGCATCTTTGGTAAATTGAAAAAGAAAAAAAAAAAAAAAACAAAATAGAAGTAGAGGCAGCAAGAAAAACAAAAACAAAAACACTTACACGCGGTCGCAGCCAGAGCCACGTTTGTTGGCTTCTTCCACAACTGTGCAAATTTATGACGTTTGCAAATGCAGCCCCGACCAGAGTGCAGGCAGTATAAAATGCAGTGGATGGCAATGCATCGCCACCATTAGACAGTCGGTAGTTTGTCCATCCGCAGTTGAACGCTAAGAGAATCGCGCAAAATGATGAAACTGGTAACGTTAAATGCGATCTGATCCGAGGATAATCCATCGGGGATAACATGAACTTTGTTGTCCTTTGCACAGATGCTAGTCGTTGGATTTATGGCCCTGATCGCCCTGGCCACCGCCCGTCCCCAGAACGATGTGGAGGTGCTGGAGTACGAGTCGGAAAACATTGGCATTGGCGGCTACAAGTTCAGCTATAAGCTCAGCGATGGCACAACCCGCTCCGAGGAGGGTACGGTCAATAATGCTGGCACCGAAAACGAATCCATATCCATACGCGGCTCCGTCAGTTGGGTGGCACCCGACGGTCAGACATACACCATCAATTTTGTGGCCGATGAGAATGGCTTCCAGCCAGAGGGCGCCCATCTGCCCAAATAGGATGATGTTGATTAGCCACAATGGAAGATGATCCTGTAAATACACAACCAGTCCCCCATCCTGTATCCTGCATCCTGCATCCCCATCTGTTTTCCCGCCACCATAGGACGAGCCATAGCCATAGGACGAGAGTGAAGGAGGTGCTGTGCCGTGCTGTGCCGTGCCAGTGTCCTCTCAGTTAGTAAGTCGATCAGTCAGTCAAGTCAGTGTCGTGCATTGTTTTCTCTATTTTGTTACTCGCATTAAAGCCGAACTTTCGTTTATCGAAATACCTTTCATTTTCATTTATTTACAAACAACTAAGAATACAACCAAATACTAATTATGCCAATTAGATATGGGGAATGTGTGCACCCTGAGGCTGGAAGCCATTCTCATTGGCGGTGTAGGTCACAGTGTAGGTCTGGCCATCGTCTCCCAGATAGGAGTAGGAGCCGGTCACCTGGAGGGCATCCTCTTCGGGTGCGATCTTCTTGAGTGTGGCCTGCTGCTCCTGCTTGCTGCCATCGCTGGTCTCATAGGCAAAATTGTAGCCATCGGACAGGACCTGCGATTCCTGCTTGACGATCTGCACCTCCTCGGCGGGCGCCGCCATGCACAGGGCAATCGAAAGGAAGACAATCAGGAGGACACACTTCATCTTTGGGCTCTGGCTTGATACTGCTCTGGCTCTAGTACCGCCCTGAGTTGGCTTTTATATGTGCAAAAGAGCAACGCTGAATGCAATTAGCACTTGGAGTGAAGACATCATCAATATCATCCCGATATGACCGGCTCCAGCTGAGGTCGGACAGTGTTAATTAAGTGTCTCTGCTTGAGGGGCAGTGAAAATGAAAAGCAAACAGTCCGCAAAAGATTATCGAATGTCTGTCAAGAATTGTGGCCCCTTCAAAGAAGAGTCTCGTTTCCCCCATGATCTTGGACTTGGTCGATATGCAAAAACGATTCCCAAGAAAATCTATTTTTATGAAGTTTTAAATGAATTTCCATACATGTGGTTTATTAGCCAAAAACTAGTATTGATTTCAAGTTTTGTGTCTCTCATCGCTTGATTTTGATTTAATTTTAAACTAGTTCCCGCCGCTCGACTGCTCGTCTGCTCGACTCAACTCAAAATCACACTATAAATAAGCAGATGGCCCAGCCTAACAGTATAGTTATCTTTGAAGACTTCAACGATCTACACAATCCTTTCAACATGAAGTTCCTCATTGTCTTCGTTGCCCTCTTCGCCCTGGCCCTCGCTGCCCCTGTTGAGAATGATGCGGTAGTCGTCCGCTCCGACTCTGACGTTGGACCCGAGAGCTTCAAATATTCGTAAGTCCTTAAGCAGAGCTCAACATCAACCAGCAGGATCTAACTATGACTCAATTTGGATAGATACGAGACCAGCAACGGAATCAGCGCTCAGGAGGCTGGACAGCTGAACAACGTCGGCTCCGAGAATGAGGCCATCTCCGTCAAGGGATCTTTCTCCTGGGTCGACCCTGATGGCGTCAGCCACACAATCAGCTACATCGCTGATGAGAACGGTTTCCAGCCCGAGGGCGCTGATATTCCTGTTGCACCCGTGGTTTAAGTTTTTAAGATTGAAATAAATTGTTTATAAAAAAGATGAATACGCTTTGAGTGGGTACGAAAGGGTTACGGATGCAGTTGAAGAATGGATAACTATATCCATTGAAACATTAGAAATTTCCCAACAATGCAATCCTAGCCTTTGGGATATATATTCTGATTCCTTATTAGGAATTGCTACTTCGAATTGATTTAATCGGTTAGCAGCAGTTCAGGCTACGCGCTTTGATCTTTAAAGAAAACAAGCGATGCTTTTGGAAAAAACCTCCTGCCATTAAATATCAATTATTCAAGTGGAAAGTATGTATATATTTATCGCTTCTAAATGGAAGTAAAGAATGAAATCCGACTTGACAGTTAATTATTATAAAATCATTTTTTCTACTTCGAAATTCGTTGGTCATAAAAATATCCATTTAATATAATTCTAATATCTATTTGAATTTATCCTTTGATATGTGAAAAATACCTTATACATACTTTGCATTAATCGAATTACTTTGCACTAAAAGTTGCTCATGTATCCTATTATTCTTTAAACTACGGATATCTAAGACTACTTTTTTGGATAGCTAGGGATAATTAATTACTATTTCTTTCTGTATGTAATGTCCAGACACTTATTATTTCGATTTACTGCGAAGAGAAAAGAAAGCTTTTCATGACTTTTCTTATTTAATATTTCCTATTATTTTAAGTAAAGTTTAATGACAGAAATGAAGCCTTTTCCTGTTTAAATATTATCCTCATGTACTGACAATATTTTGGAAGATGAGAAAGGAGCACCGTTTTTCGTAAAGCAAAGAATTTCAAAAATATTTTTCTGAAATATTAAATCTTTTTGAAATTCGAAAATCGGAAACTATGCAGAGAAAAACATACAATAGGAGATTTTCTTCTTATAAACTGATTTATTTTAATTTGTTTTTGGCCTAGGCAACAGGAATATGAGCGCCCTGGGGCTGGAAGCCGTTCTTGTCAGCAATGTAGTTGACGCTGTAGGTCTGTCCATCATCGCCAATGTAGGAGTAGGAGCCACGCACGACGATGGCCTCGGCTTCAGATCCCAAATCTTCCACATGTCCTTTCTCCGAAACCGACTTTCCATCACTCGTCTCCACACTGTCAAAATAAAGCTCAAATTAGTAGCTGCTCCATGGAGTTTCATTTTTATTTTATGGCTTACGCGTATTCGTAGCTCTCGGGCTGAACGTCCGAATCGTAACGGAGGACTACCGCATCGGAATTGGGACGGGCAACGGCCAGGGCAAAAAGGGCAACGAGGACAATGATGAACTTCATTTTGGAGGTGATGGTGGTGGGAAACTGTGCGGATTGTTGAAGTCTTCGAAGAGAACTAATGCTGTTTGGCTTGGTCATCTGCCTATTTATAGTCGTCCACTCTTGGGTTCGGCAGCTGGAGCTAGTTGAATGTCTTGCAAATTATAATAAATGCAGAGCAGATGAAACTTGAAGCTGATGCTAATTTGAGCCAGGTGTGAGGTGTAACTCTATCGACTGCATAAAAAGTATTTGAAAAATGTCGTGGGCACATTAGGAGAAGAAAATTAAAGCTCATCGATTGCATTTTGTTTTAAACAAATTGATTTTCTTTTTATTCATTCATCATCGTGTGTGCTTATGTGTGGAAAAATCCATTTTAGGCTGCTGGGGCGACGGGCAGATGAGCGCCGGAGGGCTGGAAACCGTTCTCATCGGCAACATAGGTGACGGTGTAGGTGACACCATCATCGGCGACAAAGGAGTACGAGCCATGGACAACGATGGCCTCCTGCTCGGTGCCAATGTTCTTCAGCTGACCATCCTCCTGCTTCTTGGTGCCATCGCTGGTCTCCAGGGCGTAATTGAATTTCTCAACTCCCACATCGGAATCGAGGCGAACGATCTGCACTTCGTTGGGGCGGGCGGCGGCCACGGCGAAGAGGGCGAAGGCGAGAACAATCACGAATTTCATGTTAAAGGCTGTGGCTGTTGTGTTCCTGAGAATGCTGACAACTGTCTGATGCTCCACTGCCGTTGGGTGGGTGCATTTATACTCGCGTACAAACGCCAAATGCAAAAGTCAAAGGTGGCCCACAATTTGGCCAGTTAGTATTTATGTATATAGATCTGCTTTCGAGATAATAAGCGCAGCGCATTGCCTCGCATCATTGTTTCCGGTCAAACTGGATTAGCAGAATACAAATAAATCGGAATGCGCGTATCTAACTATTGTCATATAATCAGGTCCACTCCACTGCAGTTTGATGGCGACGAGATGGAAGACGGAAGGGGAAGATCGGATTCAGTTCGATTTTCTTGCCGCGTTTATTTAATAATCAACTTAAAACCATTATAGATAGAACAGCTCTCGGTTTGTGCTTCCAACTTCCCCACTTTAGTTGCCAATTGGCACATTGGGCAGATGAGCGCCCTCGGGCTGGAAACCGTTCTCATCGGCGATGTAGTTGACGGTGTAGGTCTGTCCATCATCGGCCACAAAGGAGTACGAGCCGCGGACAACGATGGCCTCCTGCTCGGTGCCGACGTTCTTCAGCTCTCCCTCCTCCTGGTGCTTCTTGCCATCGCTGGTCTCCAAACTGTCAAAGGAGGGTATTGTCAGTGGATAATCCTCAAAATAATCGGTTCCAGCGATTAAAGTTGACTTACGCAAAGTTGTAACCCTCTGGCCTAACGTCCGATTCCAGGCGCAGGATCTGAGCATCTGCATCGGGTGCGGGTGCAGCCAGCACCACGGCAAAGAGGGCGGCAAAGACGATGGCGATCGTGTACTTCATGTTTGATTGGATTGGATTGGGGCTTTGATTTGTGATGAACTTGCGACCGAGCGGCTAGTCAATGTTACTTGATTTGTGATGTCTGTGGCCATGTCCAGGCGCTTATATAGTCGGGTCGGAGGCCGTCGATTGAAGAAAAGTTAGTCGAAAATAAAAATGACTAATTACACGCCGAGCACCAAAGCTAACAAATTGTCTTGAAAAACGCACCAACAACAGATGAAACAACGAATAAAAACAAAAAAAAAAACAACAACAAAAAAAAAACAGCTACACCAAAAACACAGAAATATTAACAAAAAACAAAAATCCAAAAACTTCTAAGGCAAACAAATCGATGCCGTTTTTAGGAAATACCTCATCTCATCATCATTTGCATTTTTCGTGAATCAATCAAACCAATCGTTTCCAAGTTAAAGAAGACAACAACCAACAATATTTTTTTGATAATCCACGGGTGTAGTATTCATAGTTTTTGGGCAAATGTTGGTAGTAGGGGTGAAAAGGGGCTTTACCCCTGCAGCAAAAGATCGTATCAAAAATCATAAAAAATTTGATTTGAAGCTAGTGACAATTGGAAGTTGTTTTCCTTCAATTATCAGCTGAGAAATCAAAGGAAAGGTTTTCCCCATAAAAGTATTTCAATATCCTTACGAAAATCGCAAAATTATGAGTACGAAATCGAAAAATAGTACAGAGGTACGGAGGCCAATCCACAAAATTACGATAGCAGCTGTAGAAGGAGCTAATTTTTTCAACAATAGTACAGGGGTATATTTTTAGCACAGATAGATCCAACTGAATGTACACTACATAAACATAATGCATAAATATCAAAGAACTTCCTAAAGATTTCTTAAATTATTTCTAGAAGATAATTCCCTCTAAATAATATCAAAACAATTTTACTTTTTTGAGTGAATGAATCCTTTTTTTTATTATGATGATTTTTTGCTGAGAGGAAAACTTAAACATAGTTAACACATTGTTGCTGGGGACTCTGGAATCCATTTGGATTTCCATATCGAATGGGATTTACTGGACGGCACGGGGCAGATGGGCGCCCTCTGGCTGGAAGCCGTTCTCATCGGCGATGTAGTTGATGGTGTAGGTCTGTCCATCGTCTCCGACATAGGAGTAGGAGCCGTGCACCACCATCGCCTCGTGGTCGGTGCCCACGTCCTTCAGCTGGCCCTCCTCCTGGTGGGACTTGCCGTCGCTTGTCTCCACGCTGCATAAAAAATTAAAGAAAAAAGAGTCGAAAAAACCAGTTAGTGTGACGACCTTGACACAGTTACAAGTCGGATGGGGTATTGGAGGATTGCAGAGTGAGAGGTACTACTATAAAAATAATAATGGCCACTACTTACGCGAACTTGTAGCCCTCGGGCTGCACATCCGAGTCGAAGCGCAGCACCTGCGCCTCCTGCTGGCTGGCCGGAGGAGCAGCCAAGGCAGTGGCCAACAGGCAGGCGACGGAGAAGGCGACGGTGGCAATGGTGAACTTCATCTTGCTGGAGTTGGAGTTTGTTTTTTGTGGCTGGGACTAGGCTGGTGTGCTGTGTGTTCGAGGAGCTTGCAGTTAATGCATGCAATTCGAGCATCGAGTGGCCAATTTATAGCAGCAGCGACTGGCGATTTCCGACTCCTTTGGCAATGTAATGTAGTGCGTGTAATTACCAGGGGAACCGAAACCCAAGCCCAAAATCCGAAAATGTAAAGAGTAAGTGCAAGAGTAAGAGAAACCCGTTTTTCATTTCTTTCCTTTGACCCAGACTACGAGGCGGCGCTGTTACCTAACCAGTTGACTGCTTGTTTGGCGATTGATTGATTGCTCAGCGACAAGGTACATAGATTTCATTTGTTTTATACAAATTAAACACACAAAGTGCCCAGCCCAGCCCAGTCTGGCCCAAGCCATGAGTTGCGTTACTTTGCTTACAAACAGTCGAATGAATGAATGAATGAATGGAATGGTGGCGATAATTGGGTCACAGCTTGAATTTGGCTCAAGTGCAAGTGAAATGCAAAGCCAAAGGTCGAAACAAATTTATTTTAATATACAATATCAGTTATCTTTCGATTTAGGTCAGGAAAAATGCTAACTTTGATACTCGTGTACAGCGCAGTTTCATTTTGCACATCCCCTGTAATATTACCCCTGATATCCCCTATTTACAGCCACTTCAGCCACATACTTTTTCCTGCCAATTCCATTAATATATTTTAAATCAGGCAATAAGGTAACACAACACCATTTGAACTTTTTCGAACGTCTTCGTTTTGTGGCTTTCAATTTCATTTGGACTTGATTTGGGGTTTTTGGTGGCACTTTTTTTTTGCTTTGTTTTCGAGTCATTTGTTGGCTGTCCGCATTTTATTACACTCTCGCCCCGCTTTTGGCCGTTAATTAGCCTCAAAGTTTGACTTAGTATGGATGATTGTTTGGCGATTGTTGGGGGATATATTGTACAGACTTTGCGCAACTCGCGTTAGTCGCATGCGCGGATCGGCGCAGGACAGGTACGACAGATAGATGGCCGCCAGACAAACATTGATCCACATCCTGGCCGGCTTCTGCATATGCCTCTGCCTGTGCTTCTCGGATGCGGCCAGCGATGGTTCCAATGCGGCACAAATATTGAAATATGAGAATGAGAAAATGGATGGCGATGGCTATGCCTTCTCGTAAGTATGTTGCTGTGGATTTTCATCGGAAAATTACTCAAAGATATATCGTTTTTCCACAGTTTCGAGACGAGCGATGGTATATCGCGGCAGGAGACGGCCACGCTGAAGCATCCCGGCACCCCATTGGAGGCCATTGCCGTGCAAGGCAGCGTCAATTGGGTGGGACCCGATGGCGTGCACTACAAACTCAACTATCTGGCCGATGAGAACGGCTTCCAGCCCCAGGGCAAGCATCTGCCGCAGTTGGAAGCCACTCGCACGGCCTGAGCACTGATCACGTGATAGCTTTGGACTTTGTGAAGCAAATTAAATCACCAAATATGTAGCAGCAGGAGGAGGAGGAGCAGACACAATAGAAATTAAATATATATATGTATGTTATAATAAGTATATATACGTAGACACATGCGTTCGTTCGGCTATATACTACGGCCGACGGATTGACGGTGGAGTGCTGTTTGGGCATAAATTTTCACCCAACGAAATTGAATTGTATTCTAAGCATGAAATTAGCATATACATCTGTACGAGCATCTTCGAAACCCGTTTGCACTGCCACTGCCCCTGTCCGCCTCCGTCAGAGTACGTTTCGGATATGGATATGGAGAGTACGGGTATGCCGTAACAGAGGAGCTGACCAAACCGGTTCAATAAACACCCAACAAAGGTTGCCAAAAAATAAAACAACCCGAAATTCCAGCAACAATTAAAGAAGACAGACACAATGCTGGCAACGAAAGTGAGAACTCGCCCGTCCCAGGCTGACCATTGTTGGGCTATTAAGCAAGCAGCCTCTCATCGTTTATCAATCGCTAAATGTGAAATAATCGGTCCTGCCTCAGCCTAGACATGTCAGCCCTACCAGGCAGCATCTGCTGCAGATGATTGACGAGAGTATGTCCGAGTGGGTCCATTGTTTGGGATTCCTGCAATCGCATTACGCATGCGCCCCGTTGGGATATTGTAGGGCATGGCACGACCGCAGACACTGAACTGAAAGCGTCAGATATTGGCTGTCTTCTTGTCTTGTCTGCCGCTTCTGCTTTACTGGAACAACAAAAAATCGTTTTTTTATTTTATTGACTAAGGTCATCAACCAACACACAGGCCAGGCCGATAGCGCTGACGTTGAAGCTGAAGCTGAGGCTGAAGCTTCGATGCTGAGGCACTGAGGCGCTGAGGGGCACTGAGGCACTGACGATGGGCGATGGTGATTGTGATGGGCGATGATGATGCCGCGTAATCTTGAATCTCTCGTGCTGCCGCATCTTCACTTGAACAGCAAATGCAGCTGTGGAGGTTTTTCGTATCGTGTCGTTTCATTTCGTTTTCGTTGAAATATCTTTGGAGGTTAAAACGCCCAGCCTTAATCGGGAATTGTGTCAGCATTCAGCAGCAGTTGTTTCATTTGGGCGGAAAGGCTTATCTAACAAGTAGCATTTCCACTTAAGCATATGTATTTAAAATATTATTCAATTAATGTTTAATTTAATTAAATTCGTGCTAAATTCAGGGTTCTGTGAACCCAACTCCATGTTGGCTCTTTGTCAGTTCTCTGGCTGTTAGTTTAATTCATTTCCTACTAATGTTTCTGGGTAGTTATGTTGTCCACACTTCCTTACTGCTTGTTAGTTGAGATTATTCATGCTTAATTCACTTTATGCAACTCACTTTTTACCCTGGCATACGCTTGCAGAGGGTATTATGCTTTAGAGTAGATGCTGGCACAGCAGGGAAGGGGATTGCTGACTTTGCATATTTACTTTCAAAAATTTAATTTTATTGATTAGCTTTAAAAAAAAAAACAAACAAAGTAATTCAGTGATTAAAATTTTTTTAATTTTTAGAGGTAATTCCATTACAATGTACCAGTTATGGTATGTGGGCAATAATACATTTTTTATTTAATTTTCTTTAATTTTATATTAATTTTCATTTAGTTTTTCATTAAAAGTTGAGTATTAAGTCTTTTATTTTTATATGAATAATCTTTAGTTTTAAGAATTAATCTATTGGATTCAATTCAAACAAATTTTGATGCAAATCTGCCAAAATTTCATGGCAATGATGTCCGGCCAGGGTATCTAATGCTTCGGCTTTCAATGCTAGTTTTCCTTTCTCATTTTTTGTGGCTTATCTTTTTCATAACAATTTGTTTATAAGTGCAAACATAGCCATTGACCTATTGCCATATATATTGTACGTTATACGTTGTACGTGTGTATTGTACTTATAGAAAAACACGCGCATTGGCCAAATATTTGTGAAGAGGCCCCAAACATTTCATTATCACTTGCTCCATCATGCCCCATCTTTATCTTCATCGCCATATCCATCTCCGATCTCCGATCTCAGCTCTTCACTCTCCATCTCCATTTGGTGCTTCCAGCTCCCGTGGCGAGGCAATTGAGATGAGATTTGAGCGCACATCAAATGCCTAATGGGTTTTTATATTCGTTTTTTTTGTTTGTTGGTGGCTTGTTCAATTAAAAGCTTAAGACACTCACTCACCAGCACACTTGCAAACATTCGCTTGCCTTCAATTATATGCGTATGGGTGGATGGATTTTAGGTGTTTGTTATGGGCCACCTCTGTACGAGTCTTTTGTGGGGTTTTCTTCACGGATCGATGGCTCTCTATGTGTGGGTCTGTGTGGGGAGCACTTGGAGCTGGCGCGGCTGTTATAAATAGCTCAACGCTTATTACAGGGCGCCACACAACTCTTTAGCACCTAATTGTGATAACTACCGGAGCGAGCAGTGCAAACCTAACAAAGGATATTCCTAAAACTCGAGAAAAACCATATACAAATATGCAGTCTATCAACATTTGTGTCCTGGCAGTGTGCGCCTTTGTTCTCGTATCCTCGATCAGTGCAGCTCCCCTGGATGACTCGAAGCAGGCCACAATTCTGCGCTACGACAACGACAACATTGGCACCGATGGCTACAACTTTGGGTGAGTGTTTTGGGCAGAAAAAACATACTAAATGAGCTCATACGTATTGCCTTATTTCAGCTATGAGACCAGCGATGGTGTTACACGCCAGGAGCAGGCTGAGCTGAAGAACGCTGGTACCGATCAGGAGGCTCTCAGCGTGCGCGGATCCGTCAGCTGGGTGGCGCCCGATGGCCAGACCTACACCCTCCACTACATTGCCGATGAGAACGGTTTCCAGCCCCAGGGCGACCATCTGCCCCACAACTAAATGTGGCACATTTTGTGGCTAAGCTTAAACAGTATTTGTTCGTTCGTTTTTTGTAAAATATCTACATATATAAATATCCTATCCTAATAATAGTAATCATGTTAAATCTCTGAGCTGGATCTGGAAAATGGTTCTTACAATTAGCAGCGTTTCTTGAACCCGGATCAATGTAAATGCTATGCAAATCATAAGATTCGTTTTCTTTTTGTGTAGCAAAATATGCATAACATGTTTGGAGCATATTGAAAAGAAAAGTATGACGCAAATGAAGGTTTGGGCCGGGCTGTATAGCCTTTGATATATATTTCTCCCTATGTATATTCTTCATACACAACGTTGGGCATAGGCTAAGCAGGCATCGGTTTTGCTGTCTCGTCCGGCTGACCTTCGTATGGTTGAAATTTGCAAATTTTTTTGGCACGTTGAAACTAGTTTGGGTTTTTGTTTTCTTTGTAATTAATACATAATTAAAGCCGCGCATATGGAAATATATGCGAGCGATCTGGCCAGGCCACGAATGAAAACGAAGTTTCTGAAGGTTAATTTCTGGCGCTGATTTAAATTTCATGCGATGCTAATGAAATTTGGAAGATACGCCGATATACCAGCCAAAGATACACACATATAGCACACACAACACAGCCCAACAATAATCGCATTAATATGCATAAAATAAAAAGTGACAATGATCAAACTAGTTTTGGGCTAAACCGCTGCTGATGCCGATGCCGATTGAACGCATTGACTGCGGCTGCTATGATTCTGCTGCTGCTGTTGCTGCCGCTTCTTCAGCTGCTGACGTAGTTGCCATGCCCATGCCCAATTGAGGCTTGAGCATGATCTGCATAAATGTGTCTGCTTGATTTACATATATATTACAGGCAGCTCAGATTTAACTTCTGCTGACCCGCCGCTTACATTTAGCACGTTTTTCCCATACTAGGAATGATTGGTTCTGTAGGTTCTGAATGTTATTTTTGATCTACATCATTATGGAAACCAGTACATTATGTAACAATGTAACAAGTACATCCATGTAACTTTTACAACTCTAACATTATTTAAACATTTTTAACATGTTCAAACAGGGATTTGTTCCTTTATAAAAGGATCCCTTCAGCCTCCAGCCATAAGTGGTTCTTATTCCTTATTCCATCTTAATCTTATGTCATCTTAATGTATCGGCCAGGGGGAATGTCTCGCCCACTGAGAATGGGCAACAAAAGCACAGCTTGGCTTGCATTTGGTTTTTGTATTCTGATCGATTCGTATATCAAGTCAATTATGTTTGGCTACATGTTTGACTAGTTCCGCTGCTGCACTTTAAATAATAGCGGCAGATCTCAAATATTTTTTTAACTATAAAAGCGTAGACGAAACCATCGTTAAGTATCATTCGAGAACCGAAGACCAAACAACAAACAACCAACAATCACCATGAAGTTCCTCATTGTCTTCGTTGCCCTCTTCGCCCTGGCCCTCGCCGCCCCCCCTAGTGTGGAAGTCCTCCGTCAGGTTTCCGATGTTGGACCCGAGAGCTTCAGCAACTCGTAAGTCATTCAAGAAGTTTAGCATCAAGGATCAGCTCTAATTTTTACCTGTTTGGATAGCTTCGAAACCAGCGATGGAACATCCGCCCAGGCTGAGGGACAGCTGAAAAACGTCGGCAGCGAGAATGAGGCCATTTCCGTCAAGGGATCCTACCGTTTTATCGCTGATGATGGCGTCACCTACGAGGTCACCTACATCGCTGATGAGAACGGTTTCCAGCCCTCCGGCGCTCATATTCCAGTTGTCTAAGCTAAGCCGCTGAAGTCAACTTTGATTGCATCCCTTGTTAATATCCCCAAAAAATATCCCAAAAGCGATCTTATCTTTTCGAACAAATTCGAAAGGATCAAAATCTAAGTCAATTGTTGAATATTAAAGAAAATAATGAATACCTAACATCTGAAATTCTTTTCAATTAAATACATCCTGGTTTTATACAAAGTGGTTCTGGCGGAGCAACTAAACTTTTAGGTGAAGAAATGAACTTTCCAAATGAAAGTGTCTGTCTTAACCACATGTAGATACTCGTATACTACAAAATGTTGCCTATTTATGCAGAATGACTGAGCCATTCAGTTCATATGGAATTCATATGGAATACTATATTTGTGTACTATTTACATACAAATTAACTAGCTCATATACAAATTCTTACAAATGTATGGGCCATAGGCAGACATTTTTTGGCAGAGGAAATTGTGAATTGTTGAAAGGCAGTCGGGCAACTCTGACTACTTATTTTTGTTTCAGATACCTAGACCTAAGAGCAAAATAAATAATTTAAAATTTAAAAATGTATAATTTATTTAATTTAATTTGGTTTATTGATAATTTATTACCAGTACTTGTATGAGTTTATTGAACCACGTCGGGACAAATTTTCATTTTTCTTTGGCGTGAAAATGTTTCTAAATAATTTATTTCTGATTTGCGACCACTTGACAAGCGGATCACTTCTTGGATCTTGGATATGGCACGCCTTATGATTACATTTCACGTTCAAGATAAAAAAATCAAAAAAATTATAAAATCTGCTAATTAATTCTTTTTCTTCTATTATAATTTTTTTGTATAAAAAGTGTAAAAGAGTTTTATTAAATGAAGCACAGACACATAAATAACCACCTGCTTTGTGAACTTAACTAGATTTATGTATGCAAATGGAATTCAATGAAAATAAGTGCCCTGGCAGTGGTAGCGCAACTACAACAAGAGAACACCATCTGCCTCAACGGCATGGCGGGAAATACATTTATACATGGTGAGTATCATAGACTATTAACGACTCCTCAGCCCTAACCCAAAACTAATATCACACTTTTTACATTATGTTTTGGACATGTTTGACCAGTTTGCCAGCGATTTGAATAATCGCGAAGAGCTTGCGAACTATAAAAGGGTTTGAGCAGCCATCAGTTGGTACCATTCGTCGCACACTCTTCGAGAACCGCAGACCAAAAACCACAAACCAACAATCACCATGAAGTTCCTCATTGTCTTCGTTGCCCTCTTCGCTCTGGCCCTCGCCGCCCCCCCTGCGGAAATCCTCCGCTCCGAATCTGATGTTGGACCCGAGAGCTACAAATATGCGTAAGTCCTTAAACAGAGCTCAACATCAACCAGGAGAATCTAACTTTGATTCAATTTGGATAGATACGAGACCAGCGACGGAACCTCCGCTGATGAGGCTGGACAGCTGAACAACGTCGGCACCGAGCAGGAGGCCATCTCCGTCAAGGGATCCTACAGGTTCATCGCTGATGATGGCGTCACCTACGAGGTCACCTACATCGCTGATGAGAACGGTTTCCAGCCCCAGGGCGCTCATCTGCCCGTTGCCCCCGAGGCATAAGTTGAGTTGCTTCCAATCCAAGCAGCTTCAAAGCTATCCTGCCATCCAAATCCCTTGTTACCTCCCCCAAAAACTTCCTCAATCCCGATTTTCGAATCCTTATTTTAAAGGAAAGAGAACTAAGTCAAAAGCCCCCAAAATTTGTTGAATATTAAAGAAAAATGAGTACCTAAACTAAATAGAATTGTGTTTTGTTGTTTTGCAATCCAATAGGTTTGAAATTGGAGATCTCAAATGGTAAATGGGAATAGATCTGCAAGCGGCATTGATATTTGATCGAAACTGCTTATATTGCATCATAATAAATTTGATTTGGAAGCTACTAAATAATAATACGAGTATTGAGGTGCAAGAAATAAGTTTGAGAACGTCTTACGGTCGGGTGATTGATTACTAATTGATACTAATACTAAAATACATGTACATACTCGTATATTCATTCTTTCGATGATAATATGAGAAATGACAATGGCACAAACACAATGCACGACGATCAATAGCAAAACTAAAAGACTCTCGACTGGGGAACACGCTCGCTTCTAATATTAGTTAAAATATAAGATTTCTATTGGTGGATTAAGGGTAGGAATATCCTGATTTTGAGTACTCTTATAACCGAATAGGCACACAGATATGATGACATGGAATATTCTCTCTTGCAAGGGCTTGAGAAAGCGATTTTGTTGCACACACTCTGCCTAGCCGATTACACCCTGGTTGTTGGGTATGAAAAGTGTTAATCTGTAATTAAAATGTGTTTTATTGAATTTTTTCATTATTCTTGATTCGCTTTCCTTTGTTTTTATTACTATTCGTACGATTTTTTTGAAATTTTTTTCCGATGAGGACATTATCTAGAAGTTCTGACGATCCGCCTCCCCGTATAAAAGGGCCCCAGCAATCGATCAACAGCTCAGTTAAGTGCAGCTAAGTGTGACTGACGATGCTTTCCCATTCTAGTACGTGTCTGATTATACTGCTGGCAGCAGGTGTCTGCCTGGCTCTGCCAGCCGGAGACGATGCCCAGGCGGAGACCCTGAAGCTGGAGAGCGAGAACAATGGCGTGGATAAGTATTCCTTCGCGTGAGTATATCTGCAAGGGGAGATGTGTGGGAGTCAATCAGCTAATTGTGGACTTTCTTTAATGCAACTGCAGCTACGAGACCAGCAATGGCATATCACGGACTGAGGAGGGCGTTGTAAAGCCCGGCGCCACCGAGGAGGATGGCGCGCTATCTGTGACGGGCACCACCAGCTGGTCGGCTCCTGATGGCAAGAAATACGAGATTAGCTTCACGGCCGACGAGACTGGCTATCATCCAAAGTTCCGACTGGTGGCCTAGGATCGATCTTCTGTTGCCATCCCATCGCTAGTTTAAGCTGAATAAAGCGAGCATTCCTAAAATCCAAAATCCCAATGATCATTGTTTCCATCGGTTTAAGCTGGCAGAATAGCAAAGCTTAGGCAACAGAATCCACACGATTTTAAATATCTGTGGCTCTTCTCTGAGGTCATTGGAACTCCTTTGTGCGGAGCTTTGTTACAGATTTATTGAAAATTTATAAAAAAAAACTAAAAATACTAGACAAATAAAAAAAGAGTGTTTTGTAAATTTGAATAATGAAATATTTATGTTTTTCGATTCTTTTCAAGTTGAATCTTCAGCATGGCATATATTATCGTCGTATTAGGCTTTTAAACGACCAAACTCCAAGCCAAAACGAAGACCCAAACGCCAACCAAAACCAGACCAGACACAACAAATTAACATTGACTTTGCCGATTATGTTTTGGACATGTTTGACTAGTTCGGCCGCCGCCGCACTTTGAATAATCGCGAAGAGCTTGCGAACTATAAAAGGGTTCCAGCAGCCATCAGTTGGTACCATTCGTCGCAAACTCTTCGAGAACCGCAGACCAAAAACCACAAACCAACAATCACCATGAAGTTCCTCATTGTCTTCGTTGCCCTCTTCGCCCTGGCCCTCGCCGCCCCCGTTGATGATGTGACAATCCTCCGCTCCGAATCTGATGTTGGACCCGAGAGCTTCAAATATGCGTAAGTCCTTAAAAATAGCAAAACATCAACCAGCAGGATCTAACAATGACTCAATTTGGATAGATTCGAGACCAGCGATGGATCAGCCGCCGATGCTGTGGGACAGCTGAACAACGTCGGCACCGAGCAGGAGGCCATCTCCGTCAAGGGATCCTACAGGTTCATCGCTGATGATGGCGTCACCTACGAGGTCACCTACATCGCTGATGAGAACGGTTTCCAGCCCCAGGGCGCTCATCTGCCCGTTGCCCCCGAGGCATAAGTTAAGTTGCTTCCAATCCAAGCAGCTTTAATGCCATCGAGTCCCTTGTTACTTGCCTCAAACCGATTTTCCAAACCTTTCATTGAAAAGGAAAAGGATCTAAGTCAAAAGCACCAATTTGTTGAACATTAAAGAAAAATGAGTATATAAAAAACTTCTGTTTTTAAATTCCACTGCCAGAAACTAAAATGTTGTGCAACTGCAGATGAAATATTACAGACGATTGAATATATATCGAATTAGCTTTAAAGGCTGATTAGCTGTACAGGCAATCAGAGGCAATATAGATCAATATTGAGGATTATAGGGGCAATGGAGAGTACACATAGGAATATTCGTTACATCCTCAATGTTACCACAGGAACAACAGCAGAAACTTAACACAGCACAGTAAATAATCTTACGACTATGTGATACCCTAAGTGATACGATTTCAGGCTTATAATTTACATATAAAAATATATTCAACAGAAGACAGTCAACTACTGGCAGTGAAAAGGATTATATTGTAAGTATTTTGCTTTGCGTTGAGATGGGCAACGACCAAAGCAGACGATCCGGACGAGCCCATGAGGACAAAAATGGTGATGAATCTTTAAAAGGAAGGCAAACGCTGTTGCCGTGCCAAACGCTGATGAACAAGAAGTGCCTGAGCAGCTCACTGGGACATCGTCTGAAAAGCGACAAATTAAATTAATGGGAATGTTCCGTGTGCAAGGAAAATTGTACCGAACGCAGCCCAATGGCTCCAGCATGTGGGCTTGTCATGTGCAAGTCTTGCATATCGCGATTGAATTCAATGTTTGCATGTCCCAACTGTCCGGTGTGCAAGCAAAAGATGGGCAAAGCATTTGCTACGTGTGCATTTTTTATACAATTTTATTTGAGTTAAAACAAACAAAAACAGATGACAAATGATGACAGAAAAATAAAAATATGCACCAAACAAACTTTAGAATGTGGCTGACAGCTGATTGGCGCGATAGTTTACACGACTGAAATATTCGACATATGAAACAATCATAACTGAAACTGAAGTGAAACCATAAGTTAACTTTCTGTCCTCCTATGATTTTCCCATGTAAAAAACACTGAGTTTTACCCATAACTCAATCAATAACTCAACCCTAGTGTAACCACCCTATAAGTGTTCCAATCTATTTGCTGTGTTAATAGGTACATTGTCCGTCGTTTTACTCTTTTCCCCACCCATAAGCAAAAGCTTAGCCCCAAATTTCTGGTATCCAATCTGCAGATTGTGATGACGGCGTAGCGCACTTCCAGGCTTTGCTTTTAATTGGCTCTGCAAATCGAACGACTGAGACAACAAACTTGAAATTTTTCTGGCATACTTCTGGGCTACAATTGAATTATTGCTAGCGTGACTTATTGACTCGTGCCAGCTCGTGCCACATGCAAATTATTTATTTATGCTCTCACACTGAAAAGAAACAGTAATGCCAATTAATATGCAAATTTGTGCGCACATCATCAGTCATTGCCAAACTTGATGGCAATATTTCAATTACAATTGGTTGCTAGCCAGCATCCGGCAGAGGACACGCTGGTCACTGATTGCAATTGCGATTGCGGGTCGATAATGTGCACCCTGAAGTGCAAACATCTTCCTCATTGCATTCAGATTTGCTCATCAATCAGATTGCGTGGCTGCCTGCCCATTGATTGGCCGACAAGTGGCCTACGAGTCGCATAATTAACAACAAATAGTCAATACAAATGATTGCTGTAGCTGGACCCACAATCTACAACCCACAATCGTTCCGTTTTGTAGGTGTCAAGCGATAAATATTTATGCATTTTATAGAACGGCACATGCCGAATGGGAAATTAGCCAAAAATGTCTTGAAAGAACCAAATATTGATCAATGATTTACGATTAGCAAACCGTCAGAGGCGTAGCTTAACAGCAGGGGGGAGAACATGTGAAATATAACTTCTGAATACAAAAACGCAGTAGCATTATCCATTTATTCTGGGAATTAATGAATCAGTTGAACAAACAAATTAGGTAGATATCTGAAGAAGCTCAATACCCTCTGACTACGCGCATGATTAGGTTCAAAACGGAACAGTATAGCGACTATTGAATGCCTTTCATTTGATATTTAAGCATACATATAAAGAGCCAAAAATCATCGCGAGAACTAAGGAAGTTATTTGAACAAATTGGTTTCTAGCTAATTTGTAAACTATTTCATTGCCTTTGCTTGGGTTGGGGTCCCCATTTTATGCATATAATATTCTAGAAATAAATGACAAATGATTTAAATAAACACATAAATAATCATGCAGTGTGCTTGATATTATATACGAGTATAACCGTACGTTTATTATGTGGACAGGCACACACAGGCTTGGATGATGTTTCAAGAGGCTTGTTGGCTCTTGGCTGTTGGCTGTTCTCCTCGGTGTTAGGCAGACGCACACAAATAAAGAATACTACCAATACAGAGAGCCAGCTGAGCGAGCCAACAGGCAGAGGCAGTGGCCAGCGTCTACGTCCGCTTCTAATGTTTTATAATGTTTAACTAATATTATCAACATTGTCAATTCGCTGCCGAACATCGTGGGGTGTGTTCCATTCTGTGACGCTTGCTCCGTAACGAAAAATCTCGTGAGAAACGCGTCCGCCGTTCTTCGTTCTTCGTTGCAAATTCAAAATATTTATACTAATAATATATATGCCCAATTATTTATGGTTTTTAAACGTGATCAAAAGCAGTCGATAATCGTATACTAAAGAGGCGTGAAAATAAAATAAGTTTGTGTCTAATTTAAATACAAATCGAAGTCAAGCATCGGAATCGAAATGAGCCTTAAATCAGTGGCCATTGTTTGTGCTGTAAGTGAAAGTGATACGATACAATTCGAATTATGTTTAATTATTAAAAAACGCATCCATTTCAAGCTGCTGCTGGCACTGTGTCTGAGCCATGTCCTGGGTGCCGTGACCACAGTGCGTCCTTACAAGTTTGGCTTCACCATCGATGAGCAGCAGCATCGGGCGGAGCAGAGAGGTGAGTAACGGACAGCTGGGCTAATGACGCTAATTAAACCATTAGCCATAAGCCACACGTAGACTTCTGTGCGTTCATTTATTGACACCAAAACCGAAATATGTAAATAGAGATGCGTCATTGTCGTCCCAATGGTCGTTAGAGACGGCTGGTGGCAGATGCAAGGAATGCAGCCGCCGCTGCAAGTGCAACAGCATTAGCCAAAAAAAGGCAATAACATTTGACTTTTGTACCCAGTACCGAGTACCGACTACCGAGTGGTTTGTGCAATGCCACACACAATACAAGTTTCGTTTGCTGTAACTGCTGCTGCTGCTGCTGCAGGGGCTGCAGCTGAGCGACAGGTCACCAGGCAATTGAAATACTCGCACCAGTCAACAGTCCACAGTCAACGTCACCATTGGACGGTCAGCAATTAGCGGATGTCTGGATGGGAGAAGACCATTTCATTGTGTATATGATGGCATGGTCGTTATGATTTTTATTTCTATGCTGAATCGGTAATAAAGTTTTCAGAAAAACGAAAACGAAACTCGAACCATTTGCATAACATGTAGCCGTGTCACAGAAGCGTTGCCTTATTTATGGTTTTTCTTTCTTTAGTTAATGCTAATTCACAACAAATAAAAAACGACCACATTTCAATATTTATAAGTATAATTCTGGCATATAAAATGCCAGAGTTGAGTCCACAATTCGAATTTCATTCCAAATTTCATCGATTTTCGACTCTCGGGGGGGAACTTGTTGTTGATTTGCTCGTGTGTGTGTGTGTGTGTGTGTGGGGGGAGATGTGTTTGTTGGAAGTTGAGTTCCTCAACAAACATCTTTTATCAAACATCTATGATATCATTTTCTAATACACCGTTTTCGAGCATACTTTAAGGCGTGTCGCCCCCCTGTTAAATTCGATATTAGTATGCAGATGACACTTATTTTTATTGCTGATATAAAAGTGTAGTTAATTTATATTGATTTGTATTTAATAGTTTCCATTATTCGGCTTAATTCAATGAACAATTCAAACGCCCATCTATTGGCACAAAAGAATAATAATTATTTTTGCATCCAACTGAAATCGATCGTGACAAATGCGAAAGTGACACGATGCCATATACCAAATATAAAACAAACAAGCGAAAGCCAATTTATTAAAGCCGTTCAAACGTGTTAGCAAGTACAGGTTAAAGCCAGATCCAGAGCCAAATCCAAAACCAGTTTAAGACCGAAAGGCCACAAACTCGGAATAACGTTAACCAAACCAAACGAGTGGGTGGCTGTGTCTGTGGCTGTAGCTGGCCAGGATGCATGACTGGCAGGCACACCTCTCAGGGGGAAGATTAGGTATAATCTTTAAGAATGTTGCGCAGCATAAAATCTATTTTCATGCGTAGGCAGGTGCCGAAGGGTTGGGGGCGACTAGTCGCCGGATTTGAAACCAGCTCAAAAGTTATGATCATCATTATCGATACAGTTTATTAGATCTTAATCTTTATGGGGCTGTCGGGGCAGGTTATGAAACGAATTAAAACACACGGATCGCCGCCAAATTCGCATTCATATTCGAAGAACGAACATAAAAGATTCTGTATAGGAATCTCAGCTAATCTCGTTTCCCGATTCACAGACGAACGAGGCATTGTCATGGGCGAGTTTGGGTTCATCACCGCCGATGGTATTTACCATGTGACGGTCTATGCCACCGACGAAGAGGGCAAGTTTCGCATCTTGTCAATGAAGAGTTATCCCTATGCAGGACCCATCGCGCCCAGTGAGTATCCACATTTAAGCTGAACGAATTGCTGCCACTTACATTGTGCTTTCCAGAGACCGTCGCTGTCACCACCAGCACCACAACCAGAGCCCCACCACCGCCGGCAGCTTTGCCCAAGTACAACTTTAACACGGAGGCCTGCTCGGGTTGCTTCCTGAAGAAGTCCCCAGCCGTGGGCAGTCCCAAAACTGAGATTCGTACGCTCTCCAAGCCGCTGCCACCGCTGGCTGCCGCTGGACAGAAAGGTAAGCTAACGCCCAGTCGGCTGGAAGCGGCCCCACAGGATTATGGACTCAATGTCCAGCTGCCCTTCCTGCAGTCCATTGCCCAGACCATAGAGGTGGCCACGCGACAGGGCCAAAGCCAGAGTCCAGCAGGAACACAGCAAAACACGAATACGAATAGCAACATCAATTCCTACACTAACACACACACCGACACCAGCACCATCACCAGCACCCAGCACACATATGCACCCACCACAAACCCAAGGCCACTCAACAAGCGCATAAAAGTTGGTCTCGACTTGGCCATGACCACATACACCACCTCCAAGGCCGCCGTCACGGGTCACGTGATCAGTCAGATGCAGAATTCAAAATCTCCGAGCAGTAACTCAAAAGTAGACTACGATGTGGGCATCATCAATACGGCTGAAAAGGTTTCTGCGTCAACCCCGGGCGCTTTTAGCTATGCCACGCAGCCAGCGGCGACCTTTGACCCGTTGAACATCAAACTGGATGCGAATGCTGTGAGGCAAGCCAGTAAATTCGCTTCCAGCGGGAAGGCTCCCCTGGCCTTGGCAGATCAGCCAATTGTTCCGCGCGCCACAGTACCCGCAAATCAGGTGAAAATCTTTTCCGTGGGTCCAATCAGCGAGCAGAGTTCCCCATTCACTTCCGCTGTTAGCCACTCCACTGTGCCGCTGGCCAGTAACGTTGTGCAGCAGACGCATCCTGCCACGTTCTCCAGCCCTGCTTCCGCGCATCCTGCTGCTGGACAGATATACGGATTGGGTGCACAACCCTCAACACAATTCGCACAATTCCCAGCACCGATACAGAGCACACAACAACAATTGCACACACCAACAACACTCACACAGAGCCCACACCAGAGATATCCCTTGAGTAAGCCCGAAAAGGGGACATGTTATTTAGATCTAAGCTATTTTCGTAGGGAATATCAATATTTTCAAACTAAATCCGATCGATACGTAGACATCAAGCTATAGCGGTTAAAACTTAGTTTTTTTTTCCATTCAAACGATTGGAAAATCAATATAGATCGGAAAATATAGCGTAAAGTGGGTGGAAATTTCTTTAAAGAGCCAATGGCACAGTGGCGCTGAAGTTACATTGTAATTCTACGATTTTTTTTAGAACTAAGCAATATTACGTGCATTTTACAATGAGTGGAGGTTTGTGTCCTTACTAAAAAAATTCCCATCAACTTCCCATTTATCAGATACACCAACGCAGACGGGACTTTCTGCAGCAGGCGGTCTTTCACCAACCGGAAATGCAGCCCGTAAGTCCATTGGGGGTTGAATACAAATGAAGCCAATAAATCTCTTCTGTTCTCCTAAAATCCCCACAGCAACTAAGATCGGTGGAAACCCCGCTGTTGTAGGTGTCTCTGGTGGAAGCTTACCTCAAGGAAATACAGGAAATGGAGGCGTAGCTGGTGGCGCATTAGGTGGAAGTTTCCCGCAGGGAAATGCAGGAAATGGAGGCGTATCAGGTGCAACACAGAGTGGCGCATCAGGTGGGGGCTTCCCTCAAGGAAATGCAGGAAATAGAGGCGTATCAGGTGCACCACAGAGTGGCGCATCACGTGGAAGCTTGCCGAGTGGATTTGGAGGAGTATCTGGTGGAGCTGTATCGACTGCAAGTCGACCCGCTGGATCAGCAGCTGGAGGTGCAAGCTTGCCAGCAGGATCCTTGCCACATGGTGGTTCTGCAGGTGGGAGTGGACTGACAGGAACCGTATACCGTGGAAACGGACCAGCTGGAAGCGGGTCTGGTGTCAGTGCATCGGATGCAGCATCGGGAGATCTGTACAAGTTCAAGTACATTCTGGACTACAACGGACACGAGGAAACGGGCAGTCGGAATGGCGATAAAGAGGGAAATTACTTTGCCATCGGCGAGGATGCAGTGCGGCGGACCGTCGAGTACATAGCGAACGAGTTTGGCTTCCAGCCGCATATCAGTTGGCAGAAACTGGATGACAAGAGTGTGCTGCCCGAGGAGAACTCCCTGAAGCACTACGAGTTCAAGTGGTTCAAGGAAGCGCAGTGAACGCCTCCCAAATCCGAGGGATTCGGTCGTTTTCGAGTGTAGATTCTTGTCCCGTCCCCCCTTGCTGTACATAACAATTTGCTATTTTTTGAATAAAGACAAAGAGATTAACAAATAAGAACGGATACCGTTTTGAATTGGGCGTTTTTTTTATTTTTGTTGAAAGTTTTTTTGCCTTAAATTAACTAAATTCTTAGAGGGTTTCGGTGTGTGGGCGTTGCTGATGTTTGTTAATTCTTGAGGGGATTACTCGTATGGATTACTCGTATCTCCATTGTTTTCGTAGAGTTTCGTACATTCAGAATTTAAAAATTGTATACATTTAGATCGATGGCATTAAGTTTGCCTTGTGGTATTTCCTGTATGTGTATGTGTATGTATTTGCATTTGAATTTATTAATTCACACACATTGAAATAGTTACACACATTCAAATATCATAGTACATATTTCGTATTTATAGGTAATGCTATAGTAAACGTGGACTTAGGGTTTAAAAAGATTTCTTTTTTTACACACAAATATATATTTATTCGTATAGAGTAGGTCTAGTTTTGGTTTTCGTTTAGATTATTATGTTTAATTTATTTAAATATTCCGGTTCGTATATAATTTGGTATTTAAAAAATATTTAAGAGTTTTAACTGTACAATCAACTATCACAGTCAACCATCTCGAAAGGATAAGCGATAGGGAAAAACCTAAGGATGTATTCGCATGACCCCAAATCAGGGCTGGGGAACCGAAACTGAATGCAAAAACCATTTGAAACACACACATAGAAACTACTTTGTTTTTTTTATTACTAAACATTTTTACACTTAGATTTTTTGCATATGGCAAATATTCGTATTTATTTATTTACAGATCGTAAATTGAAGCAAAGATGTGGCAAACTTCTATAACTAGATATTCACTGTGGGGCGTTTTGTTGGTGCTACATTTTTTTTATGTTCTAAATCTGCTTTAATTTTGGAGCATTGTAGTCCACTAATCTCTATTTCTATTTACACTTCTTGAGTTTTCATTTGCAGACAGAGAAAATGCTAACAACAATTGCGAACAATATACGAGAATTGTTCAAGTGGAAACTTGAGGATTCTATTGTAGCGAGAAAGAGTTTTCGCAATAACTTTTGCTTGGCTTTTCATTTGGTTACACTAAAAACACTGAGAAGTTTGAGTTTTGTATTACGCCTTTGCAAATTTGCAGATTGATAACTACGGGGCATACTCCTCCTACATATTTGGGGTTTCTCAATCGTATATTTTGGTGGAGCAGCCATAACGAAAACGAAAACTATTCTATGCACTCGCACTCACACTCAACACACTCATTCGAACTCATTCGCACACACATAAAATACTCTGTTTTGGGGGTTGGTTTTTTGCGCTAAAGTTCTAAGAATAAAATCCGCTCAAATATTCGAGTATTCGAGTTTCTTGCGTTTCGTTTGGATTCATTTTCTGGTGGTTCTGGTTACAAGTTTTGCATTTACAGTAAAAATGTGGCCTGCTCGCCGCTCTTCATATCCAGATAATCGTAGAGGGCACGCTCGTTGGCGCCATAATTCCCAGGATGCGCAGGATGTCCGTGATGGACAGGATGACCGGGATGACCAGGATACGGCGGCATGTTGTCCAGACTGACGGCAGTGCCTGCGGCGGGCGTGGCCGCTGGCGGTGATGGTCCTGCGCCCATCGTCAGTCCGAACTTCTCCAGGTGACATCATTTGAGCAGCGTCGGCAGGCTGCTATTCATCAGGCGGTTGCCCACGACCAGGGAATTGAGCGTCGAGCTGCCGCCACCCACCCCGACGCCCACGCCCATGCCAGCCACACTGAGACTCCCAATGGCCCCGAACCCGGCACTGGCATGGGCCGGGGCCGCCGTCAAGGTGGCCGTGGCTATATTCAGATTATTGCTTACACTGGTCGCACCCCCAGCTCCACCGCTGCTCGAGACATGCGAGCCATTGAGGTTGCTGTTGCTGCTGGCGCTGCCAAAGCCGCTCATCAAACTGGATACGCCGCCGCCCCCGTTGCCGCTGCTGGTGCTGCTGGAAGTGGAGCCCAGGCCACCCGTTGCCGTGCCCGATCCGACTATGCCGCCGACGCCTGTTGCTGCAGTGCCGCCGCCAATGCCTGTGGCACTGGCGATGGCATTGCTCTCATATTAGAAGGCGCCACCGGACGATGATGGTCATGCGTAGTGGGGATAGCTGCTCAGATGCGGCGCCACATGGGAGGGCGTCACATGGCTCATCGAGTGCGGCTGGTACAGATTCGTGGCCGGACTGCCCCAATTGCCCCACGAAGCAGCCGATGGAAAGATGGATGCTACATGCAGAAGAAGGCAAAGATAGAAACGATTGTGATGTTAGATGTGAGACGATTTTCTCTTGTGCGGAGATGCTTACCCGATGACGAGGTCATGCCATGGTGGGGACTCATGAACGAGCTGAGCTTGGCGCTGTGATGATATGGTGTCATGAACAAGTCGCTCTGATACTTGTAGGTGGGATCGCTGGCCGCCGGCTGTGTGGCAGCTGCCAGGCCTTGGAAATCGAATTTGTACGCATACCGCTTGCCATGCACCTTGGTCATGATGTTCTTGTCGTAATAATATCTGCAAAATAGACAGGATAGGGGAATCCCATTTAGTATTGGCCAAGCAAGCAACCCTCCGCGACAGCTTCTGATCGAAATGTGGGAAAGATAAACAAAAGCCAAGTCCATGGATATGGACATGACCATGACGGTCTCCGTGTGCGTGTCCCCCTCCCCACAGCACTGATGGACAATAAATAATTACAAAATAATGCTCGCTTTATGCGTTTTAAGTTAATTTGCTGACATTAAGCGATTTTAGTGCCGCTCCCCAGACACTCTATCCTCTCCCTCTCCCTTTCTCTAGGCAATTAAATGGCAACGCCTTGTGCACAAACTCAAATAGAAATATTCTGTGGGGAGTTTATTGTGTGGGCGTCCAAGAAATGGCAGGCGAAATTTGTTTGCATTCGAGGGGTTGGCTGTGATTTCTTTTCATTAAGTTTTGGCAATCCATTATAAACCATGAACGCTGGCCAGCTCCATCCTCACACATTAAAGCTCATTTGAATGGACAATTCACATTATGCGAGCTGCGCTTTAAAATGTCCGCAACTTCCGCTGCAGCAAAAAAACCAGGCAAATAAATTACAAAAGGAGCGCAGTGGCAAACATTTCAATGCATCAATGCAAATTGGCATAATGCGTGCAGTTCTGCTTGTTCTCTTTTTGTCTCTGGGCCTGGTCTGGGGCCTGGGTATAAATTATGCCAATTACGTCCATAAATTAAAACCATTAAAAACAAAAGCTGTGTGGAAAATGCAGGAAAAAAATACGCGAAAAGAGAAAAGAGAGACGGCTACGGCTATGGCCACTGCTCTTTGCACAAACAATCAAAGCCAATCAATACACTGATGGCAGGGACAAAGGCGTACAATCAAGGAGTAGGCGAGAGGGAGTAAGAGCGGCAGATAAAGGACCAAATAAGGAAAGAAAAAAGGATTAAAGTAAACCCATTTTAAGGATTGGCCACACACTAGCACACAAAAGGGCAGCTGGCTGTGAATAAACATGTCAAATGAAGCATTAAAGCACTTGTCCTTGTTGTCTAGCTCTCACTCGTTCTCTCAGTGTGTCTGTGGGTGTTAATTTACACACCCATCCATCCATCCACACACACTCACATCACATACATCGCATACATCCACGTAGCACACTTTGCTGCGCTCGCATTTCTGTGTAAACATAAAAGCCAACGACGATGATGTCTGATGATGTGATGTCTCCTCGCTCTAGTGTTCAATTGTTCAATTGAGTTGAAATGTGCAAAAAGGAACGAACAGACATGTTGAGGCTTCCTGCACATCAAAAAGGATTCTCTGGCAAAAGGATTTCTCGACTTTTTACATCTTTATTTACATGTGTGTATTGCAAATTGGCTGCCAGCATTTTTCCACTTGAATTCGCATCATTGGCCCGGGCATCGTTGGTTGCCCCGCTCTGATTGCAAGTGACAGTTTCAAGGAGCTGGCCTAAAAGGGTTCGTTCGCTGTCCTGCCCAGGGATTAGGCCAACTCTTATGGGCCCCAATATTTGCTTAACAAATTGACCGTTGCACAAATAGTTGTTGCATATGCTGCTGTCATCTGTTCGTAACAGAATTTAGGCTAGAAAATCACAAAAACTGAACATAGAAATAGGGAATGGAATCCGAAATCGAATTAGAGCGTTTTGGGCAATTAGATTTTGATTTTATTGGATTTTTTGATTGAATCTCTGCCCAGGCAGACCCAAGCCACGCCCACACACAATCAACTGGGCTAAGCGATGGTCAACTTTTGGATTGTGCCATGTTTCTTTTTTTCCTTTATTTATATATATATATATATATTTTTTTGGTTATTTTTGTGTAGGTTTTTGTCATCAAAGAGGCTAATCATTGCCGGGAAAAATCATTTACTGATGAGACGACGAGCAGAGCAGCAAATTGCACACATGCTCGCATTTTGATTCGCATGATGCGAATGCCACAGATATCGGCTAATTAGGGGGCACTTGAGTGCACAGGGGCCAGAAACCACCACCAAAATGGCACAAATACAGACACAAAGATACTAAATTAGAGAGAGAATTGTAACTCACCTCAAGGCGCGACTTAGTTTGTCGTAGTTCATGTTCGGCTTGGACTTGCGCTCGCCCCAGCGGCGTGCCACCTCGTCGGGATCTGTGAGCTTGAACTCACCGTTGGTGCCCTCCCAGGTGATGCAGGCTGCGTTGTTCGAGTCCGACAGCAGTTCGAGCAGGAATTGCCATAATTGTATCTGTCCGGAGCCTGAAATAGCAAAGCATGGGAATTATATATATATAAATATATATGCACGTTATAAAGACATTTAATGTCGGTCTTTTTGAGCCTGGCTAAATGTCCATCAAAAGAGCATATCCTTTCGGCATTTGGGGCTTAAATTAACTACTGCTGCGGCGGCTGGCAGGGGATGTGGCCAAAATGTAAGCATTTTGTGGCATGCAAAAGCCCCATAAAGCATTTCCTGTACGGATTGCTGGCCTGGCCCCCCGCGCTCTAGGAGCCCCGCTCCCAAACCCCCCTTGGCAATTCGATAAATAACTGTGACTCCATTCTGTTGGTCTCTGCTCTTTGGCGGTGGCAATCTATGACGGCTGCCTCAAATTGTTGCAAGAGAAGTGTAGCGCAACGGAAATGGCATTGCATGTAAGTGTAATGGAAGTTGGGAATGCTTCTCCACCGCTACCTCGCTCCCGCGCTCTTGGGGCATTAAAATAGATGTTCTGTCTTGCACTTTCACTGGAAATTTGTCAGAGTCAGCGTCAAAGCATACATATAATTTCTCCAGTTCGATCTATGACTGAGAAAAAGAGAAAACCTGCCCTTTCATCTCTCTCACTTAAAGGGAATATTCCTGCGTCCTGTACCTAGCATTTGGATAGGGAATAAGGACTCCAATAAACTCTATAAATAACTTTCAACTTTCTTCGTTTATTGCGTCACTGAATGAAGCATAGTTCCCCATTTGCCCTTTGACTTTTGGGCTTTCCCATCCCACGCTCACGCCACGCCACTAGAATCAAAAATTCCTACTCCAATCCGCGTTTGAACTTTGGCATTGTGCGTGCTAAAACATTTACAGAATTATGATTGTGTGTATTGTGAGCGGGATTCGCCACGCATTCGACGCAGACATCATAAATCGCTTAATCATTTGGCAATTAGGCTGTGGAAGAAGCACAGCAAACGGGCCACGAAATGTAGTCTCTCCTTTCTCTTCTCTGTTTGCTGTCAGACAAAAGGCTCGGTCGCACAAAAAAAGGACACCACACCACACTGTCATAGCGGGACGAGAACCAGTGGGGGGTGGCTTAGAAAAACTTGAGGCAGCTGTGGGGCGTTGGGTGTGGGAAATGTGGGAGGACTTTGGTGGTGGCTTAGCGCTGCTCATGTGTGAGAACGTCATGAATATTGCGTTAATTGCAAATCATGGCCAAGTGAATGTGTTAAGTGCCAACACGACGATTTACCCACGACGATGATGAATGATAATTGTCCTTGGGCTGGGCAGAAGACACACAGAGCAAGAGAGAGCTAGAGAGCGAGGGCGTGTCTAGGCAGAAGACACACAGAGAAAGGCAGGGCAGGCAATTGACACGCTATTACCATATAAACACATGTAAAAAAGCTACCCGAAAAAAACCCATTCTTGGTAGATCTTGTTTTACGATTTGCATCTCCAATTTGTAATATTTGAAGGGGAAAAAACAAGAGATAGGTCTATGGTAGAGAGCCTCAACAATTATTTATCCGTTGCTCAGTAAAGTAAAAGCAATGGCAATTACTTTTACTTTTTTTTTTTAAATTTAATGTCACAAAAAACAAATCGCAGGGGTGCTCTGGCTCTAATAGTCACTCTGTGATCTAGATGAATATCGATATGGCCATTGCTGCTCACCAGGATTAGTATACTGAGAGGTATACTAAGACCCACGAAAAAACAACCTGCTAGGAGTATCCCTAAGCAGTAAACTAATTTCACTAGAAAGGCGTTCAAGTTAAACCTTTGAATACAACAAAACAAAAATGTTAATTTAATAAATCGTAACGAGAAAACATAACCAAAACCGGAAGTAATTAGCGCGGTGGCAGGGCTTTGAATGTGAGGCTGCAGGGACTCCTTATTTTTACATAATTAAGGACATTTTTTTTGTAGTTGTATCTTGACTTATTTAATTATGCAGCGACTCTTGCTTGGTTCCTTTTTTTCTGTTTTATCAGTTTTGTGGTTGCATGCAACTTGCAGCTGGAAAGGCACACACACACACACATGAAAATGAGTGTGGCATGTCAAGTGTTTGACCAGCTTGCAGCGGCGGTGACCGGACTTGGCTAACAAAGCGGTTCCGTGTCGAGAGGAAGCCATAATTAATCAAAAACAGCATTTTTGCCACCCAAAAAGCGAAAGCGCAATGCATATTTTTGTGTGTGTGTGTGTCTCTCTCTTTTTCTCTCTGTGTATGTGTATGTGTGTGTGTGTATCTCAGTGAGCTTTTGCGTTCAACTTCCAAGTTGAAGTTTAGAGCCAACTCTTGGCAACGGGCTAAACCGCACAACAAACAGTCGAAAGAGAAAGAAGCCTAAAGCCAGAGCGGAAGAGTAAGAGAGAGAGAGAGGAAGAGATTCGTGTAAATGTCGCGCCGGAAAATGTTGGGCGTCTGGGTTTTTATGCTAATTCCGTTGAAGCGCCATGTTTCGATGGTGCCATGGCGGGGGCCAGGAATGGGATGGAATGGGTTGGACATGGGGCCGTGGCAGGCTTTGCGTTTGGGGTTGCGGTGGGTGGAGCTCATGCAACAATAATGGCGGCGTCAAAAGCTTGCCCCAGCGCAGGATCAATAGATTATTGATTTTGCAACCAAACGCTGGTCACACAGACTGTGAAAAAACATTTGCAATTGACTTTCATTTGTGCCGCAAATGTGCGATAGAATTAAATAGAATTTAATAATAGTTTTTGGGGATAGTTTTGAGTTAAACATACTCGCTGGCATACTCATTAAACTATTAAGTTCTAGGAATTAATTATAGCATACTTTGTTAGTTAGTTGTTGTTAGAACGCATTCATTCATTCTACTTTGCTATCTCTGGTTCTTCTACTCTCAATCTCACGGTCATTAATCTCTGAGGCTGTGAGAAAAGAAAAAAATGCTTACACATTCATCGACCGATTTATCAAATTTAATAGAGAACACGCCCACTTTTTAATACCCCTTTGACTTTGCTGGCATCACTTTTTAATGGATTTTCATGGCGTTAAACAGCAGGGCGCGTGCCCAAGAGCTCAGACACTTTCCAATTCCCAAGGAATGAATGAAACAAAAGGCCAAAAGCTGCAAAAAACAATTGCCGAGACACGCCCATACACAGACACACACACACACACACACACACAAAATCAGATATAATAAATTTACGAAAACACCTTTCGCATAAATTAGAAAACTGCACCCCAAAAGTCAGAGAAAAAGCAGAGCAGAGTGAAGGCAAGGGAAGGGTTTAGCTTGCATGCAATGGGTTAATTTGTTAGGGTCGCCGTCCGTCCGTCCGTCCGTCCGGGGGCAATGACTAAGCCAAGTCGAATCTCAGCCAGAAATTGATATGATAATGAAATGCAGCCCAAAGTCCGTAAGTGTTTTGGGGTTCCATTTCCCCAGCAAACCAAACAGATTGGGGAGAGTCCAGTCTGGAGTTTGAACCCCCATCCAAGTTAAGTCACGTGGCCCACGCAATGGGCAAACTAATCGTAGCACCTGCATCTTTATGCTTTTCTGATTGTTCCACTCACCTGAACTGGCCAGCCTGCTGCTGGTGGGTCCGAACATTTGATATGGATCTGTGGAAAGAGAGGGTTGCAAGTTGCATTAGTCCAAGTCCAAGTCTTTTATGCAAATATTTTTTAATGAAGGGTGCCCGTGCCCATGCCCGTGGCCGCCTCGTAAACGGGAAACATTTTTATAGAAAAGCCAAAGAAAAGGCAAAGCAATGGCAAGTTTTAGTTTCCGTTGATGAAATGAAATGCATTACTAGGAAACTGTAGAATACGAGTACCTTTATATACGGATTATATATATATATATACTCGTATTAGTATGTGCATGCAGATGCTTCATTTGTGCACATTTGTCGAGTGCACTCATACACCCCCACACTCGCACACACACTCACACTCAGAGAGCGACTCACTCACACTCGAAATATCCATTTCACTTATTATCCGGCGCGCGTTTCCTGCATGCAAAAGCTCAGAATTCTCCTTCCTCGCCATCACTGGGGGGGTTACGGGAGAAAGGTTACTCTGTCTCAATGCAGTGGCTGATTGCAGCGAAACCGAAACGGAGACGAAGACCAGGAACAGAACCAGAACCAGACACACTACTCAGCATACGACACAATTGTCCATAATTCGCATCATCTAGCCAGCCTCCGCGTCGCGCCGCGTAGCGTCGCTTACTCGGCTTGGCTTGGCTCGTTCTGGCCATTGTTTTGCAAACAGTTTCTCAGCCTCTTTCGTGCATGGGCATTGTTCTCTGAACAGTTCTTTAATGTCCCGAAAAAACTGCCCCCTATTCCGGTATTCTGCGACTGGCTGGCTGCCTGGGCTGCCTGGCTGGCTGCCTGGCACGCGTCTTCTTCATCCACGGCCGTCAATTTTTGACAGCAACAAAAGCCTGGCCAAGTGCGTCTGGGTCTCCGTTCCTCCCGCTCCCTCTCCGCAGACCTCTAATTGAGAATCCTTTATGGCATTTTCAATTGTTTCCATTACGCTTCAATTCCACTGCTCGGCACTTTTGTTTCCATTACCATTTCCAGTGCTCAAGTGGCGTATTTAAGGTTTGATTTTGCGACAGTATTTGCTCGATTTCTGTTTCAGTTTCGGTACGGTTCGGTTTCAGTGTGAAGTATTCGATGAATGAATTTTAAAGCGTACAAGGGAGGAAAGCTTCTCGCTCTCTGGCTGGTACTCTTAGACGGACAGCATCCCAATGTGAGTGAGTGAGTGAGCGAGTGAGCGAGTGATCGGAAGGCAACTCAAAAACCCAAAACTCAAGTGCCACTTGCAGCGTGCGTCCGATACAATGCCGAAACTTTATTAGTGTTGGCAAACAGAGTTTTCGTTTCAAATTTGTTTAATATATTTTTTTTTTTTTTTTTTGCTTGCTTGCTTGTTTATGTTTGATTTAAGGCTAAACAATGCGGCACGTGAGCTGAAGTATCTGCCATACACTTGGGTATTTTTAATGGAGTGCCAGGAGTGGCATAATATACGAAGGTACTCACCAGGTTGCCGTAGTTGCGAGTGCGGATCATGTTTGATGCTCAAGGCATTGGAACTGTAGCCTAAAAAAGAGACAAAGAATATGGAAATTATGTGTGTTTTATAGGAAATTTAGCAATAAAATAAGGCAATGTTAGCTCAAAGAACAAGCTTACGATCTACACAGTCATTGAAGAGGATTAATTCGGCTATATCTTGGTACTCCGAAAGCTTGGGCTTACAACTACTGGGGATCATAGCAGCAGATATGAGTTCCGAAAAAAGACCACACTCACGACACCTTACAACCCGCAAGCGTCTAGAGTCTAGACTCTAGAATTATATATGTACATCATGTATCCATGTACTTGTACTCTAATCATTGGAACTTAATCGCGCTGTCAGTTAACACTCTCAGTTGAACAATCAAAGGCAATCATCAACTCAACCGCAACACAAACATTATCTCAGCAATGCCATCAAAGAGCTCTTTGGAATCGAGGGAACGAAACGGTGCCACACAGTCGCCCCAAGGCGTTGGCTGTGTGCTGGGCGACAACTGTGACATGAGCAATGCTGAACGACGAACACAACTTTCTGTGGGATCTTTTCATTTTAATGGAATATGATTTTAGAGAGACAGAGCGAAAACAATGCTGCTGGCAATTCAATTTACAATCTCGGCGCGTTCGACTTGTGGCAAACTTCACGCTTCATACGAAATTAAAGCCGCAGGCAAAGGACACACACAGAAAGAAGATTTTCTGGGTGGTGTGGTGGCTCATGCACCGACCAACCAACCAACCGACCGACCGCCCGCTGATGTTGTTTTCGTTGTCACTTATTGTTCTTAAAAAGCGAACAACTTTTCATATGACATTTTTTGGTTTTCTGCGCTTTGTGTGGCCACTCAACTGCGAAGAGCACAAAAGGCGAACGATTGCAGCAGCCCACCAGAGTGGGTTGGAGTGTGGAGTGTGGGTTGGCGTTTGCTCTGTTGGGGTTGTGTTGCGCCTGAGTGGAGTTGAGTTGAGTTGAGTGAGGCTGTGCACAATTTTGATGCCATCAATGGCCAACAGCTAAATGCGTTCAGCCAAGCTGAACGTGGAGAATATTTCAGAATTTCCGAGATTTAAAATGCCTACAGGCTATAGCCAATGGAGTGGGTGTCAAAGGACAATATAATTTCAATTAGTATTGGCCATAACTAGCCTAATAAGCCGCTTAACCCCTCTGCTCGCTCCAATGCCTTGCAACCCCACAAAACACGTGTAGTCGTCACCTTTTCCATTCAGTCTTTTATCTATACATCAGAAGCAGAACCACAGAACCATAACCAGAACCCCCAACCCAAACCAGCTGTCTGTCTGTCAATATTCTATTGATGCTTGTTGATTTGCTTCAATACATCTATCAGGGCACAAATTTTGCATGCTTCACTGGTCCCCGGGACCCGATTCGTGTGAATTTTCATCTCCTTGGGCATGGGCCTGGGCCTGGGCCTGTGCCTGTAGCCGTGTGTGTGTTTTGCATATTTAATGTTAGCTTATGGGCTTTTTGAGTGCCTTCATTTGATGTGTTCGGGTTTTTGTGGCATAATTTGCCATAATTTTGGGCTTCGAGCACAACTTTTTGAGTATATTTGATGCCAATTTGCGATCATTGAAACTTGGGGAATTAGTTGAGTTTTGTTTGAGAATTTACAGCGGTTTTTCGTTGGATTTATATTGAGCAGAAACATTTTTATGAAAAGTAGGCAAAAAGATGATAAAATGGATGTTGTTTTTGAGGAATGAGGAATGTTATATATGTAATATATATGGAGCAGTTGAGGCTTTGAGAGTATAAATACCGTGAAGGACGAGTTTTTCTTAGCCCATAACTATTTTTTAGAGGACAAAGTATTGGAAAATATCTTTCAAATTTAAATATATATTTGGGAGTTCATTTCCTTAAGATACTTAAGATGGTAAATGGCATAAAATATACTTTGATTTGATTTAAATCAAATTCTAACGTGGCCTCCATTCTATAAGGTCTATAATAGTTTTTGTTTCAAATGCAAATGATTTCTTTGTATTATTTGATAATTATCTATCTCCTAGGATGGATCCAAGTTATTTGTTAGCCATACTTTCCTTGCAGTCACTTTTATGTTATCTCACTTCCATCAATATTTCCTCCCAATGGATTTTTCTAAAACTAAATTGCACTTATTACTCACCTTGCGATTGGGTCGAACTGTGGGAACCCCACGACGATTTGTACGAGGAATCTGCAACAGAAAGAGAATAGATATGTTTTGAGTATTCAATTGATTTCACTTCACTTTGTCTTAAGCATAGGAAAGTTGCACTTAAAAAAGCGGCCGACGGCAGAGTACGAGTACGAGTAGTAAGTCTTAAGGAGCTAGGCATTAATTTATTTACTTGGATTCCATGCGGCATTGGTCAGGACCGCGGCCGACGGTCGTGTTGGCTCACACATTGCCCACTCACCTGCGAAGAGCATTGAGAAATTGCTGAAGCCTCCCGTGGAGCGTGACAAGTAATCAGCGGAGGACTTGATGTCCAGCATTGTGGCAGCGGGGCAACCGCCGTCGGTGCTCCACAAAAGTGTTGCCTCACTCGCTTGGGGATATACTCGGTATGTCGGTAGCTAAGCTGGGTGTCGCTTTCCAATCCGTTTTCCGTTTTCCGTTACGGTGCCAAACAATTAGTTGGAATTTCAAATTCAAATTCAAATTGCAATTGCTCTTTGTCTTTCCTCCTCTTCTTTTTTTGTTTTTGCTTTGTCCGGCTGTTGTTGTTGTTGTTTTTTTGGCAAGCGGTAAATTGGTCGCCGGAGTCCGGAAACTAATAACACGGAGGCAGAGGCAGAGCGAGAGACGGAGAGACGGAGAGGCGTCTCCAAGTGTTGTCCACAATTGAATTTATTTAAAAAAGGAGGCAATACCGCAAACGAGCAGCGGGCAGCAAGCAGCGAGCCGACGCGCAGCGGAACAGGAAAAGGAACGGGAACGGGAAAAGTGACGATCGGAACCGGTTACCGTTTACCGGACACCTCGACTTCCGCTCGAACTTTCCAATGCACTTCTGGACCCTGCCCAGCCTGTTCGTTCGTTCGTTCGTTCGCGTGTCCAACTGATTTATATGTGTCAATGTGTGTGTGTGTGTGCTTGTGTGTGTGTTTTTGCGAGTGTGCGTGCGTGCGCTTGTGTCTGTGTGTAGGCCCACAAAATCGCGTAAATCACTTTGGTTAAGAAAGGATGCTTCTGGCTTCTGGACTACGGTTTACGGGTTACGGGTAACGCTTTACGGTTATATGTATGTACGTATATTGAGCTTGAGCACTGACACCGGATTGCGTCCGATCTGTGGCACGGCAGCGTAACAATTGATTTCATTCCGTCGTCAAATCGCGCATATCCTGCCCAGGCCACCGTCGCGTCGTTGTCGCTGACGACGTTGACGTTGCCTCTGCCTTTGCCTCTGCCCACCGAACAACCCCCAAAGCTTCACTACTCTGCCTGCCACATGCCACATAGTGGGGGTGGCTGGTGGCTGGTTGGGCAGCATTTTGGTGGGTGGTTGGGTTCGTTTGCTCCTTTCTGTGTATCTATCTGTCTGGATGGCTGGCTCGGGTTGGGCATGTTGCTGCCTCTGTTTGGCATCGCTGCCGCTGCTGCTGTTGTCCTTTGTTGCGCCCCAGGATATACTTAGGGTTTTAATCCACACCAAAAGTACACATCCACCCCCTGGTTCCGTTCCGTTCGCGACTCGAATCACCAATCAGCATTGAGACAAGGTGTGGCCTAGCCACACAGCGGAGAGAGTCCTACGCTCCACTCTGGCAAGCTTTTCGTGCGAGACGAGAGCTTTCTGCAAATGGAGGGCAGTGCAATGGTGGTTGGGGGGCGAAAGGACTGACTGGGGACATTGGAGTCGAAGCTTAGAGGAGCCCGAAACATTGGGTTCTAATTGTACGAGTATTTCCTCAGCAAAACGCAGCATTTCCACACGATCTATAGATGGCGTACACTCTGAAATGAATCCTATACAGGACAAAAGCTCTCTCTCTTTATCTCTCTCTCTCTATCACTTACTCACTCACTCTCTCTCTCGGGGTTTATTGTAGGAGGTTACCGTTTCCACTTGACTAAAAACAAGCCACAGGCCGCTGGTTTGGGAGTCTCTCTTTCTCTCTCTCACTCTTTCTCTGTCGCACTCTTTTCACAAACACAAACACACACACACACACACTATGCCCGTCTCTTTTGCGCACGGCCACTCAATGGATGGCCGCTGCCGCCGCTCGTGGCAGAGCTTCAGAAGTGGCATCGCCTTTTTAGTGGGTGACACGAAGCAACAAGGACGGATGTATTATCCACTTCCTTTTTCCTTCCACCAAACACAAGGATATTACCGTTTCGTCGTTCGCCTACAATACCCCCAGCTCCTCCTCCATGCAGCATGTTCCCCTTCCCCTTCCCCCTCCCACTCCCACCCACACCTCACCACCTAAAGCGTGGGGTGAGGATAGGGAAAGGCTGAAGATGGGACTGGGACTGGCAAAAGCTGAAGGTGGGACTGTGGGCTTTGAGGGGCACTGACGAGGAGTGTGGCAGTGTGGCAAAAACAATGCGCGAGAAGTTGGAGCTGCAAGGATTTGCAGGAGAAATCAACAATAGTTGATTGTGAAAGGCTTTGACTGTTGTAGGGAGGAGTGGAGTAAGTGGAATAAGGCTTGAAGGGGAGGCAGGGGTTGGTGGAGTGGAGGTGCACATGCGTTGGCGTCGACGCTGACAGCTCTGCAGCTGCTCAAGTGCAATTGTGACGCTGCCTGACTTCTGCCTCTCTCTCTCTCTCTCTGTCTCTCTTTCATCAAGCAACAGCGCGCCTTGTCGCCATGTCCCTTGAAGCAGGCTACAGAAAATGAAAGACACACAAACACACACACATAGGATAGACACTCACACCAAGAGTCACTCACTCAAAGACACCCAACCATCTACACAGCTGCCTTTTGGAGCTGGCTTAATTAATTTTTGAATTCCCCATTGAAATTGTTTTTGCCCCTCTGTGTTCTCAGCCTCTTGTCCTCTTGCCGCTGGCCAAGTGAGGCGCTGTCCTTGTGTATGGGGCATGGGTATTCAGTATTCATTATTCCCCTTCCCAGTGGGTGGCACGGGCTAATTCATAGGCGTCAACGAACAAATTGTAGTTCCTCACACATAAACGAAAAGCTTTACTAGTTTTCTTTTTACCCCCGCTGTTGTGGTGTGTGTGTGAGGCATGTTTTTCCTAGCAATGGTTTTTTTATACCCTATAGAGGATATTGTTCTGCAGAGAAGATTTCATTCTGAGAAGAATTATAAACAGCTGAAGGAGAATTAATTGATTTCGCAAGTTTATCCAGAATTTAATTGAACATTTTGCAGAGCAGTCAGCCAGCAGAATAAATTGACTTAAAAATACGAGAATGTTAACCATTAACTCAGCGGGCACCCTGTAGGGGTGCTCCATGTAAGCCTTAAATTATGATCAGATTTCGTTCTGATTTCGCCGTACGGATGATCAACACAGATCTTAAAACAAAATAAAATCAATATTGAGTATCAAGTAGTCGATTATTGCCACAGGTTGCTCTCGCTTGGCTGGTGTTTTCGTTTTAGTTTTAGTTAAAAACAAATTTCGCTTTTCACCCACGCATTCATGCAATCCAAACACACATACAAACACAGTGAAAAGTTTAGCTCAACTCAGGGGAACTTTTAACGTACATATACCAGTGTGTGTGTGTGTGTGTGTGCTAGTTTGTGTCTCTGTTAGTATGTGTGTTAGTTTGTGAGCTGCTTTGACACGCAGTTATTTAATAAACGTAGCTGGAAGGCAAAAGTGTGGGCTCTCGTCTCTCTCCCTACCACCACCCTCCCACAACAACCTCTTACCATCATAAGCTCTCAAAGTGTGTATATCTATGTGTGTGGATTGTGTGTTGTGTGTGTGTGTGTGTGGAGCCCCTGCTAATGGCATCTAAAATGGCTAAATAGCAATTTGCTGTTCTCCGACAGAGGAAAACCAAGTTTCACTTGGCTCAAAATGTTTGCCTGTGGCACGGGAAAGCTTTCCTCTCTTCCCTGCCCCCTCTGTGTCTTAACATTTTAATTGCATTCATTATGTAATTTCATTTGCACGCTTTTGGGGCGAAGCAAAAAAACTTTAAATTAATTTCTTTTGTTGTGCGATTTCCGCCATTTTGCGACGCCGTAACATTTCCGCCCACACTCCCGCAAAAGCTGTGGTTACAACGCCTCCACCGACGCCTACGCCTACGATTACGCCAATTCTACTGCCCACCCGTCACGCCCACAAGTCAAGTGTTTTAAGTTAACTTTAAGCCACAAAGCATTCATCTGTCTTTGGAACTGCTCTTCATACACACTACCTCCTTCTCTTTGAGAGTGACAGCCCCCCATCCACCCAGTCCATGCATCGAGGCCTGTCCATTTGTGTTGTGTGTGCAGCCAAAATATTCAACGGAGCGTCAAGACAAACATGACGACACCACAGCGCACTGAATCACGGAATCACAGAACTATGGCCAAGACAGGGAGCATATTGTCCGGGTTCAAGTTCCGAGCCCATGGAACCCACTGAACCACCGAACAGTTAATAAGAAACGCAATCAACGCTGCGATTTGTTTTCTCAAGGCTGCAGAGCTGGGGGAGGGGAGGGAGTCCAGGTCCAAGTCCGGGCTGCTAATATCTGGTATGCGTCTTGTGTACGGACACTATGTGCAACAACGAAATGGCCCAGCCTACTACAATAACAACTGGCAGTCGGACACGTGGCCATTAATGACGTATGAATGATGTAACACGCGACGGAGTCGAAGTCGCTGCTGACGCGGCACGTGGCCCACGGCTCGGTGAGGCATGACAGGCCAAGAGTCACCCGGGGGGCAGCTCCGCTCCAGCTCGTTGCGGGTCTTTAATGCTTTGCCACTCTGCCACTCCTACTCCGCCTCCTTTTCCATCTCCCTCGAAGATTGCTCATTTTGCCTACGGCCTTTGGGCTGTGCATTTTGTTATTGCCAAAATGCGTATTGTTATAATCGCCATAAAAATAATAAAAATACAATACACAAATTTCTCTTCGAGCATAGTCCAATACTACTTCGATGTTTGCTAATCAAATGGGCGGCAACGGCGGGGGCATACTCATAAATCAGCTGGAAATTGGCAGCTGTGAAAGTTTTTGTGGAGTATGTGATGAGAGGGTTAAGTTAAGGATGGAGCAACTGAAGGTGAGACTACTGAAAGGATGGGTAATAGATATTGGCGGAAAAATATGGCAGAATAATCTATAATCTATTGTGCGGAACGGTTCAACTTCTGGGTTCATTCGCCTACATTGCATCTATGATTCTTTAATCATCCTTCCAGGTTTACTTCTTCCCTTCCATCTGCTTAAAGATATATATATTCACAAAATTATTTTTCTCTTTCAAAGATTATTTATACATTTCTGATAAAGTTATTTGTCATCCATTTTTTCTCTTCTATATTTCGCGGCCTCTGATCTTCTCTTCTCTCTTATCCAAATTTATTTGAATAAATCTCTCCATAATCTTTATTCACATCTACACAACATTAACTTTCCCTAAACTTCTCTTGACCTGGCCCTCTCTCTCCCCCCCCTACCTCTCTCTGTACTGATTCTACTCCTCCTCTTTGTCGACACCTATTGCACCTTTGTTATCAGGCCCCAGAGATCTAGATGACTCCCCGAAACTTGTTCCCACAAAAATAAAAACAATGTCAACTCGGAATTCACACAAATAAAGGCAACACGCCAAATCAAACAAACCCTAACCACAAAATACAAAATAAAAAAGGTAAACCCACGAAATGAAAGTGAAAATTGTAATAAAAACAAATTACGGACACGAACAAACAGGCAAAAAGTGTGTGAGAGGGTGAGCACCAAGGAAGGGAATTTCTCACAGAAACATATTGAAAGTGTCCTCGTGGCTGTCTGTCTATCTGAACAATACAAGCAATAATTGCGCGATTGATAAACAGGAGAAGAGGTGGAAGGACGCAAGGGTGCAACGAGTGCCACGGGTGCACGGTTGCAGGGTGCTGCATGGTGCGTGTCCGGCCTGAACTCCGACGACGACTCCGATTACCAACGTTTGACTTTCGGAGATAATTGCAAGGGAGCTCGTTTTGGTTCTTTTTTTTTTTTTTTTATTTGTGTGATTCTCTTATAAACTGAAAGCTAGCATATTCACACGGCATTCCTGGCATGGGGTGGTGCACACCCCTCTACACCCCGCGCCACTTAAGAGCCAATGACAACAAACAGCAAACAAACAATTAACATACAAACTGCCATCCCAAAAAGGGGTGGAACGTCTCTATATATGGTTCACGTGCCTCGAGGTACGAGTCTAAGGCTATAAATTACTGCGGTTCGACTCCGAGCGACCCTCGCTGTCAATTGATAACGCAGATTGACTTTAGAGGGTCGCGCGGGTCAAGGGTTCTCCCACGGCTTTCCACGGCTTTCCACGGCCTCCTCTCACGTGAGTTGTGTCACTTGAGATAAAACGTTCGAGCAATGCCAAACCGAGGAGAGAGAGAGAGAGAGAGCGAGTAGTGTACTGGCATAGTGGCCATAAATTCAACAAGCTCATAAATTCAATTGACAACTAAATTGCAGTTCGCTTTTTGGCCCCACACCGAAACCGGAGACGCTTCGACACAGTCACCTCCGGCTCTGGGTGCGCTACGTTTCCGCCGTGTAAAGGCTGCCGCTCTCTGGAGGTGCTCCCCGTCCCCGTTCCGCTTCTTTCTTCTAAAACTTTCAAGTGCGCCGCAGCTTTTCTATTTTCTTTTACCTTTTGCTCCCTCTTTGATTTTTCCTATTTTTTCTATATATTTTCTCTTCGTTTTTTTCTCTTTTTTGATATTTCATGTCGGAAGCGGGTCATTTCCAGCGGCATAAATCACAACAAAAAAGCGAGGCCTTCGAAGGCGGAAGCCCGACCTGTTGCACACTCGCTGACAGTTTTCTATTACATTTTGTTCGCCGCTTTTTTAATTATTTTTTGTAAAGTTTTTGCGCTTTTGTTCGAGCAGGCAAATTTGTTTGTCTATCAGTGCGAAATCAATGCTTGCACAGAAAACAAAACTAAATTAGCAAAATATGTACATATATATATATTTTATTTTCCAGCTTGTTGCCATCATCGAAAGGCGGTGACGACGGTGGCTGGACTGGCGCCTGGTACTCAGGGGTTGGGCCAACAATGACGTGATTTATGACCGACTCGTGCTTGAATCTCAAAGGGGGGTAATGACTGGAATCGGCAGTTAAGTGAACCGCGAAAAGGGCCATGAATAAAAATATTTGGACATCAATAGGCGCATACACTAGCACACACTCGCACACTCGCACATGAAAGGTCATCAGCCAAGGGAAAGCCTGGGAAACGGAGTTTTTCCAGCACCAGTAGCAAGTTGGCCAAGTTCCCTCTTTCTTTATATTTATGTACATATTTTTTTGTTATTGTTTGCCACATTAATAAATATGAGCGAATAAATTTAAGCGCAAGCGTCAGTCCGCGAAGCTGTCAAAAAGGACTTCAACACGTCCCTTGGCCTCGGCTCGGTGCGGCACGGCCCCGGCCGTGGCCCCTGCTACGGGCTACGGCTACGGACCTGGCGCCAGTTGGCACAGCAGCATTTTCAATTTATTTTCACAGCCTGAAACAATTACGGGTGAAAAAAAACGAACGAAACGAAGAATAAACTGTGCGCAAATGAAATCAGAAATTAAATTTGAAGTGAGCAAAACATACGGCGTCAGATAGAGACAGGGACTGCGACTGGGCACATAGAGAGAGAGATTGATAGAGAGTGAGAGAGAGAGGCTGAGAGACACATTGTGGCGCTTACTTGTGGGTGGCCAAAGGGGGTGTGTGTGCGCCACCCGCTGGGCGTTTTGATGGAGAGGCGTGGGATGGCGTCCAGATTATGTGATTACGATTACCGTCGAGCACTACGAGTGTGTGTGTGTGTGTGTGCGGGCAAACAGCAAACACAAACAAACGACAGATGATGATAGACATCAGAAATATGATTACAGAATTTAAAATATAATTAAAAAGTGGTAGAGAAGGAGGAGAAAGACAGACCTACTCTTGAGACAGCGAAAGGTAATGGAAATATTCAAGTGAGCTGTGTTTTAGAGAGTCTTTCCTGTAGGCAGAGAAAGGTAGCTAGGTAAACATCCAAAGCTCTCGCTTTGTATGCAAATATATTCATCTAAAAGCCCACCAAAAAATTAATTAATCCTTATATAAAAATCGATCTTTTACATGTGTCCCAATCATCTAATTAAACACGCAATCAAGGAGCATAAATCTAGAGAGTAAACAATAAATTCTATCAATTGGCACTCACTCAATCATTAATGTTAACGATGTCATGCTCCACCCTACCCTTTCTCATTATGCACACCTAACCGCTCAATTGTCCGTGCAAGAAGGGAATCCCACACACACTTCCAAGCAAAGCCAAGCCAAGCCAATCCCATCCAGGGAACTCCTCTCCTATCTGTTGTATCTACCACGCTGTCAAGGACGCGTGCGCCCTAATGCGCTTCACATAACATTTTGATCATTTTATGATCTGTCGATTAGCCTCATTGTTGCTTGTTGCTCGAGCGGCCATCCCCATCCCTCGAGCGCTGCTCGACTGGTAGCCAGAATGTCTGGGATGCGCTTCGGGGGTTGTCCTCTGGCTCGTCCTTGTCCTCGCCGCACACACTTCACGTTCCGTTCCCTGTGAAGTGTGTTTGTGTGAGCGTGTGACTAACACGCTTTAATAGGATTACCGCTGAAGAGCACTTAAGAGTCAAATTATCAACGGGGGCAGTCACATCACAAATATACAGAGAGAAAGAGAGAGTGTCTCTATCTCCGAGAGGGAATGTGTTGTGACTGTTGCGTTTTGTATGTTTACAGTGGGCCAGGGAACGATGAACATTAACAGAAGGTTGTCCCCGGCTTTTGTTTGCCAACTTTCCCACTGTCAATGGACCGACTGTCAATTGCAGTTCCCAGAGGGATCCGAGCCAATGGTTCGTAGCCCAGATTACGCGCATTAGTCAGGCTTAAAGCATTAAGTCAAGTGAGCAATTGAGATATCAACACGGGTTCTCATGAATATGCAGATGGATCGGGAGAGTAGGAATTCTCTTCTGAATATGAGAATTAGTTTCAAGAGTTGATTTGATATTATTATAAATGGAATTGCATGATTCTGAAGATAGTTGAGCTTTCAATCTTTATAAAACATTGATCATTGAAGTCCTTGTAAAAGTCACTCCATGAAAAGATTCCAAAAATAAAGCAAGAAAATCCCTTGAAGTACTACGAACTTCTTTTATATGGTTCTTCCCTGCCACACAATGAAATCTCTTCCCCCAAACCATCCCCTTGGATAGCTCAAATGTCCTCACCAAGGACATGCCACCCCCACAGAGCACAGCAGCGCCCTCTGCATTGTGAGCAATGGGACTTCAGGTTGCTGTCCTGACTGAAAGCTGTCAGAAAAGCTCAAAGGACACTTTTGACATAATCACAAAGCTGAAACTTACACAGTGCCGAGCTGCCAGCTCCTGCTGCTGTTCCACCGACGCTTCCTCCGACTCCTGCTGCACCACTGGCGCTGCTGCTGCTGCTCTTACTTCCGCTGTGCCTGCCCTGCTGCTGCTGCTGGTGCTGCTGCTGATGCTGGTCACTGGAGGCGGACGAGGACGAGGGCACGGCGGTGTGCGAGGATGTTGTGGCGCAGTCCAACGAGGATTTATCTGCAAGAAGCGAAGAAGCAAACAAAAGGATACTTTAATTGCCAGGCAGCACAAAAATTTGCACACTCAGCACGGCACGCTTCGCCTTTTGCCACGGAAGTGAATGGAAAAAAGTGAAAATAGAAGTGGATGCTGGGAACAAAATCATAAATCTCGGCATAGATAATTGTCATCAGAACTAGCGACTGGTTTATTTATTGCCCGAATTATGGTTTCCATTTCTGCGAGTATCGCCTGCGCCCCGTACGAGTCACAACATGGGTGGTGCCCCAGCGTCACGCAACGTCGCTCGGCACGAACCAGCGCACTCACCCTCACCCTCTCCCTCGCCTCTGACTCGCTGACAGATCCTGTGAACCGCAAAGCACATAATCGCGAGGGTTGTCACTTCACAGACCAGTCGCCAGCCAGAAGCTAGAGGACACCAATCCAATGGAGAGATGTTTAATTGCCGTAAATCTTTGTTTGATGTAAACAACAATAAGCAAGCAAAAAATATACCAAGAGAAATTTGCAACGCTTTCAATTGAAACGTCAAGCCGGATGTGATGCGAGTCTATGATAATGATAGCCATGAAGATGATGGCTGGCTATGATGAGAGGATGATGTTCTCCCATGAGAGCTGTCTGCCAACGGACTGTGTCATAATTGAAGCCTCTGACGGGGTGGGGAGAAATGTTTAGGGATATGTGAGTATCCTATGATATGGTAGTAGATCTCACATTATACTGTACTTAAAGTAACCAAAAGAAACTTAAACTCCGACTGTTACAAACTAAAGGAAAATGGTAATTTAGTGGGAAAATTTCACAGAATTTATGTCAGTGAAAAGTAAACAGAGAAATGAAATTTTTTAAAGCTATTTCGATGAAAATTTATCTCAATTTATGGTATACGGACAGGTATGCAGCTGCAGAAATGTTATAATCTTGTGTTTTAAGATGTCCCTTTAAAGGAAGAGCCTGTCTGTTAATTCCACATAAAATAATGGAAGTTTGGCTTTTCGTTTTTAGGAAAAGTTTCCCAAATCTAAAAAAAGATTAATTTAAAAATGTTCAAAGTTGAATACAACTTAAAGAACCTTTTCCTAGGGAAAATAATTTTCTATATAACGTTTATCATATCTAACTGTTACACAATCTTCTATGCATACATACGTATGCATATGTACTTATGTAGTTGTATCTTTGCCTTGAATTGGCTGGCAAGTGTAATTATTTTTTATGCGCTTTTGTGAGCCAAACGTCTTCTCTGTACAGCACAAAAAATAATGAGTTACGCATGACAAAATCTTTTCATGCCAAAGGCAGCAGCAGCAGCAAAAACTCAGCTACAGTTGACAGCAGCAGAGCCAGGGAGCCCCCTCAGAAAGTGACAGGGATGCTGGGGGGCTGGGGGCAGTAGATAAAAAGGATTCATTTCATATTTGCTTGAGCGCTTCGGGAATGAGATGAGAGGAAAATGAGTTGGCGGCCATTTTGTGTCTTCCATTTGCGATGAGAAAAGTCAGGACTTTTCCACATAATAAAACAGGGAAAATAATCTTAAAGTTTATGCCATAATAAGTGAACATTTAAACTGAACAACATTTTGACGTCAAAAAAACGCAGCTTGTCCCACAGCCAAAGAACCATCGACAAGCAAGTCAGAGGAGGCGGCCTTGTCAGTCTTTTCTAATTGAAACCGAAGCAGAAACAGAAACAGAACAAGAGTCCAGAGCCAGGGCATAAATTTGCCAAAAACGAAACTTTCTTATAGAAATAAATGGACATGGACACAGCGCTTGACTGGGGACTTTCAGGGCATAACAAACTCTTGCCAGGCACGCGATGAAATTGTTCAGTTTTGATGGTTCTATCAAAAGCTGGTCTCGCGGACAGCAGCGGCCCAGAACAGAGCCGAACAGAACAGGCCAACAGGCAAACAGCCGCCCACCAAGGGCCACATTATAAGCCATATCCGCCGGGTCGGCTTAAATTGATAAATACGAGTATGTAAGCGAAAACCAAACAAAAAAAAAAACAAACAAAAATGAACCCTAAGAGCCGAGAATAGAAGCGAGACCCCAAAGAGACCTCAACGTTTATATGGATAATTCAATTTAAATTTTTTGTGGAATATCTTTTTTTTGTTGCTTTTTGGTTTTGCTGGTAGAACAAGCGGAATTATGTACATGGCTGGTCGCGGTTTTTGGCCATTGTTTTGGCCATTAAATGTAACGGGGCTCGGACATATTCGTTGGCCTCAACTAGCGGAGAAGGTTCGAGAGGAGGAGTGGCAGAGTGAAGGTGGGTATGGCACATATGCTGTTTGGATGTGTTTAAATAAATACGCGAAATTTGCCACTTTTGTGGCACAACATTTTCGGCAATTCTTTTTACGCCCGCCCCCTGCTGACCGCTTTGGGACTGACTCGTTTTCCCTTTGACCGGAAGCGCAGGATTTGTTTTTCCGCCATTTCGTTGACATTTTTGTGCTAGACAATTGCGAGAAGGTCAGTGGGTTGGTGGGTGGGTTGAATGGGGGTTTCTAGTGCTGATCCTCAGCGGAAATATACCGTCATCATCTGGTGCTTACCTGCTCGCACTTTGTGCTCCACATGGGATGTGCTGGAGGCCGTTAGCGATGGCAGTGCCGGTGCCGCACTAACCGCATCCAAAGTGCCGGATGTGACCTGGCCAGCGCTGGACGTGATGACGCCATGCTGTGTGCCGGCGGGTGAACAGCCAGCGGGTGGCTGCAATGTATCCAGACGATGGCGTTGCACGCTGCTGCTCACTCCGGCCGTGCTGCTGCTCACCGCATTGTAGTTTAGCACTCCGGCCACGCCCACGCCAACACCAACGCCGACGCCCACTCCGACACCAACACCAGGGCCGTGATTGTGCGGCAAACCCAGGCAATTTCCAGCCCCATTCCCAGTCTGAACGGGCAGGGTGTCGAGGCTGTCTGTCAGTCGCTGGCTGGAGTAGATGTCACTGTGGATGTGGAAAGATCTTTAATGCTGAACGCCCTCTTTAAGGAATGCCATTACTCACCTGAAAGCACTGGTGGCCCCAAAGAAACTGCTGCGATCCTGCAGCGCCGCCTTGGCCTTCTCCACGCTCTGCTTTAGCTGCTCAAAGGTGGACTGATGGAAGCGGTACGAGGTCCAGTCCGGCGAGCACTGCCCCAATGTCAGGCAGTCCTCGGTCTTCACCTGGGCCAGTGTTGGCGGTGAGACGCGCTTCAGGTCCAGCGCCGTTTGATACGAACACGAATTCTCGTACATGGCGCAAGCCTGTGAAGCCTCAATGGCTGGCTGTTGGCTAAACAATGGATTCCACTTGACTCTAAATGGTTTAAGGGGAATATAGGATAAAGTTTGTATTTGATATAGATTAATACAGATATTCGCAGTCTTTAAAGTCTGCACTTTAGTTCGAAAAATACTCCTAAATATACAACCCAGCACTCACCTCATAGCACAACTACACAACAACGGAAAGATATTCATAAATCATAACGCCTGGGCCCACAATTAAAGACTGCAATTTTAAGAGGCCTTTTTGGGGCAAAACAATCGCTCTAATTGCCAAGGCTCCAACACGTTTTGGTAGCTCGCTCCCACTCCGCTTCGCGCCTCACGCTCTTTTTGCCAGCATAATTAATAGTGGTGCTGGCTGTTTGGCGGACAAGTGGAGCTCCCTTAGATATAAGCACGACGTGCATAATTATCTGGCTTGTTATTTATTGTGTGTACGGGTAGGAGTACGAGTACAGTCCCGCTCTTTGGACTGGGGCAACGTTGCGTATGAGTGCTGCTGCTGCTTCTGCTGCCCCGTGCTGTGCGTGGGTGGCAGCCATTTGAGCGTGCATTTCTAATGTCCAGAGAGAGGAAGAGGGGGAGTGCAGACCATTGTTAGCTGGATCCTTTTTGGCCAGTCTGCAGTTAGCCCCGTGGAACAAGCACAGCCAGAAGCACAGGGCATGCAAATTTTTGCACTCTGCCCTCGTCGGAAGTTGCTGAATTTTGATTTATGCCAACGAAATTTATGCCACACAACGTGCAACGTCCACTGTCTCCACTGGCTTAAAGTTTCCCCCAAAAGTGAAATGCAAAACGGCTTTAACTTGGGCAGCAGCAGCAGCATCAGCATCCCGCATCAGCGGGAATAAATTTCATTATCGGACGGTCGCATCTCGTACACAAAATCATCAACTTTTGCCTTGTCAGACATTATAAACGGTCTGCACACGCCTCATTTATTATTTATTGTACGAGTATTTGTGTTTGTACTTGGGCTGGCTCGGGCTGGCTCTTCTTGTAAGCAAATTTCCCCAAACAAACATTAGCGAGCAGACATCTTTTTTTGTGCGTAGCTATCACAATCGTTTCGAGCGCGCGCACACCGGAAATACGAGCGGGATGCCAGGATGTCGGCCTGGAGATGGCCTGAATACTCGTCCCGCTCTCTGACGCGTGTGGAGTGTGGAATGGAATGATTGCCGCGGCGGCTGCCGTGAGTTATGCTTCGGCCGAATCCTGTTTGCCAGCGAGCATCTGTTAATGGTATAATCCCCTTGTAGCACGAGAGAGATCTTTTAATTAAGAGGCCACACGCTTGCATCCTCATTAATGGTTTGTTAGATTGTAAGATTTCACTGCCTCTCTGCATTGATTGTTCATTTTCAGCACAGTTTTCAGATTTTTGAATGCTTTCGATGCTCACTGCATAATGCGACTAGTGAGCTGTTTAATTGTTGAGTGGATGATGATGATGGTTTTGCTGCTGTCGTTGCAGCTGCTTTGATTTGTTTGCTGGCTTATGAATATATCCGTTGTATGTTTGCTAATTTGATTAGCAGTCAGTGTACACCAACGATTGAAGGTTTGTTTGTGGGATGGCAGTGTGTGATTAGTGGACTTTGATTAGGAAATGAAATTTTCCGAGCAATAGGCTCGAGCCAGCCATGATCCAGCTACTAACCTCTTCAGTGGGTAAGCAATAGAACTGTCTGCTGTAAAGATCATCTAAAGCTATGCAATCTTGGAATTGCAAAAAAAATAACTACAAATGGAACCACAAATTTGAAAAAATAAAAATATAGAGAGGGGTTTCTGTAGGATTTGACCACTGAATAGGTCGGAAAGAAATATCTATCGAACGTTCAAAGTCTATAGTTTGTTCTACCAGTCTCCGATTGATAAAAGATACACATGCAGTTTTAGTGGCAGCATAAGAATCCATTTCATCATTTAGATCGTACTACCTAAAAATGTCTTGAAATTCCCATCATAAATCGATTAAATAAAAATAAAGATAAAGACAAATAAAGATAGTTTTGACAATGTTAATACCTTTCCTTGATCAGATTATGCATCAGATCAGCCAAGTGCATACAGGCACACACTTTGCAAAGCGGATCCTTCCCAAAGTCTCTTAAATTTATAATAATTACAAACACATTTCCCTACCCAAATTAAGTGTATCCTTAGCCGAAACTCACCTCAGGATTATGGCTGTTTCTCTGTTAGCGTTTATCCAAAAATACTACTCCACTTGTAGTCTGGTCTTTGCTGCACCTAACTTGAAGAACTTCCGTTGGGCAAGGTAGCGTTTGGATCGTTAACACTTCACTTCGTTACTGGCTCGGCTCAATCGTTATGTGCAGTTAATCACTCAAATCAAGTGCGTACAAATTGCAGACCGGAAGTGAAATTATTGTCAGAATGGCGACGGATATGCGACAAGTGAACGCGACGACAGCGACGCGCCACGCGAATAAAGGTTTCGTTTGTTGTTTGTTGTTTGATGTGTCCTCGTAGCAGTTTTGTAGCGGATATGCAAGGAAATTTGTCAGTGCAAGGACGCGGCAGACTGGACACCGACGGCAGCGAAGGCAGCGGCGACTACGGCGCAGAGGACGAAGGACAACCAACGCGTTACTTGGGCTACTTCCTCGATGTGCCTTTCGCACAGGTGCATAGGCGGCAAGAAGGGACAGCAGTCGCAGGAGTCGCCAACGAAAACGGAACGAAAATGAAATCAAAAAGCGAAATTTCTATAATTTCCGCACAAAAATATCCGCGACACACACGTAGGAGGAGGATGAGGAGGAGTAGGAGGAGGACACATGTGAGTGCAGTTGCAGTTGCCACGCCCACAGCCAGCAACAAGCTGGGCGTATGTGTCCAAGTTTTCACTGACTCTAACGGTTAAGTGTATGTGTGTGTGTGTGGGTTTCCTTCTTGGCCCTTTACTTTTTGTCCCTAGTATTTTTCTTGTGTGCTGCCTGCCCACTTGGCCAAGTGAAGGTTTCGTTTGCCTTTGCCTTTTGCCTTTCCTGTGGCTGTGGCTGTGGATGATATTGACGACGTGTGACCGACGAATCTTAACCGCAAAATACCGTTATTATGTCGTCCGCGACGTGTTGCACGGTAACGCGCACTCGAAGTTAATGTGGCCCGGTCTTCGGCCAGATCATCCCGTCCGAAACCAGCGCTGGAACGTTCAAAGATGGCGACACGGACAGAGGACAGGGGAACAGAGACAGAGGCACACTCCTCCCACAATCATTATTATATTTTGGAGCTGTGTGTAATCAGCAACCGCGACGCTGCCAGCAAGGATGTCACCCCATCGTCCGTTATTGCGGTGGTTGATGCGCAGGCGCGCTCCGCACTCCTGCTTTGCCCTTTTATCTGGCGCTGTCATCGGCTGCTGCTTCTGCTACTGTCTCTGCTTCCACTGCTGCTGCTGCTGCTGCTGCTGCGAGGTGGGCGGAGCCAAAACTGTGCCGCCGTGGATGCTCCTGCTGCTCCATGGCAGTGCTCTTCTCTATGTTCTTGGGCAGCAGCACTGTGGCAGCAGGCGGCGGGCATCATTAGTGCTGGCGAAGAGACCCCATTTTGGGCGGAAGTGCGTATGAGCAATATTTTAACAATGGCGTTTAAAACAGTTAAAGAGCCAGCACTAACACACGCTACTCTTATCTATGTGTGTGTGCTTGGTATGTATGCTAGTGTGTGAGGGCATTAGGCTCTTAGTTTTGCAAGGATTTTAAGGCAAGGCCCAGCTCTGGCGATGAGCTCTCCTCGCCGCACACATAATACCATTTTAATTTCAGTCCCAAGTGGCCACAAAATACGCCCCAAGATCTCGAGATGCGCCCTGCCAAAAAGGATATAATTAACAAGCCGCATGCCCCCACACACACACACACATACACTGGCTTGCACGTATATCCGTATGTGCCACATGTATTAAATGACTTATAGATAAGCGCCCAGAACGGTGACACATGATTTAAGGTACTGTGTCGAGGCGGGGATAATTTGTGATAAGCCAGCATATGACATGGATTGGGGTGGGGTGCTGATTCATTTTCCATCTCATAATTAGGGTAGCGGCAGACGAAAAATATCTTCAAATCGTAGAATCAGTTAATGAGCGCCGAAGCAGGGCCAAATGTGTTAAAAAAGAAAGTCGAGCCAAGACTTGGTGTAACTTTCACTTTTTATCACTTCCATAAATACTGAGACTTAGGCTATGATATTTAAGGGTAGATGCTATGAAATGCAAACCTGCCTGCTATTAAACTCAAAGAAAGATGACAATAAAGTCAAAGGTGGATGCCATGAAATTCATTGATGTATGCCATTAAACTCGGAGCTAAATGATTTTAAACGCAAAGCTGGATGCTATGAAACACCAGACCGCACTTGATTTAAAGAATTTTCTTAAAATCTTCTTGAAGTTCTTGAAAAATGATGAAAGCTTTTAAATGAATTGGAAAAGTAACGGTCAGTGAAGCTTTCAAAAGTCCGTGCAGAGCTTCCTGTACTGGCACATCCTTCTAAGCTCCCATAGCTTTTGCCAAATCAAATACAACTTGGATGATAATAAACTTCCCCGCAAATAAAACTCAACATTAAGTACAAAATTATTCAATATTTTGATTGAACAAAACACACACTCATTTACACTTATCACAATAAGTTTTTGTTGTATATATGTAACTCGCAAGACACATAATAAGTAGTTTCATATATATACATACATATGTCTGCATAGTTTGCACTTGTTCTGTTTAGCCAGTGATAAAATTAATTACAAAAATGCGAAGGGAATTCAGCCTTCATTCGGTTGAATGAATGTATTGGAAATGTGCGGATGGGAAGGAAGGTATAAAAAGAAATTAGTAAGTCCTTGTGCGGCATATCCGTAAATCTCTAAATGCGACTCTTTGAATTCGATTTCACATCAAACAGTTTGCGCACAAAGAACACCTGAAAAAGGGGAGTGAAATTATGAAGAATTAAAACCACATAGTTGAGTAAACAACCCAACCCACCTGTATGGAGCATGTGATCAATATGACCACAATTTGACTTAGCGAGAAAGTCTGTATGTAGGAGTTATTATCCAAAAGCAGAGCATAGTCGCGGGCCTCACGATGCCTGCTATGCGCCTGATAGCCCATCATGTCGTTGATGTTGCGCTCCACAGTACCGATGGTCGCCTAAAGTACAAAATAGATCAGATTCAGTTTTTGGGTGGGGCCCAGAAAAAGCAAAACCAGTTTCCGCTTACTGTAAAGTTTTGCATGTTCAGCTGCAGCTGCTCAATCTCTTTGGCGTACTTGTCCCAGGCGTCGTACTTCACCACCGTGATGTAAATGTTTACCAGCTTGCCAGCGAACCGCGAGAACTGGTTGTCTATGCAGACGGAATAGTAGCCGCCGGGCGACACCTGATCGGTGTAGTCCGCCGTGGCCTGCCACTGGTAGGGCTTCACCACCTCATTGGCTGGATTGCGAACAGCGAAACCGGCCATGCCATCGCCGCCACGCACCACCTGGGCAGCAGAATTGTTAATATCAAAGAGTAGTATTATCTCTCCATGGACTTACACTGAAGGAAACGTAGAATGTGGCTCCCGCCTGCACGTACTGGTGATAGCAATCTTCCTTTCCAGCGTCTATATGGACCTGCAATGGATAAAACAATAAAATAATCTTCAGCTGTTCAGACTCCGTATGGCGTGTGGATGCTGCGTGCTGCTCTCATCTCACCTTGTAATCCATAGCCACTGCTGGCAGATTCTCATACCATGGCTGTTGCGCCTCTTGCGCTGTGGCAACGTTGATCAAGCAGCAACAACAAATCAGAGCAAATGTCAGTAATAGATTATTAATCTGCTCTCGCTGCCACGTCAATCGCATTTTGGATTTGTTCATCTCAACGTAGCTTCGTGTATGAAGCGATGGGTATGGCCTCTAAATTGCGTTTTTCTTGCCACTTGCTGCCGAACTACCGAACCAGAGAGTAGGAATTTGTGCCGGTTAGCTTTCTATTTGCTAAATAAACATTTAAAAATGTAATAAACAACCTACCTGTTGCGCTGCCAACCCGGTTAAAAAAGCAGCAAGTTGGCAGCTGCGCCATATCGAGTATATCAATTTTCAAATATCGATACATCGAAATATCGCGGAAAAATGTAGATCGCACAAAAAGACTCGTAGTTTTTTTAAAATTCTTTTAAATTATTTAAGTCAATTTTTATTATTAGCTATAAAATCGTGAGCGACCGACCTCCTGTTGGATAAACTGTGCATGCATATACATATCCATAGCTCTCGCTAAAGTTCATCGCTCTTATCGAAGGTCTCTCCAGCTGTTGATAACACACACATGTTATATTGTTTATGTTTTTTTTTTTTGTTGCGGTTTTGCGATAATTTAGTGTGTGAACATATACTATATAAACTGGCGATTAACCTCTACGGCGCTGAGTAGGGCAGATAAAAATGCCAGCGCCCTCGGAACTCTAGTTAATTTTGCAGCTGCATCGAGATCGAAATGGTTCACGTCACCGAGGATGTTTTTGCCGCTGGCGCAGTCAATCCATTCACCAAGAAAACGGAGCCCATCCGACGCTTCACCCTCAGCAATGGCAATCGCATGTCTGTCCAGGTGATCACCCTGGGCGCCACCATTACCAGCATCAAGACAGAGGATGTCAGCGGCCAGCTGGATGACGTGACTCTCGGATTTGATGACCTGGCGGGTTATCAGAGCGATAAGAATCCATACTTTGGGGCCACCATTGGACGGGTGTGCAATCGTGTGGCCAATGGACGCTTCAGGCTGGATGGCGAGGTTGTGGAGGTGTCCAAGAATCGGGATAACAAATTCCAGCTGCATGGCGGATTCGTGGGCTTCGACAAGGCCCACTGGGACGTGGTGGCGGTGCGCCAAGACGGCGTCACACTCTCGCACACCAATCCCGATGGACATGAGGGTTATCCCGGCCAGGTCACGGCCACGGTGAGCTTCACCCTCAGCGAGGACAACTGCCTGCATGTCCGCATGATGGCGGAGAGCGACAAGCCCACGCCCGTGAATCTCACAAATCACTCGTACTTCAACCTGGCTGGCCACAAGGCGGGTGCCAACGGTCTCTACGAGCACACCATCGAGATCAATGCCTATGGGATCACGGAAACGGACAAGGACTCAATACCCACCGGCAAGGTCACACTGGTGGACGGAACTTCTTTCGATCTGCGCGTGCCCAGCAATCTGGGGGAGCGCCTCAAGCAGCTGCAGCCGGCCCGCGGCTACGATGACAATTTCTGTGTGGAGTTTGATCCGCCACAGCCCTTTGCCAATGTGGCCAGAGCAACGCATCCGCCCAGTGGACGCTGGCTGGAGGTGGTCAGCAATCAGCCAGGCGTTCAGTTCTATACGTCCAACTTTATGCCGGATGTGGAGCGCGGAGAGCCAGCCATTCCTGGCAAGGGTGGAGCTGCCTATGCCAAGCATGGGGCCTTCTGCCTGGAGACCCAGAAGTTTCCCGATTCTGTGAATCACAGCAACTTCCCTTCGACGACCTTGCGCCCTGGCGAGCACTACAATCACGAAGTCATCTACAAGTTTGGCGTCTCGCACACAGTCTGAGTGCGTCCGAACTTCCTCCTTATCTAAGCCCAATATGCCATAAATGCCATGTATCCGACTAACCCAACAACGTAACAATAATAACCAATAAACAGAAAGCACGAAATCAGTCGAGAATTATGCACGCCGTACGGGGCCATAAAAAGGTAGCAATCAGTGGAGCCAATAGCTCGAGCGTGGGCCATATATAAAGACCAGCCCATCACTGGTAAAAGCCATAAACCAGTGGAAATGATTCTTCAGTTGATAGTTTGTCTGTTGGCCCAGGAAAGTCTGGTCTTTGGCCAGAATGGGGGCTATCTGCGCATTATGAATGGAACCGTAGCGAGGGATATGCAGTTCCCCTACCAGGTGGGTCTGCTTTGCTACTACGAGGACTCGCTGAATCGACCGAATCTGTGTGGCGGCACAATTATCAGCAAAAGTTGGATACTCACAGCAGCCCATTGCCTGCAGGAACCAAGCTCCGAACTGTAAGCAAAACTATCCATAATCTGCTTTGAAACTTCCATTCACCTGCATTCACTTCTCTTATAGTCATCATGTCACTGTCTATGTGGGAAGTGTGGAAGTTCAGGAGAGTGAACCATTTGTGGTCAACAAGAACGCAACCATCGTCCATAAGCAGTTCAACCGTAAAATTGTAGCCAATGACATTGGCTTGATTAAGCTGCCAAAGGATCTAAAGTTCAATGCCCGGATACAGCCCGCAAGATTGGCCAATCCAAAGGAAAGCTATATTGGCAAAATGGCCATTATATCCGGCTGGGGTGTGACTAGCAAGCAGGAGGCCAGCAGTGTGCTCCAGTACATCAGGGCTCCGATCATCACCAACAAGGAATGCGAAAAACAATGGAACAAGCAGCTCAAAGGGAAAAGAAGGAAGCTCGTGCTGGACTCCTTTATATGCATTGATTCCAGGGCGGGCCTGCCGTGTCGCGGCGACTCTGGCGGTCCTCTTGTACTCGACGATGGCTCTAAAACGCTGGTGGGGATTGTCTCGCACGGTTATGATGACAAGTGTCAGGTGACACTGCCAGATGTCTTGACGCGTGTCTCTTCGTTTTTGGGTTGGATTAAAGAGCAAACTGGTGGCTTGGAATGAATGGGCTTGGCTCCCGAGCACTAGGCATCGTGTGACAATAAAATACGCATCTCTTTTCAAACGTGTGCTTTATTCTTATTACTCATACAAACTCCCATACTCGTACAATCTTTCTCCTTTTTCTTTATCTCTCATTTCGTTTCGTTTCCATAATATTTTCTTGTGGCTTTGCTTTGCTAAATTTGTTATCATTTTTGTATTCATTTCTTTTGTTTACTTTTCGGTTCGTTTTATTATGTTATTTGTGACTTTGGTTGCATGTTGTCTTCCGACCTCTTCCATTCGTCTGCTGAATATTGTGTCGCATAGCGGCCACTCCATCATAGCGGAGATCCTGCGGCTCAAGGACTACGTGCCGTGCCACAAATGTATCGGTAAGTTTTACTTATCTAGGGCTTTATGTATAAACGTTATTTATAATTATTATTTTTGCTAGACTTTGCTTTTGGTTTTTGGGTTTCCCTTTTCTTTTCGTTTTTTTTTTGTTTGCTTTTCTTATTTCCTTATTTTCTCGTGTTGAAACAGTAACTTTCAGTCATCTTTTTTAATCATAATAATACATACATACAATATATGCAATACGTACAATAATATTCTGGTTTCGTTATTTCGTTTATTTTTTAAATATAAATTTTAATTTAAATTTGTTATGAGCGCGCCGCCGTGTGCAATGCATAAAAAAACGCATTCCCCTTTCTTATATAGTGTGTCGTGTTTTTTATTTAATTTGTATAAAAGCTAAAATGTTGTTTTTTTTTCCGCTGCGTATGACAAAAGTTTACATATCCCATATACATATATATATATATATATATATATCTCTCTGATCAGGCGATCCTAGACCCAATACAAAAAAGTTCATCCAATTTCAATACAAAAATTGCCCCCGTGCCGCGCACTCGCCCATGCACTTCAAATAAATTTGATTTCATCTTTGGAAAAAGTTCTCCCATAATTTTCTTTTGGCAGTTATCGTTTTGTTAGGTTTCGTTTTGTTTTTTCGTTTTCGTTTTGACATGTTTTTGTGGTTGTTGTTGTTGTTGTTGCTTATGTTTCTGTTGCGTTGCTGCTGCTGCTGTGATATCGGTTGTAATATCATTGATTTCATGTACTGTATGTATATGTGTGTCGTTATCATTAGATTTATCATATATGTGTATGTATATGCTAAGCAACTAACATTGGACCATTCCATTGCGCGACGCACTATATAAGAAAACTAGCTACTTGATTACTTTATTTATAATTATATTTACTCGTACTCGTACTTGACTTTACTTTACTTTACTTTATATGTATGTATATTATATGCATATATTATATATATTTATATTCATACTCGTATTATTATGTAATGTCGTTATGTGTTTTTGTTTGACTATTATTATTTAAATGAATTACGACGCCCTTGCGTGGACAGCAGCCAGCAGTTAGGAAACTTAACCCCCACATTAAAAAAAGAAATATATATATATGAGTAAAAACCCCAAAAGACCCCCACCCTACCTATCAGGCCCAGATCCCGTGCCAGCTCCAAACTTGCGGAAAAGTATTGTACAGCAAATGCATCAAAGCGGAAATGTGTGAACAAAGGATCTGGTAGAGCTGCTGTCGCATGCAGACAATTAAGACTAGAACTATGACTATGGCCAGTAAAAGTCATCAGTCGCACTCCGGCCCCTCCGAGAAATGGCCGCGCACATCGAGAGCCGAGGCCAGCTGAAAGACAATGTGCGATAGCGATGGATGCTCCAGCAGCTCGCTGGCCGGCAGCTGGGGCTCGCAGCGCGGCCGCATGTGTCGGCCACGGAATCCACGATGCAGACGCAGCACCACATCACAGAAGACGAAACGTAAGATGAGTGTGCGCAGAAAATCGTCGCCAAAGAACTGAACATACGATGAGTCTATGCGGGGAAACAAATATTAAGAGATTAGATTGGGTTTACTCCTCAAATGTACACCTTACCTATACAGCCTATGCCCTGTTCGATCTCATCCATGCGGCAACGCGTGACCAGGCGCGAGGCCTCCGTTATGAAGCGATCCACATAGGTCTGGCAGCGTTCCCAATGATGAATGGGCACATCGCCCACATTGCAAATGTAGCAGAGGGCCGTGAGCGGGGAGTGCAGGAACAACGTAAACAGCGAGCCATGATGCTGGACATCAGCTGAAAGATATCCAAGAATAATTAGTGATTATTATAGTGAGTATCCAAAGCATAGGCTTACCTTGAAATGCGGATGGTACATCTTGCGGTGACATGAGTACGACCAGCGGCTGGCCAAAGTAGCGGGGTATGTGCTGAAAGACGAACGAGTTGTCCGAATCGATGACAATGAACATGGGCCGGCGTGTGAACGGATAGAGATCACCCGGATATAGGCAGTGGTTTTCCTTGTACGATTTGCCGCGGCACGACAGTCCCCCGCCATCGACACTGTCCCGCTTGGCGCAGGTGGCGACTCCGCCCAGCTCATAGCCAACTGGAAAATAAAGAAAGATCTCATTATGTTTGGAATCACGTTTGCCATACTGCCCAGAGATATATACTTACAGTCTTCGGGATGTTTTGTGGTGGAGAAACAGCCGTCCGCGGACATGTACAAGAGTAAGGCGCCACCCAGTGGCAGTTCCCTAACGCCGCTGGCCAAGAAGACCATCAGCTGGCTAATCGAAGGCTTATAAAGTAGATACTTGTGAGGATTGTCTCGAAAATGACGGCCATTCTCCTGGTAACCCTTGGATCCTGGCACACCGTAAGGTGGTATGCGACTGGCCGCCGGACTGGCATCGTGTCCATGCAGGCCATGCGCCATGCTGAGCGGATTCGTTGCCGATTCCGTTGGCTCTCGCTCCAGCGTCTGCAGCATTCGGAACATGTCCATGGTGAGCTCCGAGAACTTGGCCTGCTCACAGGCAGAGCCCACAATTAGGATCTCCTGCAGGCTGAGCGTCATGTGCGGCGACCGCTCGCAGGGCGGCGTTGTCAGCGGCGATAACCTAGAACCGGAACCACTACACATAAGTCGTTGTAGTTGTGCTGGTCCACAAGCGATTGGCGGGGGCCCGTGCTTTCACAGAAGAATTGAGAATGTGGCGCACTAATGAGGTGACAAGGGTACGGAAGGAGAGAAAGTGGGACTTGTGTGTGTGTGTGTGTGTGTTAGGGATCGAGGGGGGGTTTCCAAACATATGAAATGATAAATTCTTGTGGGTGTGTGTGTGTATGTGGCACTCTTCTTGCAGCAATGTGCAGTAAATATTCTGTCGAGTGTGTGAGATCAGGTAATAAAACAAGTCACCCCCCCCAAAGAAGGGGATCAGTTTTAGAGCCCAACATTGGTTTATAGTGTGTGTGTGTGTGTTGTGTGGATTAGTGGATGGTGTGGGTGTTAGGTTGGATAGAGATCATGGTTAAAGTGCGTGACAAAATGACAAAGGTGAGTGTTTTCTCTGGTGTTTCAAGTCTTCTGTGATAAGCACAACAAATCAACATAATCAACGGCAACGGAACTCAAGCAAAACTTGTATACCTACGCAAACAGAATATAGCGCTACCCAAAGTAGACTTATAGATACATACAGATAGATAGAGATAGTTTGGTTGATTGACAGATAGATAGATATACTTTTGGCTACCCCAGAAGCTGTCCAAACTCCTCCTCCGCCGACGAAAGCACGGGCAATTTGTACGCGGTATGGGCACAAATTGTGCCAACGACTCACCTGTGCGATAATATGATGGGATTGGAATCGGCATGCAGTACGGCAACGGCTGCCTCCGCCTTGATGAAGCCCTTGATCTCCTCCAAAACCAGCGACCATTCCAAATGATCCTCCGGCTCGTAGCTGAGAAAACTTTAGGATAATCAAAGCATCGACACATTTAGATATATTGCCACGTGTCTTACGTGTTGGTGTACTCCTGTATCTGCTTCTCCAGTTCGGTGACCAGCTCCCGCACCAGCTTCATCTTCTTGAGCAGCAGACAGACGACAATGAAGCGGGCATAGTAGCGCAGCTTTTTCACCATCAGATCCGGCCGATCCTCCTTGGCTGCCCGCGAGTAATACGCCCGTCCACGTATTGCCGCATAAAACTGATACGCCTCATTCAGGTAGTTGGTTTCGCTGGTTCTTAAGCTGCAAATAAGCAAAGAGAAGGTTAATCCAAGTAAATAGAATGCTGGTGGGGTGATCATCACTTACTAATAGTGATAATAGAGCTGGCCAATTTTGCTTGCTATCTCGCCAATCTGCCAGCGTTTCAGTCCGTACTTGGAGTCGAGCACCATGCGATGTTGCTGCTGGAATTTCCACAATTTCGTATACACATCGAAGGTGCGTCCGAAATACGCTTGCCACTGCCGATGACCATATTGCGGCAGATCCCTAAAGATAATATTTATATTTATATAGCATTTTGTATGCAACGAGGATGGTGCCATTACACTCACCTGAGCCCATTGAAGAGCTGCTTGGATTTCTCTAGCAAATGGCAAAACTCCAAGACTAGCTTTCGATCCTGTTCTTCCGTGGACTCCATTTTCACCATGCCGTTCTTCTCAACCTCCACCGCAATGTGTTATGTCTGTGAATCGGTTCTGCTGCAAAAAAAAAAAACAAACAAAAAATGCAAGCGTTGGGCTGAGTATTAATCAAAAGTGCAACGAGTTCTGCCCCTCACAGCCCGCAGCACTTGGCATACTAAATGAGCAGAGATGATGGAGATAGAGATTCTATAGGCAGACTCACACAAAAACTATCCCACAAAATAAACAAACTGAATCATGAGATTCCGCTCGCTACGATGTATGTATCTATCCATCTATCTATGTATCTATCGCCCCTCGCTACGTGGCATAGATGACTACCCACTTGAGATTCATTCAGCCGCTCATTCAACCATTGTTGACGTGGATAATGATAATGATGATGATGCTGTCAATGATGCTTTGCATGCAATGAAATGAAATGCCTATGCGGCTTTTTTTTCCCCCCGTTCTTTACCGGCCCACCCAAAAACCAATGCATATTAAATTTTTAATTTTTATGTGCCATAAATCAGGCAGAAAATATCGCAAAATATTGGGGGCCGGGTGCTTTTGTCTAAGCCGAAAGACAAACGGCAAATGGTTACGATTTACAGTCAAACATTTATTTGTATGGACGAAGTGCACTCGAACTATAGCCGTTTACCGAATTCATGGATTCATAGATTCATGAATGACCGGACCGGCACGATACGACACCAATACGAATTCAATTAAAATTTCAATTTGGTAAAAACAATTACGATGCCTTTTAAGTGCACACGAACAGATGGATGAGATGGCATGGAAGCGGATGAAGATGAAATGGGGCAATGGGATGAGACAATCGTTATTCTGGCGGAGTGGGCGGAGGGGCAGCTATGCATCAAAAGCTCAATTAATAACGCCCAACCAGGCGACCGGGACGAAATTGTTTGAACAAAAAACACAAGAGGGCCGACCGACCGGGAACCCGTACCAGAATCAGCACCAGGAAAATGCCGAACAGACAACAGGGCCAAAGAAGAGTGGAGCTGAGCAAATGCACAAAAGGGTCGGCAGTGCAAATGGCGCCGCAGCGGCCACATTGATTTGGCTTTGGCCAAAAACTAGGTCGCCCCATGGAGCACAAAAACTTTCAATATGAGCTCATCATATTGCCAGCAGCCAGTAGCCCGAAATGGGTACTGAAGATGGGCCAGGAGATGGGGCTGGAGATGGGCCTGGAGATGAGCCGGGAGATGATGTAAATGTAGCTTAGTTTTTGTGTGTTTGTTCAGGGACAACGGAAGCTGCGTCAAATATGCGTCACCTCTGTCTGTTAGGGGTCGACCAACAAGTCAATTGGGCGACAGGACACACTCTAATGTGTGCACACACGCTGATATTTATGGCGCCCCCTAATCAAATTAAGTTTTCATTTAGCGCATTAAAGTGACATAATATGAAAACTACGCATACGCAGCATTAACAAACAGGATGAGAGTGAAGTAGAGAACGAGAGCACAGTGACGTAGAGTGGAGCAGACACAATCAAAAAGGTCCTGACTGGCGGGGCCAGCCGCAAGCCCACTCACTCACTGAATGACAGACCTCATGGCTGCCACTGCCACTGGTGGATGCTCCTGCTGCCCCTTTGCTCCTGCTGACTTCATCATCATCCAGCAGCAAACTTAACCAACATCATCAGCATGTCAACATGTGGAAACCGGAAATGAAGAAACACAAATACTAAGCAAAGTCGTTGCCACTGCGATGTTGCTCATTAACACCCCACCCGATCCTGACCCTACTGTCCTGGCCTGTGCCTGTGTCTCCTCCTCGCTCTCTCTCTATCTCTCTCTCTGTCTTCTAAGCACACATTTACAGTTAGTGCAGGGCAACGCTGGGATGTTCACTGTCGCACAGCCAGCAAATGTGTCGCATACATTTTTGTGGGGCATTTCAAGGTATAATCGGATATATATGGAATGGCAGTTTCAAGTAAAAAATTTGTAGGCACACTCCCATAATATGTTTAATTAATTTAAGCTTTGATATAGCTGATGAAAAAATGTATGCCATGGACACTTTTGTCGCCTGTTCAGTCAGTCAGCAGTTAACGTGGCAAAGTTTTTTCTCCTTTTTAGCGCTCTCCTCTCCTGCTGCTTGTGTGACAATATGTGCAACAACAGCAACAGCTACGAGAGCGAGTACAACTGCTGTTGGGGAAAATCCCAATCCTAGTCAAACAAAGCGTGCAACAACAACAAAAAAATACTAAATAAAAGGAACGGAGTGTGCAACGCACTTTGGCGCCAGACGGAGGGGGAAGGATCGGCAGAGCGGGAGAGCAGGCTTTTGACTGACTACCAGGCGGAGGTCCTTCCATCTATTTGAGTGAGTGAGTGTGAGTGTGCGTGCGTGCTTCTGTTTATGTGTGTGTGTAGGTTTTTCAATGCCCGCCAGCACTCCTGGAGCAACAATACCAACAACTATTCGCTGCTACTCCGCGTTCTCTCTGTGCTGCACATTTTTTTGCCCGTTTCTCTTTTTGCACACCCTTTAAGGGGCGGGTATTATGGTTTTACTCGAAGGTTGCAAAGCAGAGAGGAGGGTTTTTGAGCTATTTATATACATATCAGCCGTAACTTACACACAGAAAAAATATTTAAGTTAAACCGCAAAGATGGAATCAGTATGTTAAAATTTGTTTTTATAGAAATGATAAGTCAAAAAGTCTCATCAAAATCATCAGAATCATAGACTTCCAAGGGTATTAACCACTTCGACTCCGCGTAGCTAAAATTCCTTTCTTTTCTTTCTTCTTCTGGCCGATGAGAGTTCGAGTATGTGTGTGTGTGTGTGTGTGTGTGAGTAAACAAGCATGCAGTTGCAGTAGGAGCGACAGGGAAAGACCAAAGGCAAAAGAGAGACGTGGAGAGAGAGACGAGGAGAGAGGGTAAACTCCTCTGGTGGGTGTGTAATCCTTCAAAGGCATTGTAGGCTACACATTTAATGGCATTTTGACGCTGGCAACGCTGATAATGATGTTGTCGTACATGCTACGTCCGCATCCGCAGCAAACTTGAAGTTGTCTGCCCCACAGACGCCTTACGCTACTCCAAACCCCCTCGCCCGCCCAGCCCTTGTAATGCAATGCTCTCTGGCTTGCCTTGCACGCCCCACCAGTCATTAGGACTTATGAATTTTGGTTTAACAATTGAGCAGCACAAAGGACACTCTGGCGGGAATCTGCAAAAACTTTGGCATAGTTCAGCCTTCATAATTAATGGCAGCGCGGAAAAAAAAAACTAGTTGCAAATATATATAAAAACCAACTGCTTGAGTGGCCCAACTTTAGCCTAATGATACGGACAGACAGTCGGTCCGAAAGTTACACTTCTCATATCTCTGGGCAGACATCTGAAAGTAGCTCCACAAAAGTGCACACAAAACTTTGTCCCCAGGCTGCTGCTGCCTGATGCCTGCTGCCTGCTGCCTACTGCCAGCAAACCGGATGTGGAGTGGCCGCGCGGAGAACTTTTTCCGTAGCCTTTGGACATTTCACTACTTTTGGACCCTTTCTATTTTGAGATGTTTGACTATTGCTGGAGGGCCATTTGAATTTTACATTTAATTGGCAATTTATCGAATTGCATCTCCGTTGCGCTATGCAGCGCCCTGTGGTATGCAACAAATCCGTGTGTCAATCTTACCTTATCATTGTTGTACCTGCTGCCGCCACCAATAGCCACAATAGCAGCAACAACAGCAGCAGCAAGAGGTGGAGGAGGGGGAGGAGGTGGAGGAGCGGTGGTCTCCTCCGTCACAGCCTCTGGCAGGACGCCGAAGCCGACACCAGAACCGCCTTTAAAGCCGTTTTTGCAGCTTATTGTTGCTGTTGCTATTGGTGTCGTTGTCGTCACCGTGACCACCGCCGACGACGTCGTTGCTGCCGCAGCCGCCGTCGAGCAATCAAATTAGCGTATGTTGCCGCTGCTGCTGCTTCTGGTGGCGCTCCCGCTGACGACGCCGTCTTCTAGCTTTGTGCCTGGCGCCCAGTACTTGACATATGTATGCGGTATGTTTGGACAGATGATGAATGCAATTGAATGTTGCTGGAGCTGGTGCACTTTTCTCTCACTTTTCACACAATTTATTTGCCGTTCCGTTCGCGATTATCTTTTTTTTTGTATTTTTTTTTTTGCCGGCTTGCAAGATTTTACTGGCCTCTGGTGGCACTGGCGAGTGAGGGCTCGAATGTGTGGGAACACAGCCAGGGATTGGGGCAGCTTCAGAGTTACCGTTTCGAACTTTGGACAATTTCGGGCGTTTTTCCTGGATTGCGGTGCCGTGCGTGTGGGGGGCAGAGAGTATGTGAATGGTGAAACGCTGCGACCGTCGCGTATGGCTGCACAGTATTGAATTTTTTCGCATTTACATTTTTAACGAGGAGGGTTGGGGGTTGGTATTGATTTTTTTGTGACTCTGACAGCTCGCCAGGTGCCAGTGCCAGCCGCCAGGCGGCGTTTTCTGACAGTTCTCCGTGCTCTTCGGGGGTTGAACACTGAAACTCTCCGCAGCCCAAAACAGCTGACTCGGAGTGGAGAGTAACCGTTAGGGGGGATAATGAAATTCAAAATACAATCCCGTGGCAATAACATCCCTTTTCGCATTTCCTTTTACACTACATGAACACATTTGTTTGATTTTTATTTTGCATTACATTGAAGTACATTATTAACAATTACATTTTGTATTTGCATTACATAAAAGCGTTTTGAATTTTGGTTTTCAATTTCTTTTTGATAAAATTTCGACTAAAATTGTTGCGATTTTTAGTGCCCGTGCCTTGCCCATTCACTATCACAATGAAATAAATTACATTGTTCATTTCGGATACAGTATACTCGTACAGTAAATATGTATATATGTATGTATGTAAAACAATAGCTATAGATGCATGATAGGTAACCATATTATATGGCAATTACGGATATATATATATAATATATATATATGATCATCTAACTATCATTAGAAGACGCCAGATTTATCTCTCATTTGGAATATGCGCATAGCTTCAGTCTTTAAATAAATCCAAAACGTCAAATGCGTTCCGTCCTAGTTGTATGCCACATTTACAGTCTGTTTCACAACTATAGGACAGCTGGACAGGGCTTACTTTGATGTTTCTACTGCTCCTACGATTTCCTACTCTTCATCGGTATTGTCATGTGGGATCCAGACCATGCTATAGTTATGAAACTCACTGTATGCATACAAAAAAACTCGTAGTTTGGCTATAGTATTGATTCTGTGTGTGTTAAAATTTGGCTTGGTTACCATTTCTAATGATTTCGATGTACAGTGTTTGAGTGGAGAGTCGCGAGTTGGAGACACGCTCCTAGTGCATTCTGTGCATTATTTAGACGGTTCTTTGGATAGATCACCCAGAGTATTGATAGATGTGACTTACAAACGCGTTGCCTCCGACACCGTGGACACATCCCCAGCCCCATTGTGCACCTGTTGACTGGTGGAGGTGCCCACATCTGTCGTGGGCCGTGGCAGATGCGAGTAGTAACCCATTTGACAAGAGTTCTGGTGGGTCAACTTTTGGTTTTGGCTCAGTTGATATTGGGCCGCCTTGAGGGCAGCCTGTTGCTGCGGCGACAGACAATCGCAGGCGGCCAGCAGCTCCTCCGTGGACTTGGCCGTAATCGTCGTTGTTGTGGTGGTCGTCAGCTCGCCCACAAACTCCGTGGGCGGTGGGGCATAGTTCTCCACATCCCCGTAGGTGGAGAAGCGTCCGTAGGGATTGCGACGCGGCATCGAGTGACGTTGCTGTGCGATTTGCAGCTTCACCGGCGGCTTCACGGCCACCGTGTCCAGATATCCATAGCCGAAGCCATAGCCACCCGCTGCCTTGGTAGCCAGATTGTCCCAGGACTTGGGCTTCTGCACGTAGGCTATGGTGTTGGGGTAAATCTGCGAGGGCTGCACCTGTGTGGCCGTCACATGGTACCGCTGATGATAGCCCGGATGATGATGATGATGGTGTGGCGGCACCTGGTGGGACTGCTGATGTGAATGTTGCTGTTGGGGCTGTGGCTGCTGTTGCGGCTGCTGTTGGTGTTGGTGCGGCTGCTCGTAGGATTGTCTGGACTTGGTGGAATGCTGTCGCGACTGTCCCGTCTCGCTCTTGGGATCCCAGAACAGAGTATCCGTGCTGATGGAGGTGGTGTAGGAGGCAGAGTCCGCAGGCGCGAAATCGCTGGAAGTGCAGGAGTGGAGGCTACAGTGGCTGGCCAGGCCAGAGGCCAGATCAAAGTAGCGGGAACGTGTGCTCCCCGACTGAGAATTGGCATGGCAGGGCGTCGGAGTAGTCTGTCCCTGCGCCGGATGGTGGTAGTGATGATGATGCGGCACCGGCTGCTGCTGCTGCTGTTGCTGCTGTTGTTGCAACTGCTGCTGTTGCTGTTGCTGCTGCTGCTCACGACTGTGATGGTGATGATGATGATGGTGGTGGTGTCCCTGTCCACCTCCATTGGCACTGGGCGAAGCATGCGACTGGGATTTGGGTCTAGTCCGCTGCTCCTTGCTCTCCACTCTCTCGCGCTCCCTCTCGCGGTGCTTGTGCTTGTGGGTGTGCTCCTTGTGCTGGCGATGGCGGCGTCGGCTGGGCACACACTGCGTGTCGCAGCAGGGACTGGCCAGGTCGTAGGCATCGAGGCTGACATTGTCCCCGGCCGGCAGGGGCGTCTTCTCCGTCGATTTCCAGCGGAAGTGCCCAAGGCAGGGATTGCACGAATGCCCCACATGGTAGTGCTTGCCCGAGGCGGACTTCTCCTTCTCCGCCTTGGGCGGCTTGGCTGGTGGCTTGTGTTTTTCACAGGTTCGTGGCGGCGGAGCCGGTGGCTTCACCGTGGCCCCACCACTGGTGGTGCTGTGGTACTGAGTCGGAGCGGTGGTGGTGGGCTGACTGATCGTATTGGTGTCCACGGACTCGGTGCGGTGCAGCATGAAGCGCTGGGCCGTCGGCTGATGGTCGCTGCTGCTCCGCTGCAGGCCCAGGCCATCGATGTAGTCCTCGGAGCTGCCGTGCGTGGGCCGGAGCACATAGCGATATGTGGGATCCAGATAGTGATACGTGAGCATAAACTGAGCCGGTGGCGGGATGATCGCTCCCCCACCCGCCGCCTGCTGCCGGGCAGCTATATTCCCCACATCCTCGGTGGACAGGGCGGGACGATAGAAACCCGTTTCAGCCGCTGCTTCAGTGGGGGAGACTCCTTCGCCATCGCTGGGCGATGTATTGGCATTGGCCTTCTTCCGCGCGGGCAGACTGTGCGTCTTCCACTTGCCCTCGAGCAGCTCTCGCTCCCTGAGATGCACCCGCTCCAGTTCGTTCATCTTGTGCTGCAGCATGCTCTGCAGCTGGATGTAGCGCATGTGCAGATCCACCTAAAAGAACACCAATGAGTGAGGAATAATCCATGTGGGATGTGGGAACCGCTACTCACCTTCCGCACACAGTCCTCGAAGAGCACCACCATTCGCATTCTCGTGTCGCACTGCTTGATGAACTCCACGATGGTCTTGTGATCGGCCTTCTCCATATCCCTGCCATTGATCGAGAGTATCACATCGCCCTCGCGCATGCCGGATCTGTAGGCGGGACCCCCGTACTCCACATAGTCCACGTAGGTGATCATCTCCAGCTCCTCGTCCCGCTTGTAGTGGATACCATAGCTCTGCAGGGTGAAGCCGTATGTGTCGTTCTTCTTCTCCACAATGATGGTGCGACGGCGCCGATCCTCGTCCGGCTTGGAGGCCAGAAACCGTTCCGACTTGTAGCGGCCCAGGATGTGGGTGGACTGCGATAGCTGGACGGGGCGTGGGATTAAGTGTTGATTAGTGGGTGAAAGTTTTCCCTTGTGCGCTCAACTATTCCGCAGCACTTCCGGTTATTTACACTCCGGTCTGGTGTGGGTGGTATGGTATGGTCTGGGCTGTGCAATGTGGCACACCGAATGGCCGCCAGGTGCGGCCAGACCATAAAAATGTTCTGTTTGCTCAAAGGTATGTCCGCCCCCACCCGTATCGTATCTAAACCCACCATTCACTCCTCCTTCTGCTGCTCCTTGGTGCTCTTCTTCCTGCTTTTATTGAAAGCATTTCCATGAATACACGATGAAGGCCCCCCAGCAGCAGGCAACACTTTCACTGCGCCCCCCCTGCGCCCCGGAGAAAGGGAAAAGAAAACCAAACAAATTTCACACAAACACAGACGCACAGCTACAGATACAGATACAAATACGTAGATAGATAGAGCGCGCTGCTCTTTCATTAACGGTACATTGTGTGAACCGTAATAACCGGACTGAAAAGGCTTAGTTTCGTCCCCACGCCACAGAACTCCTGCCGGGCATTTTCCCGGGAGATTGTATGGGAATTACATGGATATATAAATAAATAAAAAAAACATTTATTAAAAGTGGATACTGTTATCAGAAGTCCCATTCATTATACAGAAATTGCCATTAAAAAAAATTAAATGATTTAATTGAAGAAATAAATTCAGAGCTTTACAGCAATCCCCGATGGCTATGGCTAAACGGGGGAGTAAATCTGGGTTAGCCGACTGCAAAGTAAAGCTAACTTAAAGTGATCCCACAAGGGAATGACTATGGGAAACTTCCCCAAAATACTCGCAAAAGATTTGCCATGACTCTGAATGACTTCCAGAACCATCTGTATGCCCCTTAAGTGATTTCTGCAACATGGTAACCCAACTGGTTAATTTTTGTTCTCCCTAATTGCCTTGGCCAAAGTCAAGGCCCGGGGCGCTGCTTCATCGATGCTGGGTTTGGTTCGTTGTGTGCTCGTATGTTTAGTATATATGACAATTTCCGGGGGCATTGAATTATTAACACTTGATCGAGGACGCCGCCGCGCGGTTGCTGAAGCGTAAACTATGCATAACGATGAGAGCGAAGCAGAAGTTAAACAGCTGAGAGGGCGACAAGCGCCCCCAACCCCTCCACAAGCAATGCAATAAGCAGGAGCAAGAAACCCACCACCAAAGAAAAGCAAAACCCAACCACCCACTTGGAGCCAGACCAGTATCCATACCCTGGCACACACACCCGCACCACCCGCACACGCAAGACAATTTCAATTGAGGCAACGCTGCAGGACCTTGTCGCATTATGACTCAATAGGAGGACAGGACGGACACACTACACTACGGACATTTCAATTGGATTAGAAGTACTTGTACGACTGTCTGCTGTCTGCCACTTGGACATACCTGCGCATACTCGATCTCCTCATCGCTAGCATCGAGACTCTTGTGGAACTTGAGGCGACCCAGGCTGCCAGTGCCATTGACATAGTGCGATGATGGCTGATGTGACTGATGATGATGATGCTGCTGCGACGACTGCTGGTTCTCGTGGTGGAGGTGCTGCTGCTGTTGCTGGCAGGCGGCGGCTATGAGGGAGCCCACAGAGGTGGCATTCGAGGCGGAGATGGAGACGGCGGCTGCTGTATTGGCGGCACTGCTGGCCGCCGTTGCAATGCTCTGGCAGCTGCTGCTCATGGGCTTGCTGGCCATTGTTGGCTATTGATTTCTTCACGCAGTCATAATTATTGAGAGTCCATTTGGAGGAGCTATTTAAATGTTTTGCCAGGCAGCCAGTCAGCCCACACAGCAAATCTGCTGCGAGACGACAATGGATACAGATACCGAAACCGAAACCGAAACAGAAACAGCAACGCCGACGACGAGAAAAACTCACTTTTTCACTGACCCCAGAGAGTGTCTAGGCCCACTCGAGTTGCGGTCGCTGGCAATTACAATTATAATTTGTCATTTCTATTCACATAACTTTGCCCCGAACAAAAACTACCTTTATCATTGATATTTGTTGATGAAAAACTTTTCCATATTCGTGCGGAGCGAAGCGGTGCTGTGCCGTGCCGTGTACCGTGTGGTTCTGTTTCCGCTTGGTTTGTTCTACTTCCGTTGAAGTTTGGTGCCGTTCTGAACGGTTTATTCGGCGCCGACTGCGTCAAGAGCGGAAGCGGGAGAGCGGCGCATTGCACCCACAAACAAGCTTTCCAGCCATAGAAAAGACGTTAATATTTATGGCACATGTTGACTGCTACATCGGCAGAAGTAATGCTCAAATTGGTAAAGCGCATGCGCCAGCAATGCACACGCATTGATAGCTGTTAAGTTATGATTCTTAAATTGCAAATAGTACATTTTTATAGATTACGAATATGTATGTATATAATCCATAAAGTTGTAGAAAGTTGAATAATTAACAATTTCCATTATTCACCGATTTTTCCTAATTCAAATTCCAGCGCCACTTAACATTCCGCTGTTAACATGCGCCTAACTTGCTCCAACTGGCCAGCTGTTAACATACCTCTGTAAGGAAAAGTCTTGTGTTTTTTTTTTTGTTATTTTACAAAATGTATAATTTATGTTTATAAATGGAATATTTGTTACTCCGCCAGCTCGCCTCCAGGGACCAACTGCAATGGAAATCACTTTAAATAATTATACTCATACGCGGCACCAGTACTACGCACCATTGTTATGTTGTTGCCATTCAACAGAATCTGATCCAATTTTGTGATCCGGCGACCGTCCGGAGTGTTTTCGTACTCCGTCACATCGTCCAGCAGCATGTTGACAAAGTCATCAAAGCCCAAGAGCGTGCCAACCATTTCCTTGTCGTTCTTCATGATAATGTGGATGCGGGAGCCAATGCATTTGTCCACCAACTCTGTAGAAAAACACGGGCCAGGCAAGCCGGCGAGGACGCTGTAGCCGCCAGACAGGTAAGGGTGCGTATAATAATCACTTACCCAGTGGCATCAGTGTAGCAATATTTGCAGGAGGCGGCACAGCAGTCATTTTGCTTTGAGTAAGTTACGAATTTGCTAAATTATTAATTTTACTGCAAAATGGCAAAATGGAAAGGTCTATCGGCGGTCTCGTATACTATCATCGATAGAAAACTATTTGTCAGATGATACATCGATATCTTAATCGTTGCATTGGCTGGCCACACTGAACGTATGATTTAACATAAAGATAAATAAAATAAATCAAAACTCAAAATTGAGTAAATAGATAGCACCCCACTATATGCTGGTGTGCTGGGACTACGGGCAGGTTCCCTGCTGCTCCCCGCTTACATAATGTCCGTGTCGCTGGGACAAGCTGCCAAACTGAAGATTCTGGCGTCAAGTTCAAGGCAATGGCAATGGATGTCGCTGCGGCGTTCGTTGAATCAAGGTTATTTTCATTACAATTCGTTTACAGAGATGATTTTTAATATTTTCTGTGTAATGCAGACTTGACAACGGCACTGCGACCATTCTACTTTGCGGTACATCCGGACTTCTTTGCGCAGCATCCCGAGCAGCGAAACACTAACGAGAACTCACTGAAATTGCTGAGCGAGCACCTTGAATCTTTGTACGAGCGCCGGCCGCATCGCAGTGCGGATGCCCAAGTGCTCAAGTTCTATGTGCGTGCCAGTGCAGACGCCAAAAAGCGGGACTCCTTCAGGCTGATTCAGATCCGCACGGACTGGCAGAGCACCAGGGATGCCAAGACATTCATCCAGAGCCTGCTGGAGTCGTGCAATCTCTCAACGGACTATGTGCGGACCATCAAGGCGCAGCCGGAACCATCAAAGAGCTCAGACACGACAAGCATGGCCTATAAGCCGGGCCAGGACTACCACTACGACAAAGAGTTCTCGGACTTCGAATCTCAATTGAGGAATGTGAGTGTAGATTTTCCTCCTCTCTACTCGATTAATTTTGATCCCCGCATTTTACCAACAGGAGCGGGCAAGCATGCGTCCTGTACTGACCACCTGGCTGGAGGAGAACGCCGACAAGGCCAAACAGCGGGCCAAGGAAACGGCCGATCTGCAGGCCGAGATTAATAAGCTGCAAAAGGTGCTGGTGGAGAAGCTGAAGCTGCGCGATGCGCGCTACGAATGCGGCTGGAACATCGAGCACTATCGCGGCTGCCTGAAGACCCTGGAGCGTCTGGCTAACACACACTTGGCGGAGATGGCGCCGCTGCGGGATCGCATTGTGGTCTTTGCACCCTTCACGGGCATTAGCCTGGAGGGACATGTCATGCTGTTCACCGGGGATGTGCTGAACAATTGGATTGACTTCATCAAGAACATTCCGCATCACGACACCTACCTCAAGGTGGTGCCCATCTACGAGCAGACCCTCTCGCAGGTGCTGCGCGGCATTCAGATAGGACGGCGCAAGTTCATGCCAAAGCAGCAGGCCCGTGGCTATGCCAACTACCTCATGAAAGTGACAACGTCGCTGGGCGACTATCTGGGGAAGCAAAAGTACCCCAAGAACTGGCCAGAGACGCTGCAAGAGTTCACCATTGTCGTGGAATCAGAGGCGGGTCCACTGATGGTCAGTCCAACGGGTCAATTCATCACCCCGGCCACCTGTCCGGGCCTCATACTGGTGGACTTCATCAGCCAGAATATGCAATCTTCGCGTGAGCTGATGAGCAAGTACGCCGAGGACAAACACATCGAGCAGGAGCTCATGGACGAGTGCATGGAGCAGCTGCGGCTGCAATCGCTCACCAAGGACGATGCTGTCACGCCCGACAAGATGATAGTGGCCCTGAGGGATTTGTCCCAGATGCAGCTGCCGCATTTGGCACAGGTCAAGCTGCATATAACGAACTACTACTCCGTGCTAACCGATGGAGTTGTGTGCATACCCTGGGACTTTATGCAGAGGTAGACCGCTTTCATTTTCATGTGCCTTTTTATTGACAAATAAACATAGAAATAATTATTGAGGGTGTGATTTCTCTCTCTCTCTCTCTCTACAGCTGCAGCTAGGCGGCATCGCTGCAATCCTCGACGCTCCAGGTGCACTCTGCTCGATGTGCTGCAAATTCAGATGCCCTGCGTGTGTAGACATGCCGCTCCAAGCCATCGAAGTGTATGGGATCACCGCCGCAGAGCACGGAATTCTCGGTTGCTGCATCGTAGAAGGACACGCCACTATTCCGATAGACCACACGCCACCAGCTGATGTTGCTGCGGCTGTACACGTTCTTGGATATGGCATTGGTCGCGTTGCTGGCTGTCAGCGGGGAGGGCTCCATCAGGATGTACCGATTGCGCCAGAAGGCACTGTAGAAGGCAAACTGCGGTCGCGTGTCGTTGAGGCTGTGGCCACGCTGGACGTAGTACGCCGCCTTCTTCGGATCCCGCGCATTGCTGCAGATCAGATACGTCTGCGGGCACTCGTAGATGTAGGCATTGCTGTCGGTCACGTTGCGGATGCACACCTTGCGCGCGGTGTACAGCAGCTGCTCATCCGATGGAAGTTGCGCATAGATCTGCTCTCGCAGTGACGACTCCACTTCCTGCTCGAAGTTGGGCTGCTCCAGCAGTCGTCGCAGATTGTCCTGCATGGCCAGGTCCAAGGTCTCAGAATCGTCGCGTGCGAGCTCTTCACGCTGCAGCAGCTGGAGATTGGCCAGAGCCAACTGCGTCAGGCTACCCGTGAAGTTGCCCAGACGCTCCACTACGCTCAATGGCGTCTCCAAGGCCAGCACCGCGTCGTAGAGAGCTTCCAGGATGTCGCGCAGATAGTCCAAGGCGCTAAAGGTCAACCGATGCAGCAGCGAATCGACCAGCGGGAAGGTAGCCGTGCGACTGTCCGTGTGGAAAGGAGCTTCCATCAGCTGGGCACTGCGTGAGATGAAGGCCCGATGGACCAGCTCCAGCAGCTCTGGCGGAACATCCGAATTGAGGGCCAGTTGGTCGTAAAAGTCCAAGATCTTGAGCGGATCGTAGATCTGTTTGGTCTGCTGCAGTTCCTTCCATAGTCCAGTGTAGATGGCTCGCTTCAGCTCCGGCGTTCGGGCCTGATTCGCCAATTGAAGCACCACCTGACCACGCTTCCAGTCGCCGCTCACCTCCGAGCGGATCACCGACTCTAGATTGCTGGCAGCGGGACCTCTCAATGCTCCTGCCACGTCTGCTTCGCCAGTCCACACATCGATGTGAAAGAGCACTTCTTGTGCAGGAGCGGATGCATTCAGGACTGCCAGAAGTTTGCTGGTGCTGTTGCTCGAGAAGCTGCTGCCCATATGCAGTACGGCGCCCAGTGCCAGGACCAGTAGCAACAAAACGCAGACTGCCATGGTGTCTCCAACTGTTCGGAGTTATCTCCCGGGCCAAGAGTTTTATAGGTAAGTCGGAGATCGTTCGGCATCTATTTGTATTTGTAGTTCATTTCATCCGGTGTTTGTTCGGGGATTTCGCTGTTGACCCGTGTGCCGATAATATCAGCAACGGTATACAATGTTTAATTGCCTTTTGTACCCCGAAAATCTCCAGTCTCGTCATAAAACGACCCGGCATAGTGAACCAATTTCAAAAACAAACAGTGGAATTTTTTGTGGGTGCATGTAGAATGCAGGTAAATTCTACATTTGCTACACGACACAGCAGCGCTAGTGTTCTCCGCTAGTGGTAACGCCAATTGGCGATGTATTTGAAATGATTTTCTTGAGATATTATTTCGTTATTTATTTGATGTTTTTGTTCAGGGGGCGGCATGAAATTTCTTATTTCTAGTATCACAAAAGTCTTCAAAGACGCTTAGAGGCTAGCTGATGCTAAAAATGCAAGGCAAGGCTACAGTTGTTTGAGTTTTGACTACCTATGAGCTATGGGATGGACTGTGATCTGATCCCCTAGAGCTTCGTCGAGTTGCGCGATTTCACCGATCTGCGCAATATGCTGGAGCGCAGCTCTCCGCCCGTAGAGGCAGTGAGGGAGGCTCCGGTTTGTGTGCCCCTCACAAAGGCCTGCGAACGAACTTCCACATCCGTGTTCCTTCGCGACTCCTCGTCCTCGTCCACCTGTTTGGCCAGGCAGGGGAAATCCCAAATGCTCTGCCCCCTGCCAAACTCCTCCCCATCGCTGAGGGTTTGTGGCAAATCGTGATTGAGCGTCTCCGGCAGCAGCAGCGACAATAAACCGCCAACGATGCCCAGCAGACCCAAAATTATGAGCGGCAGAGCTGTGGAAATATTGGCCAAGTACACAATGAATGGTGCAATGATGCTGGCCACATAGCCCATGATGTGGATGAAAGCCACCGCCTGGGCACGCACCACTGTCGGCAGCACCTCGGCCGCCCACTGCAGTCCAATGTTGTAGCTGATATTGACAAAGAAACGTCCCATAATGGCCAAGGCGGCGGAGTAGACGCCAACGGGCACCACGGTAGCCAACAGACTGAATACACCGCTGGCGACCATCGAGCCACAGGCCAACCAGCGGCGTCCAAAGCGATCCAGGGTCACGGTGAGGAGAGTATCAGCCGGCAGCTCCGTGAAACTTGCCACCGTAAAGGTGAAGAAGATGTCCAGCCCCAGGGAGCCGACGTTCCTCACATGCCCGTCGAACACCAGCGATATGGCCATCCAGATGACGATGAGCAGCAGCGTGGTGCGACGCAGGCGGGGGGACTTGAACAGATCGAGAACGGAGTAGCTGCCATTCTGGGCCTCCTGCTCCCGCATGCGGCGGCAGCTGTCGGCAAATTGCTGATACGTCTGGGCGGGCACCTGGCGGCCATTGCGTCGCTCCAGCTGCTTGAGTATCGAAATGGCCTTGTCCACCTTGCCCTGGGCGACCAGCCAGCGTGCCGACTCCGGCACAATCAGGGGCGTGAAGACAACCAGCAGCAGCGGGGCGGAGGTGATGATCGACAGCAGCTTCCAGTTGGCCACAAAGTAGGCAATCCACGGCAGCAGGCAAGCGGCGCCCGTAAAGAATATGGCAATGGACATGTTGGCCACAAACGTGCGATACTTGGGACCCACGTACTCCAGAACTGGAAGAGGAATAAGTGCCTTAAATTAGTCGTAGTTCCACTTTGGATTCCACTCTAGAGGATCACTCACCCAGTATGTACATCATGGTGAAGCAATTGTCAAAGGCGAATCCCACAAAGAAACGCATGGCGGCAAATTCCCAAAAGCTGTTGGCAAAGGCAGTGCCCACGCCAGCCACAAGTCCTATAAGATTGGTGCCAATCAGTGCCGGAATGCGCCCGTAGCGATCTGCCACCCATCCAAACAGAAGGCCACCCACGATGGCGCCAAGAAAGAAAATGGATTGGGCATAGGTGGGCAGGGCGGCATCGTCGCACACCCAATTCTGTTCGGTGGCCACCGTCGAGTAAGGTATCTCCGTGTAGTTGTAGGACCAGCCATTGCGACACTTCACCTTCGGCCACTTGGGATCCGCCATCACCTTGCCCTGGGCCATAATTTCGGTATAGTTCACGTCGTACATGTAACAATTGTTGTATTCCCCATTCATCATGGGTATAGAAAGCGCCAGTCTATGGATGAGAATGGAACGAAACGCAAAGGGGGGCTCAGTTTGGGGTAGTTGCTGCAATTAACACATCGCCAGGGTCAGGCGTCGGATTGTCTCCGTCTGGCTGGGTATTCAGTTCTCAGTAGCTCTAAGCCATGGCCAACACTTACTTCTGCATTGCGTACAGCACAGCAGTACACGCAGACACATAGATGGATCATGTATGTACGAGTATCTGTATTTGACAACTTAATTATCTTGATCTTGAGGGGCTACTTGAAAATGCGGTTACAACTCGAAACGTTTTTGGATACACTTGAAACTTGAGAATGCTCTATTTTTGTGTGGATTTCCCAGAGCTAAGAAGTCCATTAATTCAGCCGATTGAATGTGGATGGAGAGGGTTATGGATGGATAGGAGATGGCAGGGAATTTGCTATGAAGCTGTGGCTAATAAATGAATATATCACTTGGGAAGATGGATATGGAGAGTGTGCAGAATTCTAAGAACTCTCGCAGATATCTGCCACAGATATTCCACTGTATTTTCAATTAATTATCCACTAAACTTATGAAGTGCTTTGTGGTTTTTGCTGCCATAATTTAAAGCGTGTTCAACATTCGTTAGCTTGCAGCACACCTCCACTCCACTCCACTCCATCATAAGCTCGACTCACATCATCGTTGAGACTCCGCCACACAACATTAGTCTTCGAGCGGGCTGTCTGTGTGCTGGACTATGTTGCTACTTGTATTTGTACTCGTACTCGTACTGGTACTGCCACTAAGTGTGCGGCACGACTGCTGCGTTGTCGCAACATTCGAGCTGCGCTAGCAGCTAATTAGACGGCCCACTGGCTGACTAGTAAGTCTCTTACTCAACTCTCTGTTTTGGGGTTTGGGGGGAAAACCAAACCCTCACTCCTTGCCACTGGGTAGGAGTGGGACGGACTGGCTACTAACTATCTATTGGCTGACCACCCCAGCAATTATACAGATGATCGAACGTTTTATCGTAAGGTTCTTTGCCTTATTAAGCCGTCGCATTGACTGGAAAACTCAATCATGGCCCAAGGTCAGGCAGCCGTTCTAAGCCAACTTGGACGCATTAATGACTGTTGGTCAGAACACTTGAACTCGCTTACTCGTTTACGTTTCATTCGCTTTGTGTTTTTCAATTTGTTTTAAGAGTTTTGCAAATACTTTGTACGTTTTTTTTTTTACTCTATAATTTGACTATTAGAATTGTGCGGATTTTGGTCTTGGTCAAATGGGTTTGGTTCGTGGTATTATACAATTTTGGTTTGGGCGGCTACCCCAAACCGGTATTAGCCTTAGCCTTTCGATATCAAGGTGATGTGATTGAGGGATCGATCGCTTGTTAGTTTTACTCGCATGAGTATGAGTACGAGTCTGAGTAGTAATCGATCAATTGCTGCTTTTTGTTTTTATTTGTGAAAGTGAAACGGAACCAAACCGCATAGCTACGATTGCCATTTACGCACAATGAATGAGATTTGTTTCCGGCTGGGGATTAAAAACGAGTTTGCCAGACGGAATAGAATGCAAGCTAGAAAGGAGATTGGGGGGAACAAAGGAATGTTTTACATTTCTTGAATATAACTGAAGGGAAACCAACCCACCCATAGAACTGTCTTTAATTATGGCTTTCGAAATGCAGCGTATGAGTAATATTCATTAAATTGACGATCATTTGAATACTCGTAAACACGATATCTTCATTATGGTTTAGCACTTGCCTTCGTGTCCACCAGCTCTGTAATCAACTTTTCCATTTGAATATTTATGGCAGATTACGTGAAGCCGTAACCGTTAGCCATGGAACATGTCTACGAAATTGGCCAAAATGTGTTGCCTTGGCTTGGCGATGAGGGAAAACCCAACACTGTCGCTCTCTCAAAACTTGACTCACCTGGCCTCCACATCCAGGCCATCCAGCTCCGGGACATGGCACCAATGCTGTTCGGGTATCAGCGTGAGAAATATCTGCGAGAAGTACACAAAGGCCACGAAGAACGAGAACGGTATCATGCAGATGAAGAGGATCTTCTGGTATCTGCCAAATTCCCCAATCAGCGGCAGTATGTCATCGAAGTCAATGTTGGGCAGGCTGCTGCTGCCATTGTCACTGCCATTGTGGCCAGTCAATTCCTGACCCTTCTTGTTCTGACCCAAATCCAATTGCAGTTCCTTGGTGGTGCCGCCGCTTTTCCGTCGATGCAGATTGTCCCCACCTCCGCCATGCGGGTGTTCTTCATGACTGAATGCTTCATTGACGAAGTACGCTTGCTTGGCCTGACCTTCCATGTTCTTGGTTAGCTTAATACACGTGTATACTATGTATGTTTCTGCAACCTTGCTTTATGTGCGAGGCGATTCTCAGAAGAACTTCACTTTGGGCTGTGTGCAGACCGACAAATGCGAAATAATAATCCAAAATTCAAATCGAAACCGAAGCTGACGGCGCACGCGCGCGAATTCGTTTCTGTTCTGCAACTGAGTGAGCACGCGCGCCAAATGTCGTTTTTATATAAGCTCCGCTCTGCTCCGCTCCGGTCTGGGCTGCACTTGCTGCTGCTGCTGCTGCTGCTCAGAACAAGAAACCGCCGGGCAGCCAGGCAGGCAGACAGGCGAAAGTTTCAATCGAGCAGCTGTTTCGTTTGGTTCACACAGCTGGCAAACCGGTTCAAATCGGAATCAGAATCAAAAATCGGCATTGCATCGGGTAAGGGACGGGACACTGGCGACTTCGCGAGAGTGGTCATTGGCGAGCCCCAAAAAGCGATATGATCACCGATCTTATGGATGGCATTTGTTAGCTTATTTTTAAGCCCTGCCCGAGCATGACTCCACTCTGCGCCCATCAAGAGAGCAAAAGCCTGTGCTGCGATGCGAGGTGGTTGCACATCTTCGAGCACAGCAGCTGGGTCGCTTTATTAATACCAACAAGCCAAAAGGCGGCATAATGATTGTGATTCATGCCCAAACCATTCCATTATTGAGGAAATTAGCCAAATATATTTGTTCAATTCGTGCACGAGTGTGTGCATAAGTGTCAGTCCATTCATAAATTCCCAAAACGCTCATCAAAGACATTAAGCGATCTATATGACCCCCGAACAGGTTTGCTTGGGATACTCGTATTATTTATTGTTTCGTTTAACTGTTAATTTGTACAAAATTAATATTTTGATGGGTTTATGCGCCTGTGCATCTTTTTATCTTGGTTATACACATATTTTTGTGTGTGTTTTGTGTTCAATTATAAAGATACATTTGTTACATGGAAAGGCGGCTCTGAGGCATCCATTTGTAAAATATTAATTATGAAGACGCACCCTGATATGATATATCAAATAATTTTCATGCCACATTACAACAAAATATTGTTCTCTTGACCGCTGTGCCGCTTTAAACCAGTTTAATCTTGTTTTATAAATTACATTTCGCTTATTTTTTTTTATTTATACTCTTGCCAAGTGTGAGCGTTGCATAAAATTGATTAGAAGTTTGCACTTGCATTGATTGAAGTTCAAAGATAACTCAATTGGAGGTGCTAAAGATATGGCATAGATATGTAAATTGAAACAGAATTAATCGTAAGTTTAAGCTATAATTAGGATCATCTACTTAGTAATGGAAAATTTTCTGCCTAAGCCAGTGGGTTTTGTACCTATATGTTTCAATATAGTAGGTATGTATGTACATACATATCAGCTCCAAAAAATTCCATTGTATTTCCAATATTTGCTAATTGGAATATAATTAGTTTTAAACTTAAAGAACTAATTAGAATCATCTAGTAATGGAAAATTTTATGCCTAAGCCAGTTGAATTCTTTCTCAAATTTTGTATCTATATTTTTCCATATATACCATATAATAACTATATACCACCTCCAAGCAAATTCCAGTGTATTTCCAGCTTCGATCCCACAAAAGTTAGCCTTCCTCTCTTCTTATTTTATTTGAATTTATTTATCTACGTTTATTTTATTTTTTTGCTACGCATTTAATGTTTTAATTAGATTTGTTTTGGAGCTATTCCAAGGACTTTTGACTGCTAGTGTTTGTCTGTATCTATTGCCAGTTGTTGGGGAGTTAATAGAACGGCTCCCCAACAGATTTATAGACAGAGATAGTGTCATATGGCTAATTTAATTTTTAATGTGTGCATGTTTAAGCGTCTGGCAGGTGCCATTTGGATTGTTTCACATTTAGAAAGCTGCAGCTAATTAAATGGATAAACTTGTCCTTCTACGGATGAATACGAGTATGTGGAGTGTTCTCTGGAGACTCTTCTCTTTACGCTCCGCTCTGTGGCAAGGTTTCGTCTTTTAACTTTTAGACGACCTTCAATTGAACTCAAACAGAAAAATTATAATTGTATCAAATCCATTTCCGTTTTGATTCATGTTTCTGCTTAGTTTTCTGCTTTTGCCGCCCCTCTTTTCTCATTTTATTTCTGTGTACGTATTTTATATAAATTTTTATTGGATTCCATAAGTAATTCCATAAGTTTTAATGAGTTTGGAAGTGTTTTGCGAAATACTTAGCCTCTTAATTAAATTGAGGGGAAGTAAAACGTTTAGGCTTGGATGCATTCGCTGGACTTGGCATAGAGGTGCGAATAAATGGAATGCATGTATGAACGAATGATGATGACGCCACAAGCGAATGAGTCGGCAGGAAGCTCATCGACATCGACATCGGACTGCCTAGCTCTTTCATATCATCGTCAAATCTAAGTATTACCCAAGAGAATTATTGTTTTGCGCTCAATAAATTATACAATTAAATCGCACACCCTTGCTAATCGATGTCTGCGGCTGTAGCTATCACAGCGATAAGATTTTCAAATCCAATACTAATGGAATACAACTGGAAATGAGTGAACGAACAGCTTTTTGTTTTGTATATTAATTATAACATCTACAAAGTAGTATTCCGTCAAGCAAAGTGTTCTCCATCTTCAATTGGTATAAGATTTTTTTTATTGGAGATTTTAGGTGTTTTTTTTTACCCATTTCTTACAATATTTTTCTTTGTCGTGGGCTCGTCCATGGCTCAGATCGATAAGCTTACTACGAACTGCAGAATCTGGCCATGATAAGGCTATATAATTAATTCTGGGCCAAATCAATTCACGCTTCAGGTTTCGCTCGTTCGTTTCCTTATCGTGAAATCGTTCCTTTGCTTATCGAAGATCGGTAGCATCGCCACTATCAGTCCTTAATAAATTAACCTGGTTTATTCCAGGCACAGATAGTCGATGATATATGATCTACACATGGTACGGGAATCCAGTATAAAAGCCATCGGATTCCTGGTAAAAACTTTAGTTGAAATCAAAAATGAAATTCGCTTGCGCTTCGGTTGTGCTCCTGATCGCCGTTCTCGGCGCCCAAGCCGTGGATTGGCAGTCCGTGAAGAATCTGAACATCGAGACCGATGCCCCGATGATTCGTCGTCACAGTATTCCCAAGGGACGCATCACTGGCGGCACTCTCGCGACGCGCAACCAGTTCCCCCACCAAGTGGGACTCCTCCTGTACGTCCAGGGAGGCGCTGCCTGGTGCGGCGGCACCTTGATCAGCAATCGTTGGATTGTGACCGCAGCTCACTGCACGGACAGCCTGACCACCGGTGTGGATGTCTATCTGGGCGCCCATGATCGCACCAACGCCAAGGAGGTCGGTCAGCAGATCATCTTTGTGGAGACAAAGAATGTGATCGTGCACGAGAACTGGAGCGCCGAAACCATCACCAACGACATTTCCCTGATCAAGCTGCCAGTGCCGATTGAGCTCAATGGTGCGCCTTGGAACTCCTTTTTTTTCGCAGAAATCCTTCTGAAGCTAATTCTTCTTCTTTTTCAGAGCACATTCAGCCCGCCAAACTGCCGGCAAAGGCCGATAGCTACAATACCTACAGTGGCGAGACGGCCATTGCTTCTGGCTGGGGTCTGACCAGCGATTGTGAGTACTCCCCTCGTAGAGCTCTCTGATCTGCCCTCTTATTTAATTCCAATTTCTTCTGATTAGCTGCCACTGCTGTTACCGACATTCTGCAGTACATTGAGGTGCCAATCATGTCCAACAGCGGCTGCTCTCCCTGGTACTTTGGTCTGATCGGTGGCACCAACATCTGCATCAAGACCACTGGAGGAACCTCCATCTGCAGCGGCGATTCTGGCGGCCCCTTGATCTTGGCCGATGGCAGCAACACTCTGATCGGTGCCACATCCTTTGGCATTGCTCTTGGCTGCGAGGTGGGATGGCCCGGTGTGTTCACCCGCATCACCTCCTACCTGGACTGGATCGAGACCAACTCTGGCGTTGCCAACTATGGCAACTAGAGGCGGAATTGTCTTCCCAAATAAATGTTACTCGTATAGTAAAAGAAATGCCTTCCAATGATCATTATTTATGGGGAACTTGGTGTGAGTTTAGCTGGCAGATCTTTGGGGGCAAGATCCAAGTTCAAATGCAATAATCTCCTTAGTCATGGGCTATTTGATAAGCTTACCACGAACAGATAGATCTGGCCTATGATATAACCCATTCTGCGCTGGTTTCTTATCAAAGAAACCTTATCGATGATTGATAGCATCGCCATTATCAGAGTTGGATTTAATCTATAGCAAATCACATTGGTTTATTATTGGCCTGTGGGCAGCACCGTAAATAATCAAAATTAAATTCGCTTGCGCATCGATTGTGCCATGATCGTCGTTCTAGGCACCCAAGCCTTGGATGGGCCATCTGCAGGAGTCTGAATATTTATACTGATGTTCCCAAGAAACGCAACCGGTGGCACTCTAGCCAGCCGCAACCAGTTCCCCTACTAAGTGGGACTCCTACTTCCTGTACTAATTCGAGGCCAACTCTGGCGTTGTTAAATATGGCAACAATGGCAACGCGGAATTGTCTTAAAATAAAAGTTTATTTTGGATTACAAGAAGTAAAACTCGTATTCGGACTTGGGTCTGGGACGAGGACGAGGACGCTGGCGCTTATGCGTGCGCGTGCTGATATCCTCGGAGAGGTCCTCGTCGGAGCTGGTATTCACGTCCAGCTCATCGGGCTGATCATCCTCCTCCTGATCTTCCTGATGGTGCTGTTCTAGCCTTCGACTCTGGCGGGGCTTGCCATAGTCCCGCATATACTGATCGAAGAAAATCGCCTCCGTGGTGTCCTGATGGGAGTTGACGCCCGTCTCGTCGCTGATCCAGTCCAGGTACGAGGCCACCTTGGTGAAGGCCGCCGGATAGCCACGATCGCAGCCGTAGATGCTGCCAAAGGACGTGATTCCCACCAGCACTCGCTTCTTGGATTGTCGTCGCTGCAGCACGAGTGGACCACCGGAATCTCCATTGCAGGTGGAGCGGGAATTTCTGCCGCTGGTGCAGATATTGGTGCCGCGATAGGAGAGCGGAAAGTTCGTCTTGCACGTCCGACCATCGATGATCTGCAGCTGCACATATCGCAGGACATTGCTTATGGCATGGACGCCAGTGGCATAGCGTCCCCAGCCAGAGGCGATCGCCAGCTTGTTCTTGAAGTTGCGGTACTCGTAGTGCCGCTTGGGCAGCTGTATGGGATGGATTCGATCTGGAAGTAAAGAGAGTTACTTCCTCTATACAGAACAACTCAAAAATCAACTCTCAATTTTACCATTAAAGCTGACAGCGTGGGGCAGTCGAATCAGGGCTATGTCATCCTTCAGGCGCTTGGGATTCCAGGTGGGATATATGTGAAAATTACTGCTGGGCACCATCAGTCGCACCTGACCCTTCTCCTTGGCGTTCTTGATCTCGTTGGCGCCCAGAAACACCAGCGCGCGTTTGGCCCTGCAGGGGAAATAATCGGTTAGGAGGATGGGTTCTGTGGCAGATATCAAACCGCTCCTACATGTCCACACAATGCGCCGCCGTCAGTACATGCTGCTCGGAGATCAGAGAACCCCCGCACCAATATAGACCCTTGGGACGCTGCAGCAACATGCCCACCTGGTAGGGGAAGCAGTGGGGATTGCCCACGTCGCCGCCGAATATGCGATCCATGGCCATGGCTCCCTCGGGCAGCATCTTCTCCAGCAGTGGTGTGGTCTCCAGATTCAAGACCAAAGGCTCTCTTACATCAACATCCTCGTCGCTGTTCCCATTTCCTCCTCCATTGATGCGGCTCTCCAGATTGCTGGCACTCATTTCCGCATCTTGCTCCATGGACGAGGAGATGGAAGAGGAGGAGGAGGAGGGAGACTGCGACATGGCCATGCCGAACGGTCCCGGATACATGGACACTAAATACATTGGCTTAACCTGTTGCCAATCGAGTGCCGCTGCCACGCCGCCGATGGAGGAGGTGGCGGCATAGAGCAGGGCAATCCAGGTGAGCAGCTTCGTTTCCGACTGCGACCTGGCGTGGGTCCGATTTGGGGATCGCCTCCGAATGTGATTCGTTAGTGTGGCAACAATGGAGGAGGAGGCACCTGCTGATTGTGTAAACATTTGCGTTGCTTTGTTCGCGAACGCATTTAACTGTTAATTGCGATTAATTTAGTGGCACTTTTGCACTGCTTCCTCCTTTAATGCATTGGCCCCCGCGTGCCCCTCGATCCACGTCCGGTCTGTCGGTCGCTCGCTCGCTCGGTCACTGCGCTGTTTTCCCGTTTCGAAAAGCCGTTACGCTGGACAACGCGTTCGTAATCTCGGTTGCTGACGCTGCCGCTGCTACTGCTTTATTGCTTGCCACCTTGCCACTTGCCACTGACATGAACACCGTCGAGCGTCTCGTAAGGTACTGGTGCGACGCGCGCCGCTTGCCAGCATTTTTATAAACTCTTTCGCCAGCAATTTCTTCGAACCACTTTAATTATTTCATCTATTTTGCTGCATTAATTTGGCCCCGTCAACGCCGCCGCTGCCACTACCCTCCGCTGCAGCGTGCATTTTGTGCTTGCAATTGTATTGCACAGTTGCATCAATTTCATTTAATTTGACTGCTGCATGTCAATCTGCATATGCTCTCATCTCACTCTCGCTTACTCTCATCCTACGTATGTATCCCTCCATTCCACTTTCCTTTGCAGCTATGTATGATGTGGTCACGCTTGCGCTTTTTACCGTTTGACAGAGTCACACACAGGGCATTGCATTCTTTCTCTCTCCATCTCCTTCTTCCTCTTTCATTCAAAGTTTGTCCGCCCTTTTGATCGGTGGTTCGGATTGTTTTCCTCTTGACATAGTGGCGAAAATACCCGCGTATGTGTGTGTGTGGTGTTGTGTTGTGTTTTATATGTCTGCCTAGTTGTTTTACCATTTAAATTGTGTGTGTTGAAGCTGTAACTCGAGCTATCTGTCCGCTTGGCTTTGGTGCTATTACATCACGCGTACTGTACAGTGCTCTGCTCTCCTAATCTTCAGAGAGAGGGAATCTGCTTTCATTGAGAGAAACGCGCGAGTGAGAGAGACGGGAGAGAGCGTCTAGCGGGGTAAGTTAAACAAAAAGATTACACGATACAGTTATAATTTTGCATTTTGATTGGTGTCTCTCATTTCACAGTGGGCACTCGTGCTTGTTTAGTTGTTGTTTACCCTGCGTGGGCGTAGGATTACAGTTGATATTCTCACACAACCCACTGTGCAGCTTCCTAATTTCAAGGTTATTGCCGGCTTTGCGCTTTTGTCGCATGCCTCTGCCATTTGTTTTGTGTGGCTCGTAAACAAATTAACAGTTTTCCACTGATGGAGTTGCATGTGGCATGCGCAGAATTCTTAGCAGGAAATGGAAGTGCTGTATTAAAAATATGTATTTTTAATTAAATTAATTCGTGCACCGCCTGCGGCTGCCAGAAATAAATTTAATTTGGTGTTGAAAGTATTTCTGTTGTCTGCCTATTTAGGAAATTACTGGTACTGCTGTGGTCTGGGTCTGCTCTGCGCCTAGCCAACCAAATAAACAAAATCGTCTCGGTGATATGTTCGAATCGAATTCGTCGGTAATGAGGCTAAAAAAACATAATCCGCGGCGGCAGCACCGCCAGCAACAACAGCACAATGATTATGCAAATACATGCTGTACACCCGCCCCGCCCCCCTTTCACCATCACCTGCCTCATAACGCCACCTGCAGCGCTTGTTGTGCAGTTCGATTTCGTGCTGTTTGGTGCGTCAATACCCAACCAATGCATAAGCATAATCGCGAATTGTTATTACCACGCCGCCGCGGCGGGACAGGCAGCCCGTTGCATGTTGCACTCATTAATAATGGGCGCGTTTTTGTTGCTGCATTCGATTGCACTTGCTAATGCCTCTGCCGTTATTTCATTTCGCACTATTCCCCCGAACAGTTTTCGCATTTTATGACGCCTCTTCTTGTGGCGGCCTCTACTTGTGCGTGCGTGCGTCGTCGCTCAGGGCTTCCGTTTCGCATTTCATTGGTGGAGCTACAAAATATTGTTTTACTTTTCTTTACAACATTTATTCTGGACTTACGGACTACGCACAGAATCGTATTCTATGGCTGGATGATAAATTTAGATTACTTGCTATTTACATGCTCGTAGGGTGGGGGCTAGGATAGGATAGGATAACTTTAATGGGCTGAGTAGTGAAACGCTCGATGCCACTTCCACTTCCTACCGCGATGATCTGTATAGCTAGGGTCGTGAAATTACATAATGTGAACGATTGATCGGTAATCCTAGCTTCAATAATTGGTATCAGTACAGGTGACCGCAGGCAAGATTGCAGGCCCAGCAGCAGCAGCATTCAATGGGAGCTGCCTGCGGTCACTTCATTTGGACACTATTCGTAATATCTAATCAGTATCGTAATTTATGCAATGGGTGTAAGTGTAAAACGGTGACACAATCTATACGAGTGTAATAATGATGCTTCAGTCTCTCTCTACTCGAACGCCGCCGGCTGCTGCTGCTGCGGCAGCTGCTGCATGTGATACTGGCTGCTCAGTGCAGGCAGCTGTATATCGTCCATGGTCATGGCAGTCTTGGCTTCGGCGTTTCCTCCTCCAGCTCCAGCTCCGGCATCGCCTTCATCGCCCTCGAGCATTGCACTGTCGAAACTTTTGTTGAGACGATCGTGAAATTCGGTCATTGAGATCTTCTTCAGGGCAAAGCGCTTGCCAAAGGTCTTCTTCACCTTCTGGCGGCGCTTCTTCAGAAGGATTTTGTTCTTGTTCAGTCCGTCACTGAAGGAAATGGCGCGTCGCAGCTTTCGGTTGCCAAATTTCACAATTCGCACTTGGCTGCTGATCGAACACTCCTCACTGTCGTCCTCGACATCGGCGGCATTCTCGTCGCTGGGCTCCTCGAAGATTGTCTCGAGACTTGTGGGCGTAAACTTCTTCATGCGCTTGTTGGTGTAGATCTTCTCGATGGTTTTGAGCGTCTGCGAATTGGTGGTCAGCTCTTTGCGACGATTCTTCTTGATGGGCTTCATGATGGCACTGCAGACGCGGTTGAAGTGGTCCTTGGAGACGCGTGCCGGCATGCGGCGGCGAGCCACGCCGGCACGGCCTCCCGTCATATAGCTATTGCCCTTGCGGCTGCTGCCGCTATGCCAGTCGCTGTCATCGTCCTCACCGCGACTCAGCTGCGAGTCCACCTCATCGGATTGATCGCTGCTCTCGCTGGGCTCCGATTCCTTGGACCCATCCTGCATCTCCTCCACATCAGACATGGCCGTAGCCATGGGCTTCAGGCTCCACGAGAAGCTGCTACTGCTGCTGCCGGAGCTGCGAATGGTGAATGCACATTAGTCTGAATGTGTTACAGGGCACAAAACTCACCGGTTCTCCGACAATCCGAATTCTTTCGGCTGAAATGTGATGTTTGCAAAGTTATGCACAATGTTATCCATTACGACTGTCTGATGGCCGCTGAACCACGCATTGCCTTTACCTTTCTTTAACTTGAACTCTTTTGTGGGCGTCTCTGTCTCTTGGGGGGGTCTTTTCTGGTCACAAGACGAGTGCCACCACCACCGGCGGCAATCCGACCTAGCAAAACGTTGGGCACCACAATCAATGCCAAGTGGTTGCAAAATAATTATTTGTGGCAATAATTTTGGAGTCGGTTGTGAGTTTTGTTGTTAATATTTTTTTTTCTGCTCAAAAATGTTTATTTCGGAGTGTTTAAAACGATAAAATGTCTATCGATATCGAACGTAGTGTGACCGTTGTATTTGTACTAATGGTACCCGAAAAATAGAACAGAGGGCGCTTGCTTTGGGAAGGCCGTTAAATTTGAATGTCGCGCCCTTTGGTAATTTCGAAATATCTCTTAGGAAATTTTTTATTTTGAGGCTTTATACATTTTCTTTTTATTAAGTATATTATATTTTATTCTCGCTGATACGATTAAATCTTATCGGCAGCTAAAAATTGATTGTCTGAAGATGTCGCCAAGATTTCATATGGCATATAGATAAAACTGTCACTTGCGAATTATAAAATGGTGGCGTTGCTTATCTGTATATTGTAAATTAAATGGTCTCAACATTTATATTGATTTCCGGCAAAAATTACGCGCGGTACTCGGGGGTATATAACCCCCAGCGCTCATTCGGTGGCCTCCAAATAAGTTTTTCAATCGGAATGAAGTTGTTGGGGATTCTGCTATTGGGAGTGATTGCCTCCGCGTCGGCTTTCGAGAAGTCGGTGTTCTGGAAGGACGTGCCCGTGGGCAAGGACTCCATTGAGGGGCGCATCACCATGGGCTATCCGGCCCAAGAGGGCAAGGTCCCTTATATTGTGGGTCTGGGCTTCAGCAAGAATGGCGGCGGCACCTGGTGCGGTGGCTCCATCATTGGAAACACCTGGGTCATGACCGCCAAGCACTGCACCGATGGCATGGAGTCGGTGACCATCTACTACGGCGCCCTGTGGCGTCTCCAGGCCCAGTACACCCATTGGGTGGGACGCAACGACTTCATCGAGCATGGATCCGGTGACATCTCTCTGATCCGCACACCGCACGTGGACTTCTGGTCGCTGGTCAACAAGGTGGAGCTGCCCCGCTACGATGATCGCTACAACAACTATCAGGGCTGGTGGGCTCTGGTCTCTGGCTGGGGCAAGACCTCCGATGATGTTGGCGTCTCTGAGTACTTGAACTGCGTGGATGTCCAGATCGGTGCGAACTCTGTGTGCGAGAACTACTACGGCAGCTTCTCGGGCGATCTGATCTGCATTCCCACGCCCGAGAACAAGGGCACCTGCAGCGGCGACTCTGGCGGTCCTCTGGTCATCCACGACGGCAATCGCCAGGTGGGCATCGTGTCCTTTGGCTCCTCCGCCGGCTGCTTGTCCAATGGTCCCAAGGGCATGGTGCGTGTCACCAGCTACCTGGACTGGATTCGTGACCACACTGGAATCTCTTATTAAGAGAAAATTTCTTTCAAGAATTAAATTGATTTTGTGAATATTATAATTTATTTTTCTTTTATTTGTTGAATGCCCAAAAAATGAATCTTTGATGATTAGTAGGAAATGCCCGTGTGGTCGCGGATCCAATCCAAGTAGCCAGTGACGCGAGTCATGCCCTTGGGGCTGTTGGACAGGCAGCCAGCGGAGGAGCCAAAGGATACGATGCCCACCTGACGGTTGTCGTAGTGCAGGACCAGGGGACCGCCAGAGTCGCCGCTGCAGGAGCCCTTATTCTCGGGCGTGGCAATGCACACATGGTTGGCCGTGATGAAGGTGGAGCCGTAGTAGGATTGGCACACGGAATTGTCGGCTATCAGAATGTCGACGCAGTTCAAGTACTCAGAGACGCCAGCATCGTCGGAGGTCTTGCCCCAGCCGGAGAGCAGTGCCCACCAGCCGTAGTAGTTGTTGTGGCGATCCTCGTAGCGGGGCAGCTCCACCTTGTCGACCAGCGACCAGAAGTCCACGTGCGGTGTGCGGATGAGGGAGATGTCATTGTTGAGGGTCGCCGTGCTGTATGCCTCGTGCTGCACAATGTCTCCCTGTTGCACCACATGCGTGAGCTGCGGCTGATGGCGCCACACGGATCCATAGGCAACGGTCACGGAGCTGGCACCTTGCGTGCAGTGGGCGGCAGTGAGGACCCACGTGTGGCCAATAATGGAGCCGCCGCAGAACCAAGAACCGCCGTTTCCATTGCTAAAAATCAGGCTCACAATATACGGAACCTTGCCCTCGGTTGCCGGATAGCCCATGGTAATGCGTCCGTTCACACTCCTGCCGACGGGCATGTCCTTCACTGGCACGGGCCTCTCCAGGGCTGCCGCCAAGGCAATTCCCGCAATCACTAGAACCGCCAGCGCTTTCATTTTAAACGAATATCAACACAATGGTGGTGTTGAGGGGCTTATATAGGCGGCTTCCGAATCGGACCATGTCATTGCTTTTGTTTAAAAACATTCGCCTCAAGTTGATAGTAGAATTTACAATCCTCTCGCCACAAGCTGATAACTCTGCTCGATCATATATCAGTGTGGTTCTTTCAATGCACCAGACACACACCCCCATACTATCGTATTGAGTCATCAACTCATATCTCCCAAAGGCCAGAACAAAACTTGAACCATTCGAATCGGTATACATACATAAATATTTGTGGGGTTTTCTTTTTATTGGATGTTTTATTTTGCATTGCCGATTTATAGAATAAATACTCAATATTTACAGGGTGGAAAAGTTGCACAAATTGGCTAGTAATATTTCCTTCATAATTATAGCCAATTAGTTTTTGTAAATCCAAAATGTGGCTATGCCAGCTGTATGTATAGTATGGCATGGCCAGATTTATGCATGTTTAAAGTTGCTTCGCCCATTTAAAAATGATTTTTTATAGATGCCAAAATCAACATTTAGGCATCGGATGGATTATATCTGAGCTATGAGCTCCATAAATAGGGGAATCTTTTATGTTTCCTACCATTGCACACCCCTCGAATGGAAATGGCATTGGAAACACTCATAACCAAGTCAAATACTGTCCATTTTAGTCAAAGAAATTTCAGAAATTATTTTCAATTAAAAATATATTGTAATTCTCCAGCCAAGAGTAAATGAATTTGCCCCTTTAAGTATACGCTATGGAGTACGGGAATTTTTCAAATGCATTTTATTTGTTATGAGGCAAAACTTTCTAGAATTTTCATTTATGCAGAAATTCCAGTGTTTTCCTTGATCCATTCCAAGTAGTAGGTGACACGGGTGAAGCCAGCGGGGGAGCCGACCTCGCAGCCAGCGCTGGAGCCGAAAGAGACGACACCAATCTGGATGTCCTTGAGGGCCAGGGGGCCGCCAGAGTCGCCGTTGCAGGTGGACACACCGTTGTAGGTGCCAACGCAGATGACCCTATCGGTGACGATCAATGTGCCAAAGGTGTTGGCGCATTCGGCGTTGGGGATGACGGTGAGCTCGGCATACTGCAGGTTGCTGGCCACGGAGGTGGAAGCATCGGAGGTCTTGCCAAATCCGGAGGCTACAGCGGTCTGGCCGGCATAGGTCGAGTAGCTGCTGGAGATGGCGGGCAGGTTGATCTTGTTGATGGCAGCGGTGAAGGCAACAGCTGGGGTCTTGATCAGGGAGATGTCGTTGCGCAGGACAATCGAGTTGTAGCTGGCGTGCTGGACAAAGCTCGAGCTGGAGACGGTCTGGGACAACTTGGGTGCGGTGCGGACAGTGGCACCATAGCCGACGGTCACAGAGGAGGCACTAAGAGGGGCAAGGGATAGAGATTTCTGTTAGGATTGGTCACCATTTTGCAGGGCAACTTCTCGATCACCTACCCGCTGGTGCAGTGAGCAGCAGTGAGGATCCACTCAGCGGAAATGATGGAGCCACCGCAGAACCAGCCGCCGCTGTTGCTTCCAAAGTTGAGGGACACCTGGTAGGGGAACTGGTTCTCCACAGCGTCCTTGCCGTTGGTGATGCGACCCTCGATCGATGGGTTGACAGTCCTGTCACGGGGATGCACAGGCAGCACCTTGGGCAGGGCGCCGGCGGAGACGGTGGCCAGAGCCAGAGCGAGAACTACGAGAACTTTCATGTTTGCTGGATCGTATAACGAATGATTCTTGCACCATTTGGTAGTCCATTATATACCCCATTCCCATGGCCCATGGCCTGTAATCAGGCAAGTCAACTGTCGTTTATTTCGGCCATAAATTTTGCCACCTAATCAGAGCGTCTTTGCACAGTTGCAGGATATTTTATCAGTTTGCAGATACGAGCACCGCGATGTCTGGAAATTTAATCGTTCTGCATTTTAAGTGATTTGATGCGATTAAAGTACGAGCATTATAGTCGTTCAGTGATCGACTCTGACCCTCGTTCGACAATCGAACAATGTGCTTAATAATAAGTTTAGAATTTATGACAGGGCTTAAATATTTTGAGTGCTTAATGGATCTGCATATAGTATTTGTTTTATTTTTGTCTGAAAAGTATGCAACAAAATATAACGAGATTTTTGTTTCGTTTTCTTGTTAAAAGTGAGGAACTCAGCAGCTTTTACTTGTGGAAAATGGCGGAAAAGGGTGGATACAATTTTGTGTGTGTTTGGGCCAAGAGAACAGTCACTCAATATAAATTGTGTATGCTTTTCCCTGTTTGGAGTACTCCACACCTCTTTCAGTTTTGGTGATAATTTCTAAGAATTCTCAAAAGGAAAACTAGAATATTTTCCTGAAAATTAAATAGTAACGAGTATCTTTTTCTCCCTAATATTTTCTTTTAGTGGAAAAAATAAACTAAAACTGTTAGGTTGTTCGGTCATGAAAGCTTTCATTTCAGATCTCTTCAAAGTTCCCTGTGCCAATTAACTCCCTGCAATTTCTAAGAAATATAATAAATGATAATTTTATCTTAATTCTGTTTCTATTGTTTAGTATGTCTAATTGTCATTATGAAATTACATAGAAACGTATCAGCGTCGCTCAAGTACTTTGATTACTTCAACAATACGAGTAAATAGGGACACTTTCTAACCTTACTACACTACACTAGAGCTGCAGTGCTCGTGTTTATATTTAATTTTACTTAAATTATTAGAGGAAATACCCGCCACTTGTAGCCCGAAAAGTAGAATCTAATTGTATACATTTTATAGATGATAATCGTTATTTATTTTGAAAGAAAGAAAAGAGTGCTGCTGCTTTGCTTAGTAGGAGATGCCAGTGTTGGTCTTGATCCAGTCCAGGTAGCTGGTGGTGCGGGTGAAGCCAGCTGGGGCGCCGGACTCGCAGCCAGCGCTCGACACAAAGGAGGTGACGCCGATCAGCTTGTTGCTGCTCTGCTGGACCAATGGGCCGCCAGAGTCGCCGTTGCAGGTGGACACCTTGTTGGGGGTGGCAATGCAGATGACGCTTTGGGTGATGATCAGAGAGCCGTAGGTGGCTGAGCATACGGTGTTGGTCACCACGGTGAAGGTTTCGTACTGCAGGCTGTTGGCCACAGTGCTAGAGGCATCGGAGGTCTTGCCCCAGCCGGAAGCGATGGCGGTGTCACCGGCATAGGTCGAGTAGCTGCTGGCAATGGAGGGCAGGACAACCTTGTTGATGGCCGAGCTGAAGGTGACGGCGGGGGCTTTGATCAGGGAGATGTCGTTGCGCAGGACAACGCTGTTGTAGCTGGCGTGCTGGATGAAGTTTCCGCTGGAGACGGTCTGACTCAACTTGGGTGCGGTGCGGACAGTGGCACCATAGCCGATGGTCACAGAGGAGGCACTAAAAGAGGCAAGGGATAGAGATTTCTGTTAGTATTGGTCACCATTTTGCAGGGCAACTTCTCGATCACCTACCCGCTGGTGCAGTGAGCAGCAGTGAGGATCCACTCAGCGGAGATGATGGAGCCACCGCAGAACCAGCCGCCGCTGTCGCTTCCAAAGCTGAGGGACACCTGGTAGGGGAACTGGTTCTCCACAGCGTCCTTGCCGTTGGTGATGCGACCCTCGATCGAGGGCACAACGGGCAGGTCACGGGGATGCACAGGCAGCACCTGGGGCAGCAGGCCAGCGGAGGCGGAGGCCAAAGCCAGAGCGAAGACTACGAGTACTTTCATGATGATCGAATGAATGTCCATCCACTGACCAAACGGCTCTTTTTATATACATTTCTTATCAGGGCCAGACCAGGGCACGATGTCGTGCCTCTTGTGTTTTTGACCAAGTCATTTCTGTTTATTTGAAATCTCTTTGATTTTTGTTCTCTTTGTTTTTTGGCTCTTATCGGTGGGACGGGTGTTGTGGCTTTTTTAGTCAACAAACAAAAAAACATAAGCAGGTACGCCTGTCACTTTTCTATGGCCCGCTTTCCAGGGAAATGATGTATGTACACTCAGAGAAAAATGGCAAACATACTGCACAGACATTTAAATTAAATATTCGGTTATTAAATACAGAAATAAAGAGGTATTCACTTTATATAAAAAAGTCTTTAATCTAATCGAATATAATCTAATTATAAAACTCTTTAAAAAATATATTAAATTTTAAGGAATTAAAAATGAAAATATTGAATTAAAATATTTCTAATGAAATATGTATACATTTAAAAAATTTAAATAAAATTATATTGTTAATCCAGATGTGAACGTGCAAGCCTTTGGTTCCTCTAAGTGTAGTAATTGTGTTTATCATTTAGGAGATATTGGCATTATCGGGCAGGCTTTCTATTTGGCCAAAAGTATCTTCTGCTATCGTTCTCCTCTACTGATTGTGGGAAATCTATTAGATTACTTAGTGAACACCGCAGGCTTTCAATTAAACGCACTCGAAAGAAATCAAAAGGCGGCAGACGTCTAGCATTCCCCGCTCCGCACTCGTGATAAGGCAAAAGATTTCTTATAAGTGACGACAATGCTTTTTTCGCAGATGTTTATCAATGGAACGGACGAGGTGACTTTTGGGCTTTATTTTTGGGTTGTGGGAAAATCCAGTTCAATGAAATCATTCTAATCGAATTATTTAATTATTTTCAATAAAATTTTACAACCATAAACGATTGTGTTTAACCCGAAAAGAGATTTACGCACCCCACTCTACATGGCCACTCTCGAGTGTCTGAAATTCCCAGCGTTTATCTGCTGATCAGACTTCAATCATATTAACCATACGCACTGGTGTCCGACAAAAGCTGCCAAGTCATTTCGGTAGACAGTGGAGTGGTGCCGGTGCGGGGGCAAAAGATAGAGGGACATAGTTGAATCTGGGGAAAATTGAAATCAAATCGCCTTACGTGATGGGAATGCCCAAGGAAGGACTTTCGGGGACATTAGCACATAAAAACAATTCATTGCCTTTCATGCTGACACATGTAGTTGTTGCATGTTTGCCTGCTTGCCTGCCTGTCTGTGTGGGGCGGAGTGGACATGTGGCATGTCCTTGTGCGTGTCTGGGCACTAAATGCTAAGCATCATTCGTATGTGGCTGAAACTAAAATAGATTTCTGTGCTGAAGATTGCTTCTATTCTTGGCAAAGGAAATGGAAAATAGTTTCCCAAATAATGTTTCCCATTTAATTAGAAGATAACGTTTATCCTGCGGCTTTCCCCCACCCTCCCCACACCACCCTCAACACCACACAGATATCTTTAATCCCCTGCATTAGCTGCACTTTATTGATTTTTTTTTTGTCTCTCTGCCTTTTTATGGTTACTCCTTTCGCTGATTGCGAAAAAATAGCCCAGCCCTTTGTCTCTGTCTCTCGGGGGATAAAAAAAAAACAAAAGAAACTAATTTTCGTGAAATATTTGCTCTCATTGTTGTTCAAGTACAGAGCTTAAAGGCCAACCAAAAAGGAAATGAAAGTAAAATAAATAAAATGAAAGGGTGGAGTGGAGCGGAGTGGCGCAGCGCACTTTAAATTGCTCGACAGTTGATATATACCACTCGTTCGTATTATATATATTACGTATACGTAATGCGCTTACTCAACACACACGCTTATTAGACGCATATCCAGCTCTCCACGGTCTGGGTCCAGCGACCCAGAGCAACAGCCTCGGACTGGACATTGTTGTCCACACACACACAGTCACACACACCCCCCGAAAGACAGAGAGTTAAAGGGGGTTACTCGAGTATCCAGTTGCGTAGATGGTTGCTCCTTTGGCAGCAACTAGCCCCAGTTTCCTCAAAAGCTACGCCCCTGGCCTTAAGTTGATATAGTATATATATACGAAACGAAGGCATTTCCAAATGTCCCCCAGCGTGCGCTCAGATCTCCTTTGACGATGGAGACGACGACAAACAAGATTGCAGCAATAAAATTTCGACAAGTGAACAACAAATGATAAACGAAGCAGCAGCTTGGGATAAAAAGTAGCAGTGGAAGGGCGTGTAGAAACTGCTACTTGAGGACTGCTGCTGGTCCCCACACAATTCGAGGCAACAATCTAATGTGAGCCGCATCGATTACGCTGCACGGACATGTCCACTCCTCGGGCTCTCTCCTCTGGATGTTTTTTGGCTGCCATTACATTGTGTATTATTTGGCTCAAATGGAAAACTCTGCTCAGTTTTTTTCTCGCTCTGTTGACATGAAAATGTCGCAAGGCCTTGCGGTCCGGTACGGTTCGCTCCTCCACTTCATAGTTGACCAAAATTAATGACAACTGTCTGCCACAGCTGACCTAGCTGCTGCTGCTGCTGCTCCTCCCTTTTTGGTTGATGACTTATCACATGGTCCATGTCTATTTCCTGCTATAATTCAAATTGCTTTTGGCTGAGGCCGCCTTTGGAGTTGTCAACAGCAGCCGCCTCATTAATCATCCCTCCTGCGATAGATGCCTTTGCGTATGAGTAATGCGTTTGTCCAGGTCACCTTCTCCTTTGGCCGCCGGAGCTTATCGCCTACCACTGGCCACTGCCCTCCCGAGCCCAAGATGTTGCCCACTTCATGGCGTAAAGTTTACTGTTTTTTTTTTGTGGCACAAACGAAATGCAATTTGTTGCTGCACATAGGTACGATGGATGGGGGTGGAATGGCATGTGGGGGGTACACAAGAGTTTTGCTCGCTTGCTGGCACTTGGTCAAAGTTTTTTGTGTGTTGTGTTGCGTTGTGTTTGCAGTTTGTCAACTCGTTTTTAATGCGCGATGTATTGAAAAAGTTTGATTAGGGAAGCAGCTGGCTGTCTGCAGAAACTATTACCTGAGTGCAATTTTCAGCAGGGACAAAACTTGATAAGCAGAGCGAAAGAGACAGAAAGAGTTGCCTTCCAAGTCGAGTGGTGTATCGATCCTCCCTGTTACTACGGATAGCTGTCAATATTCAAGACACAAATCCCCCACACCGCCTCGAACAGAGGACAAACCCAAGTGGCTAGCATTAAATTTTATGTCCAGGGATCAAACTAAGTTATTATATATGGATATATTATACCAGGATATGGTTGTCTTTCTCTCCTTCTTATGGCTGAGCAAATATTTGAGGACATTTTTCGCCAGCTTTCTGTGTGTGTGTGTGTGTGGAGATTTTCTATCAATAAGCTGGCGTTTGGCTTTTGCATATGAGAAGGCCTGCTGGCTGCTTGCTGTTTGCTGCTGTTCCTTCGAAATATATAAATATAAATTCCTGCCATGCAAACAAATCCTTTTCGATAGATTGCTTCTGGCTAGCCTTTTTTCTACCCCCCCCCCGATTCCTTTTTTATTGCGAGAGTATTGTGTGCCAGCGCGAAGGATTTTTGTCTACTACGACAATTGGATTTTGTGCGGCATACGATTTAGGGGGGGAGAAGGATTTCTTGAGATTTCTAGAGGCAAGCACCAGAAACGTGTCTCCCCGCCGTTCGAGGTGGCACTTGTCTGCTTATTGGCATTGGCATTGAAGCATCCGAAAATGATTCCGTGATACTGGTATTCCTTTTGTTCCGTCCATCAATACTGCAACTTTTCTTTTGTGTAGCGCTGTTGATGCTGCTGCTGGCTGCCTTGTCTCTTATCTGGCATTGGCTGCGTGGGGGCTTTTTATGCGAATGCTGAATCTCCAATTTGAATGCAGTCTGATGCTCTCTCAAGGGGGGAAGTTGCATGGTTTTTTCTATGGTGAAAATCTTCTCCATTGTTGGGACTTCATTAATGCCAGTCCTCGTATATTTTGTTGAAATATTTCCCCTGTTTCAGCTTAATATAATGGGATGCCTTCTCTTGTTGTTGTTGTTGTTGTGGTTGTTGTGCGCCGGAAAATATATAACTACTCATCAAATTTTAGCATGCAAATATTTATATACACCAGCTCCATGCAATGGAATATTTTGTATATATTTCTGGAGCGGAATGGAATGCTTTATGGCTTATAAACATTTTTTGTTTGCCAATATGTCTGTTGCCCGAGCTGAGCCCATGTGCGCTCTGCTTTTGTTGTAATTTCGGTTTATTGTTTTCTATATATTTTTCTGCTTGAACGCACTAAAAGCTACTCGGGATGCCAGTCAACCAGTCCATCCATACAGCCATCCCAGCAGCCATTCCATCCATCCGATCCACCTTTCTCTGGCTTCACGATGGGAGCAGCATTTGTTTGCTTTATGTCTTTATTTTTGTGCCCTTCCCTTTGACCCCTGCCTCTGTCTCTGTTCCTGCAAGAGGAGCCAAAGTATTACGTGTATTATTTTTTGCTCTACTCTCGAGCTGTTGTTTTTTTTTCTTTTACAGAGAGTGATGGCTGCCGCCATGCCCCTATAGGAGTGATGGGATTTTTGGTGAGTGCTCTCTGAGCGGCTTTGCATACGAGTATGTGTGTGCCATCTCCTGAGAGCCAGAAAGGAAAGCAAAACCCCGAAATGTTTCAATTATTACAAAGCCCCGGACTCTCGTACAAGTGTGTCTTGTGGGTATACGTACACCTACAATATATAAAATATACGAGAGTATATTTATATATATATGTATGTATGTGCAGTAGAATGAAGTAAGCCATTAACTTTTCCTGTCAATCAATTGTCACTCGCAAAATGGAAGAAGGCAAAAACCTAAAAACAAAAGGCACAAGACCATGACAAGACACTTTGGTGCCATGCGAAATGGAATGAAATTAACAGAAAAGAAAATGTATTATATATATAATAAAATATAAACGAAATGGTAGACCTGGAAATGCTCTAACCCAAATGATAAATGACAATAGCTATAGGGAAATAAAAGTAATTTGAGGAAAAGAGCAGAAATTTGTTTAGCTGAATTTGGAGAATGAGAATGATTTCCGAGTTACCTGTCTAAAGAAAAAAGTAATCAAAGTACATACACATGTGATTGCTTCTATCCAGAGTAAATCAAATTATTTCTTTGACATTTACCTTTGGGTGCCACCAAATAATATATGAGATATCAGGTGTACCAATATAAAATATTGAAAGACACAGGAGACACGTAAAAGTTATGCCATTCCTTGGATTCAAAGTGAATCATATCCTTTATCTCTTGAGATGATTCCAGAGACCATCTAGAGAGCTTTCCACATCCCCATCCCCGCCACTCTGGAGCAGAACAAGTATTACCACTCAATCAGTAGCAAAAACAAGCCAGCAAAAGTCTTTGTCTTTGCCTTTGTGTATACTCGTGCAAAAGCAAGACAACAACAAAAAAAAAAGCAGCGAACTTTTGCCGTCAAGTCATTGTTGTAGAAGAAGAGCGAATTTGTTTTTCTGGCAAGGAATGGGTTTCGTTTGAGCCGTGGAGTGGAGTGGAGTGTGTTGTGGAGCAGACACCAGACCAGACCAGACCAGACCAGAAGAGAGGCAAACCAAAGTGTTGTTTGGATTTCATTATACAATTATCTTGTTACCAGAAATAATGGTGTCGAGCCGGGCAACATGCCAAAAGCATTCAATGAGCTTGATGCGTCCTCCCTCTCAGTCTATCCTCTCAGTCTCAGTTCTCTCTCTTGCCTGCCATGTGTGTGTGTTGGGGGGTCTGTCTGTCAGTCAGTCAGTGACTGTTAACCCAACCCTCATACGTGGAATGTGTGTGTTTGCCGGAAGTTGAGCGCGTTAGGAAAAGCAGGAAGTCATTAGCCAAAAAAAAAACGAAAGCAGCAGCAGCAACAATACTCGTTCTCTGGTGATGGCGGTTACTGTCGGGTATCCGGAGAGTAATGTGATAAATAAATGAAAATGTTTGAGTTAAATGAATTAAGTGTACGATACGCGGTGTAGAGGGGGGTTCTCTCTTTTCTAGACTGGTTTGTCAAGGGGTGGGCAGGAGAGTGGGTGATGGTGGTGGATGGTTGTTGGTGGCTTTTTGTTAGAAACACTTTCTGTGTTGGCTGTCAAGCAATCGTAATTGCTGGGCACTTAATTAGCCGAACATCAGTCAAAGTGTCACACAGTCAACAAAAGGGTTAAGTGAATGCCAGTCAAAGTTTTCAATCCCTCACAGCAAATATGGCTGGTCACTCTGAAGCTATATATCATATGTGTAGGATAATAAACATGACTAGGATTAAAGCTCAGAGCTCAGAGAGCTCCTAGCGGTGACCCTCGCATTCGTCTGACCTTTCATTCGGTGGGTTTTTTTTTCCTAGGAACCTCACTTAATTAATTATGTGGCCTTCCCCCATCCAAATATCCTTAATTAAGTTGATTGCTTTGAATCGACTGGAATTTATTAGCCAGGATTGCGTTTGTTGACTCCCCAGTCAAAAAGCTCCGCCACACAGCCAGACAGACACACACATACACACAGAGGAAGCGCCTTCTCTGCCACAGGGGGGGCTGGGGCTGGGTTGGGTTGTAGCATAATTGATGAGCCGACAGTTTGTTAATTGATTTCGCTCTGTGATTAGTACTTTAGTAGCAAAATCGGAATTGATTTTATCAAGAAACCAACTAAATATTTAGTTGTATGACTCCGCTGTGCACTGTGGAAGTGGGTCAGCCAGCAGCCAGGAGCCAGGAGCCCCAAAGGTGCCAGTTGACAAATAATCAAATTAAAGTGCATCCATATGCAGTGTGCCCCAGCCACAGACAGAACTCGAACTCGAACTAGAACTAGAGCTCTGTGTCGCACTGTCTGGTGTTTGTGTGCCGCAGGCTGGCCAAATATTTTGCCAATAAAATGAATCAGAGCAAACTGCTTGACCAAGTGACTGTCATGGACCTCCCCCCACCACACACAACCAAACCACAGCAATGACTTCCTAAAAACGAAGTCCATCTCAATCAGAGCAAAGCAATGAAGTTTGTGGTCGAGAAAAAAAAGGAGTGAAAAACGAAACGAACATTCAAGCGTTCAATCAGAGCCAAAGTGGATTTTAAAGAGATGAAAAACTTTCGCCATAAACACATGCCGGACCATACCGAAAGTTGACATTTTAACTAACTTTGGAGCCATCCCAGGCCATCCCACTCCACCCCCCCACTGTACCGTTCTATGCAGAACTGCGGAACCTTTAGTTATACTCGTATGTTTGATATTTTGTCATATCTAAAACCACAAAATACGTACGAATACTCGTACGAGTGGTGGAAACTTTTTTGTGCTGTCATAAATTTCCGCAATGCAAACATTTATCAGGATGGCTGGGATACCCGGAACCTCAGCCTTGGGAGTATACAGTGTCCTTATCCTGGCTGGCGTATCCTGCCACACTCCACTCCGCCTTCACTGACGGACTTTTGTATGTTTCGGGACTGCTGCCACTGTTTCTGGGACTCTTTCAGCTTCAGCTTCTGTCTCTGTTTCTGGTTTTTGTCATTTGTGTCGTGTGTTGAGTAAATGCTTTTTATTCCAACCACAGCAGCAGATGGTCTTTGGGTATCGCCGAGCGAACCACCTGATATCCATACACCCAGCATCTTTGGAGCACTCATGTGGCATGTGGCATGTGGCATGCACTGGAAAAAATCAAGCCGAAAAATATGCGAAATTCTCTTTAAAGTGTGCCTGGCCCCGCAAAAAATGTGTAACAACTTCTAGCATTTATTTAAATTTGTTGTAATAATTTAACTGCTGACATATTGTCTCTCTCTCTCTCTCTTACTTTCACTTGAGGGAAACTTTTTTCCTTTGTTTATTTGCGGCCCCGCTCAAGTTCTTTCCCTGCTTTTATTGTGTCGCTGGGAAAATTTAATGAATTTTAATGAAAACTTATGTGCCAAATGGCGAGAGGAGAGCGTGCCGTAACATCCTGCCACTGGCACTGCGACGCCACTCCCCATTTGCATGACAAAACACTTGCAATTGTCGTTTAATGTCAATTTAAACTTTTCATGTGGCCATTGAAATTCATTGGATCTGGAGCTGGAGCTGGATCTCTACCAGACAGCACTGAACTGAAGGAAAACGCAGATGGTGACAGCCATTTGTTGGTAATCTTTTTTTATATTTATGCGAAATTCAAGTCATTCATTGACTGCCCCTCCTGGCTTAGTAGGAGATGCCAGTGTTGCTCTTGATCCAGTCCAAGTAGCTGGTCAGACGGGTGAAGGCAGCGGGGTATCCCTTCTCGCAGCCGGCAGCAGCGCCGAAGGAGGTAAGACCAACCTGGACCTTGCTGGACTCGAGCACCAGTGGGCCGCCAGAGTCGCCGTTGCAGGTGGACTTACCGTTGGGTGTGGACACACAGATGTTGGAGGAGGTGACAATGGAGGTACCGTAGGTGCTGGCGCACACGGTGTTGGTGATGACCGTCAGCTTGACCCACATCAGGTTGGTGGAAACGGAGGAGACGGAATCGGAGGTGCGGCCCCAGCCGGAGGCGATCACGGAATCACCGGCATAGGTGGAGTAGGAGCTGGCGATGGATGGGAGCTTGGCAGCCTGGATCTTGCTGCTGTAGGAGGTGACGGGGATCTTGATCAGGGAGATGTCGTTGCGCAGGTTGGCGCTGTTCCAGCCAGAGTGGATGATGATCTGGGAGCTGGCGACGGTGTGGGTCACCTCAGCGGAGGTACGAACGGTGGCACCCAGGTAGACAGTCACGGACTGAACACTGCACGCAGAAGGAAGAAGAATGATGAGCACTCAGTACTGGGATACCACAGAGACCCGAAAAGGACACTCACCCATCGGTACAGTGAGCAGCGGTGAGCACCCACTGGTTGCCGATCAAAGAGCCACCGCACCAGGCGCTGGAGAGAGCGCTCAGCTTGAGGGATAGTCCCACCTGGTAGGGGTACTGACCGACTGAAGCGGTGGTTCCTCCGGTAATGCGACCCTCGATGCTGTCCTGCACGGGCATCACGCGGTTGCGGGGCTGCAGCTCCGGCTCGGGCATGGCCGAAGCGGCCACAGCCAAGGCAAGAATGATCAGGAATTTCATTGTGGAATTGTTGCGTGTTCAGTCAAAGGAACTCAACTGATCTTCCCTGGCAGAGTACGGGGTTTTTATAGCAGTCCCTTAGAGCAGCCTAGTTGGGCGAATCGAGACCCGTCTCGCGATTAGGTTGCATTTCACAAATAGAGCCTCCACCTCCGATTAGATACGGGCCACACAGTCCGCACAGACATCATCAGTTCTCAGTGTGCTATCTTCGGAGATTTGTACGCGAAGATATCGATTGAAGATTGAGCTAGACCATGGGCACGCGGCCCCAAAATGACTCTCGTATTATGGGCCGAGTTTCATCCAAAAAAGGGAATTGCGTACCCGAATTCCCATCTAATCTATCTATAGGACCCTGCTCCAGGTGGGATTATTGCCTGGCTGCTAATTAATTTGATTGGTTTTGGGAAAGTATTTCTACAGAATTAGCAAAGGGTTTGCTTTGCTTTGGTTTGATTTGCTCTTGACGTGTGACGGTGACGTCTTCGCCTCGTTTCAGTTTTTTGGGGTTTTTTCGGGGGGGTTTTCTCCCCCCCCCCCCTTTTTTTTTTTTTTTTTTTCCTCTTCCTTTTTCTTTTTTTTTTTTTTTTTTTTTTTTTTTTTTTTTTTTTCTTCCCCCCTTCCCCCCCCCCCCTTTTTTTTTTTTTTTTCCCCCTCCTTCCTTCTTTTTTATCGAATAAGTCAGGTGACCCATGTAACGGGAGACATAATAACAAACGACAAGGCATTGTAGCTGAGTCAACAATAACCGCTTCTGCAGCAATTTCTGCCAACGATGCGATCGCTCGTCAGAGGGCAAAAACACTGGTGCAATTGCTGACTATCACAATTGCCCAATAACACAATATCATATTAAATCCAAATTAATTCAATATTAATTCCAATTCCCTTTTACCATATTCTTACTAGACTCAGCACTTTCTGTACCTTTTGTTACCTATAAATAGAAATTAAGTTTGTTGAATAAAATCAGTATCAGAAACAGTACCATCACTGCCTGTTCACTCATTCTCTACAACTGCAATCAACAGAGGCTGTCGCCGTGTCTTCAGACCCTCATTTGCTCGACGTAGGAATCCCTCTCCGCAGTCCAACTGGTTCAAGTTCTAGTTGCGACGACAAATTTGTAGACGGTTTATGTACCGTATGCATACCAAAACACACACACAATCACACATTAACATTTGGTGACCCCGACCCCAAGTAAGAGGAGAAATGGAGGAACACGCTGTCACCACGGAGACTTACAGCAAATTGCCTTCACTATGTCGCCGACAAAAGGCCATAGTAGCGTCCATAAAACGCATTCTGAGACAATTCTCAGAGGCGGGAGGACGTACATCAAGTGATTTGATAAAATCACTATGGAATCAAGCACAAGAAGTCCATTTTACTATTCACGAAGAATACGATAACCCAGAGGAAGGAGGATACAACATGGAAGCCTACCTGACCCTGGAAAAAGAGGTTCAAAGTGCATTGGCAAAACCAGCCACATCAAACAATAATGACGTGCAGCTTCCACGCATTAACATTCCCAAGTTTGATGGGGACATACTGAAATGGTCCCAGTTCTATGACCTGTTTTCATGTATGATACATGAAACAAACATGCCCACAGTTCGGAAGATGTGGTATCTGAAAACAACCGTAACTGGAGAGGCAGAAAGATTGATCCGACATATCGATCTAAAGGAAGAAAACTATTTGAGCGCCTGGGAAATTCTGATTGATACATACAACAATCCCAGAGACGTCGCTAGCACGGTATTAAACCGCTTCCTAAATTATAACACAGTTAATGACGACTCCAAGTCATTAAAAGAGTTGTACGTTACAACTATCGAATCCCTGGCATCACTAAAGGGATTGGGCATCAATATATCCACATGGGATCCAATATTGATTGCCGTCATCAAAAATAAGCTAGATGTCACTAACAGAGCCTTGTACGAGCAATCATTGGGAAGCTCAAAGGAAATACAGGCCTTGGACACAATGCTTCAGTTCCTAGAACAAAGAGTTCGAGTTCTAGGAACAGGCAAAAAGACACAAATGTCAAGGAAAGAGCCAAAAGGCACAACATGTGCAACAGTAAATACTGGAAAATCGAAGACGCCTCTCTGCTCATTCTGCAAGAAGGCAAGCCATTGGCTCTACGGATGCGATGAGTTTCGCTCCAAATCACCATCAGAACGACTAAATTGGGTACAAAAGCAGAAATTGTGTGTCAACTGTTTTAAAACAAGCCACAAAACAAATGCATGCCCAGGTCGGACATGTTTCAAATGCGACAAAAAACACAATACACTGCTGCACTTGGACATACCATCGGGCGTAAGTACAGAACCAAGAGCACCGACGGTTGGCGCAGCAAGTAACAATAATTACAACCTGTTAGCTACAGCAAAAGTAGCAGTAGAAGCAAACAATGGACAGAGAGCCAATTTCAGAGCCTTGCTGGATTCAGGATCACAGATCCACCTGATCTCTGAACGAATGGCATCAATGTTGTCAGTAAAACTTAATGATACAACATTACGCATCGAAGGAATTGGAGGTCAGTCAAAGACCAGCAGAGCACGAGTAAATGTTCTAATAAAATCACTTCACGGCGGATTTACGCAAAGAATTGAAGCATTCGTACTACCTCAGATAATTGCTGATCAACCAGCGCAGGCACTCGATGAAATGAACTTGAACATACCAAACAATTGCCCATTGGCAGATCCGGATTTCTATAAACCGGGAAAGGTCGACATGCTCATCGGAGCAGAACACTATTATTCGCTACTACTCCCAGACCAAAAACAGCCAAAGTCAGGAGGTCCGTTGCTGCAAAATACAAAATTGGGATGGATTGTGGCAGGAAAAATCAGGTCTGCACACAACTCCGCATCCATTTGTGCAATTGGACTCAACGAGCTAATGGAAAAATTCTGGACTCTGGACAATTTAGAGACGGAAGAAAAACCACGCACGCCAATCGAAGCACATTGCGAAGCTCACTTTATAGAGAACTTACAAACAGCATCGGATGGCAGGTTGATAGTAAAACTCCCTTTTTCCGAACACTCTTCAGCCCTGGGGGGGTCTTTGGAAACTGCAACGAAACGATTCCTGGCATTAGAGCGACGGATTTCACCAGACACCTGGAAAGGCTATGTGGAATTTATGAATGAATATGAAGGACTTGGACACATGAAGATGGTCCCAGCAACTCAAGTGCCGGAGAGACACTACTTCATACCACACCACTGTGTACTCAAACCTGAGAGCACCAGCACAAAGTTACGGGTCGTGTTTGATGCATCATGCAAATCAACAAGTGGAAAGTCTCTAAACGACATTCTGCATGCCGGACCCACAGTTCAGAGTGAACTTATGTCCATTCTACTACGTTTTCGTATACATAAGTACGTATTCACAGCGGACATCGAGAAAATGTACCGACAAGTGTGGATAAATCCAGAGGATCAGTTTCATCAGATGATAGTCTGGAGAAACAATCCATCTGAAGATATCAGGTACTATCGCTTAAAAACAGTCACATATGGGACCACATCTGCTCCATTCCTGGCAACGAAATGTCTGGATCATTTGGCAACTCGGAGCCAACACAGATTACCTATTGGATCTGCTGCATTGAAGAACGATTTCTATGTGGACGACTGTCTTACTGGAGCGGATACCATTCAGGAAGCGATACAAGTTCAACAAGAACTTAATAAATATTGCTACCGTTCGGCCTTAAACTTCGCAAATGGTGCTCCAACAACGACCAGCTCTTGCAAGGAATCCCTAAAGAGGACATTGTCAACGACGTCAAACTAGGTGAAACATTAGAGCAATACAGCGTGAAAACGCTGGGTCTCATTTGGATGCCAAAACAAGACCAACTGCGAGGACGAACCACAAAAAGCCAAGCAACACGCATCACCAAAAGGGTCGTGTGCTCAGAATTGGCCCAAATCTTTGACCCACTGGGTCTCTTTGCCCCGGTGATAGTCAAGGCAAAAATATTTATGCAACAGCTGTGGGAGATTAAACTCGATTGGGACGATGAACTGCCATTACAACTCCAAAACGAATGGAAGGAGTACCGGGAGGACCTACAATCATTAAACTCAATGGAGATTCCCCGGCACGTATATGATGGAAAAGTGCCAGTCACCCAGGATCTACATACCTTTGTAGACGCATCGGAACGAGCCTATGGCGCGGCAGTGTACGTACGAGCCACCTACAAAAACAATCAGGTCTCTGTACGACTATTATGCTCAAAATCTCGAGTAGCACCCACCGCCAAACAATCCCTACCACGTCTAGAACTGTGCGCTGCAGTTTTAGGTGCCGAACTCACCAATCGAGTTAGAAAGGATCTCCATATGAATCTTGACACAGTATCAGGAATCTTCTGGACTGATTCCACCGTTGTACTGTCCTGGATTAACGCATCGGCGTCCACATACCACACATTCGTGGCAAATCGAATCGCCAAAATCCAGGCATTGACGAACCAATTACAATGGCGTCATGTTTCATCAGCCAACAACGCAGCAGATGTCCTTTCAAGAGGAATCTTAGCAAGCAAGCTAAGGGATCATAGTCTATGGCTATACGGACCATTATTCTTGCACGGATCAGAAGATAAATGGACAAAACCACCCATCATTGAGCCCAGCAATCTCGAGAGAAAGGCTAAGCATGTCAGCTTGCCAATCGCATCTAGCTCTCTCGGAGAAGAGTTATACACATGCAGACATAGCAACTCGTTCAACAAACTACAACGTATTGTAGCGTACATGTTTCGCTTCTGCTACAAAACTAATAGAGCACCTACAACGACACTTTGCGCAGGAGAACTAAGGCGTGCTCGCACTATGATCCTACGAACGATTCAACAAGTTGAGTTCACAGCGGATTTAAAACAATTAAAACGCTATAAAACATTGGATAAAAAGAGTTCGATCATTTCGTTATCTCCCTTACTAGGAGATGATGAGCTCATCCGAGTTGGCGGAAGACTCGAAGAAGCTCAAATTCCGTTCAATGCAAAACATCCAATCCTGCTACCGTACAACGACCCAATAGTCAAAATGATTATGCGTGAGCTTCATGAGGAAAATCTGCATTGCGGTGCCCAAGCATTAAGGGCAATCGCAAGACAACAATATTGGATTATCAACGACAAGACGATGGCTAGAAGCATCATACATAGCTGTATGAGATGCACCAGAGCCAGACCAAAGCTGATGCACCAGATCATGGGCAATCTTCCAGCACAAAGAGTCACGCAAGCACGCCCATTCCTTAATGCAGGCGTTGACTACTGTGGACCAATTATGATCCACCATAAAATCCGAGGAAAACGGCCAGATAAGGCATACATTGCCGTATTCTGCTGCTTCTCCACAAAGGCTGTACATCTGGAGTTAGTAAGTGACTTAACCACAGATGCATTCTTGGCAGCACTCCGGCGATTCCTTAGCAGACGCGGGAAGTGTCAGACTATTCATTGCGACAACGCAACAAATTTCGTCGGCGCAAATAACAAGCTAAAGGAATTGAAAGAAGCAATATTTAGCGAAAAGGCACATGCTCTGATCACAAATCATTGCAACAAAAAACAAGTGGATTTTAAATTCATTCCTCCTCGGGCCCCATCGTTTGGCGGCCTCTGGGAAGCTGCGGTAAAATCAGCGAAAAGGCTGTTAGTTACAACCACAGAAACAGCATCCTTGACGTTTGAGGAGCTGAACACAGTCATAATCGAAATTGAAGCAATTCTGAACTCCCGACCCATAACTCCAATGTCAAATGATCCAACGGATACAAGTGCGCTTACTCCAGGGCATTTCCTGATCGGTGAACCTTTGACCGCAGCACCTGACGTCAACACCGATCGTCAAGAGAAAACTCTGGTTAAGCGCTGGGAATTGGTTTCACGCTTAAAGCATGCATTTTGGAAACAATGGTCTACGGAATACCTCCACGAACTACAAACTCGCCATAAATGGAAAACCACCGCTCCAAACGTGACCGAAGGATTATTAGTTTTGGTGAAGGAAGACAACCTTCCAGTAATGAAATGGCCAATGGGTCGCATCATCAAAACTTATCCTGGGCAAGACAACCATGTACGAGTGGTTGATGTCAAAACATCGTCCGGCGTATACAAACGCCCCATCAGTCGTCTCGCCCCATTATTCTCAGAGGAGGTAGCAACAAAACGCTCCAAAAATGCTATTCAAGACATTGCGGAAATAAAGGAGCCACCAACACAGCGAAAAAGGTTATCATTACCTACACTAACATCCACATTGGTAGTGTTACTTCTCATGCTGCCATTAGCATGTTCACAATCAATAAATGTGACGCAATTTGCAAACAAGCCCGGAATATTCTATGAGAAACTTGGAACCTCAAGAATGACCACTTCCGAATGGACCATGATTGTATACTACGACTTGGATCCATATTGGAAGGATATGCAAGTCATGTCAGCCGGAATGTCCGAACTAAGACACATGTGCCCTGAACTAAAAAATGTTCCAGCGTGCAACTCCATATTTCAACACTTTCAACATTTGTACAAAGAACTACAAACAGGAAATATGCTAATGAAGGCCTCTCGACAACGCAGATCACCGCTGGATATAGTAGGAAACGTGGCACACCAGCTATTCGGTGTACTTGACTCTACATATGCTGAGAAAATGGCTAAAGTAATCGAAAAGGTACAAACCAACGAAGACTTTCTGCTACATCTACTACGAAATCAAACGTCAATTGTCGACTCCACAATGAACGTGATCAGGAAGGATAAGTCAGCCATGGACAACCGCCTAAAGGTATTGGAACAACAAGTGGCAACCATCAGCAGAGAAAGAGGAACATATCATGGCGATCATCTAATTCAGTCATACCTAGGGCTCACAGCACAACTAACTCTGCTGACAACGAGTCTTCAACGTATGCAGTCTGACATATCTGATGTATTAATCGGCATTCACCATCGGACAATAAGCCCAACGCTAGTATCTCCTGAGCAATTAAGAGAGCAACTAGACCAAATCCGGGATCACTTGCCAGCTGATCAAATGTTGCCTGTCACAACACAAAATGTGATACAATTATACAGGCTAATGCGCGCTGAAGGAACACTGACTACCACACACGTCATTTTCAAGGTGACACTACCGTTAGTTTCAACATTTCAGCTCGAAGTTTTCAGTATCATGCCGATTCCGGTCTGGGACTCAACAAGTTGGAGCTTGTTCAATCTCAAAACAACCATAATCACTGTAAACACTCACCGAGATCAATTCATGGGATTTACTCCAGAAGAATTTCGACGCTGCTTTAAACTACTCAACGCAGAATACATCTGCTTTGATCATCAAACAGTCTTCAATGTCGACAATCGCTGTGAGTTTCAGCTGTTTAACAATAAAACAGCACCTTTATGTGAAGTGACCCACACGAAGGCGGACATGGTGTGGTCCAAAACTCAGCAAGCAAATAAATGGATTTTTGCAACACACTCTACAATGAGACTTCAGGCAGTTTGCAACGGGTCTCCATCAACCATACAACTAGAAGGAACTGGCTTGCTCTCACTGTCACCTGGATGCACTGCTCGCAATACAGAAATAAGCATCAGTACCTTCAGCACAACAATCAGTGAAGTCAAATCAGCCTACACTCGATTTGGGGACATACGCTTACCAACGACACCCCCTTCGCCAGCAACTGCACAATTGGAGAACCAGACATCAGACTATCTTCAAGAATTGGAAGATTTACGCCTGCAATTAGTGGCAATCAATCAACAAAGGCTGCCACACCATCTCAACACAGTGCAGCATCATCAAATCGCTACTTATGCTGCCCTAGCAATATCAATGCTATTGATTATTGCGTTCATTCTCCGGAAGAAGTATCAATCATGGAACCCAAGGCCGTCAACAATCAACCAAGCAGAGCCACGCGGATCATCACCGCCGATCCCCATTCCACGCCGCTTTTCAGTCGACTTGGGCGATGGTTGAACACCAGTTCAACGGCCGGGAGAATGTTCAGTCGCATATTTATGCAGTAATTAATATTACATAATATACACTTATCGAATAAGTCAGGTCGACCCATGTAACGGGAGACATAATAACAAACGACAAGGCATTGTAGCTGAGTCAACAATAACCGCTTCTGCAGCAATTTCTGCCAACGATGCGATCGCTCGTCAGAGGGCAAAAACACTGGTGCAATTGCTGACTATCACAATTGCCCAATAACACAATATCATATTAAATCCAAATTAATTCAATATTAATTCCAATTCCCTTTTACCATATTCTTACTAGACTCAGCACTTTCTGTACCTTTTGTTACCTATAAATAGAAATTAAGTTTGTTGAATAAAATCAGTATCAGAAACAGTACCATCACTGCCTGTTCACTCATTCTCTACAACTGCAATCAACAGAGGCTGTCGCCGTGTCTTCAGACCCTCATTTGCTCGACGTAGGAATCCCTCTCCGCAGTCCAACTGGTTCAAGTTCTAGTTGCGACGACAAATTTGTAGACGGTTTATGTACCGTATGCATACCAAAACACACACACAATCACACATTAACACGCCCCTTTTGGGCGTATAGAGAGGGAGCCGGGCCTAAGCTTGCGGTTCCCGTTGGTTTTTTTTTCATTATGTTGTTTACTTTGGACTTTGTTAAAGGTCAAGCGGTGGGTGGGTGTGTGTGGCAGAAGGGTTGCTCTAGAGTTAAGCTCTAAATGCTCACCCGAGTGATGTTTGCTCTCATTTCGGAAGCTTCTTATGACTTGTGCGCGATTTCCCAATCAAAATGCTCAATTAATCAATCAATGATTGCATATCTATAGTACAGGGGAGAGTAAATTGTCTCTCACTGTCATTCTCTCTCTCTCTTTTGTTTTTGTTTATAATAAATCAAAAGTATTGTTGTTCTTGCTAACCGCAGAAACCCACCGCAGCACTCATGTCGGACAATTGCCGCGTGATTTGCCGACGCGTTGCCATTTCCCAGAGGCGGACCGCACCAGCCGCAGCGCTGCGGTTAATGGCCCATTCAGCTGGCCAATTAAAGACGATTAGCCCCAAAACCCAAAAATAAACACAAAAAAAAAAAAGAAACACTCCGTCACAAGCGAACAATCAAAAACGAAGAGACAGGTTCAATTTCCACATTGAATTCATTGGAATTTGATTCAGGCGAATTTCATTCTTTATTGGCCGTCTTTATTATGTCGGCTGTGGGTATTCTTGCTGGCCAAATTGGCTACCAAATTTCCGATGTTCATTGTTATTTATCCGATACAATTTCCATTCCATTCAACGCGGGGAAAAGCCAACCCCCTTGTACTCGTAAAAAGTACCATTTTCACCTAACCAAAGAGGGCTCTTGCCTCTCTGTTCGCTCCACTCTCTGCTGACTCCATTTCATTGTGGGTTGGTTGCTGCTCAAATTGGTTTTATTGTCTGGCCGCCCGACCGACCGACTATATTGTTTAGCAATTAATGGCCGACAATTAGGCGTTAATTGCATTTAGTTGGTCATTCCCGTTTGCTGCCGGATCCATGGCAAATATGCGGTTATCCTGGTGTAGACAGTCGGGGCACCGAGCTCACAGCCCCCACTGCTCCCGAATGAGGTTACCCCAATCAGGTGGCTGACATTCTGCCACTGATAGACCAGAGGGCCGCCAGAGTCGCCCTCGCAGGCGCCACGTCCGCCCCGTCCATCGGTGCACAGGTGACGCCGCGTGCTAACCAAGCCGGGCAGGAAGGAGCACATGCAGCGCTCCTGGTCGAGCACCTCCACGTCCACATAGTGCAGCAGTCGCGTTCTTTCCACGGCAGAGTCCCCCAAACTGCCCCAGCCCGAAACGGTCACTGGCTGACGCTCGAGGAACTTTTGTTGCATAAAGTACCCCGCCAAGGCAATGGTTTGCACTCGATCCGAGGGGATGGCGCGCCTGGGCAGGCGTATCAATGCCAGATCATTGTATGCGCCGAAACCCAAGTAGCCCGGATAGATCCTGAACTGCTGTTCGGACACCAGAAACTCTTCTGCAGCTGCTCCCCTTTCAGCCAATTCAAGGGCGCCCAGATAAACTCTGGCACCGACGGCATCCGTCAGGCAATGGGCAGCCGTCAGAACGTATTGGAGAGTGACGAGGGAGCCACCGCACTGTATGAGATCTCCCGTAGTCAGCTGCACAATCAGACCCACTTGATAGGGGAACATTCCCGCGTCGGCAAGCTCTCCGCCAGCGATTCGAGTGCTCACTGCAGGTGTGTCTTCCTTCTTCTTCTGCTCAAACTTCTCGCAGAGAATGCGATACTGCTCGTAGCCAACCTGCCAGCGACGCTCCATGATCGTCTCGTCATCGGCAGAGTCATCGTCGTCTTCAGTTTGATCTTTCCACTCCTGCGATTGCGATAGCCCTCCCACTAAGATTAGCACTAGGAGCAGCGGCCACAGGAAGCGTGCTGTAATCGACTGGTGATTCTCCATCGAGTTCGAGTGCGAGTGAATGAGCGTGGAAGTTGCGTCAGTCCGTCTGAGTGGGCCCTCCACATGGAGTACAGCGATGGGGTTTTTGTTCATTTCTATAGAGTTTTATAGTCGGGAGCGGCAGCGACAGCGTCAGCGTGTTTTTGGTGTGGCGGCACGTGTCTGTATCCCCAGTCTGTTAATTGAATTTTCTTGGGTTCCCATTGCAAATTATATACGTGGCAGCAGCATCAGCAGCAGCAGCAGCAGATGTTTGGCATTCAGTTTCCTCAAGCATCCATGTAATTGCCGCACGTTTTGGCGATTATTTTGCTTAGGTTAGGCCTTCGACAGCTCCATTCTGCTAACTGCAGCTCCCTTAATTGCTTTCGACTCATTCATTTAGACGGCTTTCAATTGCATGATATTCTGTTCTGTTTGGCAATGGGTCTATGTCTGGGTCGGGGTCTCAGTCTTAATATTTACCTATCGACTATCAGTTTATATGAGCTTTCCTCATTATTTATTTGATTTACTGTCTATATATTTATTTGTTTTTTTATTTTACCATGTGAAAAGCCCATTGATAGTGTTCCCCGGTGGTAGACAAAGGCACGATATCATTCTGTCTTTCGGTTTTATAACGATCGTAAATGAAGTTTCAAGTGTTCTTCCCTTTAATATGTTGTTTATTTAATTAAAGATTATTATGTTTATACACATCTATGGCGATAACTGATTCCTGGTAGTGGGGACACCTTGGGAACTACTTATTAGAAGTTCTTTTATTGGGATTTATTGGTAAACTATTTGAAAATATTTTGTTTGGATTATATTTTTGCAACTTGAGCGTCAATTGATTAGCCTTATCTTATTGGCACAAACAGCCTATTTTTAAATAATGGTCTTATCCGGAATTATCAGCGTACTTACTTGGGGAATGCCTACACAGGGAAAAATGGTATAGTAAAAAGAAAAACAGCCCTATTTAAATAAAATATTTGGGTTCTAACATAGTGGAATTAAATTAAATTCAGCTTCAACGAAATATTAAGGAACTTTAAGATAATTCGGATATTTTTAATTTTGTAGGAAACATATATAATTTAAATATGAAAATTCATATATACATAATTTAATTAGTTTAAAATATTTAAATATAAACTATATTAAATTCAAAATTCAAATTAAAAAACTTTCTTTGTAAAATGTTTACATTTTTAAATCCTAGTTTAAATATTAGAATTTCTGGGTTTTTTTTCTCTGGGTGTAGATTTTCAAGTGGGTAAATCTGTATATTACTCTTATCATAAACTAATCAAAAACCCAAACGATTCTAACGGGAGGTTATTTTTTATAGCTTAAGAATAAAGAGTAAGTTAATAACTTTTGCAAAAATTACTTAAATTTCGAAGAAAAATACCGTTATGGATACGTCTATTCAATACATATCTGCCAACTGCTACTGAAATATAGTCTCTTCTTATCGAGACTTTTTTATTATTATATGGGAAATCTATGTTATATATTCCCGATTGTGCCAAAGGAAATGCCCGATAGCACTCTCCCCACCATTGTTTGACTTCCATCCAGAAGTGGAAGAACTTTTGTTTGCTCTTTGTTCAATTTTTATTAGATACCATTTGTTTGCGTGCCTCGAATGGATCCACTTGCCCTGCGCCCCTCCCCACACGCTTCACGTTCCCTCTGCTGGTGTCTTTGGCTGTTTGTTTTTCCTACTACTTGAGGCCGAGGCCGAAGCATTGGAGGTTTGGTGCGTGGAACTCAGAGGAGCTCTGTTTTTATGTTTATGCGGAAATCTGCAGAAATTGTGTCAATATCAATAAAATTAGATTAGTATCGACGACGGCCAAACAGCCAACCAAAGTGTGGCAGGCAACAAATAAAGCCCACACCCCACGCGCGCCCTCTCTCTCCCTTAACCAATTTCATGTGTGTGTGTGTGTGTGTATGTTGTGGGGTCTGCTTCCGTTATTGCCGAAGCTCACTTCCGGCTACAGAGTGTGTCTGTGTGTGTGGGAGGGAGGGTCTGTGTATGTGACAAATGGTTAAATGCCTTGAAAATTGTTGCAATTTTCATTCATCCCGGCATCGGAGGGGAAGTTAACCCACCACCCCAAGCCAAAAAGCATACGGCCTGCCGCCACACTTAATCTCAGTTAATTTTCTTAATGCAAAAGTTTTCTTCACTCTCTTCCCATTTTCCTTCTCCTCTTTGTCGGTAGGCTCAAAAATTGCTTTTCACTTAATTCTTTTCGGTGCTGGGCTGTTGGAAATTTTATGTTTCGACCCAATTTTCATAATGCGCAAATTAGAAAAGTTTCTCCCCCTCTGTTACGAGTGGGTAGGGGGGAGGGAAAAAAGTTTTCTCTATTTGAATTTTACTTGTGATCTCTCTTTTGGCTTGCAATTCGCTTTAAAATTGAAGCCCTCGGATTGGTCTCCCATTCACAACATTGCCAGCATTTACGTGGCACATTATCACCGAGAGCTGAGCTTTTCCCTCCTGCATTAACAATTGTGTCTCCATTTCTCATCCGGTGTGATGTAATCTTTTATATAAACACAGCAGCCCCAGCGCTTCCCCCCGCGCTCCAACACTTTTCATTTCGATGTCCGACTAAGAAAAACATTTGCACAATTGACAGCGCCAGAACAAGGAAATAAAATGGAAAAGCACAAAAGTGTCAGGCGAATGGTGGGGTGGTGTTGGTGATAGAGTGTGACAGTCGTCGGCATCCTTGCTACTCCCCCTGCCCCACACAACCGAATCACGTGACGAATGATTGAGTGCACTTCTGTGTGCGCTTTTTCACTTAAAATGTGCGATTTCAATCACTAAAAGCAAAGGTACACATCGGAAAATCGAATCAGCCATGGCTCACTGCGGCTGCTACTCCACCGCCGATGAAGTTGCTCGAGTGGCATTCGCCATTCACCATTCACCATTCAGTGTTCGGCATTCGCTCGATTCGAAGTTTTTGGCATTCGAAGCGCCATTAACCGCAAAGGTGACTGCGGCTTTCGGAGCGGGGGCCAAAAAACAAAAGACATTCCCAGTGCATTCGTTAGAGAGAGGGGGGGAAAGGGAAGTTGGCAATAAAATGCTGAAACAAGTTATGTGCAAAATGTCCGGGACACGTGATGGACTTTTCAGAAAAAAACAAAAAAAAAATAAGCAAAGAGAAAGCGAGAGAGAGAGAGAGAGAGGTAGAAAGGGACTTTCGCTAAACATTCCGCACATCAAAACGACGCGCCACTTAACAAATCCCAAGTTGTCGTTGCGTGCCACGTGACTGGCATACCAAACAGGGGGCATTGAGACTGCCGGGGCAGAGCACCGAAAACAATAGCTCTGCTTTGGCCTGTCGGAATGTTACTTGTCCGCTTGTTACTTTGGGGAGTCCTCGTATCTGGACGGGGGTCTGGACAGGGCCAGGGAAAACGCCGGCAAAACGCTTTCACGCACGCTCGCCGGGGCCAGGCGACCTGCCGCGCTTAATTTCCGCTTGTAATGGACGCACGATAAATCTTGGCAAGCGTTTCCGAATCTCCAGTAGAACTTTTGCCCTGCACGCAATCGAAACCCATCTTTTCTTTTGGGTTTCCTTTCGGGGTTTTTTCAGGGCCTCTTGACAGCTTGTTGCACTTGAAAAAGTATCTCTGGCAATTTATGGGAAATTTTATTAATTTTTGGGGCTGGAAAATATTACATTTTCTAGATTTTAGTACATACAATTTCTAGTAGATATGCAATAAATATTAAATACATCATCAAAATATTAGCATTTTGTCTTTTGAATCATATTCTTGCTACAGTCTGCAGTTGTTGATTCAGTTAAGTTCGGAAATAGCTCTGATATTTGCTGGAAAATACTTTAAATTCAATGAAATTTATTGGCCTACAACTTTCTCTGTTCGTCTACCGTTTACTCTGTTTTTATAAACGCAGACGCAGACCATCATTTAAAATTGAAAATCCTTTTAACTTGCAACCGCAATGTGCCAATTGCCAGGGCAATTTTTATTGTCGCCCCATCGTTAGTCACAGGCTAAAAGCGTTCGGGTAACAACTATTCCCAATGCCGTAGCCTTTTACCCATCCTGCAGGAGCCAGGAGCCAGGAGGCAGTAGCCAGCAGCCAGCCCACCTGTGCGTGCCGCTTAAGCCGGCGATAAGGCGAGCACATTTGGTGTGGCAAACGAAACCCCTTCGAATCCTCAATCCTGGATCCAGGAACCTGGAATCCTCGTTTTGCTACGTGCCTTTCTTTGTGGCTGCGATAAATTGCTATTGGTTTGCAGTTGGGCCAAAAGGTAAAGCTGCTAATTTATTAGCCAAAGCGACAAACAAAGCATAAATAAGCAGAGAGTGTGGGAGAAAGGGGTGGTGAAAGGGTGGGGGGGGGGGGGACGATGGTAGGACTATGGTATGGGTATGTATGCCGGATAGCAGTTCCATCAGTCTGACCTTAAACATTCGATTCCAGTCCCTTCCATTTCCTTGTCGCTCTTTGTCGCACTTTTTGGCCGTTTTGGCTTTAATGTGTCCTGTATGTATGTGTGTGTGTGTGTGTGTGTGCAAGTGGCATATAAATTTCAATGGGCATAAGAATCCGCTAAGCTTTGGCTTTGGCTGTGCTCTCTCTCTGTCTGTCTCTCAGGGGCCACGCCTACACATGGGCGTTACGGTTTTCCACTATGTATGTCTGTGTATGTGTGTGTGTGTCAAACAATGGGACAACGGGACAACGCATATTCAATAATGTCGCTTTCAACTTTTATGCTTGGAAAATGCAAAAATCTGCATGCCACAAAGAGAGAGCGAGAGACAGAGCTGTAGAGGGGAGGCTGGGGACGGGGCAGATAGCGAGTTGGCTAAACACATTCTCATGCATTTTACAATGTTGCCAAAGCCCCCGTCGGACTACAGTTCTTGGCTGTGAACAATAGAAAAACGAATTAAACAAAAAGCCACGCCAGCGGCAAGTCCCCGCACCCCTCCCCAGAGTATGTGTGTATGTGTGTGCAACAACAATAAGAAGAAAAGCAGCAGCTGCAACAATGGCGAACAGCAAAAATGAATGTGCGATTCCAAAGTGTGTGGCAAGAGGCGACGGCAGCGCAGCGCAGGGCAGGGCAGAAGGCAAAAAGCAGAAATGTTCTACTGTTGCTTTTACTGGCTTTTGTTCGCCTCACCACCTACGACGACCTGCCACTAGTCCTCTCTGCTCTCACACCCCGCCACATCCCCTGCTTTTGTTGTTGCTGTTGCATTAGCAGCCATAGTGCATTAAAGTGGCACGCCCAAGCATGTGCGCACACTGAGGGAAAGAGAGTTGCAAAACCAAGAAAATGCGACAGAAATCAAGAATAAACTTTGACAGATTTACTCCAGAATATACCAACAGAAAACGGATGGATTTCCATGTGGAAAGTGGATAAAATTAGCTGTCTTTTCTCTCAGTGTATGACTCTGACTGTGCATCGAATGTGCAGCTAAGGAGCTGCCGCCTGCAATCGAATGCCCTCCCCTTGCTGAACAAGATTTGATCAGATTCCGATATCTTACGAGTATGTGTGTGTGTGTGTGCATAAATGAGACCAAATGGGATATTGATAATCGAGAGAGAAAGAGAGGGGGATAGACAGTTCGTTTGAGCTTAAAGATAATCGAAACTGCATTTTATACACCCAAATCCAAATCTTTGCGGCAACTCATATACCCCTACCCCTACATGCCTCTCAGGGTATTTGTTAATATTTTGCGTTTCCGCTTTTATTGCTGTTGTTTTTATTTTTGCACTTTTTGTTGATCGAACTGCGATGGCAGAGTAAAGTGTTCGTTTTGGAAAAAGTTTCAAGTGGCAGAGCAGCCGTCACAGTTGCAGAGCCAAACAGCTCAAAAAACTCCACTCCGAGTGCTCCGTCACTTGAAATATGTTGAATTCTGGTCAATAGCAGTGCTGCAATTTGGGTTAGGCAAACAAGCGTAAGCCCGGTCAGATGGGGATCTGACCCCCCGCCTGCTGTTTGTTGGGTGTGGCCAAACATTATGGAATAATCAGGCTGTGAGCTGTGAGCTGCCTCCTACCCACAGCTGCCACGTTCACGTCTGCTGCATTGAATTGGCCATGGGGCACGACAACGCACGAGGCAAGCGTCTGCTGTCTGCCAATTGGCCAAAAATGCCACAAAAACATATTTGGCAACAGTAGCCCAGTGCTGTGGCCCCGCTGCAGCAGGCCAAACGGCTCCTGGGTCAATGTTGATGTTGGTTTTGGACACGAGACGGCGACTTGGTTGCAGTTGGGCCATAAAATCAGGCAGTCAATGAGCCAAATAGCCAAAATAGCTGTTATTGTTAGTGCCGCAGCCCGGCAAATTAATGAGGTGTCCTGTTTAGGCCATCAGACCAGGCGGGCAGGCATGATGGCCTCCCTGCCTAATCGGAACTGTAGCCCCCCCAGGCTCTGCTGCAGTTTTGTAATTGAACATGTGGGAGGGTAATGGCAATCCCCTCAAAGCGCAGACATTGAAACGGATTGGCAATTGTCCATACCAAACACCTAAAACTTTCTGCTGGTTATCTGCAAAAGCTTGAAGAGCAGGCACTTTAATCTCTGATGTGGCATTACATTTAGCCGCTTTCTTGGCCTCGCTTTTGCGATTCCTCCATTGCCTGACAGTCCCCGGACAATATTTGCATGAAAACTGTTACTGACACTTGAGCAGGAATATTCCTGCCAAAAACAAAAAAAACCAACAACAGAAAACAAAAAAACACAAAAATAAAGGAAGTGGCAAACTTTCCTGTTCCCACTTCTTTTTTATTGTTTTCCGTAATTTTCTGTCGCCAGCGCATTGTTGGAGTTTTAATGACAAGCGAGGAGCAGAGCATGGCAGGGCAGTACTCTGACAATTGTCGCCTTAATGCCAGACCAGGCGACAGCGTAGACGACACACACAAAATATACAAAATGTATAAAAATGTTCGCTGGAGTTTACATTTTTATGGATGGGGGACTGATGGGGCCAAAGTTACTTTAGATGCAAACAGCCTAACAAGTTTTGGGACAAGATTTTGTAGCTACTGGCAAGAGTAACCTTTTTTTGTGGGAATCCATTTTTGTGGGAATCGCATAAAAGTTCGTTTACCTCGCAGCCATAAAGCACTTATTGCGCATACGCCATGTGTTACAATTGCCAGCCAAAAAGAAGAACTTTCGAGACATTGGACAAACACTCTCACTCACTCACTCACTCACCATGCCACAAACATTTTTAATTAGCCTAATGAAAAAGTTCAAATATAAAAGGAAAATCTCTTTTCATATTTTTTGTGGGGCCCTGAACAAAGGGGATCCCATCTCCCCCTTCGGGCTGTCGCTGTCGCTGCCGCTGCTGACAAATGAAGAAAACGCAGCGCAAATAAGCAAAGCAATAATTTCTGTCATTCTGCAGTTGAAGCTGCAGCCAGGGGACTGTGGCAGGACAATCTGGAGAACAAAGATATGCGACTAATGAAAAGCGTTTGCAAAAGAGCGCAAAACTCTGGGTAAATATGAATGGGAGTCGCAGGGAACCCAATCCGATGGGAGCCGCGTCCTATTTGCCTTTGTCCTTCCACCGATTGGCGCTGTTATTTATCAGCGCATTGAAATTGTTCAATTAAAAAACTTTCTTCGTTCCCAACAGACGACAGATGACTGAAGACAGACAAAACGCTTAAGCCACTTAAGAATTATAGGGTGGTGGCGGAGGGGGGGGACCACAGACGAGCTCCTCCGATAAGTAGGCATTGCATTATAATTGATTTTCGACGTCTGACTGTTTGTTGTGCCACTCGACCACTTTGGCTTATTAAATATTTACGAGGGAGAATTGTCAAAAACATCGCAAGTGAATGACAGGACATCCCCCAAGCGCGCCAAGCGCCCCATGCGCTTTTGTCCCCTATTTTCCTGTCGGTTTGTTTGTCCCGCAATAATTGACAAATAAAGTGAAAAAGCAGGGAAAAACTTTTCAAGACTTTTGCCCATGAATACTTTATGCTTCTTCTACCCGTAGGAGGTGGGGGGGAGGTATACGTCCGTTTGGCAATTTTCAAATTATTTAAATGGCAGCCATGGCTCCTTTTTTCTCATTTTATTTTTACTTTTATTTCATTTACGCACGCCTTCGTGTGTAGCGATGTCGATAATTGCAACAAAGCAAAAGTTTCCACCGAACCCGAATGCCACAGAAAAAAAACCCCCGAGAGTGAGAGAGGGAGAGAAAGCGCCAAGCAGAAAAGTAGACAACACTTTGACGCTGAACAAAGTAGCGGAGGGGGGTGGAAAATTGCCGCTGGCCAGAAAGTTTTCCATTGAAAAGATTTGCCACACACAAACACGCAAGAGAGAAAGCAAAGGAAGAAAAAAATGTGTTTGGGGATAGCTGCAATTAAAAAAAGGGATTACGCTGCTGGCCAGACTTTCGATTTGTCTCCATCCTTCCTTCCGGCCGGTCCTGCCGCTCCTGCCGCTCCTTCCGCTTCTGATTTTCTTTGCTTTCTTCGATTAAAAGTTTAGCAAATTAAAATCGTATAATGACGGTGATTAGGCCATAGAAAAAAAGCTCGCGGGTACATATTGGAATGGCATTTGAAGGGAGATAACTTTAATGTGGAGAACTGGAAATGCCGTGAAAATGCTAACGTCATAAATATGGAAAACTGTGTCGCCTGTGTCGTATAATAATTAACGTGTGAAAATTTATTTCCACACGCAGCTGCCCCATCGACCAATTTGCATAATGAGGCAGGAGACGTGAAATTGATTGTTATTTCCCTCTGTTTCTTTTTTGCTTTTTATTATAAATTAAACAACTTTATTTACTCAATTATGTTACGGTAGTGAATTATTTACATATTTTTCGGGGTCGATTTTCATTTCGTTTCACTTCACATCGCCAGGGTTTTCCATTTTCCATTTTGCTTATATTTAAAATGCATATTCAATTATTTATATATTTATTTATGCTTAACAATTGAAAGCAGCAACAACATTTAACATAGATTTTTTTGTTTTTAGTTTTCTTATTTGCTTTTTTTTAATTAATATATATTTTTGAATTTTTGAAATTTTTTGCAGTTGAAAAATGTTGAATGGCTGTGAAGGAAAACTATGGGTAAGTTTTGAAAAGAAAAAATTGCCAGTTTTTGTTGCAAGTATTATTTTTTTTTTACGTATAATAGCAATGAATATTTTTCCATAGAATTCTGTGAATTCCGGGAATACAAACAAATCGATGTATAATCTTTTCCTTTCGTTAGTTTTCTCTCACATTCCAAACCAATCAATCAGTAGAACAATCAAACTTAAATCAAGTAACTAAACTAAACTAGAAATACTTTCACCATTTATCAGCTAGGCGTTTCATTTGCAGTTTCTGTGTGTGTGTTGTTTTCTTTTTCATAGAGAGTATCACATATATATTCATGGTATCATCGAATGCCAGCAAAATACTTTTGCTTACGCGCCCCCGCCCCGCATCTAGAACTTAAATGTAATTTTGTGCTACCAGATGATCGATATCCGCCATTAGCTACTGCTGCTGCTGCTCCGATTCTGCGTTCTTGGCGCGCAGATACTTGAGCAGCATTTGCAGCGAATCGTATGTATCAAAGTCGTCGAGATTCCTACGCGATGAGGAGATATTTGTGGGACGTGGCATGGCCAGGGGCACGGGCAGCAGTTCGGGCATCACCGAATGATGTGTGATCAAAGCCTTAAGGCTGGAGAATTCCTTGCGAAAGCCCTAAAGGATAAAGGTTTGGTGAGTAAACTCCATGAGAGATTAAATGAGACCTGATATTGACCTTGATTTTGTAGCCCCTTGGGGATCTTAATATGATATAGTTTGCTATCTTTGGGCCTGGGGGCGAAGGTACCCGCAGTGTCAGGGCATAGCAGCCCGGCTTGGAGCTGCTCTTGCGCACCAGAAAGGCACCCGGACTCTTGCTCTGCAGCACCTCCACGGCAATGTCCCGGGAAATGCCCGCCTGATACCAGCAGGCGTCCTTGAGGTCAGCCTCCTCCTCCTCATCGGCGCCCACATTGCTGTGGGTGTTGGCCAGGCTGCTGCTGCGCTGGGCACTGGCTCCCCCCTGGTTCATTCGCAGGCGATTGGCAAAGATCTTGGGACTGGAGTTGGCTGCAGGAGGAGAATCAATGAAGTAGGGAATCGATGTGGATCTACCCATGCTTACCGCTGCTCGTCTCGCGCAGATACTTCTTCTTTAGATTGAACTCGTTGTTGTCATTCAGATTGACGTTGTCCAGCATGGGGATGGCTGTGAGGGACTGGCGACACGAGTCACCGAACTTGCTGTCGATGTAGGAGTCCTCGTTGATGTAGCCATTCGAGTACACCGGCTGGCTGTCCAGGGGCGCCCTCAGGGGCGTCATGTTGCCTACCAGTGGGCGGGACTCCTCGTTGTGGCGCAGCAGACCCATGGTTAAGCGTTTAACCTGTGGACAGAAATCGAAATTGACTTTAAGCTTTAAGCAATCCCCCGAAAAAGAGAAGATCAAAGACGATGGAGATGTAGATGGCGATGGCGAAGGCAAAGGCGTTCAAGTGGCAACAAAATTAACTACAATTTAAACACCTTGTAAGCCGACAAGGATCAGCCAGAGGATGCAGTCAAGGGCGGGCTGAAACGTGGGCGTGGGCGTGCCCCGCAGCCACAGACGTGGGCGGACGGGAGCAACAAAAAAAAAAGGGAAAGAATTTATTACCAAGAACCGCAACGAGACAAAATGCTGGCAAAATGCGCCACCGAAAAGGAGCAAAGGCAGTAGAAAGTTTTTCTCTTCTTTCTCTATATTTTTTTTTGGGCTTTCGGCTGGTGGCACTTAAACAGGAAACGGATGCTTGGACTAGGCATTACGGCTGCAGCATGGCAACAAAGGCAGAAAAAGTGGCAGAGTAGCCGAGTGGGGCAGCGAGGGAGTGGGCGATGGCAGGAAACGAAGAAAGAGTGCAAAGTGCACATAGAAAGGAGAAAGAAGGCGCATAAATTCGTGGCAGACTCGAGACTCCTCTCTCTCTCTCTCTCTCTGTTCCACCCATTGTGTGTGTGTGTCTCACATTGCAACCGTCTAAAATGTTGCATTGCAAATGGCAAGGCGTTGGCGATGCGGCCGCTGTGGCATGCTAGGCGGAATTGTGCCGCAGGACACAGAAACGAGAACCGAGGACCAGAAATCAGCAGTAGCATGAGCCAAAAAAAAGAAAAGAAGAACAGAACAGAATAGAATAGAGAACTATGTAGAGCAAGTGTTGAATGCTGGTTGGTTGGTACTTTGTACGAGGGAAGGAGAGTAAACGACTAGGGGATGATGTGTAGAAGGTCTAGAATAAAGAACACTCTTTTCTCTTTAGTTAAAATTCATGCAAATTTCATTCCAAAAGTATTAGTTTTGCATCCATCGAGCGAATATACCCCTACTCTATTAAAGGGTATTTTTGTTGCCGACTGAAACCTACAGGCTGGCAAAAGGGTCCGGCGATAATTCAGATGCACTTGTGCGCCGCATGTTGAGATCCGTGTGCCGCCGCCTTCGCCTCCGTTTTCGTTTTCGGGGTCAGTGGCTTTGAAAAAAGTCTGCCTGGCTCTTCGGCCACAATGCTCTTGTGTCTGCCCCGAAACTAGACTACAGTCTAAGTGAACCCCCTCCTTCCATTTTCTCTCTCTCTACCGCTCTCTCCTGCTCGTTTTGTGTGGCATAATTTAAGGCGACATTGACAATGAGTTGGTGGCTGTGGCAGCGCGTGGCTTTATCCTACTTGCTCTCGTACCCAGTACCAGTACCCAGTACCTGCTGGAGTCTGACAGCAATTGTTTGCCCATTGCTGCATAATTTAGAAGAGGCAAAAAAGAAAGGAAGTGTGCTGCATACTTTCGGGCGCTGCTTACGAGCGAAAGCCTCCGCCATTGTTTGCATATTTCACGGCGCATTGCACACTGATTTGCGGCCTTGTTTGTGTGTATTCGTGGGGCGGATTCCTGGAGTGGGAGTTCATTTCTTTTGGATTTACCCCAACGCCTGATGATGAAATGAATCGTTCCAACCAGGTGTTTGCTTTCGAGGGTAAGCGAAAGCGAGACGCGTCTCTCTCTGCTTTTTGCTATTTGCTTTTCGGCTTTTGCTCATTTCGGGCTTGGGGTTTCATGGAGCTGCTCTTGGGGCTTCCCCAAGAAATACACAAAAACACTAATTGCCTTGTACGGCCTGTTGCCTTAATGAACTGCCACCGAGCTGGACATTAGTGGCAGCTGTTGCTCCCACGCACCATACCACACGAAACACACACAAAAAAAAAAGAATACTACAACAACAGCCAACACTTGCCGCAAAATGCTCAACATTTATGCAAATTTAATAAACTCTGCAGCTGGAACTGGTGCTGGAGCCTGGCAAAAGGCTAAGGAGCCAAACGGATCATCTCTCGGGTTGGGTAGGGAAGGGAAAAAGCGCCCAAGCGAAAGGGGATCGGGGGTGGGGGGGGCCAGTTTTAAATCAAATCCACCAACTGGTTTGTGGGCGTTTTGTGTGTGTGGGTTATGTCAGTGGGCGTGTCCCACAAAATATTATTTATGGCCTTTGAGCTGGAAATACACAAATATTCCGTGCAGGAAAACACACACACACACACACATGATACATGGGTGTAGGCGTGACGAGAGAGAGCGAGCCAGAATCAGAAGCGACACGGACCCCGACCCAACCCGAACCAGGCCATGCCACATGTGGCATGCTGATGGCTGTCGCTCAATGTCGGAGCGGAGTTGCAGTTGCAGTTGCTAAACAAACATTTAGCGGCGTCGAGTCAACAGCATCGATGCATCAACGCCAGGCGGAAGTCAGGGGAATCAGTGGAGAGGAAGTGGAGTCAGCCATGACAGACAGCGCGTCATTTCCGGCCAGAGCTGTGGAGAGAGGGGCAGAGGACAGAGCGGAAGAGTGCTGCAAGAGACTGCAGCTGGGGCAAGGATATGCGGGCGACTCAGAGACCCGACTCGGCAACCGACAGCAAACTGCATAATGTGGCAACGCATTTGTCTTTGACTCCTGACTGGGGCTCCCTCCCCACCCTCTGGGTGCCACTCACTCCTCTGGTCGCATGTGCAGCAGTTGGCTGCTGCTTTATTTTGCTTATCTGAAATTGAATCAGCCAGCCAAGCAGCAGCAGCAGTGGCAGCAGTGGCAGCAGGCAGCACTGGCAGCAGGAGACGACTGCTACGACGACAAGGACAACGAAGGCAAGTTGCCTGTTGGGCACAATTAGGGAAGCATCACGCCCCTATATATATAAAGTCCCCCGCCCAAGCAGTGCCCCCAAAAGGGGAAGCAAAAATTAATTTGCTTATCGGGCCGCACCCTGCAACAGAATGATGTTATTGACAGGGCAGAAGGCGGGGCGCACCAGGCCAGGCGCAGTATGTTGAACCACAGAAAATAAAAAACAACGAGGGAAAAATGAAAACCCCAGAGTGGAAAACAGCAGGAAAAAAACTATGCAAAACAAAAGGATATGCCTGCCTGATGCCTCCTGCCACCATGTGCGGCGTATGCGTGTTATTTGCTGTTGCCGGCACAAAAAATGTTTATAGCCAAAATTGATTTATTGACAAAACAAGGGGCGATACACGCCAAGAATATGAAAAATACTCGTACCAAAAGCGAAAGCCTGAAACCCCTTTTTTCTTCTTTTGTTTTTTTTTTTGGGTTCGACATATGGGAAATGTCAGGCGGATAAACGGGTATAGAGGGTAGCAGCAGTGTCCTTGGCAAGCATTTTGCATGGCATTCCTATTGACAATATTTATGGTTTGCCATTAGAGGCAACTGATTGCTTTTCGCTTTCAATACGTTGCCCCCGATGTGGATGCGCCGATATACCCCGATTTCAATTTCTCAGAGTGTTGTGTTCTCGTTTCGGTTTATGTTTCTCGTTTCTAGTTTCTCGTTTCTGCTTTCTGGTCTTTGGTGTTTAACTTGGCCTTGATTTGATTTGATTCGACGTAGCGACATTACGGTCCTTGCAGTTTGCTCTGACTGCCTCTTGGTCTCTCTCTCTCTCTCTCTCTCTGTGTTTGTGTGTGCCTCCCAGACATTTAGGTTGCGGCCATTAGTTTACAGACGTAATCACCATAATGCGCAATCGAGTCGAGTCGCATTGCTGCCATAAATAAGACAAACACATAACGTATACGCAGCGTGCCACAACACACGAGTACGAGATGGAGCCGAGCCGAGTCGAGTCGAGTGGAGTGCAGGAGTCGAGCATGAATAAACTCTCACGTACTTATCGCATAGACTATGCTCGACTGAGCACAGCTGCCGAGACTCTCTCTAACTATATGCTCGTACCTCTGCATACTCACACTCAAAGATATATACGTGTATGAATATTTAAGGCGTTGAATTTATGAAAACAACGTGCCACACAAGTCGAAGTCATCGTCAACGTTGGTTGGTAAAGGCTAAAGTTTTGCATTGCTAAACTTTTGCCCCCCGCCCATCACGTGACAAAGAACAGGCTGGGCCGAAACATTTGATAAACATTTCGGATGTGGAACGTAGGATGTGGGTAGCGCCACTTCGCTCCTCTTCGACATCTACGTGCTATGACACACAAAAAGAAAACCCAAAACCGTGCAAAAATCCACAAGCAATCCAGCAAATGGCCTGTAAGAAGTGCCCCAACCCAAGGGTTCGTTCTCTCAGGGCTTAGCGCGCGCAGCCGAAAGTTGTCTAAAGTTCTTCTCACAAGAAATACATTTCCTCCTGCCCTGCCCTGTCCTGTCCTGCCCTGCCCTGCCACGCAATAATTCATAACAAAAGCGCTGAAAAAAGAAACCGTAGGAAATATTCCTGGCCCCAAAAGTCTTTGAAGGAGTGGCACAAAAAACCAATAAACGGTCGGGAGTGATTGCACCCTTATCAAAGTCAAAGCCATCAAATGCGAGCATGTTTGATCTTCTCAATGGGATTGTTGAGCTAGCGAGCTTTTTCACTAGCGTAGTATTGCTATATGTTTATTAACGAGACGATGGTTGTTTAGATTAAATATGGTTTATTGTTGTAAACAGTATAAAGGCGATACAGAGTCAAAGAGATAGCGAAAGGTTCAAGTTAGATTGATGACGAGTCGGTTGGAGAGTTAGCTGGATTCAAGACGGGGTCAGATTGTAGACGCGGGGGTCGGTACAAGACGGTGTCGGATTGAATAGCTCGATTCCAAGACGATGTGCAGTGGTTGCTAGATCCAGACTAATTCAAAGGGCAGGCGGGCCGAAATGCCTGTGCCCTAATGCGAGCGAGAGAGCGACAGATCGAGAGAGTGATAGCGGAAGGCGATAGAAAGAAAGGTGTGGGATGAAGAGGCGAAGAGAACGGCTGCATAGGCTGCTGCCGTGAGGGAGCATGAATGCGTGCATGAGTTTGTAGGTAAATGACAATTTAGTACAGTGGGCAGTGCAAACAACGAACAATAATAAGGATTTACTCTACTGCTGCACCACTGGCTATAATCTATGCATTTGGCCACTATTTGGCTGCGTAACCAAACATACTCCCCCGTTGAAGATCACGGGTCTTTAACAAACTTCCTTCAACAGCATACAGGGTTCAGCAGACAAAGCTTGTTGTTGATGGGGCCGTTCTTCCTTCCGTCGATACCTGTAGATTCGCTGCAAGAAAGCAACGCGTTGTCCGACATCTAATCGGTTGAAGTTGAGCCATGTCATGTGATGCTCAGCGACAGAATAAGAAGAGGCGAAAAAGAATAGCGCATTCAAACCAAGCACTGGAAGTGATGTGTCCAATTCAGCATGATTTCCTGAAATGACTGAGGGATTAGCAATTTCTGCCCTCCCCCCAATAGGCCAATATCGGGATGGTCTTTGGCCCAGCACAGCTTGAGGTCCAGCGCGATGCCCAGAGTTACGTCCGCCAGCAAGAGCGTGGGTTCGTTCGGATGACATCGGCCGGAACGAAGCGTTTGCAGGAACCCACAAGGCCTGAAGGTCCGTAAACGAGGTCGTAGGCTGAGCAGGAACCACATCCGACGCAAGTCCACCTGTGTTGATGCAATCGAGGCCGCCTTCTAACTTTGAATAGGATTCCTCGTCTCCTGCTCCACCATGAAGAGCCGGCACAAGAAACGGATGCTTCGATTGGTATTGGTTTCTGTCGGTCAGTCCGATTGGCTCCAAAATCGCGCACGAATCCACTTGAAATGGGGCCGGTGTGATTCCGTGACCATACGCAGGATGCGGAGTTACGGAAGTGGACCGCTTAATGATCTCTCCGAGAATGATCCCATTGAGCGTCACAAACAGCTCCTCAAAGTCATCGGCGAGTTCACTCCAATCTCGTCGAAGCTAGCTCCTCAGTTCACTGTGCACGGTTTTAAAAGTGCCGTGCAGCTCCTCGATTTGCTTCAGCCTGCCAACGAGCATGAAGTGGTCGAATAGGGAAGCGTTCTCCAAGACAACTTTTAGCTGCTTCATCCGTTCAAATAACGCTGGTGCTTTCCGCTTTAGGAAAGCCAGACTGTTTCCAGCAGCGATCACTGCACCGTCGTTCCTCGCACCCATTTCGGCGCAGGCGCTAGAAAACGTTCCTAGCGGGAAGATGACCGCAAAGAAGAACGAACGCTTGCAGTAAATGCAGCAAGAACCGCAAGCAGATCGCAAAGCAGACGACGCGAGCACCGTTTTTGTTGCTTGTGCACAGCCGAATACCGAAAAAACCGTGGTTCAATGCGAATTAAAAGAACGACAAATGTTATTGTTTTTTGTGATTAAATTTAACGAGTTAATGTTTATATCACGTCGGGGTCACCAAATGTTGAGCTAGCGAGCTTTTTCACTAGCGTAGTATTGCTATATGTTTATTAACGAGACGATGGTTGTTTAGATTAAATATGGTTTATTGTTGTAAACAGTATAAAGGCGATACAGAGTCAAAGAGATAGCGAAAGGTTCAAGTTAGATTGATGACGAGTCGGTTGGAGAGTTAGCTGGATTCAAGACGGGGTCAGATTGTAGACGCGGGGGTCGGTACAAGACGGTGTCGGATTGAATAGCTCGATTCCAAGACGATGTGCAGTGGTTGCTAGATCCAGACTAATTCAAAGGGCAGGCGGGCCGAAATGCCTGTGCCCTAATGCGAGCGAGAGAGCGACAGATCGAGAGAGTGATAGCGGAAGGCGATAGAAAGAAAGGTGTGGGATGAAGAGGCGAAAGAGAACGGCTGCATAGGCTGCTGCCGTGAGGGAGCATGAATGCGTGCATGAGTTTGTAGGTAAATGACAATTTAGTACAGTGGGCAGTGCAAACAACGAACAATAATAAGGATTTACTCTACTGCTGCACCACTGGCTATAATCTATGCATTTGGCCACTATTTGGCTGCGTAACCAAACAGGGATAATGGGGAAAATATTTGAAATACATTTTTCTAGGGAGTAGGAAATCTGCTAAGCAAATCCTAAAATACGAGTATTCAACCACTTACCAGTGGCGGCTTGTCCGTCAGACGCTTGCAATTGTTCAGCTCTGTGGGTGAGTTGTCCTCATCGGAGCTGGGCGTTTGGGCCACCTTCTCGTTGTCATTGCAGCTAAGGATTATAGATTTTTGGTAACCATATATCAGGCATACTTATAGCTAAGAAATGTAGAGTTTTTTTCTGTGTGTGTGTGTGCTTGTCTGAATGAATGGCGATTAAAGCATTTGGTTTTGGGGGGAAACTACAAAGAAGCGCGTTTCGAGGGCTACTCACTTGAGATTGGCGTGCGTGAAGAGCTGCAGTGGCCGACGACGTCCCAAAGTGACTGGCGATGGGGGCGTGGCCAGTCCAAGACCGTGCTTACCTCTGCTAATGGTTGAGACATGCATCGGGGATCGTGGCGTGCTGGTGGTGCTGCTGGCCTGCTGCTGACGATTGCTGCAGGAGGAGGATCTGAAGCGGGCACCAGCACCCGTCAGCACAGCAGCCAAATTGGCGGCAATGCGATTGTCGAACCGATTGAAATAAGAGTTTGAATTGGAGTTGGAATTCGAATTTGAATTTGAATTCGAATTTGAGTTGGAATTGGAATTGTCGGCTGTGGGGGAGGAGTTGCTGCTGCTGCTGGTGCTGCCATTCCGGTTGTTGCCTGTTGTCATCGTGGTTGTTGTTTTCGTTGCTGCTGCTACGATGGCTGTTACTGCCGCTGCTCCCCCTGTGGTCGTCCTGCCACGGCTGCTGTTGCCACTGCCACTGCTGCTGCTGCTGGTCTGGTCATAATCCAAATTATTGTTGGTTATCATTGCGGCGGCTTCGCTTTTGGGCATTAACTTTTGGCAGGGCAGTGTTTTCCACTCTGAATTATGTGCGCGTATAAAAACGCTGCGGGCGGCTTTTGTCGCACTGCGTGTCGCCCCCAAAAAATACAGGACACCAGGATTCAGGACATCGGCACCACTCACCACCAGAGAAGCTTTTCAACGACGACGACGACGTCGACGGCTTCGGCTTCGGGGCGGCCTTTATTAAATTTGACTAGAGTGGGGTCGTTGGGTGGTTGTGGGTGGTAGATGGAAGTGGACTGGATTGGAGTGAGGTTGTGTGTGTGTGGGGGGTTCTCTCTGTGAGGCTGTACTCCAGCCGCAGGGGTTCTTTGGCGGCTTCAATCCCGCAAACTGCAGGCGACGCAGGACGAAGGACAACGACGATTCGCAGATTTAAACACAGAATTAATTCAAGCGGAAATTGGCAACGAAGGACGGCGTGAGGGAGAGGGGGAGGGCGAGGGAAAGCAAAACAAAAATGCAAAAGCGTGAAGCATAAACAAAAAGCAAAAATGGAAATGGGCAGATAGCAAAGTGGGGGGGCATGGCATGCAGTGGGTGGTGGCCACGAGGCAGCGATTGAAAGCGAAAACGCATAAAAGACGAGACCAATTTTTGGGGGAGAAGCCACAAAAATGCACATAAATAGGAATAGAAGAGAGAGAGAGAGTGGAAGATGGGTGATCAGAGGAAGGAGAGTGTGGAATGGTAGTTAGAGCGGGGATGAGCAGCACAGGGGTTACGTTACAGCCATGACGTCATACCAGCATAAAGCGCATAAATAGCAGGATTTTCGCAGGGATTTTCATGATGATGAAAATGATGTTGTTGTTGTTGTAGTTGTTTCAGTTGTTGTTGTGGAGTTTTATTTTTGTTTTTGTTGTCGTTGTGATTGGGAATACAAAATAACCAGATTATTGTTTCATTCATTTTTGCATTTGCCATTTTATGCGATTATTGATTTCGCAACCCCAACAATTTTCCCCAATTTTCCACACAGTTGAAAGCAGCATTTTTTTTGTATTTTTCGCCAATTAGTTGCCAATGTTCGTTTTCGCATAAGATTGAAGTCGGTCGGGGAGATTGTTGGAGTTATTGTAGAGATTTTTTGTTTTGTTTTTTTTTTTTGCCAATTTCGTGTTGTTTCGGTTCAAATTTCATGTAAATAAAGAGTGAAAAAATATGGTCCTTTTTGTAGAACATGTTTTCGTTTTCGTTTGCTCTTTTGCAAGTTTTAAAATTTAATTTCAAGCGAGAATATGCACTGAAAGTTTTTCAGCGGAAAGCGAGAGCAATTTTGCTTTTACAATTTTTTCTGGTTTTTGATAGACCGAAAGGGAAACTTTCAATGCAAATTCGTGGATAGGTTTTTCCATATTTAGTTTGATATTTTTTTGGGTTATTGGTGCACTCACATTGGTTCGGGGGGAGCAATCAAACTTTTCATTGAGCCTTCCTTCAGTGGGCCACGCTTACAGAAGAAGATGGGAGGATGCTGATGCTGCAAGAGAGAAGAGTTCGATTTAATTAAAATCAAGCTAAAGCATAGCTCAAGTGTGTGTGTTGCGTGGGGGATGTGTGTGTGTGTGTGTGTGTGTGGTGGCTGCTGCTGTACCATAGCAATCATTAGACGTTCATAGTCAACACCTCATTAGGCGACTAATCAAGCGTACGCTGGGCACGAAATAACAACCAGTTCAGTCCACTGGCAACAGATTAAAGAGAGAACCAGCAGTGGAGCAGCTACAGGCATAGAAGGGAACATGGGACTCCAAGAGGAGTCAGACAGAGAGCTGAAGCCGGAACAAGGCGCCAAGCCACAGACACTAAACAAAACCAAAGCAAATCATCAAGATTGCACCATGAAGGAGGAGAGAAACTAGAGATGGCATCGTGTCTGGATGAAGCGACCAGTGCCAGCACGAACCTAAATTAGAGGCCATCGCCAGCGGTGGATGGTGGACGCAATGAAGCAAACAAGAAGACGATGCCATGCCGCAAATAAAACGCACAGATTAAAGGATGCCCGGGTGAAATGTCTTCTTAATTACTTCGCAGAGTCTAAGGAGTCGAGCAGCAGCAGCAACAGCAGCAGGATGGGCAGGGAGGAACAGCAGGAGGGGGTACAGGCTATAGAGCTAAGGCTGGGAACGATAAACAAGGCTGGGTGGGATGACTGAAACGTAATTGAGAAGTCGCCGGGCTGGGACCTGTTCCTGGCTCTAACTCGGGCTCTAGCTTGGGTTCTGGTTCCTGTGTCTGCAGCGCAGTTTAAGCGGAAGTAATTTAATTAATTACAAATGAAACGGAAACACGACAACGACGACAGGAGAGGGGGTGAGTCCTTGGGTGAGTCCAGAATGCATCGTGTGTCGATTGTTTGCTCAACTGAATGAAGAATGGAGCGCTAAATGGGGAAACCCCATGAAGCCCAGAACCCTCTCTAAATGGATAAATCATATGAATGGAGAATAGCCTGACGAACCTCCCCCCACCCTGCATGGAGAACCCCTCTCTAAATTCCCTTAACAACAGGAAAACAACAAATCCAATTCCATTTTTTTGTTTTTTATTTTTGCATGTGGGGGGATGCTGTGAAAGCGATTTTCAAAACGGGAACAACGAAAAAATAAAGGGCAGCTCTGGCTCCCAGCAGTGCAATTAAATTTTTCCCTGCCCTGCCCCACCGCAGCAGACCGCAAACTATTCGAAGGCACTGTACGATACACACACACACACACACGCACACAGTAGACAGTGCTGCACGCATTAAGCACAGCTCATTTGCATTGCGGTTTTAATTGCCAGAAAGAGAGAGGGAGAGGCAGATCAGACATGGGAGAGAGAGAGGTAGAGAACGGCAGAGTGAAAGAGAGAGAATGGGTGTGCTATTACATCGGGTGCCCCTGTCCTGCGGCATGGTTCGCTGGCGGGGGCTTACAAGGATAATGAAAACAATTTAACGACTCTCTCGACAATTCGCAGTACTAAGAGCAAGAGGACCAGGAGCAATCGAGGCCCAGACCCAGCGCCAGACAGACAGACAGAGAGACACAACGAATCCTGGTTAAACAAATCTGGAATCCCTTTTTGCCGCCCCCTGCATTTGCTTTTGCTTTTTGTCATTATTTCGCACCCCTTTTTCGCCTACCCTTACCCCTTACCGCACCCCCACAAAAAATGCTGCGTGCCTGCGCAAAATATTTTCATTAAAATGTCCAAAAAATATCTGAAAATATTCTGCGTAACATTTCTTCAAAAGCAGAAAAAAGACGAAGAGCAAACAAAAAAAAATATGAAAAAGGCAAAAAGCAAAAAGGACAAGCTCCTTTGCTGATGAATTCTTGATCCTTTCGCTGGCTTAATATTATTTTAACGAAGCGGATTCCCCGCTGAGAGGGGATAGCAAATAGGGCTGCGGAGTGGGTCACTTTTAAGCCGTGCTGATGGCCAGTAATTAAATGCTTGACATGCCTCTGGGGTGTGAGGTGGTATGGCCCGCCAAAGGATTAGCGCGGCTAAGAGGATGTCAGAGCGGGCCGAAAACTGGGAGAAATTATGCAGCAAAAAATACGCGTAGAGGCAGCAAATGAGCTGCCAGAATATTCTCTCAGTGCAGCCTGGGCGGGAGGAGAGAATTAACGCTGATGCTGGCATTATAATTATGGCATGCAGTTAAGGCGATTGTTTGCCAGCGAGCCAGGAAGTAGCTGCAGCTGTCAGGTGTACGGTGTACGGGCGTGGTGTAGTCCCGGGGAAAAAACGCTCAAGATTTCCCCACTCAGTTTCCACTTAATTCTGGCCATAATTACCCGTTTTATTGAGGCACGCAGAAGCTGATGTTGATGCTGCTGCTGCAACAGGATGTTGCTGCTGACTCATTAAATATTTGCAAATTCTCAATTTGCTTAAGTGAGCAGCAAAGAATAACAATTCCAGAATAAAACAAAAATCAAGAAGCCTAAACGAAAATATTTGCACAAAAGAAAAGGAAACAAGAGCCAGGAGACAGCAAGGCAGCAGACAGCAGTACAGGAGATGTTTTCCAAATTAAAAGAAATCAAAATCATATGAGAATTTTCAAGTGATTGCCGCATGTGGCATGTAGCATGTGGAGGATGGGTCGCTGGCAGGAAACGCGGGCAAACATAAACAAGCAATTTAACAGGCACTCCCGCACACAAGCTTTAAGGGGGGGGAGCAGCCGGGAGCAGCATCAGAGTCAGAGACTCCATCGCCAGTTGGCAAACAAACGAAGCGTTCAGGCGAAAAAGCCGGAGAAAAAAAAACTCGGGCAGCCTCGAAACAAGCAAAGCGTTTTATGTGCCGACAACATGGCCAACATGCATGTGGGTGTGGGGCTGTGTGTGGCACCGCAGATTTCTCTCTCTCACACACACAGGCGGCAGCCTTAAAGTATGCCGCAAGTTTTTCACGCTCTTTGTTAATGAAATTTTAATCAAGCTGCCGCTGCTTCTGCTGCTGCTGTTGCTGCAAGCGAGAAAGAGTTTTCCTGCCGACTAAGTTTTCCCCGAGCACACATACGACACCACCCAAGCACCCCCTGTTCTTCCCCTGCGGCTCCTTTAAGCAGGGATTCTTTTTCTCTCCTTTTCTTGTTTGCCAAATAGCCAGCAGCTTCATTAGCACTCATCCCCAGCTCCGATGCCACGCGCTGCGTATACGTAATAATTTATTTAAAATGCAATTCGTTTATGCCAGACATTAATCATTCGACAGTAAACGATAAGACGTCGAGAGTCACGTTCTGAGGCCTGCTGCATTTATTAACAATTTACGTCATAAATAAAATTGAAAAACATTCATAATGTCAATGGGAGACGGGACGAGTGGAGAGGAGAGTGAAAGACGTGAGAGCATGGACTGATGGCAATTTCATAAATTACAGGGACACAGGGACAGAGAGAGAGAGAGAGAGAGAGAGTTGTGCTGTGGGGTTGGCAGAGGGGTGTGAAGGAGCGTTAGGATCACATAAATTAGACAACAAATTTCCATGCAAAATGGGAACAACACGCAGGCACAGGTAAATCACAAAGTGGCCCCAAAATGACAACATTACCCGTAAGAGCGGGACTGGGAAAACTCCACCAAAAATGTGGGAAATGGGAGGTGGAAAAACACTTTTACTTGCTATGTTTTTTGTTTTTGTTTTTTTTCTTGTTTGCGGTATCAGGCAGTTGTTTAACATATTTGTGTTTTGCTGTGGCTGTTACGCCTTTTCCTGGCCAACACAGCCACAGCCACAGGCACAGCAAAACCCCCTACCAATTCGAGTGAAAAATGTTCGCTTAGCACGGCAAATAATTATTTCTCGCTTACTGCCAACTGGCATGCCATTTTGGCCAGGCTTTAAGGATAGCTGTCGGTCGGTCGGTTCGTCCCTGATTCTCACCCTCTGACACCCTCTGCTCGGCTTTGAGTTCATTATGTGAATTTTGAAATTGTTTTTTCTTGTTTTTGTTTTCTGCTGCGGGGCGAAGAGCAAAAAAAAAAAGAGAAACCCAAATGCCAACACGTTGCCGCCTCTCATGCAAGAAAAAAAGGAACCATCCCCTCGTCGAAAAGGTGTTGAGTTGAGCCAAATTACAAAAAATTGCTGCTTTTGTTGCTGTGCATATTTTTCTTTAATGATTTGAATATGCAAAGCGGGACGGGCAGCGGCACAGGGCAAAACAAAAAGACTTTTAATTAGTTTTCGCAATGCTTTTTGGCTGCAATTAAAGCCCTGAATTGTTGGCAGCAATAAACAGAACAATGATTATATTTCTGTTAGGTGAAATTCGGAATTTTCTTACTCAAAAAAAAAGGCGGAAGGAGATTCTCATAAGTGAAATATTTCTGGTATTTTTAGTAGAGCAGAACTGAACATTTAAATGTTTAATTTATGCTGGAAAAGGCAAAAATTCAACTAAAGAAAAGCAAATATGCAAAGCAAAGCGAATTGATTTGGAAATTCTTATGCAATTGGCCGACACAGAAACGGAAAACGTGGAAAACCAAAGAAACTGAGCAGCAGAAAAAGTAGAAACTTTGATATCAATCGACTATTAGATACCTAGTAGCTGCGAAAATTAAGCAAAGAAAACGTTGATAATATTTTTCGAGGCAAGTAATTTTCTCGATTGTCTTTATCTTCTAGCTCTCAAGACTTTAAAGTCACCCAATTGCTTCCAAAAACAACATACCCTCGTAAACTATTTTACCAGCTATACAAAACCTGAACCAGATCCTGCCAAGATGCCAATAAAGAAAAGAAAAATTCCCATTGATTTCTGTAGCTTGGCTGGAATTTAAAAGCAGCAGCAGCAGACGCAGAAGGAATAAAAAAAAAACTATTTCCCATGCAGCAGAGCGGCAACAACAACGAAATAATTCGACTACCTTTCGTTGAATGTCTGGGCAGTGTCCCATGACGTGAACCCAGAAGCAATAAATGTTCAAATCAATTGAAACGTTTTGCCAAAGCCTCACACCCCATCTGAATCGAAGGAACCGAAGGCAGTGGAGCCACCCCCAAAGATAAATGGAAGAGAGAGAGAGAGTGTAGAAATGGATTCTTGGGCAGCTTAAGGCGGCGATTTGGTTAGTCCCAAACAACAGAAAATCGATAGGGGATGCCAAACGAACACCAATAAGGGAAGAATGTCAACTTGCTTGGCACTAGTCCGGTGATGAGCCCAAGGAACAGGCGAGAGACGAGTCTTGCCCCATATTCGAGGCTGGCAAACTTGGGACTCTATATTGATGCGATATATGGACCAGAAATCGACAGAAGTCGATGCCAATAAAACGCCATTTGGTCATAAAAATAGTCGAACGTTGCAGGGCAAAGTGAATGCGACAACTGCCCCAAGGGGTAGTCGGTGGCGGGGTCTCCCAGCGGGAGTGGGAGCGGGGGCAGGAGGCGATTGGGTGTCCTGTCTGCCAGAGCAAATTACGAATTTTGCATATTGCCAGAGGCCAGACCTGGGCCTGTCCTTTCTTCTCCTTTCTGTCTGCTCTCTGGTTTCTTTGCCCCTTTGGCCCATTAGTCATTTGGGAGCCGGTGCTTTGGCTATGCCTCTGCCTCGGTCGCTGGCTACGGCTTTGGTGTGTCGCCACTTTGCAGGATGAATGACCCCGGGACCCGGCATAGTTTGCTGCCGGCATTGGCCCCGCCGGCCAATCCTCTACACTCCACTCGGCTCTACTCGGCTCTTCCCCTTCTGGCAACGGAAATTGCGCACACGTCACAGGGCAGCAATTTTCATATAACCGTTCACCATTTCTTTTTCGATTCATTTTCCATGGACGAGGGTTTGTGTGTGTGTGTGTGTGTGTGTGTGTGTGTAGAGTAAAAGCAAATCGGGAATGGAATGCACATTATATTTATTTAGTGATGGAATCGTGTCTTTAAAAGGCACGAAACATTACAAATTTCTAGGGTTTTACACCAGAGACAGACTCAATCCAGTCCAGGTATGTGATAACATTCGTATATACAACGGGCTGACCAACGTCACATCCTAATGTGGATCCAAATGAGACGATTCCGATCAGTTTATTCTCATCTTTGGGCACCAGCGGTCCACCAGAATCTCCGCTGCAGATGGACTTTTTCTCGTGGGTGCTAACACACAATATGCGTTCCAAATTACCTCCGTATTTCCTTTCACACACGGATTCATCTACGATCTCCAGCTCGACCCAATTCAAACGATCTACTGATTCTCCACCTAAAACGCTTGAGCCCCATCCGGCGGAAATGACTGACTGGCCTGGCTTAGTCGATCTTCTGTCATCTCTGGGTGATGGCAGTGGAATGCTTTGAATATAATTATTGAACTTAACTCGGGGAGTTTGAATCAGGGCTATATCGTAACGGAATTTATCGTTCAAAATTATTCTGTACTTCGGATGTCGATGAATGTTCGTTGCCGACACTTCTTTAACTTCAGCTGTTTTAAACTGGGTAGAGCCATAGAAGATATATACCTTCTTTTTAAGTAATGGAACGCAATGAGCAGCCGTAAGTATCCATTCGTTGGATATAATGCTGCCACCGCACAACTTAGATTTTATTATAGGATGAAGAAATTGTTCCATAACAACTCCAACCAGATATGGGAATTGTCCTTCTTCGGCTAGTTCTCCATTGACAATACGCTGCAGCTGGTTCGACTCTCCAACAATAAAGAGTTGAGCCACCAAAAGGCACAACAAGATTAACATTTTGAAGGTTTGAAACTGACTTAAACTTCGCTTCTTATATACTGTTTTCTCTTATCAAAATCAATTAAAATTCCACATTCCTTAGCTTAACTTTCTACTTATTATTTGGAATTGTTACATGACAAGTGTAGTGATGAATTAGTGTGGTGCAATGCTTCTTGCGTCTTGCTTCCCACTTTTAATTATTTTTTTTTTTTCAGAAATTCTACGATTTTAAGGATGCCAAGTAAAGAAATGAAAGTGCAGCAAAAAGTGAGTACCTTCAATAAAAATATTTGTTTTAAATGCCTCGCTGCACAGGTTGTTCAATTCGTGTGCATTTTGTGTCGTTTATTTAATGTTTAATTGATATTCGCAGCCGAATGCATCAAAAATGCATCCGTGCGCAATTAATGACATTACCGGAGTGCAGTCCTCAGTGCCCAACCCCAACCCCGTCCTGCATGTGGGCCAGAGACAGGAGACAAGCGCTCTTTTTAATAAATTATCACCATTATCATTATTAAGCAAATGCAATACTTAACAGAGCTCTCCATAATGCCGGAGCATTAATTTAATACGAGTTGAATTTAATTTCTGAATAATTATAAACGGGGATGAAACTGAATTTTCGAATTAAAAATAAAATTCTATTAAAACGAAGCGAGAAGAGTTTATTGAAAGTCGTAGGAAAAGACGAAACTTAAATGAAAATGTACGCTGACAAACTCCATAAATAATTAGTGGGAAATGTGGTACATATGTATCTTTGTGGCAGCGTGGCATCGTGGCATGGCCTTGCCTTCAATAACTGCCGCTCCCACTACTGCCACGCAGCACCTCCTACTCCTACCCCACACCCCATGGCGTTCTCATGTAGGTCATAGACTGCGTAAAAAAGCGTCGCGCTTCGCATGTTCTTTGGCCATGTTTTTCGAATTTCCCACACTCCTACCCTACCATCCATTCGGTCTCTGAGGCAGTCTTATGTCCTTGAAATTTATGCGTTCAACGCAGGCAAACCGCCAAGTGTTGAGCACATCGGATGGCAGATAGGCCCAAGTGCCACATGGCGTGTAATGCGCTCATTATGTTGCCTCTCCCTGGCACACACTCACATAGAACAGTAGATGAATGCCACATGCAAAGGCAGCCTACACTCCTGGCCGCCCTTGGAACTGGGCCAATGCGTACGGCATTGTCTTTTGGGTTTGCCTCCAACAGTAGATAATAACAACAAATTATTACACTTGCCAGGGGACCCTTTCCGGTGGGGAAAGCGGTAGAGAGAGGGGTGTTTCTATGGGCTTTCTGCTGTAACTAAATTAAGCATATCGTTGATAACTCAACGCAGATCGGACGGAACACGATAAGCCACAGTCCTGTTGTGTCTTTGTTGGGTTTATGCCCAAAGTTGTAATGGCTTGGGTCTGCTTCTTCCTCTGCTTCTCCCTCTTGTCCCTGGCCATGGCCTTGAGGAGCCTTTTATCGATTTTGTCATAACCATTTTGCTTAGAAATTTCCATGCTTTCTGCATTTGGCTTGCCAATCAAGCGGCCAAGGCCGAACGAGTGCCAAGTATCATTAAAATATATCCATTGCGTATACGCCACGGTTCCAGCGTTGCTCTCCTGTCACTCCCCCCACTCCCCTCTTTATTTTTATATCATAATTTTTCGTGTCAGTTGCTCTGAGCCATATCTCTCTCCTCTCGCGTTCACTTGCTCACAAAACCCAATTGCACTTCCGCAAAAAATAAAATAAAAACTCCAGCGAGAGCAGCGAACAAGTTTCGTGGAAAAGCCAGATTATTGCAATCATAAATTTTTATGATTTTTCCATTGGTTGCAGCTCCGCTTGGCGAGGTGGCAGTGGCAGTGGCAGCCTCGGGGGAGTGAATGCGTGGGAAAAATACTACTCGCATGCCGCTGGGAATTTTATGGGAATTTAATAGCCTTGCAGATATGATGCAGAAAATTATTATAGTCTGCTGCGGCAGTTCGCCGCTCTTGGTTGAAAAGAAGCGATAAAGGAAGAGGGAACAGCAGCTGTACAAATATACATATATATATTTTTTTATATATATGTTTCGATTTATTGATACATTTTCCCACATCCCACATCCGGTGGCAAAGTTATTTTCTTTTGCGTGGGGCCATTAAAAGGAAATTTAATATAAACTTAGGAAGATGCGATGACAGGGGCCCCTAAAAAAGCATATTGACAATGCCGCAAGATCCATCCATCAATCAATCAATCAGGCAGGCAGGCTTGACAGTGCCCCAGCGGCGGGGAGCTGTGGCAGGTAAAAAAAAACACCAACAAAAAATAAGAACGGGAAAAGTAATCTAATCCAATTACTCAACACTGGCAAACAAGCAGCAGCGGGTTGCTGCCATGCAGGGGCGCTAATGGACGAACGCCCCCACTTGGAGCCAGGATATGGATATCACATGTCTACGAAAAAGTTAAATAACCGAAGGGCAATCCCAAAAGTATCGATAGCCAGGAAGCAGAGACCAGCAGGCACTGGCAGCAGGAGGCAGAAGGGGCTGATGGGGTTTAAGCCACAGGCACATTTACATCATCAACAAGAACCACCACACCAAAATGCGAATGCGTTTGATTATTAACCAACAAAAGGGGCAGGGACGGGGGTAAACAAAGTGCAAATCCTGGCCAAAAAACACACAAACTGAAATGCGAATCCTGCGAGGGTTCGGGTTCCTTCTCGCTTTTGTTGTTGCCACAGGGCTTACAAGATGCGGAATATGTTTGAGGGGGGCCCACAGCCACTGCCACAGGAGCCGGAACAGAACCCCAAACTTCCATTCTATTGACGAAATTATCATTTTTGTTGCTTCAATAAAATGACAGCCCAAAATACTAATATGGTTTCATTTTTTTGTCTCACTCCACCCAAAAACCCTAAGCAGGCTTAGGCATCAAATTGAAAATATAAGGACAAGCGCGGCGGGTGGAAAGCTCTTTGTTCGGGGGAAACACTGGAACAAGAATGGGGGAGAGAAGATCTTAGGCTGATTGGATGGCAGAACTTTGTTGACGATGACGACGATGATGAGGTTGACGATGATGCGGTGACATTGATAGGATATCGAGGGACGGAAAAACTATTCACTATTCACCCCAAACTTACTTAATCATTCAAATTAATTCAGGGCATACTCTGGAACTCGTACTCGTATTTCGTTAGCAGCCCAAGTGATTTATTTTCTCCGTTAAGAGATTCATTTAGGGTTTCCCCTCCCCAAAAACAACTTCACCTTTCACTTTTGGCAATCAAATAGCAATTATGCCAGCCCATAGTTCAAATATTTGCCACTGACACTGATGCTGGGATCCCTTGGCCCTCTTTCCTCTTTCCCCAGGACACCCGTTTATGTAAATTTGTACGGGTTAACGATTTCATTAAATGCCATACCCGGCCACGCCTTATCTCTGCTGGACGGACAGGGACAGGCGGCACTGACTGCTCCTGTGGCATCTCGACTAATATCAATATCAGCAACCGCCACGCCTCGCCTTGCCACGCCTCCCCCAGGAGCTTGCATTAATTTTCACATTTAGCCATAAGCCGCAAGAGGCGTGGCATTGTTGATAAACCGCCACATCAGAGCATCCGCTTAGCCCCGTCCCTTGTGTGTGTGTGTGTGTGTGTGTGTGTGTGTGTCTCTGTCTCTTCTTTCCCTGTCTCTTGTATCGCTCCCTGTCTCTCGTGTATCTGTCTCCCATGACTCAACCAACAAGGCGACAAGTTTCCACAACAAACATATACCAAATCCTCCCCATTCGGGGCCTCCCAGGATGTCCGGGATATGCTCGCACAGGCACAGGAGACCGGAGCCCGAAGGACACATGAACAACAAAAACAACAGCGGCCAAGGGGTCAATTTGGAGAGCTTCAAAAGGGACAAGAATTTTATAAACTACAGTGGAGGAGGGAGGATGGAGCATGGAGCATGCAGCGTGGAGGATAGTCTGCAGCAGAGCGAGTGTCTGGGGCCAGCATATTTATAAACACATTAAAAACGCTTCACTGGCATCCTGGCCACTCCATCGCCCCATCACAGGCCACATTCCCGCAAAGCCAAAAGGATATGAGAACTTGATGAGTTATCAGTTGATTGTAGGGAGAACTCTGCTCGGCTCTGCTTCGACTCAGACTCCCTCTTTTCTGTGGCTAGGAGTACCTACTCCTGTGTGTCTGAAGGATATGTGGGTAGAGTTTCCCTCGTTCGAAAATTAACACAAAACAAGTCAAAGTCAATGCTTGACGATGGGGAATGGGAAACGCAACTGCTCCGTGCTCGTGTGAGCATTGGGGAAAATCCCACAACATGTTTGAAAAATGTCAGTTGCACATGAGACAGCCGGGAACCTCAAACCTCAAGAATCTCGGCAGTCATGCCGCACCAGAGATGGGCACGGAGCGCTGTATGTGTGTGTGTGTGTGAGTGTGTGATGAGGAATTGCTGCAAGTTGCAGCTGACGGCTGTTAAGCTTGTCAACATGCAGCGACACTAAGTCTCCCCAGAGAGCTAGAGAGAAATGCAGGAAGCAGAAGGCTCCACAGCGTAACAATTGAATATGCCACATCCTCATTCTCTGCTGCTGCATTCTCTCCCATACATACTCGGATTTTCCAGGTCAAGCCACATTTGACCCGGTTCTTATCTAAAAGTCAACAGTTTAAATGCCATTTAACATTTTATGGCTCAGGCAGACGGTGGAGAAGGCGAGGGAGAAAAAGGACTGCTGGGAGGGGAGAACGATTTGTAACCTTCATGTTAATAGTCCCGTCGAGTTATTTATGTAAATTACTTGCAACTGCAATGCCAACTACTTGGAGGATGCTGCTGTTGGCCAAGCTCTAGCCGCGACTCTTGCTGTGGGTCTCTTCTCCTGCTGCCAGCGTTCATGTTTTATAATTAAGTCAGTAATTTAAGAGGGAAGGAAACTTTTTTGCTTGCAGCTTTACTTGACTGCATTCCTTGTGGCTTA